TGATGGACACGTGGGAAAGGAAGTACCGATAAGCTCTGGGTTACCTCAGGGCTTTCCGGTGTCACCCATTCTCTTTGTTCTATACGTTCATGGGTTATCAAGAGCCATTGAGAGGAGTGTGCTAGAGGTTCGATGTCTGTCCCTTGTGGATGACCAAGGCCTAGTAACAGCCTCTAGCTCAGCCAAGGGGGCTGGTTGGATCCAAGAGACGGCAGTAATAATAACCATAATAAATTGACTGACAAAGCAGATGACTTAGACCTTGACTGGGTTGGTTTTGAGAGAAAAGTTACAAAGACAGCAAATGGCCTTGAAGCAATCTCTGCTGTTGAGAGCAAAGTATACTGTCGCAGTATAAACACGAATTCGAGTGCTAATTATTATTATTATTATTAATCAAGTTTATTGTCCGTACCCAGCGCTATAGGCTATGACAGACCACTTTATATAAGCCTTGGTGAGGCCGCGTTTAGGGCCTCACCCCTATCAGAATCATACATGCAACATTCAAAATCACTATCTCGTCCCCATATCGCCGATATGCCAGGGACCTTTGGGCACTCTCCCTAGGCTAATCCTTCCGGAGATCCCTTATAGTTCCAAACCCGTGGGCACGCCTAGTCCGTACAAACCCTGACTAGTGTGCCCTTATCCCTATTCATCCTCCAATGTGACACCTGGGCCACCTTCCTCCAACGTATCCCACCCCCACGCATCGCTAGACTCAGCCTCTCTGGCTGTCCGCTCATTATCATTAAACAGGTTAGCTTCAGCCATGAATTGCAGCAAACCCTGCGTCACTATAGGCTCAGCAAATAGCCTAGCCTCAGGACTTTCCTCAGCCGCTGTAGGCAGCGGCACTCCAGCTTTCTCGAGTGCTCGATATAAAGCCCTCCGTCCTGTACGGCGTCCTCGACATCCAAAAAGCACATGCCTCACTGTCTCATGAGGCTCCTTGCAAGCCTGACACTCAGGCGATTCCCGTTGGCCTATCCGGTGTAGATAGGTGCCGATTGGGGCATGTCCTGTCTTCAGCTGGTAGTACCGACTAGCCAGTCTTTTTGGGGCTTTTCCCGCCACTGGGTCAAGGTTCCAGCCTCGAGGCATCTTGTAGACACGTCCATCTCTATGCCTGCCTTGTACAGCGTTGATTCGAGCCCATTTAGATACTGCGGCTCTCCTTGCTTCCGTGCAAGCCCTTCTAACGTACGCTAGAGACAGGTGCTCAAAACCAGGCGCGGTCTGTTTACTAGCTGCACGTTTAGCAGCTTGATCAGCCTGTTCATTCCCTACCACTCCTGAGTGGCCTGGAACCCATTGTATTGTTACTGGCTGACCTCTCATGGCTAGCTTCTCCACTGCCCTGTGAGCCCTAAGAACAAGGGCTTGCCCAGGGCCTGGTCTTGCTGACTTGAGGCGATCAATAGCATTCTGCGCGTCAAGGAGTACCCAGATAGGACCGAGAGGTTGCCTCTCAAGTGCCCATTCAAGTGCTGTAGCCACTCCCATTAGTTCCGCGTCAAACGCCTCGTGTCCGTGGCCCATTGGTACCTCTACGTGTTCCCAGGGGCCTCCAGGTACAGCTTGTAAAGCGACACCGGCGCCGGCACGTCCTGTATCGAGTCTGGAGCCATCGGACCAAAACGTCGTTCCAAGGCGCTGTTGATTAGCCTCCGTTAGGGCCTCTTCATTGTCAAGGACTCGGATCGAGCCTGGGAAGCCTTTAAGCTCGCATTGTTCAGTCCTTTCGATTCCTCCCGAGGGGTCTCTGCTCAGCCGTTGAGCGAGGTGCTTTGCCAGTCTTTGGCCTAGTCGATTCGGCATCTTATTGTCTCTAGAGGCCCACTCACGGTCGTCTAGCGGTTGCTCTCCAGGTTGTGCGTGGAGATCACCATGTCTAAGGGTTACTGGAAGTATCTGCGCTGTAGGATGCGTGTCAGGCAGTATCAGTAGCCTCGCTGTATATTGAGCCACTCTAGCGTGATATCATCGATTCGAGCCCATTCAGATACTGCAGCTCTTCTTGCTTCCATGCAAGCTCGTCTAACGTACGCTAGAGACAGGTGCTCGAAACCAGGCGCGGTTTGTTTGCTAGCTGCACGTTTCGCAACTTGATCTGCCTGTTCATTTCCTTCGACCCCTAAGTGGCCTGGAACCCATTGTATTGTTACCAGCCGACCTCTCAAGGCTAGTTTCTCAGTTGCCCTATGAGCCCTAAGAACAAGGGCTTGCCCAGGACCTGGCCTTGTCGATTTGAGGCGATCGGTAGCGTTCTGTGCGTCAAGGAGCACCCAGATAGGACCAAGAGATTGCCTCTCAAGTGCCCACTCAGGCTGTGGCCACTCCCACTAGTTCTGCGCCAAAGACCTCATGTCCATAGCCCATTGGCACTTCTACATGTTCCCAAGGGCCCTCAGGTACAGCCCGTAAGGCTGATACACAATATTAGGTGTTAGGGAGAGTTCGGAAACGCTCGAAACTTCTTGACGGGTGTGAAGTTGGTCGTGCATAGCTTTATTTATAATATAGAATGTTAACTTTAACAATAAATGTTACGGGCTAGTCCAGCCTAATGCTCACTATAAGGGCATACTCGAATAGAAAACGTAACATGAGGAAAGGAAAGAGAAAGAAAACAACAAGCTTTTCACGCGTATAATCTTATATAGGCAAGGGGAATTGGAAGCTTCCGACGGGCTTCTCTCTAGGAATAGCCTCCTGTCCGGGGTTGCTGAGATTGTTGTGGCTGCCGGGGATCGGCAGAGAGCGCTATTGTCAATATCTGGCCGGATATTGGGTGTCCGTTCGCAATCTGGGAATAGCTTCATGTTCGGGGTTGCCAAACAATAATCTAGCGAAACTCTATATGTCAATATCCGTGAGGGCTTCGCCCAAACATACTCATGAGGTCAGCTCATAACATTACCCTCCCCCCCCTTCCCTTTTTCAAATCCTCCCAATTGTCAAGAGCAACAGTATCCTCTAGGTTCTGTGCCGGTTACCAATCTCGCTTCTCATAACCCAACCATTTGACCAAATATTGGCGCATCTGCCTGCGCCCTCGCTTGATGGTCCGTTCACCTTCGATTCGCTTAACCACGTATTCTAATTCTCCATTGATTAACGTTCCTGGTAGCTAATAATCTGATAGTTCCTGTGACGGGAAAGGATTCTCGGATGCGGGCCGTAGGAGCGCCGTATGGAAAAGGTTATGTATCTTGCCATTAACATCCAATCGATAAGCGTGCGTGCCAACCTTCTCCAAAACTGTAAACTTGGCGAGTTGGTAATCCAACTTCTTTGACGGTCTGTCAGTGCCGATATTCCATAGGTTAAGCCAAACTTTGTCTCCGACGCAGTAGTTTTATAGGCTGCATTTTGGTGCTGGTTCGCAGACTCTTCTATGCGCTGCTGAGCTGCTGTCATCTCAGTTTACGCGAGGTTCGTTGCCTGCGCCAGCTTCTCCGCAATATTCTTTACAATCTTATGCTCTTTGTAGCGTGTTGTTGGTTTGTGAACAGCATTCAAGGTCATATCCATGCATCAAGAAGAAGGGGCTCATTCCTATTGACAATAATACCTGATTGTTAATTGCTATCTTGGCCATGGGGAGAAGATTGCTCCAGTCCATCTGGAAATAGTTGCAGTGCTTTCATAGGTAATCCTCAATAACTGTGTTCATTCTTTCAGTTTGATTATCCATCTATGGATGCCAGGCGGTTGACAGACACCGTTCCGTTTTCGCACTTCAGCAGATATAGGCCCATACTTTGCTTACAAATTGAGTGCCTCGGTCAGGGATAATGCCTGTAGGGAAGCCATGGCGGGAGGTAAAGAATTGTAGGAACTCGCGAGCGACTGTCTCGGCAGTAAGGTCCTTCAACGGTACTAGAATAACGCCTTTACTCAGCCTGTCCACAATAACCATGAGGTGACAGTATCAATTGCTATCTGGCAGCTTGTCAATGAAGTCGATACTTATCTCTCACCATATCCTATCTAGGACTGGGAGCGGCTTCAACAGTCCTTATCTTTGGTCTCTCCAGATTGTATTTGCACCGCATTTGCCGCAGTTATTTGTCAGTCGTCAGACATCATAGCTCATATAAGGCCAGAAGAACGTTCTTCCTACAATTGCACTTGTTCTGTTGTGACCAGGATGCCCTGAGAGCATCAAATGGTGGTAATTATTATTATTATTATTATTAATCAAGTTTATTGTCTATACCCAGCCCTACTGGCTATGACAGACCACAGAAGCCTTGGTGATGCCCTATCGGCATCACACCTATCAGAATCATACATGCAAAAATTCAAAAATCACTTCAAATCGTGGTAATATTGCATGATTTTTGTTTGAAGTGGCTCATAGTCCGGAACCCATCGGCGGTCACGGTATAAAAGATGTCCTTGTTTATCAATCTTACAGTTAGCGATTTTTACTTTTAAACCAAGGTCTTGTGGGAACGTTTGGAGGTTATCAGCAATAACTTGCTTGATACGGATGTAATTGTCATCATGGGCTTCGGCTTGCGTCCAGAGGCTTCGGAATTGCTCATCGTTGGTTAACTTGAGTAGTAGGAATCACCATGCGCGGCACCTGCACGGAGTGTATACGGATCCCTTACGGCAACAGGGCTCAGTCTTGATAGGTAAAGCGGTCATCGTTCTCATTCTTTAGCATGTCCTGCGGTCGTCGAGAGAGGGCATTAGGGTGAAAGGCCTGCGATCCAGGCCGATAAACGAGTTTAAAGTTGAACTGGGAAAGAAGGATCTGTCAACGCATCTGTCGTTTATTTGAATCTTAGTAAAGTAGCGCAGGTTGTTATAATCCATCACAAGCCAGTAGGGCTGGGTACGGACAATAAACTTGATTAATAATAATAATAATAATAATCCATCACAATGGTGAAAGGAGATTCTAGTGACATGAGTTCAGCTTCCCATTGCTTTATGCAGTCAATGATAGCGAGCAGTTCTTTATCATGGATCTCGTAGTTGCATTCCGCTGGATTGAGCTTCCAGGAGTAATAGGCACAGGTTTGGAGCTGTCCTTCGTCATTGTACTGAGAAAGGGTACCCCCGTTCATATATCCTAAGGAGTTAGTTTCCATAATAGTCTTTCGTTCTGGATTAAAGGGGACAAGGGCAGGTTCGGTGATAAAGAGGTCCTTGAGGTCTTGGAAGGCCTTGTCGGCAGTATCACTTCATATAAAGGTTGTATCTTTCTGCATGAGATCAATTAATGGTTGTACAACGGCGGAATAGTCGCGGATGAATTGTCGGTAGAAGTTGGCGAAGCCTAGGAACTATCGAACTTCCTTGACCGTAGTGAGTGCTTGCCATTCCTAAATTGCTTTTATCTTTGCAGGGTCCATTCATATTCCCTTACCAGCTTCTACAATAAAGCCGAGATATTTTGTGCTTTTCACTTTAAATTCTGATTTATCGATGTCAATCTGCAAGCCTGCGTCACGGAGCTGTTGAAGTACCGCACGCACATGTTGGCGGTGCTCCTTCAAAGAGCCGTCTGTGAAGATAAGAATATTATCAATATAAGTAGTCACAAAGTCGTCTAGGAAGTCCTGTAGGGTCTAGTTGATATATCATTGGAATGTGCTTGGTGCGTTAGCCAGACCAAAGGGAGTCGACTACTAACCATTCAAAAAGGCCAAACTGGGTTGTAACAGTACTAAAGCCTGAAACAGTACATATGATATCTGTGACAAGCCACAAGTCACACCAATTAGGTGGATAACTTGATATCTCCTGTCGGCCACTCACGCATGCATAAGAAGGAGATTCCTTGTAACTAGGATTGTTTTCCTTTCTCAAGCTTCAGTCTCTGTACATTAGGAACAGTACCCTTTGTTAATGAACATCTGGAAGTCACCGAACGACCTTCCGCCATATTGATAATTCCTCCTGTCTAACCAACGGACTAACCTCCCATTACAGGGTTCGGAAAGCTGTCAACCACTCATCTCCCTCCGCGATATGTATTTTGTGAAAGGCCGCGGGCACGTTAAACCTCGTAAACCACTTTGCTTTAGATATCCGCTGTAGAGTCTCGTGTATTAGTAGCAGGGGATATCTATTCTTCTTGGTAATGGCATTCAGAGCTCGATAGTCAACACAGAAACGCAACCCTTCTCCTAGCTTCTTGATGAACAGCACCAGCGTGGCTGCGGGAAATTTGCTGACTTATATGAATCCCTTAGATAAGAGATCATGCAATGTCTTCCTCAACACAAGGAGTTCTTCTTGGGACATGTTGTATAATGGTCCCCATGGTGCTTCTAGCTTCTTACCATTCTTGTCTTGTTCAATCAGTTCAATAGTATAGTTGGCACCAGGTCGGTGTTCCGGCAATCTATCTGCTTCAACAGGGTCAAATACATTGGTGTAATCTTGTAAATAATTAGGTAAGGCAGTTCGGGGGTCTGTCTTCGCTTTCGGAGTAAGTGCCTTATCAATATTAGCCATACTGGCGGCAAAAATTTCAATTCTGGCTTTGGGTCGTCTTCTCTGGCGTCTTTTCAAGGCTGCTAGGCCTGCTGCTGATATCTCATAGGTGCCATCATAGCGGCGTGTCAAATTGTTTATATTCTTGTTATTAATCGTAATTCTGTTGGGGAAGGTCAAAATCTCGTTCGCGGGATCAAAAAGAATTCCTTCTTTTCGCATCCATTGTATTATTATTATTAATCAAGTTTATTGTCCGTACCCAGCCCTACTGGCTATGACAGACCACTGGAAGTCTTGGTGACGCCCTATCGGCCTCACCCCTATCAGAATCATACATGCAAAAATTCAAAAATCACTATCTCGTCCCCATATCGCCTATATGCCAGGGACCTTTGGGCACTCTCCCTAGGCTAATCCTTCCGGAGATCCCTTATAGTTCCAAACCCTGAGTTGTATGTAACTAGAGAAAAAGAGTAGACAAGGTAATACACAGAGAATCAACGCATCGAATCAACTCCTTATCAATACTAACAACCAACTGATCATTAATCACTATTACTGAGGGCCGACAGGGACCAGGAAAAAACAGCGAGATCCTGATTTGACGACGAACCACGCTTATTGAGCTTTCCAAGGGCCTTTGCAGCTTCTTAGCATCGAAAAACCCTCATGGAAAGTCCAGAGAGGCCTCCAGGGGCCACTGGAGATCCAGAAATCATAGGACCTGGATCTGGGGTTGATTCATCGACACCCTCCCAGGAAACGTCACAGCTACCTCCAACTACCCGTGCACTGTTTGCAGGACTTGGAGACTGTCAGAAACAGTCTAATGAACCTACTTTGAGCAACAGCGACACTCTACAAGCGCCACGACAGACTGGAGAAACCCAACAAGCCCCAGGAATGATCCTCGAGAAAAGGAAGGCCTCAAGGCTGACTATAGGATCTCGGACTCCTATAACTAGGTCTGGATTGAGCGCGGCTCCGAAGAGGAAGATTACACTTACCGCAATGCGTGCAGCGAGTGCTCCTGCAGAGGATAGCCTCGTGATGGGCCTGATCGAGGACCTCAACGGCCATCTGCAAGAAGCGGTCCACCAGCTCTCCGCGGAGCTGACAACTGCCAGAAACGTGATCAATACCCAACAGGGCCTCATTACTACTCTCAACGCTAGGCTAGAGAGCCTTGAAACCTACGTGAACGCGCTACAAAGCCGTCAAATCCTACCACTCGACCCCTTCGCTGCAACGCGTGAGGTTGCCGCGCACGGGCCACCGCCAAGAGCTGCTTCCACGGGAGGTTTAGCGTCCACCCCAATACAGCTAGATGCCGCGCCTGAGAGCCGCGCGATAAACTCAACCGCACCTCAGCCGCAGCCGCGATATCAGAATCCAACAAAGGTTACGAAACAAGCCGTACAGCCACCTGAGGGCCCCAAAAAAGTACCTGTAACCGCCGCGAAGACCACTAAACAGCCCGAAACTACCGCTAAGCCACTGACCAAGCCCGCACCTACGAAATGGGCCGCTATTGCCGCAAATAATACCCAATCTGGAGGATGGAAAACCGTCCAGTATAAGAAACAGGCCTCAGCACCCTCTAAGGCTCTATCGATAACTGACTTGAAGCCTGTGAGTACCCGGAGCAAGGAGGAAAGACGCCTCATCTTCAGACGACGATATCCTAAAGATGCTCCGACCGCATTGAAAGCTGATGTTCTCTTGGCCCTTAACCGTGCCCTTGCAAAGGCAGGTTTTCCTGACTTTGTAAGAGCAGTCGATTCTGGATACGCGGCCTCAGGGGCCTTAACAGTGCTCCTAGAGCGAGGCACTCGCAGCAGCACCCTCGTGCCCGTCTACAACGATACTCTACTAGCCGCTGTAAGGCAAACAGATCCAGCAGTTATTTCCGTGGAGATTAGCGAACAGTGGCACCGTGTTAAGGTACAGGCAGTGCCTGTGGACCGCTACATGTATAATGACCAAGGCCTAGCACTAGCCCAAGAAGAGATTGAGCTGGGAACACCATATAGGCTTAAACGAGAGCCAACGTGGCTCAAAAGAGCCAAGACTATACAGGCTAGCAACCAGAGATTTGCCACGATTGTGATCACAGTAGGTTCTTTGGAGGAAGCTCGAACACTGATCAATAAAGGCATCAAGTTTGGAGGCCGACACCATCGAGTAGCACCTTATTGGGAGTCAAATCCTGAGAGTATCTGCCCTCGATGCTGCGGAATTGGCCACTCTGGCTTCATGGCTTGTGGTGGCAGGTCTCCTAAATGCGCGATCTGCGCAGGTGATCATGAGGCAATAGAGCACTCATGTATAGTAGTGGATTGTAGGGTTGGGCCAGCTAAACCTTGCAAACACACAGTGATCAAGTGCGCTAACTGCAAAGGTGCACACGAGGCTACATCTCCTAAGTGCCCTAAAGCTAGGGAGGCTCGTCAAAGGGCTATCCGGAGAATGAGGGAACAATCCTTACAAGACCTCATCCCATTAGATGAGACATTCGCGGTAGTGCCTCCAAAACCAGTACTGACCACAGAGGAGAGACCTGGACAGTCTCTAGAGGAGGAGACGTCAACTCCAGAAGAAGATGAATTGCTGCCTGAGATGCAATTAGAGGCTGATATTCACGAGGGAAATAGCCAACAACCACTAGAGCCAGAGCTCAAGTCAGCTACTGAAGCGCCTCAAAGTGAGAATCTATGATAGTACTACAACATAACTGTGCCCGTACAGGCGCTGTAGTACATACAGCCCTAGAAGCAGCACTACAGGCTGGTGCCGGGATAGCCTGTCTCCAGGAACCCCCAGTACGTGGAAAATACCAGATAAGCCATCCTGGCTTCCTGTTCTACTGGCCTGAGGGTCCTCGAGAACATGCTCGAGTAGTGACAGCGATTCGGAGAGATTTAGTAAGAGAATTAGTGGTGGAGGCGCGTACAGATCTAGCTAACCATCCATATTTTATGGTGGTTGACGTGCTAGAACAGGGGAGGCGTACGAGGATAGTGAACTGCTATGACAACTGGTTAGGTGCACGTCATACATACTCAGGAGAGAGCCTACTTACAAGAAGAGCCCTTTCAGATCTCGATTGGGGACCAATTTTAGAGGGCCGATGTCTCATTCTTGGAGACTTCAACGCCCACAGCCCGATGTGGAATGTCCATATCGACCAGAGGGTTAACGCAAGATCCCTCGAGGATCTAATAATGAGGCATGACCTCTTTATTAATAACGACCCTGACGAGCCAACAAGGCCTCATAAGCCTAGAGATTCTACAGCATCATTTGAAACATCTACTGAGCCTAGGGTCTCAATTATTGATCTCACAATCAGTAGTCAAGCCCTTGGCCCTCTATCTGGATGGGAAATTGAAAGCCAGAGGCTCACGCCATCAGATCATGTTATGATCTGGGCTAGCTGGGAACCTCCAGCAACTATGAGTACAGAGCCCACAAGGAAAGAAGTCACAGGGTGGCAGATAGAGGCTCTACTAGGAGACAAAAAGGCTCTGCAGGAGGCAAAAGACACCTGGAACGAACTAGCAAAGACTCAACCAATACTATTTTTAGACACCGTGCTTTTCCACAGGCTCCAAACAGTAACATGCAGTTACAGCTTCCTGAGCCAGGATCTGCCCACAAGCTGATGAATGAAGAAGCCGTCAAGAATGCTCTCTTTAGCCAGGGACTAGAGAAAGCTCCAGGTACAGATTTACTGAACTTCAGGGCTATCAGGCTCTTATGGAATCTAGATTCGGAGCGTGTGGTTAGCCTGACTAGGCAGTGCCTCAGGCTTGGGATACATCCACATGTCTGGAAAACAGCCAAGGGAGTTCTACTGAGAAAGAACGGCAAAACCAACTACACACTGGCTAGTGCGTATCGGGTGATAAGTCTATTGAAGTGTCTAGGCAAGGTGATTGAAAAGCTTGTTGCAGAGTTAATTACAAACTTTGCAGAGGCTCAAGACCTCTTCCACAATGGTCAATTTGGAGGCCGTCGGCAACGCAGTGCAATTGATGCTGTGGCATATCTAGTGGAGGAGATCCATCAAGCTTGGGCAAATAGAAAGTTAGCTGCAGCTCTATTTATGGATATTGAGGGGGCCTTTGACCATGTCATCCTAGCAAAACTGGTAGAGGTGCTCAGAGAGGCTAGCGTGGATGGAGATCTTATACATTGGGTGATCTCATTTCTATCTGACTGGCGAGTCACTCTTGTGATTGATGGACATATGGGAAAGGAAGTACCGATAAGCTCTGGGTTACCTCAGGGCTCTCCGGTGTCACCCATTCTCTTTGTTCTATACGTTCATGGGCTATCAAGAGCCATTGAGAGGAGTGTGCCGGAGGTTCGATGTCTATCCTTTGTGGACAACCAAGGCCTAATAACAGCCGCAAGCTCAGTGAAGGAGGCTTGTAGGATCCTTGAGAAAGCCGCGGAAGTAGCCATCAAGTGGGGGGTGGCTAACGGGGTACAATTTGATCGCAAAAAGACTGAGGCCGCTTTCTTTTATAGATGACACAGACGTCAAGTGGCTCAAAACATATCTCAAGCCCGGATTAGGGTTGGAGGCGAGTTAGCAACTGTCAAATCTACAGTACGGTGGCTCGGGATACTCCTAGACAGCCAACTTACATGGAAGAGCCACTACAACGCTTGAATTAAGACAGCAAGAAATACGATAATCAGGTTAAACTCACTCTGCAGAGCTAATGGGTTACCTCCAGCATTAGTGAGGCGCATACAGAAAGCTACAGTGCAAGCCCAATTGCTGTGGGGTGCTAAGATATGGTGGCAAGGCCAGAAAACATGGGCACAAAGATCCAGATTCTAATTAATAAGCAAGCCAGGTATTACGGGCATGTTCCCAAAAACCCCAATCGGAGCCCTAATCAGAGAGGCAGCGTTAGAGCCAGCGACAGTCTTAATAGACGCTAGAGTAGCTTGATACACAGCGAGGCTACTGGCCCTACCTGACACACATCCTACAGCGCAGATACTTCTAGTCACCCTCAGACATGGTGACCTTCACGCACAACCTGGAGAGCAACCACTGGACGACCAGGAATGGGCCTCTAGAGACAACAAGATGCTAAATCGACTAGACCAAAGGCTTGCAAAGCACCTTGCTCAACGACTAAGCAGAGACCCCTCTGGAGGAATTGAGAGAACTGAACAATATGAGCTCAAAAGCTTCCCAGGCTCAATCCGAGTACTTGACAATGAAGAGGCTCTAACGGAGGCTAACCAACAGCGTGCTGGAACAACGTTCTGGTCAGATGGCTCCAGGCTCGATACAGGACGTGCAGGAGCTGGAGTAGCTTTACAAGCTGTACCTGGGGGTCCCTAGGAACACGTAGAAGTGCCAATGGGCCATGGACATGAGGTCTTTGACGCGGAACTAATGGGAGTGGCTACAGCGCTTGAATGGGCCCTTGAAAGGCAGCCTCTTGGTCCTATCTGGGTGTTCCTCGACGCGCAGAATGCTATTGATCGCCTCAGATCGACAAGGCCAGGCCCTGGGCAAGCCCTTGTTCTTAGGGCTCACAAGGCAGCTGAGAAACTAGCCTTGAGAGGCCAGCCAGTCACAATACAATGGGTCCCAGGCCACTCAGGGATTGAAGGGAACGAGCAGGCTGATCAAGCTGCTAAACGTGCAGCTAGTAAACAAACCGCGCCTGGTTTTGAGCACCTATCTTTAGCGCACGTTAGAAGGGCTTGCACGGAAGCAAGGAGAGCCGCAGTATCTAAATGGGCTCAAATCAATGCTGTACAAGGCAGGCATAGAGATGGATGTGTCTACAAGATGCCTCGAGGCTGGAACCTTGACCCAGTGGCAGGAAAAGCTCCGAAAAGATTGGCTAGTCGATACTACCAGTTAAAGACAGGACATGCCCCAATTGGTACCTATCTATACCGGATAGGCCAACGGGAATCGCCTGAGTGTCAGGCCTGCAAGGAGCCTCATGAGACAGTAAGGCATGTACTCTTTGAGTGCCGTGGACGTCGTGCAGGACGAAGAACTCTCTATCAAGCCCTCAAAAAAGCAGGCGTGCCACTGCCTACAGCGGCTGAGGAAGACCCCGAGGCTAGCCTATTTGCTGAGCCTAGAGCGACGCAGGGCTTGCTGCAATTCGTGGCTGAAGCCAACCTATTCAATGATAAGGAGCGGACAGCCAGAGAGGCTGAGTCTAGTGATGCGTGGGGGTGGGATACGTTGGAGGAAGGTGGCCTAGGTGTCACATTGGAGGATGAATAGGGGTGAGGGCACGCTAGTCAGAGTTTGTACTGATTAGGTGTGCCCACGGGTTTGGAACTATAAGGGATCTCCGGGAGGATTAGCCTAGGGAGAGTGCCCAAAGGTCCCTGGCATATCGGCCACATGGGGACGAGATAGTGATTTATTTTTGGATTTTTGTATGTATGATTCTGATAGGGGTGAGGCCTTTAGGGTCTCACCAAGGCTTCCAGAGGTCTGTCATAGCCAATAGGGCTGGGTACGGACAATAAACTTGATTAATAATAATAATATGGGTAGAGGTTTAAATACGGGCTGTTCCTCCTTGATAGATAGTTTTCTTCTTCATACTCAGTTTCTCGTCAGCACTGGCACCTAGATAGTGAATATCAGCCAGGGCGGTCCTCTGGGCAGTATATCCTTCGACGGATCGTACGACACCTGGGCCTCCTACGCGACAACCGATCTCGATGGCGTGTACGACTACAGTGGGTGCCAGGCCACGAAGGGGTCCCAGGCAACGAGAAAGCAGACCAGCTGGCAAAGTTGGCTGCAGTCGAGGCGACACGGCGTACACAGGAGAACGCCCGCATAGCCAGGATCAGCGCACCCAATCAGACTACACCACACGCCGCACGAATGTCGTATATTCCAAATCAGTCAACTATCCTTATGGCAGTGTGTCGCCAGAGGCTACATGCAGGCTTTGCAAAGAGGTGGAAGGAACAGTGGGAGCATGCCAACCATGGACGGCATCTCTATCGGATAATCAAAGCACCAACGAAGATGGTGTTGCAGCTGCACGAGGGATTACGACGGGCTTGGAGTTCAGTGTTAATCCAACTACAAACAGGTAAATCAGCGCTACGCAGCTTCCTAGCGAGTGTACGGATTGAAGACTCACCTCAATGCGAATGTGGCCTTGGGGATCAGGATACGGCCCACGTCCTCATACGGTGTCCTACCCATATAAACCTGCGTATGGAGACTCTCTGGAAAGAAGCACGCGAAACAGATTATCGGAAGCTCCTTAGCGAACCTCAGTGGGTTCGGCAGAGTATTGAATTTATGATGCGGACTGGTCTATTGACGCAGTTCCATCACGTAACCCCCTTAACAACCACGCGCTCACAGTGAGTGCGACACTACCCTGATGAAGAGTAACCATGTTGATTCGGCTTGGACGGATCAGCCACTTGACACGTTTGGAAATAGAACCGGGCACCAAAACATAAATATCACGTCACCCCGCACCGAGATCCTTCACTCATTTTGTATATATACACATTTCCTTTGTTGGTTCGGCGTTCTGTTCGCTCGTTATCTGTTGTTGGTGGTCTTCGGATCTGGATACGGATACGTGTCGAGACTTTCGCGTGGAGTTGACTAAGTCAGCGTCAAGCCGGAAGCGTCTTGGCACGTTGACGTTGATTTATGCTTTTATACGGTAGTACGCCCGCTGCCCAATTAGAAGGCGCCGCCGGCCACTAGGCTTAGATGCGTGTATGAATCAATCAATCAATCAATCAATCAATCAGATAGTGAATATCACTTGGTTGGATTGGTCGTATGTTACACCGGGTTGGGTTTTGGGTCGAGACCTTCGACCCAAGTTGGGTTATGCGGAAGTCTAGATATGAGGATATGTGGTTTTGAAGCGAATTGATTATCTGTTTTATTTGTTTGATATGTTTGCATTCGTTAGTCTTGTTTCCTTTGTGACGCTGGCCAATACCTTGCATTTGTTGCTAACTAGGTGAGCCTATCTACGAAGAATAACAAGCATGAAGAAGGAAAGAAGAAGAAAAAAACACAGCGCCCCTCTACGCACAGCTCCTTCATATGATCCTTTGTGTGGACGGAACTTCCCAATACAGTACCGCTCCCAATATAGCATTGCTTAGGGCTCAAGCCCTATCTTGAGATAGCGGGAAAAGCCTCCTAGGATGACACTGTACGGAAGGCTCCGTCGCCAAGCCGTAGAGCTGTCAAGCCGCAGGGCTGGCTGTCACACCTTAGCTTCCGTTCTCTGTGGCGCGCCCCTATGGCGCACCACCCGTGGCTGTGCTGCAGATTTCTTGGTGCCTGCAGGCTTAGGCACAAACCTGGATAGCGGCTCTTGAGACCGTGGCTAGCTACAGCAGGTATATCAAATCTACTACTACTACTAGTGCACTTTGCACAGCCGTCCATCTTCCAACTCAGTCCACTGGTCTGAGTTCACAGTGGTAATGGCATAGAACAGGTCATAAGGATCATACTTGGCTTTGATGGATTGAAGCTTTTGGTAATTCTCGCCGAAGAAAGCTTGCTGGAAGTCGGGTTGACGGAAGTCAGCCTAGAAAAGAAGCGTCAGGAAACCTTATTTAGCAAATCACTTTCAATATCTTGCAATGTGACTGAACTGATAGCATAACTTTACCTCGTTCATGTAAGCGCCCGACTCAGGTGCCAAAGCCTTAAGACGTGGAATATAATCGTTGGTCATCTTAAGCTGCTTTGCAGCCATATCAGATCTCGGAGCTGTGAAGTGCCAGGGTGTGGTAATGACGGTATCAATCAGAGTATCTCTCCAGGCCGGTAACACGGAATTGTAGATATCGTCGCCAACAAGAGCCTTGGAAACGTTCACACCAACACCAATAAACGTCGCTCCGTCTTCAATTATGTAGCGATACGCAGCGGTCAAGTTGTTGTTATTAGTTTCAACCACAGAGCGAGGCATCAGCCACCCGCCATATTGAGCGGTTCCAACCTCGATGAGGCCCTGTAGGCTATTGTACTCGTCGAGGAAGCTGTTGTACTGTTGAGAGTAGGAAGTATATTTAACACCCAGCTCAGTCAGAGTGTCGGTAAACGGTTTGACAAGGTTTGTCAATTCGTCGACCGGGATATTGGGACCGGTCAGAGGAGAAATTGAGAAACTGGTGTTGGTGAAGTACCAGACACTCATGGCACCGGCATCGACAATTGATGGGAGAGTCGCATGATATTTGCCCACAGCCTTGTAAAAAGTGTCCTGAGAAATTCCGTCGTTGGTGAACGTCAGGTTGAAACCCGACACGGGCGTTCCAGGATGAGCCTTGGATGTCATTGACCACACAACGCCGTAGGTACTGCCCCCACCACCACACAATGCCCAGTACAAATCCGAGTTCCGGTAGCGGTTGGCAACACGATAATGGCCAGTCCCATCGATAACTTCCCATTCCAGAGTCTGATCAGCACCCAATCCGTAGCGGGAAGCGAGAGATGAATGCCCACCGCCTTGGGAGTAGCCGCCGGCAATGCCAACGGTAGGACATTCACCTCCTACAACCTGGAGACCGTGCTGATCGGCTAGCTTATAGGCCTCAAATCCTTGCACACCCGCGCCGATTTTGATGGCCTTGCCTTGATAGTAGGAGCTGTTGTAGTCGATTATCTCTCGATCCTTCAGGTTGTGCGTCCAAATGGCGATGGCACCAGCACCAGTGGATTTGCCATTGTAACTGCACAATATACGTTAGTGCTCAGCACTGATATCTGGTAGAAAAGCACATAAGAATAGAATTTTACACGGAGCTATACGCACTCATGACCCGTGTTGCGGACCACAACACGAATATTGTTCTGTTGAGCAAAAGCGAGAGTCTTGGAAATATGCTCTGGCTTGGAGATGTTCACCGAATAAACAACATAGTTTCCTAGCGTACAAGGCTGCGAGACCGCGTGAAACGGGTCACAGGTCTCGTTGGTGAACCAGGGAGCCATAATGGATGACGAGGACTCATAGCTGCGTAAAGAGGTCAGTGGAATGTTACAGAGGAAGCAAAGACAAATAGTAAATATGTTTTCATGAGCCAAAATTAACGCTCACTGTTCTTGGGGGAGAAGCCATCTCTCGCGGAGAATATCGCACTCGGCGGCACTGTATGATGGGTTATGGCATGGTGTAGCCAAGGGTATGGTCTTGATCAGAGTACCATCAACAGACTCGTTGAAATTTGACCACGCAACAGCTGACGGCCAGCATGCATCACCAGGAAAACAGCGACATTGCGATGAGCGCGGGGGATACGAGGCTGGCGAGGAAGAAGTAGATGAAGAAGAGGTTGCAGGGACCGCCCAAAGGAGGAAAGCAGCAGCAGCAGACTGAGACCACCACATGATTGACGATTAGACCTCGAGAGGAATCGCGACGCTCTAGGTTCGTCTCTTCGTAGCCGCCAAGGCCAGGTTCTTGGTCCAAAACTTTGGAGTCGAACCTCAACAAACAAGACAAATAGATGAGTTATGGCAGTCAATTGCATGTTCGAATCGTAGTTACATGATTCGTCTTCTCATCCATAAACCCCTTCAAAGCCACCTAGGCTACAAATTTTGTCGACAAATGTGTTCCACGCAAAGAGAATTATTTAGAGCAGTCCTTGTTTCTAGTGGTATGCTCGACTTTGGTTACATGAATCTGGGACTGTGACACGAATCGCTAACATACGCTGAGCACTGAAGTCCCATAAACACCTAGAATGCAAATCCTAAGTCGAAGATCTCGAAAAACTTTGGTGAGCCCTTGCCAGCCACATTGTTGCTTCATTCAGACCTGGAAAGAAAATAGACATAAGCAAACTGCTTCATCTCCTCGAAGTTGTCTGCCTTCACTACTTTCTCATCATTGTAGAGGACCCAGGCCCGTTTATCGTTACCAGGCATTTCCCTGTTTATGAATGCAACGTAATGTCTATTAATAGTTAGTATTTCGTCTCTAGGACATTCCAGTGACAAAGACCTACCCAGCATGGAGTGAACCGCCTTTATGACAGACAAGCGACTGTAGTTTGTACCTTGCAGGCAAATCTGTCTTGCCGGGTGTTTCCCGTGGCAAAGCTGACCTAGGTTCTTGAGTAGTGGACATATCATTATCGTCTTCAAGGCTATCAGGATGGCTGAACACCCAATCTAGCGCTCTGTTGACATCTCCACCTGTTGCTGACAGCGCCTTTGAAGCTTCGTTAGCATCAATACCCATCTCTCCAAGTTGCTGAATCTTTTCGATATCGTGCTCCGCTGAGTCTGCTCCAGTGACATTACCCTGTGACACTGGCTTGTCAATAGCTGGATCATCTAGGTGCGCCAAAAGCCAGTTCATTGCACCCTCCAAGTCAGAATTGCCAGTTGCATACAACGCATTTTCGCATCGTACCTGAGAGAAACCCATGCTTGACAGTTGTTGAACCAACTCCGGATTCGCAGTGAACGCTGTAGCACCAGTTTCAGAGTCTTCTGGAAGAAGTTCTTCTGTGGGAAGTGGACCAGGAGACAAATAAACGCTCATATCGATGTCACCATCACTGATATCCACTGGTATATTGAGTTTCGTAGGCACCCAGTTTATCAGCTCGAATCGGCGAGCGTTTATCACCAGATGCTGTGGTAGCGACTTGAAGCGGGACCGTTTGCAAAATCCTTTATTGCTTCCGCAACCTGAACATTTCAGTTCTACTACCTCTTCTCCAGTAAAAATATCCAGGCACTCCTTCATGGTGACTGTCTCATACGTGGTTGTCTGTTCTAGACTCTTTTTTGACACGAGTGGGCGGGCGGGGACTTGAAGTGAAATGTTGTCCTGTTCATCATATTTGTATCGTACTTTACCACAGTCGAGACACTGAAGGCGTTGTTCAAGAACGAAACGGAAACTTTCCACGGGATTGGCCAAGCTTTCGGAATGTCTTGACAACGTGATAAGTTTGAAAAGGTGTAGCAGCAGTTCAAAAGCATCCTGCTGTCTCATCGTCGAGAATTCCTCGTGACCGCGACCAATGAGATGTTTGAACATTGCAGGTGCGAGTCCCCTTTGATGTGGTACTTCCGGGGAATCGGGTTGGACCGATACATCAGAGTCTGGTTTGGAATATCTTCCGGACAACAGACCATCAGCAAGCTTTCGTAACTGTGTCTCAAGATCTTCCGCGGGGTTATTGACATGAGGAGGTTCCTCGTTAGGGTGGAAATATCGTCGCTCAAAGTCAGGTAGTGCAAACAAACATTGAATGATGCTAGCCAGATAACAGCTATTTCCCAGATTCTTGAGACCTGTAAAGCCCGGCCCAAAGATTGGTTGTAGAATCGATCCGTCATCGGATGTCATGGCAAACTCCCACTTCAGGTTTTGCTCAACTTGTAGTTCCATGAGGCTTTTCTCTGTCTTCTCACTTTCTGCAATGTTGATCCCCCAGTGGGCTAGATGCGCGGCCAAATTCGGGTCTATCCTTTCTTCATTGCACTTGTAACAGTATATGTCGGCAGAGCCTTCTGGCGTTATGGAGCCAAGCTTAACGGCAACACCATGAGATGATGAGTCCGCATGAGCTAAAGCATGCGAATTTCCACCAACACCCCCAAACTGGCTCCGGCCACAACCTACATTGCCACATTCCAAGCACAACCATAAATTCTCCTTCAGCTCACACATGGAGCATTGCTTAAGATCTAGAAAAGCGCATCAGACATAGGGAATATGTAGTCACTGAACCAGAGTCTCCTTACCCTTCCTGTTGACGTTACCGTGTTCTTGCTGTTTCAAACGCAAAGTGTGCTCGCAGGGAACAAATTCCTGCTCCCACGCTTTTACCTCCTCTCTTTTTGAGAAGGACAAAGCTTTCATGACCCCTTCCACCACTGCAGATAGTTTATCACCCAGGTCGCCACTACTCTCGACTTGGCATGCGTAACAAATAACGGTTGTTGCTGTATCGTAGCGATCTTCTTCTGTCTCAGCTAATATAGCAAGCTTGGAAATCTTTTGAGGCGGCTCGTCTCGCTATGGGCAACGTATCGTGTCAGTTGGTGTAACTCTCTGGACCCTATAGTTCTTGGTATCAACATACCTGGACCTTTTTCCTGGTCCTCCTGACATTGAGAGCCAATACGTGATTGGTGCGCGCGTGATGAAGCCGTGCATGGTTTCTTTCCCCTGTACAACCGCCGTTGAAACATTGCAAACAGACATTGAGGCCAGAGGGGTCATCCTGATCACTGTCAGCTATCTAGATTCCATGCTGGGGTAAACAAGGGACCTTACAATCGAATCAAAACACTGAGTGCAGTCTTCTCTATACACGGGCTGAGTCGAAGTTGGAGGTCGCACGTCTAGGGGGAAATGTGTGGTAGATTAGTCTTTTGACGCAACGAAGCTTGATCGAGGACGTAACTACGTACCTGCATCTTCGAAATGATGGCACCCCGTCATCTTAGAGGCGACTGGAAAGAATAGTAAGGAGAGAAAATGAGACTGATTCGAAATAGAGCAGAAGAAAAGAATCAAAAGATGGAGAACAAGGACAAAGATGGAAGGAGCTCTCGATGACATCAAAGAGCGGGAACGGGAAGGTAGTTCCTTCCGTGTTTGTTTAGTGCGGGGTCCCGTCAAGGCACCAAGGCATCAAAGCAGTTAATTATTCGCGAAGAAACGCGCCACAACACGCGTCGTGTCTCCTACCATTTCCATCTACTCGCCTCTGACCCTGAGATATTCGGGACATCAAGATACGTGAAATAACCAAGAAACAGCTACCACGCAAGCTACTATTCAAAAGGCGTGATACTGTCTGGGCCGAAACAGTCTGTTGGTCCCATATCCATCAACGTGAAGCACTACCATAATGGCCACTGATCCGGCATCGTTGATTTCGGTCGGAGCTCTAAGGCAAGTTATCATTCTCAGTTGCTTTGTTGCAGCAACAGTTTCTAATAAGCTATTAGCGCAATCTTCGATGACTCAAGAACGGGTGAAAGCGAACCCATTGTTCAATGTGTACAGATCAAACCACTGGCTCCCCAGCCAAATGGCCAAGAGCGATATCGAGCGGTTTTCAGTGACATTTCCAATTATGTGCAGACTATGATAGCCACCCGTGAGTCTCCAAGCTGGTTTGGTTACACCGACGGCCGCTGATGACATATTCTTCTACAGAAGCGAACCATCTCGTCAAAGACGGAATCCTGAGGAAGGGCTGCCTTGTACGACTGAAGTCCTTTCAGTCAAATGCCATCAAAGGCAAGAAGTATGGCCGCAATTTGAGTTCCTTTCATCGTGAGAGTAATGACGATACTAACCGATATATCAAGGATCCTTATCATACTCGATCTTGAAGTCCTTCAACATCTTGGCGAATACGAAAAAATCGGAGATCCCAAACCGTTGGAGACCAAGGCAGAAGATGAGGAGAAAGCAACGCCAACAATGGTGTCTGGAAACGGGACATACGGCGCGAAGGCACCAACTTCATATGACTCTCGCAATGTGCGACAGGCATCGTCTTCTGGCCACGCAACCATTTATCCCATTGAAGCTATATCCCCATATTCTCATAAGTGGACTATTAAAGCACGTTGCACGAGCAAGTCGGCTATTAAGACATGGCATCGCAGTAACTCAGAAGGCAAGCTCTTTAGCGTTAATCTTTTGGACGACAGTGGCGAAATCAGGGCGACCGGCTTCAACGACCAGTGTGACTCGCTCTATGATCTTTTCCAAGAGGGTTCAGTTTACTACATCTCAAGTCCATGTCGAGTTCAGATTGCCAAGAAGCAATTCTCTAATCTAAACAATGACTACGAGCTCACGTTTGAAAGAGACACCATTGTCGAAAAGGTAACTTCAAAATCGAATTTTCTTTTTGAACCAACAAATGAACTGACACAAACTCTCACAGGCCGAGGACCAGGACAGTGTTCCCCAAGTTCGATTTAACTTCACGACCATTGGCGATCTTCAGTCCGTGGAAAAGGATACAACAATTGATGTTATTGGTGTTCTGAAAGAAGTTGGACCGACTTCCCAAATTACTTCCAAAACGACGAACAAGCCCTACGACAAACGGGACTTGACTCTTGTCGACAACACCGGATTCTCTGTTCGACTTACAGTTTGGGGCAATCTAGCCACGAATTTCGATACTTTACCTGAATCGGTAGTGGCGTTCAAAGGAGTGAAGGTGTCTGATTTTGGTGGCAGAAGCCTGAGTTTGCTCAGTTCTGGCACCATGACCGTAGACCCAGACATTGAAGAGGCACACAGACTCAAGGGTTGGTATGATGCACAGGGAAGGTCTGACACCTTTACATCACACGCTTCGATGTCGGATGGAACAACTCCTGGCGGTGGAAAGCTTGACCAATACAAGACGATTGCTCAAATCCGGGAAGAGCAATTGGGAATGTCAGAAGCTGCCGACTTCTTCTCCCTGAAAGCAACAATCATTTACATCAAGCAGGACAATGTGAGCTATCCAGCATGCCCTTCACAGGGGTGTAACAAGAAAGTTAGCGAACTAGACCCTGGACAATGGCGCTGTGAACGATGCGACAAGACTTATCCCAAGCCCGAATATCGCTACATCATGCTTATCAACGTTAGCGATCATACTGGGCAATTGTGGTTGAACTGTTTCGACGAGGTTGGAAGACTTATCATGGGTACAACTGCAGATGAACTGGTGAATATGGAGGCTGAAAACAAGTACGAAACCAGCGAGCTATTCCAGGAGGCCAACTGCCAGACGTGGAACTTCCGTTGCAAGGCGAAAATGGATCACTACGGCGAACAGCAGAGGTATGTGGAACTTTTATTCGCCTGTTTTGTGTTCTTTGCCACGAGACCGACCTTCTGACCAATGACTATTATAGAATTCGTTATCAGATCTCCTCTGCGAAGCCAGTCAATTATTCTGACGAAGCTGCGCGATTGGCGAATTTCATCCAGTCGTATAGTCTTGCCTGAGGGTGTTTTATTCTTGCTTTGTATTTCGTGTCTACGTCACATGTATGTTCTTTTGTTCGGCACGAGACGGCTGCTGAGATGCTTGTCCTATCATCCTCATGTTTGTCGAGCAATGTAATACCGGGTTATGAGGTAGTTGAAAATGACTTGGGCCTGATGAAATGACTCCATTTATGTACCCGCTACAAACGGGTGGCTTCCCGGTAGAAGATATAACCCAATCCATAAGAAAACGAGTAAAAGTACGACGACGACTCGATCCTAACATGTTGATACTGATTATAAATCATACACTGGTACTCCGTACTCGAGATGTGGGACCATTGCTGGCTGGGTGGGGAACTGATGCTTTATTATTAATAACATAACTAACGTTAACTAACTAGTTAACATATGTTACCCAGTTGATTGATTACGTATTTCTCCTTCAATCCTTCAATCCAGTCCACGCCCGAGAGCCCGTTCTCTAAACATCGTCCCAAACCGAGGTCTTACGTGGATAAGATACAGTCAGCTGTACTGTTCAACGAGTCACCGAGAGGAATCTATGCAACATGGCATCAATGAAGGCAATAGGTTTGTTTTGCTGTCTCCCCTCGGAAGAAGGCTGATATCTCACCATGTCCTCACCTAGGCATCAAGGGTGGTAAAGGGCCGGCAGAGGCTATGTTCATGGACACAATCAGCCGCCCGGTCCCAACCGCCAATCAAGCTCTGGTGAAAATCAAAGCATTTGGACTGAATCGTATGGATTTGCTACAGAGAAATGGCGTATATCCAGTCCCACCCCAAGCTCCTAGCACAATGGGCGTGGAGTTTTCTGGCGTTATTGAGGAGCTTGCAGATTCAGTGTGTGATTTTAATGTCGGCGATGAGGTTTTTGGCCTCGCATATGGAGGTGATGATTCTCAGCATTTCCACAACCTCGTAGAGATCTGCTTTTGACGATGAGTTATCTCCTAGGTGCCTACGCAGAGTATATATCCGTTTCTACACGGATGCTTGTTCACAAGCCATCTGAGATCTCGTGGGAGGAAGCTGCGGGAATACCAGAGGCAGGGCTTACTATCTCTTTTCTGTTACGACGCTTATCAAACTAACGTGTGACATTCAGACGTGGATAACGGCTACACAAGCATTGAACTTGATTGGGGAATTTAAATCCGGCCAATCTGTTCTTTGGCATGCCGGTGCTTCGTCGGTATCCATTTCTGGAATTCAGCTTTCCAAAGCGCTCGGCGCCACGAAGATATTCGTGACAGCAGGCTCTCAGGAAAAGATCGATTTCTGCGTCAAAGAGCTTGGTGCCACCGCTGGGTTCAATTATAACACCCAGGACTGGGCCAAAGGCGTCTTGGAAGCCACCGATGGTAAAGGCGTTGATCTTATTGTGGACTTCATCGGAGCGAATTACTTTGCTTCAAACTTGGCCGCTGCCGCGCGTGATGGCCGTATAGTCGAGCTTGGTTTCATGAGTGGCGGTGAACTACCTGCAGGCGTCAATATCGGACCCATTCTTTACAAACGTTTACGAATCGAAGGCAGCACTCTGCGAAGTCGCGAGGAAGGATATCAGGAGAGACTTCGGAATCTCCTGGTCGAGAATGCTTTGTCAAAGTTCAAGGACCACACTTTCAAAGTCTTCATCACCAAAGTATTACCTTTTGATCAAATCGTTGAAGCACATAAATTGTTGGAGAGCAATCAAACCAAGGGCAAGATCATTTGTACAGTGCCATGATTACGATATCATAAATCATAATCTTGTTCCACATTGTGTTTGGAAGACAATTTAATTGCCAATATCGAAAACATGCACCGCCCAGGGATAATAAACTTCACCAGAACTCCCTAGACGACTAATATCATTATATCTAGAAGTAAGTTTTGATTTAGGGGTGAAAAACATTTCAATGTATTAATCTATTTTATACTATTGATAAATAAGGAGCTCTTCATAATCATATCAAAGTAATCAAAGGTGAGATTAATATTAGTAACACATGAAGAGGGCTCCCTTACTGTATTGTTCACGTTAAATCACGGGTGCTGCCTGAAGGATATTCTACTCTCAACTTTCTCTCTACCCTTCCTCCTTCCCTCACTTCCATCTCTCATTCCATTCAAAATGGATTCCATTTCCAGCCCCATCCAGGATTACCATTCTGAGACTTCCAGCCAGGATTACAGTGTCGTTGGTATTGATGCAATCAAAGATATAAACCCGCTGTTGAAATAAGGAACAGTGCACCGATTCAGCTGCTCAGAAAAGGGATTTTCTCGACTACTTCAGCTCCTTAATAGTTCCACAGGGGAAAGCAAAGCCCCGAGGTAAGTCTCAAAATGATTTTCTTTTCTACAGTCTAATATTCCACCATCAAAGAAGTCCTACTTTGGACGCCGAGAAAGAACAGCCCAAGTTCATTACTAGGCACAGCCATATATCCACGCTGCAGCTGCTCATGGTTCGATGAGTGGGTATACAACCTACCGCTTCCAAGAGGGCTGATCTTCTTTAGTCGTCGATAGGGAGTAAGACTTCGTAGATTCTCAGGGTCTTATTCTGGATGGTAAGTTACAAGATTCTCTTATTACGGAAATGTCAATGAAGTGTACTAGAATAAAATGAATTCTAGTATCATAGAACCCGATACCGCACTATATCTACCGTCCAACCGAGGTTATCCAAACATCGTGGTAGGAATAGGGTATCCCGAAACTTACGCAGACCTTATTAGAGATGGGAAACTTCTATTGGAAGGATCAGAAGGAAACATCGGTATTTACATACTCATCAATGTTAGCCCGCTAAAACCCGGAATAACAGTACGCCGACAGGGTCATCTCGAAGTTTGGAAGTATGACTTCGATCGGAAAGAAGCGCGACTATGGATAGATAGAGGTAATTCTTACACACCACTAAGATAGTTTCGTTATAGCCAGGTTCTACTGTGATACTAACAGTTCCAGGAAATTTATCTGCCCCCTGCCAGTCATGTAAACCAGAATATTCAATTGCCTTGGTCGGAGATTTTGTGTGAAAGTATATCACAATCATCCTACCGCATCCACACTACCTCAATTGATGCTGGATGATATTCGTGAGCGGACTCAATGGGGGACTAGGGATGGTGTTGTGTCAGGCTAGTGACTAGGCTTATATTCCGTTTCTCCATCATGTTTCAATCGTGGAATAAACCAACCCAATGACTCTATTCATACCACAAGCATACTGGGAAGGCTCAAATGTTGATTTTTTCGTTTCTTGTTTGTTTATTTGTTAACACAGAGATGAGTGTTGCTCAGACATCAATAGTAAGAGCCTTTATCAGTGCTTATCGATAAGGTGGGAAGATGGCGGTCAGAGCTGGCAGTAACCGAAGCTAATTAATTTTTCTGAAAAGTTATCCGGAGAGGACTGCCTGAACTTCAGCATACCAAGTCATCGAAAATCGGAGCAGCTTGGTTCCTTGATTATTTTCAAAATGGCGAAAAGAGGAGTTACAGAAGAAACTGAGAAGTCCAGGAAGAAGCTGAAAACCAAGTCCGGCAAAGTTGAGAAGCATGCCGAGGACAAGGACAAGAAGAAAAAGAAAGATAAAAACAACAAGAGTTCGTCTGAATCGGATACGCCAATTGCGTCGCAATCTGAAGTAGACGAGTTCATGAAGACAAACACGATAGAGATCTCGGATCCATTGAGCAACGAAAACCCTCCACGCCCAATTCTCTCGTTCGACCAACTTCCCGAACGTGATAATATTCTGTACGAACCACTCAAGAACTTTTCGGCACCCACGTCTGTCCAGTCCGCCACATGGCCATTACTATTTGCCGGAAGAGATGTGATAGGTATCGCAGAGACGGGCAGTGGGAAGACTTTGGCCTTTGGTCTACCATGCCTGAAGAACATGGTGGATTCCGAGAAGAAACTCAAGCCTTCACATCCAAGGGCTGTGATCCTGACCCCTACCCGAGAACTTGCGATGCAGATTTATGAACAACTGGAGGGGTATGCTCTCCGGGTCTCTGTCAAAGTTACTTGCATCTTTGGAGGAGTCAGAAAAGATGAGCAGAGGGAGGCATTGAAAAATACTGCCATCGTTGTTGCCACACCCGGTCGATTGAAGGACCTTGAATCGGAGGGCGCAATTAACCTGTCCAAAGTGAAGTATCTCGTCCTTGATGAAGCGGACAGGATGTTGGACAAGGGTTTTGAACAGGATATCAAAGACATCGTCTCTCCAATGCCTGTTTCCAGAAGGCAGACTGCTATGTTTACAGCTACGTGGCCCGTCGCTGTCAGGAATCTTGCCAACAGCTTCACGCAGGATCCGGTCATGGTCACCGTGGGCGGTAAACCGTCTGAAGATCCTCGCGCAAACACCCGTATCAAACAGGTTGTCGAGGTACTCGATCCGAGGGATAAAGAAAACAGACTTACTCAGATTCTCGGAAAGCTTACGAGAGAGTCTCCCCAAGGCAAGATCTTAGTCTTTTGCTTATATAAAAAAGAAGCTATGCGCATTGAAAGACTTATCCAGTCGAGAGGATACGCTGTTGCCGGTATTCACGGCGACCTCAGTCAGAGCGACCGATTCAAGAGTCTTGCGGCTTTCAAATCAGGCGATGTTACAATTCTAGTCGCTACGGACGTGGCTGCCAGAGGCCTTGATATTCCAGCAGTGAAGACCGTGGTCAACGTTACATTTCCGTTGACGATTGAGGATTATGTGCACCGTATAGGACGGTCAGTTGATCTTACGCATGAACCATTATATGATGGACACAGGGAACTAATCGTGTTGCAGAACTGGACGAGCTGGAGCCGATGGCCATGCTATTACCCTTTTCACAGAAACCGACAAGGCGCATTCAGGAGCGTGAGTGAACATTTATCTCTACAAACCTTTACAGCTTGAGTATCGACTCACCATATGCTTTTTAGGTTAATCAATGTTTTGAAGGCAGCAAAACAAGATGTTCCTGATTCCCTCTTCAAGTTCGGTACCACTGTCAAGAAGAAGCAGCACGATGCTTACGGTGCCTTCTTCAAGAATGTGGACGAGACCAAATCCGCGACCAAGATCACATTTGACGATTAGACGGCTTATGATGACATCTTTTTGCTTTTTCTTTTTAGATTCCTACTTTTCCATATGTACAAAAGTTCTCATCTACCCCGGATATGTTTCTTATACTGGTCCAATATGTAGTCTCGTTCTAGAAATAGACTAGTCTCCGGAGTTAGCATTCCAGTCCATTAGAGCTTCACATTCCCAAACATGCAGACTCACATCAACAATCCATATACAGTGGCAAATCCAAGCGTAGCCAATACGCCGTAGAAGCCGTCACCGAAGGGCTGGTAGTCAATCAATTTGCGACTAGTCGCGAGAACTAGTACGCTTAATGTCTGCGGATTTGCGCTGAAATCGGAGATTTTGAGTTGGGAATCATGTTGCTGCAGATAGCCTCGAATATAGACAAGACTCCAGATTGTCCTGACTGACATGTTAATAATGTTTGCCCAGACCAAACCAATTGCGCCGAGCTTTGCAACCGTAAGAAGCAAAAAGGAGGCCACCCCAAAGCACAACGTGAAAACAGTCATCCAAGCTGTTTGCTTCCGCATATCCGCAGGACTGATAGCCGCAGATACGAAGGCCTCCGTTATACCATTAAATGCTAGAAAAGGGATGTAACAGCAGTAAGCTGATAGCAGTTCTTGCACTTTCTCCGACTTCCAGCTTGAGCCCATGAGAAGTTTGAGGCCAATGGGAACCACGTCTGGGGCGATGCTCAAGGCCAGTACAGCTAGGATTGCGTATGCCCGTAACATATCAATCAAGTGTGATTTTGCAGCTTCGATCTGCGATATATGTTCTTGTTTGTCTCTGTTTACAGTGTTTAGCTGCTTGGACCATAGATTTCGACTGCTCTCTTCGATGGGTTGGAAGACCATGCGCGCAACAAGACCGCCGTAATTTGCAGCGAATGAATATATGCCTTGATCCCGTAGGGTCGAGAAAGTAGCAAGGATCATGGAATCCCCTTGCGTAAGGAAGTGTTTGACAATCAATTGAAGATATAAATTGGCACCTAGCCAGAGCAAAATACGTGAAAATCTGTCTGCAATATACTGTCCCGGATTTCTATATCCTAGGTTAGCATCGCCATACGCTTCGAAGATTCCGTAGCGTTCGGATATCTTACCTTGAATGAATTGGTATAAGCCAAAACGAATAGTTACGCTTCGGGGATGTTGCCAGCATTTTCCAGTAGTATCCACAGATCAGAGCAGCTGCGTATGCGATGTACCCCATCGCGAAAGGCAAGACTCCCGCATCCCAACCGCCTCTTGCAGCCCAGATAGCAATAGCATAAGTGGCTATGCTCCTTGCAAAAGCTGCGGTTGTCTCAACAACTGCTCTTTCCTTGTATAGCATTCGCTGCTGAACTACTGCAAAGAAGGGTTCTGTAGCCAGCTCTATCATACAGGATAAGCCGACAACACGTAGGCTTTCCTGGAAATAAGGGGTTGAGAGAACTTCTTGGGTTGTCCATGACTGATACCAGAAGGCGAAAAGCCCGGACAGTGGTAGACCAAGGGCTATTGCAATGTATGCCATATTGATGACTGTTTGCGATGATGTAGCATCATTTTGGCCATTTTTGAAGTCGGCTTTTCCAGTTGCCGCTAGTTCGTCCGTTTTCTGCTCATTAGAACCTGCAGAAGCACTTGAGACAGGTTGTCGTTGAATCGCAGCTCGCACACTCTCTCTGGAAAAGTATAGCACCGTGATGTAATAGAGTTCCAACTGAGTGGCAACACCAAAAACTTCTGGAGACAAGTGTCGTAGCACCAGCTGATTCGAAGCAAATGTGAGAAACCGTGATACCACTTGTATCAATATGAGAAAGCTCGTGCCATAGGCTAGGGATGCATGTAAAGCCTTTGGCGGTTGCTGGCTACTTTCGTCCATTGTGATGGTGGTTGTTGTCAGTAACAAGTTTAGTCTCGTTCAGGAATGCTGAATTATTCCATTCTGAACGCAGTATTTTCTATTTTTATAGTTCAGCTTTTTCCTGATTGCAATATGTGTATAGTTTGAAAGAGCGAGGTCTTGTTTCAAAGGTTGAAGGAATAGTTGAGCCTGAGGCCACGGTGACCCCTACTCCACAACTAGTAGCTAACTACCGCGCCCTCCTGCTAGGCTTATAATTTTACCACATTTCCCTCGTAATCCTTACACGGGAGGATCCTACCGGAACAGATAGGCTATATTTCTAGTATTGAGACTTTACGTGGAACGATATAGTCCCCAAGTTGGGGGCGATGTCAAGAAAGCTAGAGTTTGACCTCGCTGAGTCCTATCAAAAGACATACGCAGCAAGCAGCTTCAAAACCAGTCAATCGCTGTGCTCTTATTCATGTTGCGAAGCCTATTTATACGTGAAGCTCATTCGAAACATGCAAACATACTTTTTCTCCAATAAGAACGAAATCGTTCCAAACGTTGTACAAGTACAAATGGCTAGTATGTAAGTGTTCCAGGTGCCATTCCCACACGATTCCATAGAAGATCCAAGATATATATATCTCAGAACGGGGGCAGATAGAAAGGATAGCCACCGTTCTTGACCCTGAAAACACTGAGCAGGAAGCTGTATACCCCAAGAAGGACAACACCCCAGATGATAACAGCTAATTGCTGTGTCTTGACATCAGCCATGCGCGGAACTCTCAAGGCTAGCGCAATAACCGCGAAAGAAAGTATACCGTCTGAAAAAATCGTCAGAAATGTGACCTGAGTCGTCATGGCATCAGTAAACAAAGTACTTACAGATTGCTGCTACAATCTGGGTCTCCATGCCAAATTGATTCGAGAATCCGCCAGCAAAATAGGAGATTCCACCCCGTCCATCTCCCGCAACATATGGAACTTTGCGAATGTGGTTGAACATATGACCGCTTGTGAACAAAAGGATGGCAATCAAACTGATCGCTGCCCATACATTCCTGTTTTGGATGATAGGAATCAAATATGGCGAGGTTACTGTGAAGAGTGTAATTGCGCCAAGTAGTAGGGTGACCGCGGACACCAATCGCATGTAATTTATAGGACGCACCAACTGGGGTTTCGGGCCGTCGGGGAGGTGCCGGGTGATCCAGACGTACACCTGGTCAGCGGTAGTTGGACTGTGGTGAATATCGTCAGCAGAGGCTTTGAAAACACCCTCGTAACTGGACAATTTACCCAAATAAATCAAATCTTTGAGGAGCTCCATCGGCCGTTGCGCCAGGTCCCACAGTCGGGGGAAATAACAGTACTATCGGGGCGGTTTGCAACATTAACTGTAGATGATGAATAAGTAAAGTGCCAACAAAAGTTGGGAAATGGTTTATTGACAAACCTGTCTAAAGGTGTCTTTTCCTTTACTGAAATCTAAAGTGCCGAAGATCAAGTTGATATCACCAGATTGGCCCTTGTTCCAGCTGTTTGCAATGAGATCCCATTCAGGTTGGAACTCCCGGCAGAGGGCACAGCCAAAGCGCGCATCTACAGCTGTGAGCATGACGGCGACATGGTAGTCTCGCGGCGCGGATGTGAGCTCATTGTATATCGAATCGTCCAAATCGATTGGGGTCGATCGAGACAGGGACTGAAAGCGCTCTAGCTTTTTGCTTTTGGTAGCTGCTGCAGAAAGAGCAATTCCTGACGTGCACAGTAGTGCAGTGAAATAGGAAAGCAACCTCATCTTGAGGATGTTATGACTTCAATGCGAAAGTCAACATGCAACAATTGAGAGGTTGATGAGGGAGAGATGGTGAGGTGTCCAGTACGACCAGCTTGTCGTGTGGGGAAGGACCCTGCTAAGCCAAGACGGGCAAGGCCTGCTCTGTGTGTTTAGCTCCTAGCCTCCTACTCCAACGCGTCTTTACCAAGGTCGTCTAACATCCAGCTAAATTGACCCAATTCAACACGTTGGAAAGATGATCGCTTCTTGTCAAGAGGATGTTTGTCTCGCACGGGAAGTAGGTCCATCTAATTCTTGCATTTGGTCAGGGTACACCAGACTGACAATAATATTAGTATGAACTGTCCCTCAAAACTGCCCAGCTCGAGATCGCATACGAGAGAAGCCTTGCTCAACTGGACTCTCTTATAGCCTATGAGGAGACCCGTATTTCTCGCGTGGATTATATCATTTTCGAGGCCGATCATGAGTTGTTACGGATGAAATGCGAACAGTCAGAATATGATATCGATCAGCTACTTCAAGTCGAAACAGCACTGAAGCAGCAATTGCTACGCGCACAAGAGGATTTGGCGAATCTGCAACTGTCCACACTCGCCGATACTCGTGCGATACAGGATTTGAAGGTATATCAAATATCCTCAGAATCTTTACCTGGAAGAAGTACCACTAACCCGTTATCTAGAGCGATCTCACCTCAATGAAACGCAAGGTCTCCGATTACGAGAAAATGTCTGCCGATAAACTGAACCTTACGAAAGAAATTGCGCAAATGAAACAGGAATTCGAGCGCCTCCAACACCAGAACAAGTCTCATCAAAATCTAATCGCCGAGAAGTCTGCTTTGGAAAGACAGCTCAATTCCCTGGAGATTCAATTAAAGGAAGAAAGACGCGCGTTCGAGCGAAATAGAAGCATAGAAGACAAGAAGCAAAATTCGGAAGCACAGCAACAACTAAAAAGATTGCAAGCTGAACTGCAGAAGGAAACTGACGAAAGAAGCCGCCTGGAACAGGAGATTAACGAGCGGACAACTGCATGGGAGCAACAAAAGAAATCATTGGAAGAACGCCTTGAGAAGCTTAGGAAGCAGTTGCGATCAACAAAGGAAAAGCTGAAGGAATATCAAGAACAGCAGAATGATTCTCTGTTACCCCTCGAGCCTCAGCAAATTGACCGGCCTCGTCAAAGTGTCGCTAGTGACAGGAGCGCTTCACTCGGTCATTCTGGTGGTGCATTCAATCCACCTATGACAATTGCAACACCGGGGGCGGTCAAGATCGCTACAAAAACCCAAAGACCCTCTGCAGCGCTAGGAAAAAAATCAGGTTTTTCCATCACACCATATCTTAAGCGGAACCGAGATGCCGAAGACTTCTCAAGTAGCTCGGATGATGACTTAACACCACAAGCGGAACTGCGCAAAGCCAAAAAGCGGCCCAAAGCGTCTCCGAAAGGCAAGAAGACGGCACGTTTTGAAGAGAGCCAGCCCTACAGTCATGATAACGAGGATGACAATGATGGTGATGGTGAGGCCCAGAGGCGTACCAAAGCAAACAGTCGTGATAAATCAATTGCAGAAGATTCCATTCTCTCGCGACGAAACGATCAGGTGCCGTCAATGCTTGTGGGTGCATCAAATATAGGACCCTCTCTAGAAAGCAGGCAAGTCCATAGGAAACGGAAGGTCCTTGGCGGGCAGCGCGATATGACTTTGTTCGACGATGAGGACGAGCAATCCGAGAGACCGAAGCGGGTGGAGAGGCCAATTCCCAGTTTGAAGCCCAGCGCTAAACACCCACAAGCTCTAGGAGTTACTCGCCTGGCGTTCGGGGAGGCATCAACGTTCTCTCCGCTGAAGCGTGACAAGAGGGTTAATATAGTTTAATTCATGCCCTTTTAGCTGAATATATTGAAATTAAATACTTCCAGCGTGTTTTTTCACCTCTCCGTGGTAGGTATACATATTGTATGATAGAAGTTGGCTGCAACAAACCGCAATGGAGCTCGGGGAGCTTAGAGCATCTCCGCAGCTAAGCTCAACCCGCTCCAACTTTCTCCAAGACCATCCTTTTCCATTAGAAAACATAGAATTATCTTTTCACATAATACTTTTATACTCTTTTTCAGTCGTCAATCACATGAATTCCAAACGACCATCCATCCTGTCAATATGGCAGGCAGTTCTATCGTGTCAGCGATGCAGGTCCAATCCGCTTTTTCTATCGTTAAATTTTAAACGATTCTCCTCGTCCAAACGATGGCAATCACGACAACGCAGCGATATATTCACGAGAGAAGCTGTGGTCAGAGGTCTCAAGAGTAGAGCAGCTTTCAAATTATTACAGGTGAAACTTTGCTGCTGGATTACCCTTCCCCCCAAGTGGTAAAGCTTGCTGATGTAGTCATCCCAATAGATCGATGAACAATATCGGATATTCCGGAGGGGGCAAACGGTTGTTGATCTCGTTAGTTTCCTTTAGTTGCTGCTAATGGTCATTAGCTATCGTCTTCTTGGTTTTGACAAGTATCTATACAGGGATATGCACCGGGCTCATGGTCCCAGGTAAGTATTGATAAAAATATGTAGTCATTGCTCCTTTCAGAAGCTCCTACTAATTCTAACTACGAATTATAGGTTGCAGTTACTCGGACGAAACCTAATGGTCGAGTCCTAGGCGTCGATATCATACCTGCCCAGCCTCCGAAAGGCGTATCGACTATCCAAGGCAATTTCCTTTCCCCAGACATCCAAGAATATGTTCTGGAATTCGTACGAGATCCCAATCGCGGCCGACCACGATTACCCACTCTGTCACCAGAAGAACCCGGCCGTATTGCAGCAGACGATGATAGTACAGTTTTAGAAGCTTTAAGTGAGAGCGCGGTTACAGCTAGTGAAAAGGGCAAAGAAGAAAATGGATTACAAAAAGAACGAACTGTCGATGTTGTTCTAAGCGACATGTCTGCACCCTGGGCTCAAGTTAAAGGATTCTCAAATAGGAGCCTTAGTAACCCGTATCGCAGGATGATGAACACCAGTGGAATAAGTTTTCGGGATCACGCCGGAAGTATGGTAAGTGTCTTGGATTATTCAATACTTGAGATGTGGCTATATGAGACTAAATATGATCATTTCAGGATCTGTGCCGAGCAGCGTTGCAGTTTAGCTTCAATGTCCTGAAGCCTGGTGGTCATTTCGTATGCAAATTCTACCAAGGACCGGAAGACAAAGTCTTCGAAAAACAACTCAAGGCGTTGTTCGAGAAGGTACATAGATTGAAGCCGGAATCGTCCCGTAGTGTATGATAAACCTTGTCTCTCGATCATTGCAAGAGATGATCTTCGTCTTCTCCTGATGCTGACAATCAATAATAGGAGTCACGGGAAGCCTTTTTTGTTGCTATGACTAGAAAGCCACATGCCTCAAGATCAGATGTCCTCGATATTGAATGATTTGGGGCACTTTTTCATACTGTTGTTCAGGAAAAGTTCCCTAGACTCGGGTGCTTATCTACTCTTCAATGAGTCCCTCAGAGTCATCCTCCCACTCGATACCAGCGACATTCTCCTCGGCTTTACGTTGTACCTGCGGCGGAGTCAGTATCGGTACAAAATAACCAGTAACTGGGTCGAATTCTACCTCTTTCAGGCCACTCAATTCCTCAACATAGTCTTTGTCGTTGATTGCTTTCTGCACAAAATCCCAACCATCTTTCCTGTATGCATCCACGATTCTATCCGAACATGCGCTACAGCAGTCATAGCTTCTTCCCGTGACTGGGATATTGGAGAATGTAGAGAGAAATCCTCTAATTTGGTGTGGGACGAGGCCGAGAGGATGATCTCCTCGCTCAGCATTTTGGGTGATTGGAGCAGGAGCAGCAGCTCCGTCAGGATGCTGCAAAATGGAAACAAATAGCTCTACTAAGAGGGCGGATGCAATTGCGGAGACACCCGGTCTAGTGACTGTGCATTGCTGATCGAGCGTTTGGTCTTTCATGGACTTGGGGCGTTATCAGCCACGGTGATTCAGAAGAGGGAGATGAAAGAACTTACATCCATTGGTGCAACCACATCATTGCAGAAGTAACACCCAAGCTCCGCTTCCCTAGCTGACTGAAGTTTCACTCCATGTCTCATCGCGACAAAAGTGTCAAAGCCCAAGGCGGCATTCATGACGATCTTTCCTAATGACTTGCCGATGACAGTTGGCAACCAACGAGATTCCCGGCTATCCATGAGGAGGAAGATTGCATCGTGTTCCTCGATCAACTTACGAAGGAGCTCAAATTCATTGGCAGCCTGAGCAACATCGGTAACAGGGTGACCAGGCATTAAGACAGAAAACACATGGCCTTCTGACACTACCCCTGGATATATCTCTTTCAAGGCCGCTGCAGCCCGTGTGGCTTTCTTTGCTCCCCCGCCTAGACAGTCATTGAAATCAAATAATGGTTGTCTAACTGGGTTAGAAAATGAAACCGAACCGTTGTCCACAAAAGTAATCTTTCGTACACCCCAGCCCTGTAGATATTCTTAGCTTCTCTAGGATGCAACTTATTCTACTCACGATGCACAGATGAGCCACTTACCATCAAATTGCGTGCAACATAACTACCTAGGGTTCCAGCGCCAAGTAAAAGACAGCTTGTTGCTTTAACTTTATCAAGATCAAGGCCAGGACTAATTCGCCATTTTATCAACTTCAAATTCAGGTCCACTGCTTGGTCGGCCAATCTTTTGGAAACGGAACCATGTCAGCGTCTCACACGAACAAAGGAAATAGATACGAGGGATTGACTTGGCTTAGACTTTATTTACCTGCGAGGGTCCATGTATGCTGTTAAGTCTGAAATTCGGCCAGCGAGTTTCCCAGAGCTATTTCTTTCCCATCCGGTAATCTTAGGCATTTCACCAAATGCTAAGTCGTTGGCAGCTTTGGACTCCTGAGTGGTATCCAACTGCAGCATAACGGCCAGACTCCGTCCAAGTTCCCGCTTAGATGGAATATCTCGATAGAGTAAAATTTGGGCTTTCTGAATACCCCAACGGCGGTGTAAAAGTGCCAGAAGGTTGCGCAGCATCCAACCGGGAGCGTTAGGATAGTTTGACGGATCAGCGAAAGCAAAGTACTGATCTTCTGGTTCTGATCCATCAAAGAAGCCAGTCTCATAACCTGCTAATGAAGATACTCTCCATTCCGGAGCAGCCACGCCGCCGGAAGTTGCATTTGTGTGCTCCTTTCGAGCCAGGAAAAACCCATGTTGCCGTACATCATTCTGGGTCTTCCAGGCTTCTACTCTATCAACCAAGACTGAGCACTCGGCATCAGATAGTCTTCTGGAGCCAGGGATCGATGGGGCACTAGCATTATCACTTGAGCTGCTCCCATTTGCAGGAACCCAGTGTGGCTGAGAAGTGATTGCAGGAAATGCGAACCAGTACTGAAACTTGTATTTCTTCAGATCCGCGAATGAAAGGATGAGAAATGACGACAAGATTGACGGATTCGACAGTATCGAGCCACCTATGGCATCCCAAATCTATAACCAAGTGTCAGCGATGTTGTCAGGAGGATCATAGCCATCTGCATAGAACTCTTACGGCTCTTCCAGCTTGTTGAAGTATCCCAATCTTGTCTGCATTTCTGTATTCTTCTACCGTGTTGAAGTTCTTGATTATTCCCTCAGCTCTGTAGTAGCCTGGTGGGACGCTATTTCAGGTAAAACAGTCGTGCATTAGCCATCAATATTTCTATCAACATCCGGATGAGTGACTTACTGGTCACTGTTGAGTGCGTTCCCCAAGATCTGCATGCGACATGACGCAGCAGGGGCGTCTGATGGGCGGACCTCATAGAGCCCTTGTACTCTTCTCGCAGAGTCATCTAGCTTGTCATGATTGATCTTCTGGGATGCAAGGGATGTGTAGAAGGGAAGCTCGATGTCTGAAACAAATGGGGTGTATTGCATCTTGTAGTATATAACGAAACTCAGCACAAGGCTTTGACTTTATAGTCAGTACTAAACTGAAGAGCGTATCCAGCTAGGATATCCTCACGGTGCTTTATGACAAATCGACCCTTTGAGGATTTTAGTACTATCCGGCAGTGACGTCTGTGTATGATGTCTGTAGTTATATGTTATGACACCAAGAGTCATTAGTATAGCAGTATCAGATCAAGAATGAACCGGAATAAATAGATGCGATGAAGCTGCTTGATGAAGAAGGCAGACACTGGCAGTAGAGGAAGTCACGAGTCCAACCCAGCGGATGACCTCCCACGTGAATGAATGACTCGAGATCAGTGATAGATGACTTTCTTCGGCCACATGCACAGCTTATAGGATTTTAGGGGCGGTTTCGTCAGTTGAGAAGTCGCTCAGCAGATATCACGATGGTTGTTGTCGATATGATGAGGCCTGAGGCAGATGTTTATTTTATGGTGGGGTAAACTTAGTTATCCTACTACGCCGCTGCCCTATTTATTTTGTCTCCTAACAATTTCAACACATAGCTCTGCATTGCCATTCTTCAGATCACCCAGGGCGAATATGCTGATCGGCATATGCGGTGGTAAGTACAAGGATATCTCAAGGCTATCAAGCTGTATGCAATCCCCCCGCGTGGATGCTGACTCCATCCAGGCATATGCGCAGGGAAGCATGCCATCGCCGAGTATCTTATCCGCGAACAAGGGTTTGAGCTCCTCCAATTAGCAAATAAAAACCCCTTACACATATCGAACGAACCGAGGGATCCAGTACGCCTAGAAGACTCCGAAAGGGAGAGCTTGCCGAGTCGCAAAGACGAATTCGTTTTCGATACCGTCGATTCACTACTCGAATTTGTTACAAAACGATGGACAGGTCGATGGGTGACGACGGATATCTGGGATCACACAACCCTAGACAGACTTTTACAAAGGCCATTCTTCTTGCTTGTGAGCGTAGATGCTCCTGTCAGCTTGAGATGCCAACGCTTTCGAGATAGGTGGGTTGTGAATTATTGTCGGCAACAAATAGCTGTGTCCGTCTCACAGGTTCAACAGGTGTTCGCGCCAAAAAATAAATCCACCGGATCTCGAAGAATTTGTTATGTGGAATGACCGGCATCTATACGATAGGGAGATCGGTCGAGCGTATCTTACAGATAGAGCACAGGTTCGTCTATTCAATGCTTCGTCATCATTAGAAGAGTTACACGCAGCTCTGAAGAATCTGGATCTGTCGAACAACGAGCGCCTACGGCCGACGTGGGATCAGTACTTCATGCAACTGGCTTCTCTTGCCGCGCAGAGAAGTAATTGCATGAAGCGACGAGTGGGATGTGTCATTGTCCGAGACAAGCGCGTTATCAGCACCGGATACAACGGGACTCCACGCAATATAACGAACTGCAACGAGGGAGGATGTAGGTGGTCTTTTTCTTCATTCTTCTCAGATCATCGCCAGATCCTTACATTATAGGTCCCCGGTGTAATCGCGGCGAGGGCGGCGGCGCCGGCCTGTCGACATGCCTGTGTATCCACGCCGAAGAGAACGCTCTTCTAGAGGCCGGAAGGGAGAGGATAAGGGAAGGCGCGATATTATATTGCGATACGTGCGATCTCTGAGTATCTAGCTGGTTGCCGGCCTGAGACTAACTGTCCAGATAGGTGTCCTTGTCTGACATGCACTGTCAAAATAGCGCAAGTCGGGATTTCCGAAGTCGTGTACTCGAAGAGTTACAATATGGATAAAGAGGTAGGCATTCTCGGAATCCTCGACAGTGCTCTATATGCTCACGGGTTTACGTAGAGCGCGGCAATTCTCAGCGCTGCTGGTGTCAAGCTTCGCCAATTTTCTCCGGTGAGATTCCAGAGAGTGTGTGCTGTGAGATCGAACTGACCATTAGCAGCCTCCAAACGGACTAACATATCTCCAACACCCTGAGCACTCTAAGACACTGCCAATACTGTAAAATATGCGACGAGCTAGTGGTTTGTCCTGTTGCGCCATTGTAGCTTGTTGCCATTTCGAGGAGATGAGAGGCATAGACAAATCTCTTCAAAAGAATGAAAAACAAATCACATCTTTCATGAAGACTTCCTGCTTAAAGCGTAGACATACGATAAACATAAGAAACAGTCTTGAATATAAATTCCTGGCGTTGCCCCTCCCTGTGATAGGCGGCAATCTTCCGGAGACTGTGGTGGGTCTTCATAAAATATTCACGGAAGTACCAAAGTAAGATTTTCGGTATGTCTTTCAAATCATTGCAGAATTTTGAGGTTTTGCATACCAACGAAGACCAGTCGCCGTACTATCATACTCAGTCTGCGTGTGCTTGTTCACAGGTCGATTGGCTGATCAACGACTTTCCGATTTCGGCATCCGCTCTCATCAAAAAGTCTGTATAACGGGAGGGTAAATTCTGTATGACTCACCAATTCTGAGAGCTACGTGCTATAAAATATACGCTTGTGCTGACCAGGCAAAATCAAATTGTCTGAAGTTCACCATCTCAACAGTCGAATTGAACAAAAGTGTTCGTCAGCCATGCCTTCTGTGCATCTGTTGGACTATGTTGCGGGGAATGTCAGGTCCTTGGTGAACGCAATCAACAAAGTCGGCTACGACGTTGAATGGATTAAGTTCCCAGAAGAAGTTCGCAATGCAGAAGTGAGTATTGATCTTATAAGACGTGGTCTTTAAATAGACGATACTTACAATCATCACAGATTTTGATCTTACCTGGAGTGGGACATTTTGGACATTGTCTTTCCCAACTTTCGTCAGGTGGCTTTTTAGAACCCATTAAAGAGCACATTGACTCTGGAAAGCGTTTTATGGGTATCTGTGTTGGTCTCCAAGCATTGTTTGAAGGCTCAGAAGAAGATCCTCAGATCCCCGGCCTGGGCGTAATCCCCTCGCGCCTACGCAAATTTGACGACACAAGCAAGAGTGTACCACATATTGGATGGAACTCCGCGAAAACCAGCAACAGTGAGGGCTCAGAAGCCTCCAACATTTACGGACTGCGTGAAGAGAGCAAATACTATTACGTTCATTCTTATGCTGCGCCATATGAACCCGGTGTTCTAGAGAAGCAGGGCTGGTCAGTAGCCACCGCTCACTATGGAGAGGAAAAATTTATCGGCGCCATAGCACGTGGCAATGTCTTTGCGACACAGTTCCACCCGGAAAAGAGTGGACAAGCTGGATTGCGCACTATCCGTGCATTTTTGGATGGGGAGCTTTCACAGAAACAGGAGCCATCTTTACCTTCTAGTGCACGGAGAGATGGATTGACTCGGAGGGTTATAGCTTGTCTCGATGTACGCACAAATGACCAAGGCGACCTGGTCGTCACGAAGGGAGACCAATACGACGTCCGGGAAAAGAGCGGTGTTTCTTCTGGTGGCCAAGTGAGGAATTTGGGAAAACCAGTTGATATGGCCAGGAAGTACTACGAGCAAGGAGCAGACGAGGTCACATTTCTTAACATAACATCCTTTCGCAACTGCCCTCTTCAAGACTTGCCGATGCTGGAGATTTTACGGCGTACATCGGAGACTGTGTTTGTGCCTCTGACAATTGGAGGAGGCATCCGAGAGATGACAGACACTGATGGAACTCAAATATCGGCCTTGGACGTTGCAAAGATGTATTTCCAGTCCGGTGCTGATAAAGTAAGTATAGGATCTGATGCCGTAATTGCCGCGGAAGAATATTATCAGAACGGGAAGAAATTATCAGGAAAGACTGCAATAGAGCAGATTTCTAAGGCATACGGAAATCAGGCAGTTGTTGTTAGCGTCGACCCCAAACGTGTCTACGTAAGTGGGCCGGGAGCAACAAATCATCACACAATCAAAACGAGGTTCCCAGATGCCAATGGACAGGACACGTGTTGGTATCAGTGCACGATCAAAGGAGGCAGAGAGATGCGCGACCTCGATGTTCGACAACTCGTGCAAGCAGTTGAAGCCATGGGCGCTGGCGAGATCCTTTTGAACTGCATCGACAAGGACGGAAGCAATAGTGGTTTTGACCTGGAATTAATTCAAGACGTTAAGGATGCTATCAAGATCCCAGTTATTGCTTCTAGCGGAGCCGGAAAGCCAGCCCATTTTGAGGAAGTTTTTGCAAATACCACAACAGATGCGGCACTAGGAGCTGGAATGGTGAGTTATCAGCGCACACCTCTTCTTGAATCGCAAAACAGACTCTGACATGCATTGCAGTTTCATCGGGGAGAGTTCACCGTAGATGATGTTAAGAATCATCTAGTGGAAAAAGGATTTTTGGTCCGAAGACCTGAAAAAGAATAATTGAAGCAGATATGACAATTGAAAATATGATTAGATTAAATGGAATACATACCTCTACAAAGACTTGAATAGATAGATGTTCGTCCTGAGGCAACAAGGCATCGCCGGCACCGGGCCGAGTATATGACTAGTCCAAATGTGGATAATCACGTGACAATTAGTAATCGCCGCTGCCAAACTGTTCTCAACTCACTCTTTCTTTCCGTTTCCCATCCACCAACACACATATCGCCATCTTCCCTTTTTCTTCTCCCCTTTCCACCTTCCAACCCCACTATCAACTAATCCAGTTCTTCGTATTTCTTTTCATTTCACTCAGGTTTTCGTCTAGACGATCAGTTTGAACAAGCTTGACAAGTTCGATCTTGTCCCTATTTGCACACAATTTGCCACCTTGCTTTTCTGTCTCTTATCTTCGCGACCCCATTCCGTTCCAGTTCTGTTGACTTGACCAGCCCTTAATCGAAGTCGTTCGGGTTTCTCTGAGTTCATTGGGACTGTACGTTTCAGTTCGGAAGAGGAAAGAAAAACAAGGCTTGTGGGGGGGCTCTTGAGTGTTGTTTGTCTGTCGCTCCTTGTGTGTACACAGGAAATTTTCACCCCTAAATGTAATCCAGTTTCTGTTCTCTTGATCTCAAACCACATACAAACAGAAAATGTGTCAAAATTTGTGAAGAAAAAGTCAAGAAAAAGAAGAACATCATACTTTGTCGATAGATAACAAGACCGTCTATTTGACATCCTCCAACTTTTCTTTCTAATAATCTTACATGCAAAGTTCTGCAAGCAGGATCGTTCTCGACCGATTTATCACTGACAAGCTACGGTTCGACAGTCAGCGACCGTCTGTACTTGCATTTTGCTCCTTTTCTTTCCTGATTACGGGGCTCTGTATTGCCGTCCAGCTGTTCTCGAGAAACGAATTATACGGCAATTGAAGCGAAAGGAACGCCATGACGTCGTCTGTGCATTTCAAGTTCAAGTCGCAAAAGGAACCTTCGAGGGTGACCTTCGACGGTACTGGAATTTCGGTTTTTGAACTCAAGCGTGAAATAATCAGCCAGAATAGACTGGGAGATGGCACTGATTTTGAGCTGTCTATCTATAATGAAGACACCGGAGAAGGTTCGTTTCTACTGCTCTTGCTATTAAATAATCAACCATCAACTGAATGACTGTAGAATATGATGATGATACCGCTATAATCCCCCGGTCTACCTCCGTCATAGCACGTCGACTACCGGCAGCTCGGCCTGGGAAAGGAGGCGCCGCACGTTACGTATCCGGTAAAATGCCTTTAACGGCACGGGGTCCTACGCGCCTAGATCTCCCTCCCTCGGGTCGGAGCACTTCCGGTACCCCTGCCGGTCAAAGTTCGATACCAGGATTAGAAAGTGCGCAGACTGAGGATGAGAAGATTGATGCTTTGTTCAACCTTCAGGCAAGTCAGTGGAAGGAACAACAACAGGAAATGGCAAAGTAGGTCTTTCATCTCTAGTTCCCACAAGGAAAACAAGTTGAAGCTAACATTATTCGCAGTGCAACACCAGTCGCATTTGGGAGGGGTCGTGGTAAACCTTTGAATGTCCCTGATCACCCGCCACCACCGGGCTACCTCTGTTACCGATGCAGAGAGAAAGGACATTGGATACAAGCCTGCCCAACAAATAATGACCCGAAGTTTGATGGCAAGTATCGAGTGAAGAGATCGACTGGCATTCCTCGATCACTGCAAACAAAGATAGAGAAGTCGGCGGCTATGGCCATGGATGGGTCTGCTGAGGATTTGAAGAATTCTGGTATTATGGTTAATGCCGATGGCGATTTTGTTATTGCTCAGCCAGACAAGGCTGCATGGGAGTTGTATCAGGAGAAGGCCAAAGCATCTGCTGCTGCCGCTGCGGAAGCCGCCGCTGCTGAAGGAAGCAAAGAACTTCAAGCTAGAGGATTAGAATGTCCAATTGACAAGCGCATGTTTCTGGAACCGACCAAGACACCTTGCTGCAATCGAACGTATTGCAACGACTGTATTACCAATGCTCTCATTGAAAGTGATTTTGTTTGTCCTGGTTGTTCAACGGAAAGTGTATTATTGGACAACTTAACAGCTGATGACGAAGCCGTGACTAAAATCAAAGCGTTCGAGGCAGAAAAGGCTGAGGAAAAGAAAGAGAAGGAAAAGCAAGAGGAGAATAAAGAAACTCATCTTGAGAATGGAGAGGAAGCAAAATCTAGGAGTACTTCTGTGAAGCCTGCCACTACAACAACAGCAGCGGTATCCTCGCCAAGTGTTCAAAGCGTCACAAGCACAAATCAGAGCAAGAAAAGAGCTGCAGAAGACGAGGCCGAAGTCGAACCTACTGAAAGACCTGATTCATCAGCATCTTTTAAGAAGCAGAAAGCCGACGACAGTAAGCAATCGGATGATCAACAGGAAGACACACAAACGCAAGACGTCGCATCCCAGAATAGCGATAACAACAATATGCCTAATAATATGATGCCATTCCCAATGAACCCTCAGATGCCGTTTCCGAATGCAGTGTTTCCAGGTATGCCGCCGATGCCTTTCGACAACAATTTCATGCCGGGAGCAATGAACCCTATGATGAACCCCATGATGATGCCCATGAATAACGGATTTCAAAACCAAGGGTTCAACGGGTGGAACCAGATGAACCCCATGGGCGGAAATAATTTCCCTTTTCCGGTCAACGGAATGTTTGGGGACGGCTCCATGAATAACTACGGACAGTTTAACAATAATTTCAATCCAATGCAAATGGGACAAGGCGGTCAATACATGTCACAACAACAGTCAGGATATCAACAGGGTATGGGAATGAACAACTTTACGAATCAACAACGGAATAACTACAGCAACTACAACAAAGCGGCCGGTGGCAGAGACGACGATAGTCCATATTTCCGTCAACCTGTGAACCCTCAACGTCACCAGGCCAGGCAGCGTCGAATACGTCCTAGTGATTACCGTGAGCTGTAACAGAATCCATGTACAATTATCACTATCATCCTTTTCTTTTCTTCCACTTTCCTTCATACCGGTATCCTTACGCCGATCAACCCACTTGCTCAGTGACATGAGTCAACTACCCTGACCAAATCATTTACAACATGTATGAGCGTTGGCGTTTCAATCGTGTTATGACATGGGCATTGGCCCAATGTGCCACGAGGGCTTATTGTACATACATGGTTTTCATTTAGGCATAGCGAGCTTGCATATGTAGCTGAGAAAATAAAACCTGAATTGAAAAGCAATATCTTGATATTGAACGTGTAAACATGCGGTTGAACCTTTCCCGGATTGGAGCCCAAGAAAAGATCAGGGTTTAACAAGCTGAAGACTCGAAGCATATCTCTAGATTAGGTAGGAATCTGAATTAGCTGAAACATCTGGAGTAGGATAAAGACTATTCTATAAGTAGACTAGCGTATTCGGCAAGCAGACACGTGAGTCAACGGCTCCAATCGATAAGTCGAACCTTCTACAACCAATCTCTCTTCTCATCTTTGCTGCAGTTACATATCTCACGTCTTTCTCTCTCCAATCATCAACACACCAGACTTCACAATTCCACCTTTGCATCTCATTCATAATGGAGGGCGAACTTATGAGCGACAGTAGTAATTACTCTAGTCAACACCAACTATCCAGTCATGGCCAGGTCAGTATCTTGGCTAGCTGCTACATGGCCTCGACTGTCTCAGAGACCATAAAGGGTTTCCACTACTGCACTCCCAACGGGGCAGGTATGTCAATCGCCAGATGGAGTAACCTTCGCATTATCAAAGACTAACGATAAATGACAGGAGCACAGTGGTATGCCTGAGGTCCCTTCGGGGCCTGATTCACGCATGACAAGTCCTCCCCATAACATCTCGAACACCGCCAATACGTGGCCGAGACACAAGGTACCGCGAAATAGTATTGACAATATTAATCGAGGGGAGGCAGCGCAAACCATCACGGAAGAGTGTGAGAGACTCTTCTGCGACACGTTGTCCGTCATGTTCCTTGGTGAGAGGAACCGCAGACACCGAACGTCGCTAGCGATGGGTGCGTTTCAGCAAAATGTCCGGCCGGATAATCGGAAATTATCACGTCAACGAGACATCGAAGCTTATCTTGAACTATGGGATTATGCCAATGATGCCATTTACCGAGGGTTCGTGGTCGATGGATGTGGTCAAAGAACTTTGTTCGTCTTTCTTGACAGCCAGGCGACCAGCCATGGCATCAAAACTGCGTAAGTTTGTTTTCTAGACCTTTTGAGTGGTTCGGTCGGCTAACATATATGGTTAAGTCTGCTTTCACTTTTCGAACTAGCAGAACTGGAAGCCTTTGAATGCAGCCAAATTATGGCCTGTGTACCCCGCTCAGACGATCCTGTGGGTAGTGGTATTGTACGGAATCTAGGATGGTGTGGATTCTCCTTGACAAGTCTCGACTCTTGGATGCCGCCGGGTAATGGCGGAATGGCACTAAGCGACAGATGGCTGTTCCTTGCTGCTCAGGTGTAAGACCACAGCTGGAAAGACGTCCAGAGATTTTTTTTTCTTTCATTATGTCCTTTAGTTCGGTGGCTTTAATTATCCTGCGAGCTTACTTGAGAAAGCTCAAAAGTTTTCAATTCCGCGAATGCGGTGGAGTATGCATATATAAAGCGGCATGCATCATTTCCAGTCAAGCCATTCTACTTTTTCATACCTTTATTCTAAAGGGATTTTCTTTGTTTGCTTTGAAACATGGGTCGTTTCTCAATTATGTTATCCTTAACAGAGAATTACATTCCGAATGAAATTGGAGAATTGCTCATCAGGAGACCATGTGACTGATTAGATAAGACATGACGTCGACCAACAGGATTTCCGCGTCTGACTTGTTCCCCTCACTACTTCTTCACTTACTTGTTATATATTCCACTGTCCTCGACTCGGAATATGGGGAGGACTGTGAATTTTGAAATGCTACAGAAATAAGCTGCGCGTGGTTGAAGCAGGCTTGTTCAAGTGTCCAGAGACTACAACAAATCACAGACGCAGCATTGCTCCAGGTATTGGTATTGCATGACATGTTGCCCCAAGTCAGACGGTGAATGATATTGTGGACAAGCCATCTTCGGTCAATTTCAACTTGCTCGCCACCAGAATAATTCCAGATGCCTCTCATTTCACTTCCAGCATTTCCCACTTTCCTCCTACCATCTCCGTCATTCCCTAGACGTCAGCGCAAGGCATCCGAAGACTACAATATAACGGAAAATGCAATAGAAGATGCAAGCCCCGCGTCCTCCTCGGAGAATAGTAAAAGAGCTTTGAGGTCGTCACATTTGTCATACATTCGATGCGCTCGCTGTGGCGCCGATATCTGTCACACATCTCAAATAATCAGTAAGGGCTTCACAGGCCGTCATGGTCGTGCCTATCTCGTCTCACCGACGGACTCTGCCTCATTCTTGACTGGGAAACATCGAACGAACAATACCGCTATATTGCCAAACACCATCACTCAAAGAGCTGTTCCTCGCCAATTAGTCACCGGTGCTCACACAGTTGCTGACATCAATTGTATGATTTGCGGCAGCGTGCTAGGATGGAAATACATAGCAGCCGAGGAAGAAGCGCAACGGTACAAAGTCGGTAAATACATAATCGAGACGAAACGGATTACGACTTCATCATGCTGGGAGTTTCAAGATGATTTTCCTTCGCCTACACCGTCGGATGGTGGTTCAGCTTCTCCCTTATCGATGATGAGGAGGTCTTCTTCTGCTGGTACTACTGCTGGCGGTGGTTCCGGTATTGATTCGTCTTCGGATCTAGAATTTGATAGCCAGGATGAAGATGAGTGTGAGGATCTCTTTGCTGGTGTCTGGAGTCCTGGACTGGCTAGACGACGAAGGAATCGCAAATTGAGTCGAAAGTTATGATATTTATGATGCGAGTTAAGCAATATAATCGTCGGGAACGATGAAATCATCTAAAGGGCTGTGCTCTTATACACACGTTACGATTACGATATCAGACGATGCAGCTACTTGCTTTATTCGATACCCCGGTAATGATAATGCTAATGACGTTATATTTCTTGTTTGTAGCATTTTTGGAGTACTTTTTGTGTTTATTATTCTCCTCGTTATAGGCTATTCTCAATCATATATCATTGTCAATAAGCGCTTTCTCCTGAGCTCGCTGTAATATCCGTAAAACCCAAGAGCGTAAATCATCGAAACCAAGTCACATTCCTCTATCGTACAATAATCGGCGTCATTAATCCATACAATAAACAACTGCATCATTAAGTGGAATCCTCTATCTTTGCCCTTTTCGACCCTTCCGGCTCTTCGATCGAGTTATGTTGCCTTTTCGCGCCTGAAGAGCTTGAATGTGGCTTCTTTCGGACAAGTGACGAGAGATCATTTGCTTGCTTGCTGAGTTGGTCGAGTGTAGCTGCCTTTTCGGCTGCAGATTTTCCAACGAGTTGTCCAAGGACACCGTTCATGGCTTCGATCGCATTAGCGTCCTCACTGGAGGCATTGCCGGATTCAGGTGGTCGGCGTAGGTCGAGTAACTGAAACAACAAATAAAATCAGGTTCAAATGTCCCATGAAAGAAAAAAAAAGTATGTAAACTTACGCGTTGTTCCATGTCTGCCACAATCTCTTTAACATTTGCAATTCGCCTCTTGGCTGCGTTGATCTTGTCTTCCCCTTCGATTTCCCCCGCCTCTAGTTTCTTCTCTTCTTGTGATAGCCTCGACTTGCAGCTGTAAATCGCGCTTTGCATGTGTTTTGCACTCTCTTCTCGCATAGCCGGATCTACTACAGCGGGTTTCTCCTCATCTTCTCCGTCGGTTTGACTGACCGATGCGAATTCCAAGGCAAGAGAGAGTTTATAATGACATTCTGAGACTGACGGATCTTCAAATGCATAGAGCACTTCTTTGAGCTCGAGGGCAGCTCTGAGGTCTGACACGGCGTTGGCAAAACTCTCTCCTTCCAACGAAATTTCTGCTTGTAAATCGTAGATATCTGCAAGCCGTTCTTGTATTTCTCTGACCTCTGGGGGAATGCCTGATGATTTGCCTTTGTCATTTGATTCTTGTTCCATGTCTTCCAGTTTCTTCAACAGAAGGACTCGAGCGAGATCCAGTACCTCAAAGGCGTTCGCAAAGTCGTCTTCCTCTTCTTCTTCTTCCTCCTGTGCACCTTCGCCTTCCTCCTCGGAATCTGAATCTGCAAAGTTCTCATCGCCCGTGAACTGGAAAAGCTGATTTGCCGGCTCCGTGGGCTTTTTGGAATCAAGGGACCCTTGCGCCACGGAACTCGAGATCGCAGCTTGAATAAGTCCACCTGAGGAGGTTTCTTTCGATCTCTTTGTCGTAGGTTCGGGATGCTGAGATGTTTCTCCACCAGCAATCTTCGATCCTAGGACATCGCTCTTGCTTACACCAACGTTGTAAAGGGACTTTCCATACGCGTAGAGCAGGTCAGCGTTTTCAACTGACATTTCCCCATTGATCTGAGCTTGGATCTCGGTAGCTTGTGAATATAGTTCTGCTGCAGCATTGTAATCCTTGACAGCGTCCTTTGCAGCTGCGCGAGTAACGAGATCTTCGAGACGAGCTTGAAGCTCCGCGGGTTGGGGTTCGGCGGTTGTCATGGTGATATCTAGGCGTTGCGCATGCGTTTGGACGAAATATGAGAAATCAAGACTTAATCCACTTGCACTACAGTATGATGTGACGTTGAAGCAGGCGATGAAGAAGGAAAAAGAAGTCTAATCACTCAGTCGCATGAAGTCGAAAGTATGGAGGTGGATCGCAAATCAGGATTAGCGCGGGTGCTTAATTGACAACGTGCCCCACCTCCTGGACGCGTCTCCAACGCGTCTCGCCGTGTCGGATGCTTGAAGATTTAGCTTCACATGAAGAGAATGCAAGCAATTATACCGTGACATTGGAGCTGCTCTTATCTCATAGTCGCATGAGAACCGGCTCACTGTTTATCTGCCGTTGACTTCTTCCCTGTGATAGCAAAATGGACAAGGCACAGACTCCCAAGATGCCACTTCCAATACGGGGAGCAGATATAATACCCTCATCATCACCAGCCTTTGGTACTCCAGCACGACCAGTCCGCACCGGCAATAGACCGAACACGGTTCAAGCAAAATCATCTGTTCTACCTGTCCTCCTCCCACCAGCGCTTCTCCGACCTCTAGCCTTCCGAACTTTTACAAGGAAACATGACTTGACGATTTCTTCAAATACGCTTCAGACCCTTGCCATTTTTATTGGAAAGAATTGTGGATCAAGGTGGCGCGAAGATGGACTTGCGGAACGGTTACTCGACGAAGTAGCCAAATTATGGCGCAAGAATGGTGGCGGAGTGATTGTAGAAGAAGGAAACGGCGCATCCATCAAGGCTATCCTTCAAATGGTGGAAGGAAACATGACCAATGGCAAGGTTGTACCTGGGAAATCAGCGGATCAAGAAGATCGTCGTGGAAGTCTTACTGGGCCCGCGAGTACCGATGAAAGAGTAAATAGCAATGCGGAAGAAGAAGACGAGAGCCTTTCTACCGATCCCAGACGTTGGATGAAAGTCATCGACGCTTATGATCAGCCTCGATTGACTTATAACCCGAACAAGAAACACTTTGAGACGTCAATAAACAAACCGTCATTCTTTCCGGATCCTTCTCATCAGATTACGTTTTATAGGGATAGGTATAACCTCATATATCAGAGGCTACTACGTAACGAGTCATTTCAAGCGTCATCCCTATTGAACAACAATAAACAAACCTATAAAATCACGCCAATCGCGAATCTAATAGGAAGAGGCGGGTCGCGACATATGTGTTTGGGGCTTCTATCTGTCTCTCCGGCTGGGGAACTGTCACTCACTGACCTGACAGGGAGTATCATGCTGGATTTATCGGAAACTGTACCCATTCCAAGAGGGAATGGTGCGTGGTTCTGTCCGGGGATGATGGTTCTTGTTGAAGGCATATACGAAGAAGAGGAGATAGTGAAAGGTTCCGTATTGGGTGGTAATAGTGGGATTGGAGGTGCAATAGGAGGAAAACTGATGGGAATCACTATTGCTGGACCACCCTGTGAAAAACGAGAAGTGACTCTCGGTATGAACAGTATCGACTCAAAGGGAGATATCGGAACTAGCGGTGGATTCGGCTGGGTTGATTTTCTCGGCGTTGGAAGTGAACGTGCTCAGGGAGCGCGAATGAGGAAAATGGAACATAAAAGTCTACGCCAGGTAGCAGGAACCGAAGGTCAAAGGAATGGACGATGCAATATTGTCATCCTGGGAGAAATTCATTTGGATAATACGAGGACTCTTGACGCTCTCAAGAGCGTCTTTGGTATATACAACGCTTTGCCCTTTGAAGAATTGCCATTGGCATTCGTAATGATTGGTAACTTCATCGGAAAAGTCGGATTTGGGCAGAGCAATGGGGGAAACAGTATTGAGTACAAGGAATGCTTCGACAGTCTTGCTTCGGTGTTATCCGACTTCTCAGCACTTTTGAGCCATACGACTTTCATATTTGTCCCTGGTGATAATGATCCTTGGGCTTCCACATTTACAGTCGGAGCGTCCAGCGCCATTCCTCGAAAAGGAGTTCCTGAACTGTTCACATCGAGAGTGAAACGTGCCTTCACTGCAGCAAACAATGATGCTGGAAATTCCGCGTCAAAATCTACGCCAGGAGAGGCTATTTGGACATCAAATCCCTCACGAATTTCACTATTTGGTCCGGTTCACGAAATTGTCGTCTACCGGGATGATATCTCTGGACGACTAAGGCGTAACAGCATCCGTTTCTGCAACACCGGGGATAATGACTTGCAAGAACCCCAGATATCAGACGGTGCTACTCAAGAAAATGATGAAAACATGATAATCGACAATGACGATAATGACAACAACAAGGCTCAAAAAAATAGCCCCATACCAACAAAACAACCACCTCCATCATACCTCGCCGCCCAAAAGCTATCCAAAACCATCCTCGACCAAGGCACCCTTTCACCATTCCCCATAACCTCCAAACCCGTTCTATGGGACTATGCAAGTTCCATCCAACTCTACCCCTTACCCACAGCCCTGATCCTGGCCGATAGCGAAGTAGCAGCTTTCTCGGTGTCGTATGAAGGATGCAATGTTCTTAATCCGGGGAGATTTGTGCCGGAGGACTATAAACGGGAGCCGGTGACGTGGGTTGAGTATGATGTTTTGAGGAAGAGGGGGAAGGTTAGGCAGCAGAGGATCTGATGAATGCTTCATTAGAGATTCAGATGTGGAGGGCTTTGGGATAGACATTTCAATAATGCTTTGAGCGTTTCGATTGACTCCCGTATTGTATATTATCAAGGTAGTAACGCAGTAGACATGATAATGAACCAGTCTATTTACACACTCCCCTCTAATAATCATTAACATTGAAAGAAATGATTCCGCCAACATAATAAGGAATATGTTCAATATGAAAAATGATACAATTTTGTATAAGATATCAAAACTAAAGGAATGGCCTAGCAGAAAGGGGGCAATTAATACAAAAACTATGTCAGCCCTCCCAAAAGTAAACAAAAGACATCAAAATGTATAGAAGCAAGTAGATGAAGTTTCAGAACGCTTGCTAAACAAAATGCAAGAGTTTAAGAAGTTCCTTTTGAATAAAATCCTTGAAATGCAATCACATTGCAACTCCAAAATCGCGCGGTTTTTGTTCACGTAATTGCAATTCTTCTGGGCTGGGACTGCGACTGTGACTTCGCAAGTGTGTTGCTTGATCTAGTTGATGGCCACGGTAGTACGTGTCTTGACTGATCAGATTATCCGTGCTTCTCTCACGGATATGGCCACCTTTCGTGGGCATGTCTCGATATGGTTCGTATGGACCGGTCATGTTGTACTTGTTTTCTTCATACGTGTCACCTCGGGATCGACCGTCGAACAGAAGCGAGTTTCGCGCATCTAGGGCGGTCAAGTTGTCCATATCATCATCTCCTTTGTCTAGAGTTAGTTCCATCTTCAAACCCGCTGAGTTGAGAGGTAGCATACCTTTACGTTCACGTAATCTGATGTGAGGATTTTTCCTGATACAGGCAATCAAAGCATTGACAGCAATGAGAATTGCCAGAATAACCGTGAGAGTCGATTGTACAGCAATGAGGACGATGCCAGTAATGGTTTTTGTCGTCTGTGCAATGCCGAGTTCCTCTACGAAAACCAAAATGCATACCACCGAAAGAACTCGCACTGTCTGGATGGTGATGTTGATCCATTGGCTCGACTTGGCCACATACGGTCGGCTCCAGAGCAAGAGAATCAACATCAGAGCCTCGACGATTAACTGGCCACCGGATTGGACAAGCCCATGACCGTTACCGCCAGCAATGATGCATCCCTTGACAAACGAATAGACGATAGCGGGGATGAAGATCCACCAGTATGATCGCTTGTAGCTGTCATAGAACAGGCTGTAGCGTCTCCAGATTTCCTTGTCTTCGTACATGACAGAGTTGTCGCCTTGAGCTTTCTTGTACCGACGGGCAAGGATCCAAATGCGAATAGAAAATCCAGCTAGAAGGGCTGTGAACGCGGCCAAAGTTAGAGCAGCCAGTAACTTCGCAGCCCAAGAATCGCCACGGGTGAATTGGTAGACGCAATAAAGAACCCAGATACCGTAGACGATAAGAACCAAGTTGGTGATTGTTCGACCGAGGAGTCCCCAATAATGCTTTCGGAATTCAACCAGACTCTGTGGGAATGAGCCATACAAAGCCCATGTCTCCAGAATGACTTTGACAAGCAAGATGCCCACAGCAATGGCAGCAATCACAATGGCAAAGAATAACAGCACAGTCATAAAGATGTTTGACGATGGAATGTAGAGCTGCTCAGACCAAGCTTGTATACCCTTGAGTTCAGCAACGATGCCGCCAGAGGCAGTTGAATTGCTTGTGGATGTAACGTTGTCCGAAGTCGTGACATCTCTAACAAATAATGCAGTTCGCCCTAGGAGATCGGTAAAGACGCGCCTTGTGAGGCTTGAATTGGACGAACCATCGTCAAAAGTAAGAGTGGCATTTCTGAGATATTGGTAGTTGTTTTCGGTGAGGTTGCCGCCGGTCATGTTTCGGAAGCTGTCGATGGAGGTCTGCATGTCGTCCCAAGGAATAAGACCTGCAGAAAAAGCAAAATTGGAAGTAAAAGTACGATAGACAGTAGGATATTGGACGCTGAGCATGCCGCTTGTTGCGAGGGTCTGGAACCAGCCCATAACCTCACCAAAGCTGGGACTAGATGTGGCCGCGCCGGGGTGACCGGCGGCGCCCAACGCTGTAAGTCCACTTAGAGCCAGAGAAGCAGCAGCAATGCCGACGGCAACGTAGGAGACAGCAGGAATCTGGAGGGTCTTGCCGTTGGTCACCTCTGACTCGATACAGGCCACCTCCTCATTAGTATCAGCAGCCTTGAGCTCCAATCTTGCCTGTCCTTCTAGATCTGGAACGTTGAACGCTATTGACGGGATCATGCTGGCGTATTCTTGAGGAATCGTCATATTACCGCTGGCAGAGAAGGAACGCGCTGGCAGAGGACAAAGCTCTGGAACTGAAGAAGCTGGATCACACGGATTGAAATCTTTTTCATAGACTTGCTTCCCGTAGGCATACACAACTAGTGCGACAGTGACGTTCTGTACCTTGTCACTCGAACCAGCGACATCGAACACCACATTATTGCTGCTCTGGTCATATTCGACGTTGAAGTTGTTTACCGTGACGGTCGCGTTTGTCGAGCAGAGAGAATAGCCGTTGGTCTTGAGGATGTTGTCAGCCAACACATGTGCCGGGCTGAGCAAGACGACGGCTGCAGCCGTGAACCAGCCAAGCTGCATGATGGATGAAGGTGATTGAGGGGGTTTGTAGGGAACCGAAGGGACAGGATCAACCCGTCGACACGCGAAGGAGCGTGTGGATTAGAACGAGGCGTATATTCAAAGAACCGAGGTATCCAAGAGTAAGATTTGAACGATAACAGCGATCGACCGGTCACCAGATAGACATGGTCAAAGAAAATCGTGATCCTATTCCAGGAAGATGAAGCGAGAGAATCAGGGTAAGCAGTCGGATACAGGCAAAAACCTGAGAGATGATATGCAACGAATGAGTAACGGGGAATTGGATGGATGAACGAGTGATGGTATGGATGATGTGTTGTATGTTGAAGGTGAATGAGAGTTAGAGAAGAGAGAAAAGAAGAATACCCCGTATTGAACCAGCTATTTTTGTTACAGCCATATTTTGTGGCTGAGTGGCGCCCGTCTCGGGAGGGGCCACGGCGGAACCAGCCTGTGTTTACCAATGGAAGTAAGCCTGGACTGTCGCTGATCGCCCAGCGCCAAAATTGTCTCAGATTGCAGGCTGAAGCCCCCATCGATTGGTGCTGTTCGCCTTACCGTGATATGCACCGATTCGTCAGGTCTCATATATAAACAACCCTATGCAAGTTTTGCAAGAGACTCGAAGTAGACGATAGACATCTCCGTAATTACCCATTAATATGGCTAGGGATCATTTCATAAATCCAAAATTAGGCGCTATACTGCCCCTGGTTCTAGCGCCGTATCAGATAATCGATGGCGTCTCCCAGGGACACCAAGTGGCCCCAGTGGCGCGCGCTATGCCAAAGTCTAACCAGTCCCTCCTTTCTGCTCACATTCTGCTCACATTCTGCTCCCTGGATACTGCTCAGAATGTTGATGTTGATCCAGTCTAGAACGATGCATCAGGGATGATCTTGCAGATGCGGCTCTATCTGGTTGACGATGAGAGATAGTTTTCTGTTGATCTTTGTGTAGCTTGACAATGCGTAATTGTGTGGTAGAGAGCAAAGAAATCTATTCAAAGGATAACTCCGATATTACCAACTCTTTGTCGTCGACTGTTTCATAATCTCAAAGTCAAGGAGATTCAACGTGCCGAAAACTTCAAAAGCAGACAGAGACAGAGTGGCCGCATATAAGACCCGGCTAATCAAAATCTTCTGCAGAGCGACGATTTTTTTGACAAGAGTGGATAAATCCTTTTAAGGCGAAGAACAATGACTCAGTCATCCTTTGCGGACGCGACTGGCCTCGACATTACCGGTCATCGCTGATCTAAATGGAGCTGCTTTCCAAGCGTTCATCCTTGTTCGGGCAACACGCTCTCTGGCCACTAAGTATGTAATAGTCACCAGGCAAGGCCGTAATCACTTCTTCGCACCCTTTTCTTGCATCTCTCGCATTGCAGCACGAGCACTCCGGCTGCCACCCAGCTTCGGTCCACGTGGTGGCTCGGGTTTAGCAACTCTCTTATTAGTAGTAGTTGTGGTGGTGCGGTTCCTCTGCGTTCGGCGCCTGCTCTGAATAGCTTCCATGAAATCGCGCCGGAATTGTTCTGCTATTCGATCATCCGCGGCTTGATCATCATAAGTTGGTGATTGTTCCGGCTCGTCATATACGTCCACTGAAGCATGCTCATTAGCGTCGCCGTCATGAACAGTCGGATGTCCGTTAGGAACTTACATTTACTCTCCCGTAAAACTTCTTCCACGAGTCTATCCCGTTCAATATCTTTGCTATTGCGTCTCCGATTCCTCCATGGTTTGCCGTTTTGCCCAAGCGACGGAGATTCGTCAACTGCATCTGGGGATTCCCCGGCCATACGCCGTGTTGCTGCTTCAGTGCGAGCGATATTCTGCAGCTTTGTCTCCTGACCAAGATCAATCTCATGCAGTTTCCCTAGCGTAGCTGGTTCACGTTTCGAAAATGCATTGCTGAACGAGTCGTTCGCATTTGACTTATCAAGGCGACCGGCCGTTGAGGTTTCCCTTTCTGCTTGAGTGAGATTTTGTCGCCTAGCCATTTCTGATTCTATATATTCCATCCTTATATTGTTAGTCTCGACAGTATAAACTTTGCCAATATCAAAGAAAGCAAGAGGACGTACATATGCTTGTCAACGTCAACTTTCTGCCCTGTATGAGCTGTAAAGCGATCAAGCTTCGCCTTGATGATATCTGCTTCTGTAGGCTCTGCCGTCAAAGCAAGGCTATCATTCTTCTCAACTGGCTGTGCGCTGCTTGTCGAAAACTCGATGCCACCTCTTCGCATGCGCTGAAACTTTCGCGGTCGCATAATCTTCGACAACACCTCGTTTTCGTTGCCCTCATCTTGTAGCTCTCCATTATAAGCTTGCCCCTCTTCCGATGCTGCTCTGTATTCAGTCGCTGCGTTGTCTGGTGTCGATACGTCATCGGACTCGTCGAGTCTTTTGCGCAGAAACTTATGCCGCTTGACTGGGCGAAAAGAGACAATCGGAACTTCTGAAATTTCGGTGTCCATATCGTGTACAATATTCGTCAGAGATGGTTGTCGATAAACGTCAACTTGAATAGGTGGCGTTGAGAATGAGGAAATTGTAGGTGGTTATGCGCCGCCGCCAATGGTTGGTTGACGCGGACGGCCCAATACGGTCTTTAAGCAAGAAGCTTCCGCACTTCTTCTCATCGAACAACCCACGACGGATACCTTTGGTCGCGACTTGTCTGCAAACCAGAGCGACCACAATTCATACGACCGCAGATTTACATTCGATATTACCATGCGACTGCTTTACTAGCTTGAGGAAAGTGTCACCGCAGTCATCACACCGCTGTTAGAGCTAGGAGCAGTCTTTTTTACTATGAACCCTTCTATTCCACCCTCAACCGCAGAATATGGCGGAGGTGAGTCTCGCCTCAATGCCCTCGTGTAGCAGAGAACATGAGGATACTAACACAATTCTCCAGATGAGGTCTCCGCCATTGTGTTAGACCCCGGCTACTCGACTACACGCGCTGGCTTTGCTGGTGAAGATGCGCCCAAATCAGTTGTTCCTACCTGCTATGGCAAATACCCCGAGTCCGACAAATACATCTTTGGAGACGACATCTTTGTGACCCCCCGTCCCGGCGTTTCGATACACAACCCGTTCGGTAGGGATGGCGTTGTAGAGGATTGGGACATGGCTCAGAGACTCTGGGAGTACTCATTCAAATCGCGATTGACGGGAGCCAAGCCAGGAAATCCAATGTACAATGGCTTGAATGATGTTCCTGCCGAGGGCGAACCGCCTTCTGACGAGATGGAGGGAGTGGAAACCGAAGAGAAACCTCTCGCAGATAGCCCTCTCTTGATGACGGAATGTGGTTGGAATCCTACAAAAGCACGAGAGAAGACCATTGAGATTGCTATGGAGAACTGGGGAACTCCTGCATACTATCTTGCGAAGAACGGTGTGCTTGCAGCGTGAGTACACAATGCCTGTCAATCTTGGTTTTTAACGTCATACTAATATTCTGCTGGTCATCAGTTTCGCGGCCGGTAAAGCCTCCGCCCTTGTTGTCGATATTGGCGCTTCAAACATCTCCATAACACCCGTCCACGATGGAATGGTTCTCAAACGTGGCGTTCAACATTCGCCTCTCGGAGGAGATTACATCTCTTCCCAAATCCGAGTCCTTTTCAAATCCAACACCCCCCAGCCGATCACGATCACCCCTCATTATCTGATTTCTTCCAAGACGGCAGTCGAAGCTGGCCAACCCGCTCAAGCAATCTACAAGACTTTCCCAGCCGACAAGGCCCCCGACGCGTCGTATAGGAAACTATTGGAAGAGCGAACCCTAACCGAATTCAAAGAATGTGTCGTGCAAGTTTGGCCCGGACCAAACAAACTATCTTCCGTCGGACCCAACGGCGTTTTAAACGAAGACATCGCAAAGAACAGTCCTGGCCGATCATTTGAATTCCCCGATGGCTACAACCAATCCTTCGGTGCAGAACGGTACCGCGTCACAGAATCCCTCTTCGATGCAAAAGCCTACATCCCAGATCCCGAATCCGAATTCCCAGCCCCAACACCAGCACAAACAATTCCGGAGCTTATCAAGAACTCCCTCAATGGAGTCGACGTCGATATCAGACCTCATCTACTACAAAATGTCGTCGTGACCGGCGCATCCAGTCTTTTGTACGGATTTAACGACCGTCTGAACCATGAATTGATGCAATTGTACCCTAGTCCCAGGGTCAGGATATCAGCTCCCGGAAACACGGCGGAAAGACGATTTGGTTCCTGGATTGGAGGCAGTATTCTGGCTAGTTTGGGCACTTTTCATCAAATGTGGATTTCGAAGAAGGAGTATGATGAGCATGGCCCTAATATTGTTGAGAAGCGATGCAGATAATGTATCCTATGGTTCCATTGCGAAGATGCTTTTTTGTTGGTGGTTTTGGTGATCCCTCCGAGAGGAAGAATAAAAGGAAAAGTATTCTGTAGGGATAAATCATGACTGGAGTTTTATTTAATGTATCACTTTAAGGTTGCGTTTGAATGAGAGTTCTGAATCGACCATCAAGTTAGGATCTTTGACCTGTACCGCCTGAATTTTTTTTCTATTCACTACCTATCAAGTCCTGCTAGTGTCTATATAGAATGTATAGAAAAGGATGGCGCGAGGCTATCCCCGGCTTCTAGAAGGTCTATCGTCAATATCATCCGCAGTCGTAACCTCTCTAAGCGAGGTCGTTGAGACCCCTTTTCGAACTCTGGGTGTCGTCGGTGTTCGAGGGAAGAGACTCAGATTTCCATGTTGAGGCCTCACGAGTGTTGTGGTGACCGTGATGGGGGATGTACTTCGCAAATCGCCACTGCCTTTCGCTCTCACACCGGCAGATCCCTTCCGCTCGTGTTGGTTGGCAGTAGAAGGTTTTCTAGAAGTGCTATTTGCTGGAGTAGGATTTTCACCTACACTTCCGTATACACTTGATTGGCCTGTTCCAGGTCTCATGTTTGCGTTCGCTCCTGCTGAAGAAGAGAATGTCGTTAGGTTATAGTGAGTCATTGGGGATATTGGAGGCGTATCCACATTTCTAGACGATCCATCTTTATGCGTAGCCCATGTTGGATTGAATGACGGTTTAGGAGCGGTTGATCCATGTGTATTACTCGAATGAGATGATGACATGGATCTCGACGGTATTTCAGATGTACCAGAGTTCAGGGAAGCCTCTTCTGCGCCCTTTTTCGACGACATAAAGGAAAAGACGGTAGAAGGTTTGGGGCGTAGCCAGTTGCGATTCTGATAAATCACATGGTTGTTGTCTGAATTGGAGGACTTGGAAAATTTAGGTTTGGGAAGGGGCGGTACATGTAGATTCTTTGCTCTAAATCTGCGATTCTTCGTTGAATACGTCGAAGCGACCTCGGCTGCCATGTCGTCGTCTGGACCGAATCTCTCCTTAGATCCCATCATGGAATCTGTCATGACGGGTAAAGCGGTTATTTCATGTTCATCACCTCTGTTGACTATATCCTTTGTATCCTCATGTAGTGACTTCAGATCTTCTCCTTCATCACTTGGTGACTGATCCTCCAGGAGTGACAGGTAGAACAAGTGAGGAAATTCTGGTGCTGCATTCTTCCTGGATGCCAAAGTATGGCCCTCGGACCGTTCCCCTGGTAAATGAGACCAACTCATTTGTTTGTCATGAGTCTCAGAATCAATCCACGACCGGTCCGTTCGTTTTGACTGCTTTTTACCAGCCTCTATCTTGGATTCCGTTTCATTCTCCTTCTTCTTGATGCTACTTCTGGAGAAGGTCGAAACACTGAATATCTTGGAAGTCGACTTTTGAAATTGGTTAATCTTAGAACCGAATCTGGCCCGCGGTTTGTTTGATTCCTTTTCTGGCGCAGTAGACCGTTCTGTAACTTTGGAAGATGACGTCTTCGGTCGCTGTTGCTCTTCTTTTCGCTCTTTTCGAAGGGTATTCTTTATTTGACTTCCTGACATTACCGGTTCTGTGGCAGATCGTTGTGGTTTCGTATGAGCAGTATTCGAACGAGCATAATAGCGATCTGACTTGTTGCCCAGGTCTTTCTTCTTTTCCACCGGTTTTGGTTGATGATCAGGTCGAAGCATAGAAGCAGTATTCATTGGCGCGGGATTTCCTTGGACAGACGTTGCCTTGATTAATGTGGGTGGAGTAAAACCTGCAACGATAGGAACCACCTGAGCCTCAGCTGTATAAGACTCCGCATCTGCTGGCGTTTGTGGAAGCGGGCTGTCCTTGATTGTGGCCAGTCTATTCGAATTGTTTTGGATATGTTTTGGATGGCGATGGCCACGAGATACCGGTGTTGTTGCTACCTGTCACATCGTCAGTCACGAATTCATGGAACAATATACGGCAGATGATCTCACTATGCTATTCCTGTTCGCTATGTCGACAAGCCGTTGTATCTCGAACGCGACATGATGCAACTTGGATAAGCTTATAGCGAGCTTGTAGGCCTTGTGTTTTAGCCGTCTAAGTTCTCGCTTCCAACCTTCGACATTGCCAACCATAGCGAGGTAAATCGCACCCAGCCTATGCGTCTGATCATCCCTATCATCCTTCAAGTCAAGGAGATACATGCCCAGGATCCCAACAGATTGTAAGCCCTTCTCTATATCTTTAGAATGATCTTCCATAGCGAGTGCAGTGCGCCGAATTATATGCTCAATCCGTTCGTGGTCTTTGACAACTCTCTGTCGGAATGCATCGTCCGTTAGCATATCGTTAAACACTGGGATATTCCCGAGCGGCAGGCGCAAGTGACTCAAACGCTCTTCAATATCGCTGAAAGCAAGAGCTATATCTTCTGTCGCGTTCTCAATAAAGCCATCGAGCTCGACTACATGAACCTGCAGAATCTTGATCACAGCCGACTCTGACTTGGCCAAGCCTTTTGCAAGCAGATGAATACCGAAAACTATCTGAGACACCAACTTCCAGAGCGGATGGTACCTGGCGGCCGATATTTAAGTGACAAGGTTATAACCGTTGTGAAACGGGATATGTGCTTACTTCTCATTTGGTCGCTGCCTCCATCTTCTCCCGCACAGACGTTCGTAAACGGAAGCCGTCAACACCTGGTTTCGCCTAGCATGCGCGTCTATGAAAACTTGCCAATTGTTGTGTGACCCAACTGTTGATTCAGCTATGGACTCCTCAAAAGGGCCCTGCAGTTGAGCGATTGGGTGAGTCGGCGCATCGTTGAGCAATGGATCGTCGATCTGGGTTTCCTGGATCTTCTGCTGAGCCCTCGCCGTCTGCTCTAGCCATTCTTCCTCACTCGGTATTACCGGCATCCTGCTCGCACCTCGTGTTTCGCTCACGTTATCATCGACCGCGGAGTAGGCATCCGAGGATACCAATCCTTCTTAATGCCCGATCCAAACACAATGTCATCGATTGCCACTTTCAAAAATTTGTGAATAAAAATATATCGTTGTGAATCGTTGCGAACGTAAAACAAGAGGAATTCGTCTGCGTAAATAATCCGTTGAAGATTCAATGTAACTTTCGGGGTAAATATATGAATAATGACCGCCGCCTACTACGGGTTAGCGTCACGTCTATCACTGCTTTCTGAGTTTCAATGCACGTGGAGACTCACCTGTATGCTATTTATACAAATCACAAATTGACCGCCGTAAAATTTGACACGTCCACTGTTTATTGGAGATGGACAGATTCTCAATTTTGACTCTCCGGATCCAAGGATAGGGGTCGCATGAATTCTTCTAAGAGTCAAAGTTCATTTATATGAACAAATACAAATTAATTTGGATCCTCCGTTCGTCTGCGCTAGCCACTATTATGCCGTGCCATGGTGGAGTTTAGGGCCGGGTAGTACGGTCAAGTAGCCTGTCTTGACTTTATCGATCTTCAATTGAACGAGTGTTTGAAACGAGTCGCCAGTGACCCGGACGGTAACGGCGGGCTGGCTAGCAAGCCGCCCATTGCTTTGGCATAGCTTAGTTTGTGTCTGTATAGAATATCGTTATTGGCCAAGTTGCCAAGTTCTCCAGGCACACAGACCCCGCAGATAGCGCAGGTACCTGAGCAATGTGATTGACTGTCGGTGGCCAAGGAAAGTGAACTCGCCTGCAGGAGCACTCCGTACATACGCAGATAGGAAAAGAGGTCGTCGTATTGCGTGCCCGCAGCGAGATTTAACTTGTGTCCATTGTTTGAGGTCTGACCGTGCGTGTGCAGGTTCAAGGTTGTTGTATCTCGACATTGTGGAGACCATATACTGTATCTAGGCAGTGGATCGACCAGCCGAGTCTAGAGGTGAGGCGAAAGTTGCTCCGGAGCAATGAGAGAATGATAAGGTGAAGGCTGCCTCAGTGGGAGATGAAGACGATATCGAGAGTATTGTTCAAGTTTGTAAGATATAGAAGAAACAATAAGAAATAAGACGTGGTGATATGGCAGGGATGGCACCTGCCACCGCTGCTCCTCCTTTGTTCCTGATTTCTCAGGCAGCATTGCGGAGTTTGCACTTTACGCGCCCGACGCGGTTAGCTCGTTCTCGACGCGTCGTCCAGCTCAGCCTCATCCAGTGCTCGTAGCTTACTCCGTACAACTTCATCTGATCAAGCAGATGGACTTTGAGGACATCACATGAAAGGTACTCGACTTCCTGCTTTACTCCTCCATCACAACCAGACCACATTCTACCTCATTGGCTTCCCGAGAAGATACAACCGCTACCTATCGTGCGATATGTCACTCAAGCGAAGTGCCAACACTAAGGTTTCGCCAGGAGCTGCCAAAAAACCAAAGCCTAATGGTAGTATTACGTCGTTCTTCGGCGCTCCTAAACCCAAGGAGGGTGCCATTACACCAAATGCCAGCGCTCCACCACCTCCGACTGTTCGCTTCAACAAGGAGAAATGGGTATCCTCGTTGACGGCAGAGCAAAAAGAGTTATTGCAATTGGAGATTGACACCCTTGACGAAAGCTGGCTGGCTCACCTGAAAGACGAGATTGTCTCTCCCGAGTTCCTTGACTTGAAACGATTCCTCAAAAAGGAGAAGGAGTCGAAAGCAACAATTTTTCCTCCAGAGCAAGATATTTATTCTTGGTAGGACTTTTCTTCACATATCTCTGGCTATTTATGCATTGATACTGATACTTTGCAGGTCACGACATACGCCGTTGCATACCGTGAAAGCCGTTATCCTCGGACAAGACCCTTATCACAATTACAACCAAGCCCACGGTCTTTGCTTTTCCGTTCGACCACCCACCAAAGCCCCCCCTTCTCTGAAAAACATATACATCGGAATAAAAAACGATTATCCATCTTTTCAAGCGCCTACAGATAATGGTGGCCTATTAACTCTATGGGCAGAACGTGGCGTACTTATGCTGAATACCTGTCTAACTGTTCGAGCCCACAATGCAAACAGTCACGCAAATCGAGGATGGGAACGATTCACGCAGAAAGCCATTGATACAGTGGCTCGTGTCCGTACTCGAGGTGTAGTTTTTCTGGCTTGGGGATCATTCGCTGCGAAACGAGTAGCAGCTGTCAATAAACAGAGACACTGTGTCTTGCAGTCTGTTCATCCAAGTCCTTACAGTGCTCGCAATGGATTTGTGCGATACCACTTCCTCTCTTGTTTTCCGTTGAATTAGCTGACAGTTCTCTAGTTCACAAACGGACATTTCAAAAAATGTAATGAATGGCTTGCCGAGAGATACGGAGCAGATGCCATGATCGACTGGAGCTTGGATCCAAAGAATCCTATTTTCGCTCAGGAGCCTGTACCGACGACAGTCGAAGACAAGAAGGGCGGACCTCTTGCCACTAGCAAGCTTGCTAACAAAGGTCCCCTCGACAACGTTTCTACCAAAGGTGACGAAGAGGATGTTAAAATAGCGAAAACGACAGCAGTTACAGTAACAGCTACGACTGAAGCCGATCCTTTTTGTGACGAAGACGACCTGGATGCTCTTGAAGCACTCGCAGCAGCAGAAGGTGACTTCTCTGCTAATAATACCAAGGTTATGAGCAATGAGGGAGTAGTTGTGGAAGAGGTCGAAAAGGCTGATTCTTAAAACACGAACACATACTATTGACGTCAATATCTGTTGGAAACAATCATTTCGTATAACTCTTTTCTCCGGTGGATTGTGGGATATGTACAAATATTATACCAAATGCGCTACCGTTTCTTTATCTTCTTGCGTGGTATTGGTGTTTAGGCCAGTCTTAGAGTTTCATAGGTATAATTCGAAAACATTGAATGAGACAATAAAGCTAAATGTATAGAGCAAGTCTGATCTTGTTACAGTAGACGGTCCCGAAGTCGTATCAAAAATGGAATGATTTCAAGCTCTCCATTAAATAACTATACTAACCCAATCCCGCATACAGCATAATACCCGTTCCTACCGAAGATGACACAAAAGATGTAATGAGAAAAAGAGAAGCTGATAAAGAGCATAGCATTCAAAACTCAAAAATACAATTTCCATTCAGATTATCTTGTTTGTTTGTTTTTCATATTTTATTCATTTATAGCTCGTCATGTTCAGGAGCAGCTTCCTCAGTGGCTTCAGGAGCAGCAGATCCAGTCTCGGATGCAGCAGCGGCTTCAGCAGCGGAAGATGCAGAAGCAGAGGCAGAGGCGGAAGCAGAAGATGCAGCAGCAGAGGAAGCAGCGGCTTCTTCATTGGACTTGGCAATGTCGGAGACGGCATCAACTTGATGCTTGCCCTTAGTCTTGATGAATTCAGCAAGGTCCTCGACGGTCCGAGAACCAGAGTATTCGACAGGTGCGTCCTTGGAGCCAGCTGGATAGAGCTTGATGGTAGGGAAACCCTGAATAGCGTCGGGAATGTCGTTGGCAGTAGCATCGATCTTGGCAACAGTCACCTTGGAAGCATATTCGGGGTTCTCAGCGTAGATTGAGGCAAGTTGCTCATACTTGGGAGCCAAACTAGGAAGATTGAATGTTAGTAAATGGTGTTATCAATTTAGGTCCTTGGAAGACTTACGCCTTGCAGTGTCCGCACCACGGTGCGTAGAACTCGAGAAGAACGTCCTTGTCGCTGTCGATAACGAGCTCTTGATAAGTGTGGGCAACGACCACGGTGACAGGTCCTTCTTGAGTCTCGGGAATAGGCTCGGACTTGATGCTAGGGCTAACCTTGCCATCAAGAACGTCCTGAATGAACTCGCCAATTTCTTTAGCTTTGATATCCTTAGTCTGATCCCAAGGAAACTTGGTGTTCTTCTCTGGGTCCTGGATAGCGAAGGCAGGGAAAATAGAAGGGTCCAAGTTGAGGTTTCCGGCATGGGCACCGAATGCCTTGGCATCGATGGTGGCGATGTTGATCTTTCCACGGTGCTGTTCAGCAATGGGACGGAACTCTTCTGCGAACTGTTCCCTTTCTTCAGGGGTCTCGGCGAAGATGTAAGCGAGGGGAATTCCGGCCTTCATGTATTTGGCATAGGTCTCGGGTCCAACTTCGCCAACTAAGGGTGTGCTGGCGGTAGTGATCCAGGCAAGAATGCTTTCAGAGTCGAATGGGCCGGTGTAAACAGCCTTCTTTTCATCAAAGTCCTTGTACAAAACGATAGAGGGCTGCTCGACTTCTTCAGCCTTGGCAACTGCCGCATCATCACTGGCACCAAAGAGGAAGTTATCGCGCTCAGACTCCGCTAAGCTGTTGAAAACCTCATTGACCTTCTTGCTATCCGAGGGGATATATCCAACAATAACGATCTTATCTAGGGTCTTGAATTCTTCGAGGTTGGCCTCAGTTACGGGGGAGACGGCGGGGAGAGATTGTTTAATCATATAAGAAACGAGGCTATACGAAAGACTTGATTAGTATGATAGGAACTTCATGTAATTCCAAGTTGATGACTCACGCTCCACTCTTACGAGCACCTGGGTATGGCTTAACGTTGTCTTCACCACGGAAGATCTTTAGGGTAGGGTAACCTTCCACACCATACTCTTTGCACAGCTCAGCCTCAGCGGTACAATCAACCTTGACCAAGGCAATGTTCTTCTCTTTCAACTCGGTAGCAGCAGTTTCATATTCAGGAGCCAGGGCTTTGCAGTGACCACACCATGGCGCAAAGAACTCTGCCAGGACGAGGTCGTGTCCCTTGATAAAGTCAGAGAAAGTATCTTTGGTCAGTGAGTGAACGTCGGATTCGGCATCAGCAGCAGAGGCGAATGCCACGGCACCTAGAAGGGCCGTGGCAATGGAAAGGAATGATCGCATGGTGATTGTAGATTGATCAGTCTCGCGGAGCCACGAAGGGATGGATGTAGATGTAGATCGGAAAACAAACAATAAACCGAGAACAACTTCGCAGAAGCTTGCTCGATTATAAAAGAAAAGAAAGACAAGCAGTCTCCCTTTCTTCTTCTACTTCTTTGGGGAGTGTAAAAACAAGAAGCAAGCAAAGAGTGAATAATGGATTGTTCGAGAGGAGATGAAGTCGAACGACCGCCGTAGTATTTAAGATGGGAAGCTGCGGCGTGATGGAGCCAGAGGACAGTTTGTTCTTTACTCCTTCCGTACTGGACACGGTTGGTCTGTGATGGCAAAAGCAAGGGCCTGCGTATTGAATACGGCCGTGATACGACATAAATTACGAGACTCTGATCAGTTGTTACACTGCATGGAGAGTATGTATATACAATATAAAGACTCTACAGGTATCTTTATATAGCTCATTATTGCCATAGATGGTGAATTGAGGATCTTTTACTTGTAAAATCAGAATATCCAAGGTAAAGCTGTGTTGTTATTTACATATCCAACACTGCAAACATTCTAGCTGCTCCCAAGATTGATACATCCCAATCAATATCTTTAATGATTAGTTACGCAGGAGTAGCACAACTGGCCACTTCGCGATTATTAATCGGTCATACCAAACATTTGATTATGAATATCTGTCCTTATATCACATGTTGACTGGGGTATCTTGCCACGAGCGAGACATATTAACATACATGGGTATGGTGTTTAGTTTCAGTCGCATCCTTTTAAAAGTTTCATTCCTTCTCTTGTTCCAATACCAATGCAAGCCACAGAGAGACTATACGTAAAAAGTCCAAACATGCTAAGATTCATGAGGTTGTTCATCCAACTCTTTTGCCAGGGCCAACGCATCTCGTTTCCCACGATCCACATCCAGAGCAAGCATTAAGGGCACAGCACAAAATATCAAAATCGCCAAAAAGACAAAGGATGGTCTGATTTCACCATAACGATCGGTGATCGCACCAACAATCGCAGGACCAAACACACTTGAACCCTTGTCAGTGATTGCGTATAGAGCGTAAAATGCTGTTTCATAGCCAGGAGGAATGAGCTCGCCAAATAAGCTCCGACAGTAGGCTGACAAACCGCCCATTGTAAGACCGTAGATAGCTCCCATGGGGTATACTTCCCAGGGCTGTTGCAACCCTAGGAATCCAAGTTTCTGTATTGCAGGAATAAAGCCCAGCATGCCGTACAACGGAATAATTTCAAGCAAGCAGACACTGGCAATAATTGGCTGTTGGGCGCGGAGATTGAAATGCCGGGAGAGGAACCCCCAAGCAAACGCGCCTACAACCCCAGAGAGCGTTCCAATTACACTGATCAAGCCGAGTGCTGCGGGTTGCATATGCAGTTCGGTTTTCGCAAAGAGTATGGCAGTTCCGCTGACCGTCGCAATCCCATCACTTAGGAGAAACCACGCTGCAAGAAACAGACCAACGTCCTTGAGATGCCGAGCTCGCATAATGGTTCTACCCAAGGCTTTCCATGAAAACGACATATAGCCGAGCCAACTTCTAGTAGCCTTTCCATTGCTTGGTGCTGGTAGCGGAGGACCCGGTCGTGGTCTTAGCCACAGAATCGAAGGGATGGTGAAGATAAACCACCACAGGCCAATCAGAAACATAACCAGACGAAAAGAGAATGTTGTTTGATGGGTGAACTGAACAACTAATATACAGATCACTTGGAGCAAGAGAGCTCCGATATAGCTGATCCCCATGCCGTTGGCAGAAATTCGCGTAGAAAGACGTAAAGCGATAGTCGATTGCTCTTGGTTATCTGAATAACTGCTCTGCACAGAACGCGCCTCTGTTGCGACTTGGGGAGTTTGAAGTAGCGGTGTGTCAACATCCGGAGGCGTAGCAGGATCGAGCTCATCATTCGTTTCTTCTACTACTAAGTTTTGTGCGATTTTGCGCAAGATTGCGGGATGGTGCCGGACGAGCAATGGCAAAAACGAATTGAGCAATACGAACGATGATCCAAAACATGTATTCGCAATGATTGCCAGAATCGCGGCGAGCACATAGATCTGAGGCTGCACTGTAATGAAAAGCATGGTTGCTATAGAACCGCCGCATGCAAACAAAACCAATAGAGACTTTCTATAGCTGCCGTGGTCTGCAGCACCAGACATTGTAACAATCAGTAGAGCCTGAACTAATACGCTTAGCGAGAACGTATACATTGCGAAGCTCGCCGTATTAATCTCTAGCCCCAGAATATCGACAACACATGTGTTTGACCGACTCAAAAGGAGGTCGTTGGAGAAGGTGCTTATCTGGCTAGCCTGACATGGCTGTGTTTTATCATCTGCAAGGTGCCCGTTGTCGCGAGCCATTTGCTCCAGGGTGATAGGGAGAAAGGATCCTTTATGGAAAGTTAGACCAGTCTACTCTTTCCCAATCTTCATGATCAAGGTGTAAACGTACCCATCGCGCACACAACGAACACCTCTGCGGCCCATCCATAACTATACCATGCCGTGATTTCTCGTTTGCTGGTTGGTCGCGTATCGTCACCGGGATATTGGGGAGGAAGCGAGGTCTCGATGTCCGACATTGTATACGATCAGAGCACGACCACCCTACGTCATCCGATGGCTAGGGAGCTTCAAGAGGTTGAGAATAAGGGATATCCACCGTGCTAAAGTTCACAGAGAACCGAATATAGAAATCATGATGAAGGTTGTAGATTCAAAAGAATATACTTGATGTGGCTTGTTTTTAGTTGTAGCTTGTTAAGTGATCGTCAATGGTCACCGGTTCTCTGTTGGAGCCTGTCAACATGTCATAGCTCGCAACCCGCGCCTAGCTGCTTTGGGGCGAACCAGATGTCTATGACAGATTGGGTCTCGCTGAGGTTGACAGAGGAGAGTTCATGTGAACAGGAAATATTTAGACAAGAGACATCTTCACACTTAAGGCCAGTGTAAGCATGCAACTGTAGGGTCTTCCCTGTCTTTCTCTCTTTTCCCATCGAGAGAGAAGTCAGTGTCAAATTTCTGCCTTAGGCATGAATAGCTCTATTCTCAGTTAGCGCTGACCTTTTGGCCAATAAGAAGCCTTTCTCGATACGGGAAGTTACTATTTCTGGACTAGTCTAACTGGTTGTGCCTGCCATCCGCAAGAAATCGATGGACCCTGCGCAGACCTCACTTTCGTCCATGCAACACCAAGAACTGGACTGAGCGACAGCAGTTTGTAGCGAACTACAACCCTCTTCAAACGAAAGTGACTGTGGATTCCTTTGTGGCCGCTTGATTTTGGCTGTACCTCCCCCAGTCTCGGCCTGGAAATCTCCTGCGCTTTGTTACCGTTTATCATCCTTGTTTCATGACCTGAACGATCTTCCTTCATCTTCCTCTCACTGTACAAACCATCGTCTCCTTCGAACTTTTGCTCTCGCCAGACTACATATCTATCTATTTTCCCACGCTGGCCCATTTTTTTCGCACATCAGCTGGCTTTCGGCGCACCCTCGATGTCCGTACGATCCCAGCGCCTTTCGTTAGCTGCCATGTTCGCATGAAATTGCCGAGCCCGAGAGCGCAAAACCTCCGATCAAATAACCCACTTTGAGCGCAATTTTGACGCAGTCTTGATTTTGTGGTGAACACAGTAGCCATTATTTCTTCATATCAAATTGGAAAAACTGTACAGTCAGGAAAGCATAATCGCAGTGACGACTGTATCAGACAATTTGATGCTATTCGAGTCGAGGAAAGGAGCTGTCAAGCTTTGTGGCAGAGGAGGTCGCACCGATTAGACTGGCACCAGTGATGCCTGGTCTCGTCATGGACGATGTCAGTGCAAGTGCATCCAGATATTGGGGTGACTCTTACAACCGTTATGATAGTAATGGGGTTCCTCATGCCGATAACCATGAGAAACCAGCTCAGCAAATGAATGGGTTCAAAGGGGATGGCAGCACGGGTCAAGGATCTAACATGGCAATGGTTACAAAACATGGGCAGTCTGACGCCATGGACGATGTTTCATGGCAATGGGCCCCACCACTTACGCATATCACCCAGGGGTTCTTCCCATATGCCCAACTTGTGAACAGGGCTGTACAGCAATGTTACAACGATCTTTGCGACGTAATTGCGGAATTAGCAGAGTCAACCCAACCACAACAGTCTTCACAAGCAACTTCCGCCAACGGAAAGCCGGACGCCGCCGCTATACAAAAGAAAATTCGAATTTTAGAATTTGCACAGGCTAAAAGAACAGAGTTTATCAAGCTTCTCGTCTTATCGCAATGGAGTCGTCAGGCCGTGGATGTCAGCAAGCTCATCGATCTGCAAAATTTCATTCGAACACGACATTCAGCCTATCAAGCGGCTGTTCAACGAGTAGCAGATATGAAACGGGATTTGGTTCGGGCTCAGGTAGCTAATCCAGATTTACAAACTGCGTTGGAGGTCTTGACAACAGGCCGTGTGTCAAATATGCCAGAGGTGAGCATATTTCCTATGTATTGCCTATTTTCTAGCGTACTAAACTCTCCATTCAGTTTGGTTACAAACCGCCAAAGCCCCTAAGCCCAAGACGCCTTCTAGCAACCCTACAGAAAATCAATCGCATGATCAGCACGCGCTTAGTAACTAGCGATGTCATTCCACCCTCCTTTAATGAATACCGGGTTCATGACGGCCGGGTTACATTTTCTGTTAAAGGCGAATTTGAGTTGGATCTCTCCATTGCGGAAGAAGATGTTGCATCACAATTTTATTTTATCGATATTCGATTTCTTTTCACTCCATCATCCCCGATTCCCAAAGGTCGCTTCTTCAACGAGCTTGATTCGCAGATGAACAGCATATTGAAAGCGAAAGGCTTGACAGGCTGCTTTGACTTTCTTCACAACCTTGTCCTCGTGAATAAAATCAACATTTTGTTCAAACAAGCAATCAGTCTCTCAAGGGGTCAATGGATAGGTGCTCTGCGCGTCGAATTGTTGCATCGCATTTTGGTCGTACACTACTGGCCAGATAAAAGTGGTCCAAAGAGTTGGTTAGAGATTGGTGCTCACAGCGGTCGTCAGCTACGCCAAAAAATCTCTTACCTTGGTCTTCGGTGGATTCGTGAAGGGAAGGAGTTTGATTCCTCCCATATTCACTTTGATATGGAGAACCTTTCCATGGAGTCCATACTTCGAAGTGTAATTGCAATTCATTCATCCCACATACTTCGCAACGTCTATGAACGCTTCTGCACTCAAACTCTGTTTGCTAATCATCAACTCTCGATCAACTTGCAAATTTCGAGAACTGAACCGGGAAATTGCCGCCTGAATGTTCAACTTACGGGTTCTCGCTATCTCAATGCATCGGTGGAACCTGTCTCGGGTGCCATGTGTATCCATACCATACCTTCACTATTGTGCCGGTTAGACAAGGGAGGTAATTCCGATGATGACTTGGTTAATCGGATCTCGCGACTTCGTTGCATTGCAGCTATGGAGGAAATCGAATCTGATGCAAAGACATTTGGCTGGGAAAGCGTGGATCATCGAAAATTCAAGGTGGACATCCGCCGTGTATTCCCAAGTAACGTTCTCCGGGCCTCGTTTTTCCGTAATCGGCTGTTTGGGAATTCGTGGATTATTGCTGCGACGACTAGTTTAAGTGGTGATGACTGGTGGTTACTGCGTCTGAAAGCGCGGCCCTCGCCGTCTCCTGAGCTTGCCGTCCACGCTCGCATTATTCCTGGCGGGTTTTCCGTACAGTCCACTCGGGTTTTGTCTGGTGATCTGTTTTTGTCTTCGCAGGGTGCTAGATATCACTTCCCAGATCTTGACTATTCGCTTACCGGGGCTTTGGTCATGTACTCGAACGCTTTGTGGCTCTCAGAGTTGGGATATCAGGACTGCCTCCCCCCAGTAGAGCAGCTGCAGCTTGGCTCGAGATTGGAAGTTCCTTGTCTTTACCTCAAGTTTGATATTGCAAAATTACCGAAACAGCTACGCATTGCCCCTCTAAATGGCACACAAAGCAAGTCCTACATTCGAGATACTCTCTCAATCTCATACCATGGGATTGATTCCAGGACGAAGAATGCAATCGTGGTTGCGCATGGACGATTCCTTACACCTCTGAGGAAACTAGGTTTGAAGCGATTGAAGCTTGATGACTGCATACTCCTTCGGCGAGGAGGTATGGGTTTTGCAATGCGTTTCCTCGTCGCTCCAGGACAGTCGATCATGCTCGATCTTTTTGAGCGGATCCAGCGACTCAACATCGTCTTATCTTTATTCCGGACACTTCAGAAACACAAGATTACTGTCAAGTCGGTATCCTTGTCTAATTTATCCTTTGTGTATGCACCGCAAGAAGGTTTCGAAGCAAACATAGTCATTCGGCTGGATGGACCTGGCAACACACCCGATTTGGATCCTGCCATCATTCGTCAACAGAATGAACCGCTTTTCCGCTTACGCCTCGATATATCCTTTAATAACCTGAGTCCGCACAACCGAATCAAGCAGTCTCTAGGAACTATACTTAACCGGTCAGGTCCTGGATATGGCGTACAATGTGTGCTACAATTGCTCAAACTGACCCTATCTGTGCTTCGTGCCTTAGATCGCCTTGTTACTGAACCGAAGCACAATTCCGCATTACGAGTCCAGGTTTCCATTCGGGGGGCACAAACTTATCAAATTCACTACTTTGGTCTTCGATTCCGATTCCTACTTACTGCCTCCCAGCGGCGTGGTAGTATCATTTGGACGCTGAAGGACATCAGTTCATCGGAAGGACAACGTGATGTGGAGCAAGCTGTGGAAGCCAAGCTGCAGGAGAAAATCTATCGAGGCAAAGGTGACGGTTGGCAAGGTCTCGGAAACGGTGCTGTGGCCAAAGTTGATCAAGTCGGAAACCTGCTTTCAGAGCTGGATTCTTGTTTCGCGGATCTGACGCCGCCTTCAGCACCGCCAGAGAAAGCAGCATTATGTGAGGCTGCAGAGAAGAAAATGAGTAAGATAGTCAAGGACAAAGGACCCAAGACGAATGGACCCTCGAGGATGCCTAATCGACATCCGCAGGGAGCGCCGAAGGAATCTGATGTAATTACGATTGACTAGTTGCAAGTATTGCTCTGGATAGTGATACATAATAATATTCAAGAAATTACTAACTTAGAGTCTACCTTTGTCTTAAAGTTAGTTAATAAGTAGGATTCCCATATCTTCCTATCTAACCCTATCCACTCCTGGGCATCTAAGAAAGAAGAACACCTGAAACCTTAAGTCGAAAAGGAAACAAATAAACATGAAGAAGGGTTTGAAGGAAAAAGAACATGTAATAACCCCTGCCGCCTTTTGTTTCGTTTTATAGTCTCGAGACAAAACAAGCATTAGAAACACAAATATCCAGTAGTTCAATTTCTGATAATACAAAAGAAGCCCATTCCCCACTCGGTCAGATGGAGAATCTGTTGTCCACATTTATCGCGAATAAGGATGGAAACCACGATGACCACCTCCACGACCTCCGCCGCGATAGTTTGCTCCTGGTCGTCCAGCGTTTCGGGGACCGGTAGGAGCATTAGCTGGTGCAGCAGGAGGAGTACCACCACCACCTTGATGAGGGGTGCCCGGCTTGCCCTGATTCTGCATGCCGCCTCTTCCCATGCCTCCACCACCACGACCTTGTGGGCCGGATGGAACATTTGGCTGAGGTACCTCGTCATACATACCTTCCCATGATGTCGGACCGCCTTGTTGATAAGGTGAATAGGCACTTCCTCGTCGAGCTTGTTGTTGCTCGTATTTTTGTTGTTCGAAGGCAAGTTGTTCGTGAGCATTGTAGCCTGGTCCAACACGATTACCGCCATAACCAGCACCAGCACCACCCATGCCCATTTGTCCTTGACCTTGGCTTTGCATCTGTTGCATCTGCTGCATCTGCTGCATCTGTTGCATCATGGCTGGGTTCATGTTCTGCATACCTTGAGGACCGGGACTTGGCGATTGACCTGGTTGTTGACCGGCTGCCATCTGCATCTGCTTCATTTGTTGCATCATTGCAGGATTCATACCAGCCATGTTCATTCCGCCCATACCCTGACTCTGAGCAGCTGCCATTTGCTGCTGCATCATGGCGAAATACTGTTGCATACGTTGCCAGTACTGAGCCATCATCTGCGGAGTGATGCCACTGGGCATACCCCCTGGTCCCTGGCCACCTTGCTGTTGACTGTTATCTGGAGTCATGCCTTGATCTCTGCCCCGACGGTTTCGATCATCGTCTCGCAGATTACCCCTTGGTTGAGCCTTTTTCACCTCGATGGATTTACCGAGGATCTCCAGGGGTCGGGAAAGCGTGGCTTCCACTGCTGCTTCACTGTCGAATGTCACGAAACCGAATCCTCGTGGGCGGCCAGTGTCTTTGTCGATCATAAGTGTGGCATCCACTACACGACCAAATTGCATAAAGAACTGCTTAAAATCTTGCTCGGTAGCTTCCTGACTGACTCCCCCCACGAAAATCTTACTGGTCTTTTCTTGTTCATCGCGAGGAATGGCACGTTTTGGATCAATCTTTGGCTGCGTTAGCGCATGCCATCAATGACTGGGATATCGCTATAGCGAACTTACAATCTTTCCATCTAGGTAATGCTCCTTGACCATGACTGTATTGACGGTTTTGGGATCTCTGAATGTAAGGAATCCAAAACCTCTCGATCTTCCCGTAGCGCTGTCACGCATGACTGTACATTCGGAGACTTCGCCGAATTGTGAAAAGTAATCCTTGAGAGATTCTATGATTATACTGGTTAGTTTCTCACTAGTCCAATGCACGACGGATATTGAAGCTTTTGCATACGGTCTGTAGTCTCCCAGTTCAAACCTCCGATGAACATTTTCCTGTAAAATTTAATTGTCAGATACCGTTTGTCCTATCCACACTCATTTACTTCAACACAATATAACGCGAATGACGGCGAACAAAGAATTTCAGTATGATGGCTGGTCTGCAAGTACTATCCGCATAGATGATTTCTGGCGTCGTGTTGTTGCTGTCCAGGGGCATGACTAGGCTGCTGTACGAAGTGATAGTTCTGAATATAGTGGTGCAACGCATATGATATATGCTATAGCTATAACTCCAGTACTAGCATATGGAGCGGAAGCTATTCGATATCCATTTCGATAAGGCCACACACGCACAACCCCTGAAGTCATCCGATAGAAGATGTGCATAGAAAGGTCCGCCTCATTTACGCCTTCCCAGGCCATTGGATGAAAAGGTCCACCCGCATTGATCCAAGAGTGTCCACCCCCCCCATGGGCTGGCCGAATGCCGTATTATGTATAATTTTTCTGAGCCTCCCTGTCCGAATGATGGGTCATTCTAAAATCGTGATAGCAAAGAGAAGTGTTTCGATAGTTCTTGTATTCCCAGTATGTCGAATCGTCTATTTTGCTGCTCTGCTCTATCAAATTGTATCGATAAGAAGCTATATAGTATCAACTGTACTATACTCGCTGGCGACATGAATCTCGTGTAAAAGGGCAACATTGCCTCCAGTTCTCATCGACTCCATCGAATAGCATCAACGGACACTGAACCATTGTGCAGCAATTTCGCAGACTATCGGTGATCCACCATGCTAGCCACCACGGAGCCGTAATTCACATGAAATAAGATCTCAGTATGTAGACTTTCTGAAAGTATGCAGCTAGACACCTATGTATAGCGTGACATACTCGCTCCAACTAAGATGTTCAGTAGCCCCCTCACAATCAAGGTAAGTCCTGTCTGTCTCTGTTGGACATGTAGATAGAGCCACCTGAGACCTTTTTGCACCCATCCGTACAGCCTCTCTTGATATGCCAATTCCTGGCACCGTCATGTCTCATAATGAGACCGCCATATTTCCCTTCTATCACCCAGCCCGACAATATTCGCAGACCCAGCATCGATAACCAAGAAACCAAACATGAAGTACACTCAACGAAAAGAATTTGAACTTACCCATCTTCCTTGATACCCGTTCCCTGTGCTTCTCCTTCTGTAGAATGCACCCCGTCTCCGGTGTGTACATTTACATCCTGCGATGTCTCATCCATTGAATGGTAGCTTTGAATTCCGCCAGTTTGCTGTCCCTGGTATGCATTCTGTGCGTGTGAGCTACTGTAGGTGGGTTCATAGCCTCCGCCATTCTGAGAATCATCCACTTGAGGAGCTGCTGACGAAGTCTTCGTTTCTGCAGAGGAGTCGGTTACACCGGTTGAGGTAACTTGGTTAGTGTCATTGCCATCGTACCTTGAGATACAAATGTAAGCAACATATTTATGTTTTTACTGGACGATGGGAACTCACAAATCAGCAAAAAGATCCTCCTCAAGCTCCTCTGGTTCTGTCATGTTTGTTTGTGATTGAGGTCACTAGATAAGTGAACAGGGTCTCCAACAAATTACCCAAAAGATATAGCGTTACGCTGTGCTGACTTTAACAAAGAGAGATCAAAGCAGATAAAAGGTGAGATGCCCTCTTGGGATTATCAGAGATGAGGTTGAAAGTGAGTGTTGAGAACGGAAGGAATTGGTGAGGTGAAGGAAAGAACTGTGGAGCATTTGGCTGTTGACCGCCTTGGCAGAAAGATGTGGAGGCCCTGAGGGACGCCATTCATCAGGTGGGCCATACAACAGTCAATTAATATCAGTCGACTACAGCAGATGGCAACACGCAGCTAGCTATGTTCCCTAGTCATTTACAAGCAGAAAAGGGCTGTGCATTTCTCTATCGTTCCTTGAATTCATGAGGAGTACCCAACGCCTGGTCTTGAGCTATCGCAACGATGGCTAGCAAGAAGACCCACCAACAGGTGTGTTCAATATCCCACCTTGACGACTTTTAGACACTGATAGATGTACTCTTTGGTTGATAGGAAATGGTCCAGGTTGGTTCGTACCTCTCCCCTGCCATTCCCGATGCTAAACACCGTAGATTCGCTAACATTGGCTTAATCTCTCAGCGGACCGTTCTGAGTATGTGTATCCCGCTCCAAAAGATCCCATTGCTTTCCCATAAAACAGTCTCAGCGCGTTTGGTGTTCCCACTCAATACGAAGGCGCTAATTGTTTATAAAGGAGTGCGTCTCCTTTCTGGAAATCGAAAACTACATCTCAACAGAATGTCAGCCCTAGACCCTATGATGCCAGCTCTGTGATTGGCGCATCCTATTCGCATGCCGACATACTAAAGTATGTGCAAGACGCCATCGATTGGATTGAATAAAATTGAATTATGAGAATAGTTCCTAACACTTTAATTAGCACGCCGGCTCGTACGCCACCTAGGTCTGGATCGAGCGCAGGACATAGTCGCACCGGACAACCCTCCCTCCCACATCTCGAAGGGAAGAAAACCTCATCGCCGAACCGCCCTTATAATAATATACTCTCACATTCGTCGCGTGGCTGGGGTTATGGAAATGACGTGGCAGACGATGACGAGGACGATGAGATATTTTATGATGACGACGAAGATGAATTTGGGCTTCCTAGTATTGCTAGCATGCGGAAGAAGGGCAAAAACACTCGACGTACGCCTTCCACGTTTACGACAGCCAACACAATATCAGGGAACTCGTCTTTAGGAGCCGATCTGGACACTGCTTATCGACCAAGAGCCAATAGCTCAGATATTGCCGAAGAACGAGGTGTATCGCTTTACCCGTCAGCAAAGAAGACCGAGGGCAAGATACTGCGTCCTCAGTATAAGGATATCTTGAAAGGCAAGGGTCATATTTAGGTTCATACTTTGATATGCTGACCTGATACCATTCAGATCCTGCCAATTCCTTGAATCTAATAAATCATTCTCCGCCGCCTTCTGACGCGACACCTAGTCAACGAGAAGCCCATTCTGCGCGAATTTCCAGAATTAATAAGTTTAAACGGATCTTACAGGCAAGTACCGTGTCCTTGTCAGAGCTCCGCTCTCTTGCTTGGTCTGGGGTTCCCGAGGAAGTAAGGGCTATGACATGGCAACTGCTGTTGGGCTACCTGCCCACGAATAGTGAACGCCGCGTCTCGACACTCGAAAGAAAGCGTAAAGAATACCTCGATGGAGTTCGTCAAGCTTTCGAAAGAGTTTCTGTGAGTGGGGGATCCGGCCCAACCAACACGAGTTCGGGCCGTGGTAGAGGCTTGGACGAGGCAGTTTGGCACCAAATTAGTATTGATGTGCCCCGTACGAGTCCACACTTGCAATTATATAGCTACGAAGCTACACAGCGATCTTTGGAAAGAATACTTTACGTCTGGGCCATACGGCATCCTGCCAGTGGTTATGTACAGGGAATCAATGACCTTGTGACTCCATTCTGGCAGGTCTTTCTAGGTGCTTACATGACCGATATGAATGTTGAAGAAGGAATGGATCCAGGACAGCTGCCAAGATCCGTCCTCGATGCTGTAGAAGCTGATTCCTTCTGGTGCCTCACAAAGCTTCTTGACGGTATTCAAGACAATTATATTTATGCTCAGCCGGGTATACAGCGACAAGTGAAAGCATTGCGCGATTTAACAAAGAGAATTGATGCTAGCTTGGCGAAACACTTGGAAAATGAAGGAGTCGAATTCATGCAGTTCAGTTTTCGATGGATGAATTGTTTGCTTATGAGAGAAATGAACATAAAGAGTACAATTCGAATGTGGGATACATATATGGTAAGTTCTGCGAAGACCTCCGAACTTGATTGTTATTGCTGGCTGACCTAAATGCAACAGGCCGAGGAGCAAGGGTTCTCTAGGTTTCATTTATATGTTTGTGCCGCTTTTCTTGTCAAGTGGACTGATAGATTGCTCAAAATGGACTTCCAGGTAAGCACTGACAGGGAAGGGGCTTTATATCGTATTAATAACATGGGCATAGGAAATCATGATGTTTCTTCAGGCACTTCCAACCAAAGACTGGACCGAGAAAGATGTTGAATTGTTACTCAGCGAAGCGTTCATATGGCAGAGTCTATTCCAAGATTCAAGCGCACATTTGAGACAAGACGGTGAAGATGCCAACACCGGATACATGTTTTGATCGTTATTTAACCCCTTTTTTGTACCGATACGAGAGGACACCTTCAGGGTTCCCGATCTCTATTACTACGAGGCATTGTCTACTTAGACATAATTACAGACGATATACACGCATTTCCTGATATAGAAGCGTGTGCTTATAATACCCACCTCTCTTGAGAGAAAATCCATTGTTACAGACTATAAGTTAGCATCACACTTGTGACTTGAATGTATCACTTCCAAGTATTCATTGCATCTACTTAGGTAGACATGTACAGGAATACCTAGGTTCAATCCTACGAAGACGCGCGCTTTTCCCAGCTTTCGCTGCGCAAGTCGGACATATGTATCTTCTAAGGTTCTTCCATAGATGACAGCAATACAATCTCCTAAAGGAACATGGTGTTGTATCTGAATATGGAGGGGGGAACAAAACTGTTATCAGATCTGATAAGATGGAAGCGACAAATATCATTGGCTGTCAGCTATCCCTGCAGAGCTACGGCGCCAATGCGGTGGCAACTGTCAATACTCATTAATTTTCGAGGTGAGATCTCCCTCTTTCTTCATCCATCCTCTGTGTTGCGCCATCCGCATTCATATTTCTTTCACCATGTCATATGGAAGGAAAGATTTTCTCAGCCAGCCGGCACCAGAGAACTATGTTGCTGGTCTTGGTCGAGGAGCTACTGGATTTACAACCCGATCAGATTTAGGACCAGCGCGGGAAGGTCCAACGCCCGAGCAAATTCAGGAAGCTCTAGCGAAAAGAGCACAGCAACTAGGAGCTCCTACCCCTACCGCATATAGTATAAGTCGGGAAAAAGGGGGAAAGGGTAAAGAGCAGGAGGCGGAAGAGGAGGACGATGAGCGTTTTCAGGACCCAGATAACGAAGTCGGCTTATTCGCCTACGGCGCCTATGATCGCGAAGATGACGAGGCGGACTTGATCTATCAGGAGGTTGATGAGAAAATGGATAGGAGGCGAAAAGCAAGAAGGTTAGTTTTATCCCATCGCTCTTTATTTTCGCGCGTTTTCGATATCTCGGTTTCGAGTTATCGCCTTTGCGCTTTGCCCTTCATATATTTATTGTGGACAGAGTGCCGACTTGAACCATTCGTTGCCTACAGGGAAGCCCGTGAAAAACAAGAACGAGAAGAATATGAGAGAAACAACCCTAAGATTCAGCAACAATTCGCCGACCTTAAACGTTCACTAGCTACGGTATCGGACGAGGACTGGGCTAATATACCCGAGGTCGGTGATCTCACAGGAAAAAATCGACGAGCTCGTCAAAACCTCAGACAAAGATTTTATGCGGTTCCGGATAGTGTGATCGCCGGTGCTAGGGATGCGACACAATTTGAGACTACCATCGCCGACGATGGTACTCAAACGGAAATCTCAAGCGCTGCTGGAGGAGACGGAAGTTTGACGAATTTTGCCGACATTGGTGCTGCCAGAGATAAGGTACTCCAGGTGCGCCTGGACCAGGCGGCGCTTGGATCTGCTGCCGATACTACATCAGGTAGTGCGACTAGCATCGACCCCAAAGGCTACCTTACCAGTCTTACACAGTCAGAGTTAAAGGCTGGTGAGGTGGAAATTGGTGATATTAAGCGTGTCAGGGTTCTGATGGAATCTGTTACACGTACAAACCCCAAGCATGCCCCGGGTTGGATTGCTATCGCACGATTAGAAGAATTAGCAGGCAGGATTGTTGCAGCGAGGAACTATATTGCCAAAGGTTGTGAACTATGTCCGAAGAGTGAGGATGCCTGGTTGGAGAACATTCGGCTCAACGAGAACCACAATGCGAAAATTATCGCAGCGAACGCTATCAAGCACAACGACCGATCTACTAGGTTGTGGATTGAAGCGATGAAGCTCGAGACGGATGTCAGAGCGAAGAAGAATGTTCTAAGACAGGCTCTTTTACATATACCGCAATCCGTGGCTATATGGAAGGAAGCCGTGAACCTTGAAGAAGATCCAGCAGATGCCCGACTTCTCCTTGCAAAGGCTACTGAAATGATTCCCCTGTCTGTTGAGCTCTGGCTTGCACTGGCACGCTTAGAGACACCTGAGAATGCACAGAAAGTATTGAACGCAGCTCGCAAGGCAGTTCCCACAAGCCATGAAATTTGGATTGCGGCAGCTCGATTACAGGAACAGATGGGTACGGCAAACAAGGTCAACGTTATGAACAGAGCTGTTAAGGCCCTCGTACGCGAGAATGCCATGCCGAAGAGGGAGGAATGGATTACGGAAGCTGAGAAGTGTGAAGAGGAAGGCGCTGTCCTAACCTGTGGCGCAATTATCCGGGAAACTCTAGGTTATGGGCTTGACGAGGATGATGATCGACGGGATATCTGGATGGAAGATGCCAAAGCAAGCATTGCTCACGGTAAATACGAGACTGCTCGGGCAATATATGCCTATGCTTTACGTGTATTTGTCACCAGCAAGACTTTGTGGCTTGCAGCGGCTGATTTGGAGCGTAACCACGGAACAAAAGAAGCTCTATGGCAAGTGCTCGAAAAAGCCGTGGAGGCATGCCCTCAAAGCGAAGTTCTATGGATGCAACTTGCAAAGGAGAAGTGGCAAGCTAGCGAAATCGACAATGCACGACTTGTCTTGAAGCGTGCCTTTGAACGAAATCCTAACAACGAAGATATTTGGCTTGCAGCTGTCAAGTTAGAGACGGATGCAAAGGAAACGGAACACGCTCGAGAGCTCTTGAGTACCGCTCGACGTGAAGCCGGCACGGATCGTGTGTGGATCAAGAGTGTCGCCTTTGAACGCCAGTTGGGTAATATGGATGAAGCACTCGATCTCGTCAACCAGGGTCTACAACTCTACCCCAAGGCTGATAAGCTTTGGATGATGAAAGGTCAAATATACGAGTCCCAGAAGAAATATCCACAAGCCCGAGAGGCATATGGCACTGGTACACGTGCTTGTCCTCAATCAGTCCCATTATGGCTTTTGGCTTCACGGCTTGAAGAAAAAGCAGGTGTCGTGGTTAAGTCTCGTTCGATTCTTGATAGAGCTCGGCTCGCGGTTCCCAAGAACGCAGAACTGTGGACTGAAAGTGTTCGTGTGGAACGACGTGCGAACAATATCAGTCAAGCCAAGGTCCTCATGGCCAAGGCACTTCAAGAAGTACCCAATTCTGGACTCTTATGGGCCGAAAGTATCTGGCACCTTGAACCTCGAACGCATCGAAAGCCTCGCAGCCTGGAAGCTATTAAGAAGGTTGACAATGATCCTATTCTCTTTGTTACAGTAGCGCGTATATTTTGGGACGAACGACGATTGGAGAAAGCAATGACCTGGTTCGAGAAAGCTATTCTAGCGGACAGTGATCAGGGCGATTCATGGGCATGGTATTACAAGTTCCTTATGCAACACGGCACTGAGGAGAAACGACAAGATGTTATTTCTAAATGTGTCATTAGCGAGCCGAAGCACGGAGAGATTTGGCAATCGGTTGCTAAAGATCCTGTTAATTTCCACAAAACTACCGAAGAGATCTTGAAATTGGTTGTGGAACAGTTACCCTGTTAAGTGATTTGCATTTCGGCGATATATAGTCGATGGAGTTGGTTGTTTCGATTGGCGTGGCGTTTGTCCTTGGGGACTATTGTATGAATAGTTCTATGTATTGTTGATATCTTCAAAATAAGACCAATAAATTACTTGCATTATATCTAGGTCCATCTCCCCTAGGTCCTGCAAAGGCGTAATAAGGTATATTGAGAAGTATCAAGGTCACGTATAGAGTAATATTCAAACTACATTTCATAATCTTGTTCTAGTCCTATGTGTCAACATGCATAGTACCACAATCCTCCTAAAACTAATAAAACAACACCTCAATAAACACAGCAAACTCCAATCCAGATGCACCAAGACTGAAAGAAACACAAGAAAAGGAACCCTCCCTTGTCCGTTTGACGTTAGAAGTCAAAGAGAAACAACAAAAAAAGAAAAGCGAGGTTGGTATCTGTAAATAAAGGAAACGATAAAATAGATAGAAAGCGTAATTCTTCATCTTCCTCAAGAACTGTTATGTTTTCTTCTCCATGTCCGCCGATGCCACACACCTCCTTTCGTAGTCATACAACAATCACAGTAAACGCCTCCCCTAATAAAACCCGCCAAAGTGCTAATCGACATGTTTATCCTCGGATTGGAGAGGATGGAAGAGAGAGAAATCGTAGATGAGAGATGCTTTGTCTAGTCAGACGAAAAGTGGGGATAGCTCGTTCGACGAGGATGGATATGATATATGAGTGTATGTATCATGCAGCCAGTGAAAGACACTCATCCAGAAGAGAATTCAACTGATCTCTATCTGCAATCGTGCCGCCCTCCCAATCCCATTCATCATCAATATCCATAGCGTCGACGCCATTGGTTTCTGTTGCTGTTATTGTCGCAGATTTTGTCCCAATACCATCAAAGCCATGCTTCTCACGCAACTCTTCAATGTAACCATGACGCTCGAGTTCAAGTTCATCCTCATCATAAGCACCCATAATTTCGTCAACCACTAGCGGCATCTGGCCGAGGAGTGCACCACCCAGAGTAAGCGCTAACCGTAAATCTCTTACCCCTAATGGTTGCCTCGAACGAGCCTCTTTCGCCTCAACGGGCAACAACCCAGTTGCGAGGTCCTTGGATATCTCGCCCCGAGTAAAAGCAAGCTCTTCGCGCTCTAGTTGTCGGCGATATTTCCGTGTCATCATACCGTTGATTGTACCGGATGGGCCGTTATGCCTTGTACGAGAGAATACACTTGATAGCACCTGTTTGACAAATGTCTCCGTCGCAATGGCCATGAATTCGGCGCAGGAAAACCCAGCTCCACTGACTACAGACTCCTCGTAACATATTGGCACCATACGGGCATATATTGATTCCGCGTCAGGAAATTCGCCTGTTTCTGCGGCAAGTGGTTGAGCGTAGCGTTTTCGTATTTCGAGTTCCCAGTCTGATAGTTGTTAGTTCAAATGTGACACAAATGCCCAGAGAATGGCCTCTTACTCGTTTTGTTCAAACCACCAGCACTCGCTGGGACCTGCGTAGGTAAGGTAATTTGCTTTGCTTGATAGTATAATTCGAGCTCATTCGGGGCTATTTCATGGGGATCCGGCTGCATGTTCGCATCACATATTAGCGCGATTCTCACAATCTACACACTCAGAAAACCAAGATCATACCTCGGGAATACCTTTGATCCTCTTGCGATCTCGAGGAGGTAGTTGCATAACCTCAGTCTTCAGTCTCTGTTCCGCCAGGTCACTAGAGACCGGCTTCGATACCACGGTGGGTTTGTCATTTGCCGATACCCAGCTTGCGACGCCATGGTCTGGGAGGTCGCGTGAGAGGTTGCCGATGAGCGCGCATATAAAGTTGTTATGGAGATGCTCGGTTCTGGGATCGGCACAAATTATGTGATCGAGGCGCGAGGAGAGTTCATCTTGATTTAGTTGGCCTACCAAAAATAGTTTATTAGCAGATATTTCATCAATAGGACGGCGTAAAAGAGAGAAGTACCTAGAAGAAAAAGTGTCGTCGACTGCTTGTACTCCGCCCAATTGTCGCCAATAGCGGCCTTCAGCTCCGTGTATACAGACTCAAGATCCAGTCGCGGCACCGAAATCAACGCCTTTGTAGACTTTTGAGTTGTAGCCGCAGCTGATACGACAGTCTTGGAGGCAGATACGGCCGTCGAAGCCGAATCTGGTCGACTCAGAGCTGCCGGATCGATCTGCATAATAACAGGAGGGGATGAACGCGCAAATTGAGGCTGCGCGAAGCCACGGGGAAGACGTCAGATCTTCATCAAAAATGAAGAGATGGTTATACCATTTCTTGTTTGGAAATTGATCCGTGAGAGTCGGATGAAATGAATGAGGTCCTATTGGAGATGGAAATCACGACGTTAAGTGAGTGAAGGTGATGAAAGGTTGGGTCTTCTTGAGGTTGAATGAACGGAGAGGTTGCCAAACTTCGGCTCTATCGCCGCCCGCATTCGGTACGTATTAGTTAGTTCGCTGCGTCACTTGTTCGCAGATGTCTATATTTGAGAATAAATATGGTTTGTCATGTTGAGCCTCTTCTGCTTTTAAATATTCTGTACGGGTGGGCAGCAAATGTAGACATATTCAAGGGATCATATTCAGAAGTACTCCGTATATGCTATTGTGGTTATGTACAATACTACTCTAACTATAAAGCTATTGGAGCTCAATGACATCCTCATTCAATACCCCAAACAGGATGCTGATTTCGTTTACAAGCTCAATAATCTCACTTCCTAATTGACCCGTCACCAAGACTGTTGAACTCAAGTTAGCACTCAGGTTTTAGTTATGTCAACTAATTAAAGGAGAACGCACCGTAGGCATAGAGTAGTGCATAATCGCTGTCGGTGGTACGCAGTGATGATTCGGTTTCGAGACGATAGTGAAATATACGAGCTAATAGTCTGTCTCGCGCGTGTTGTATGCTTGGCAGAGCATCATTCAGAGGATACTCGAGCTTCATTGAAGATGCAAGCACTAAGGTTCCAGTTAGAAGATTCAACAGACTGTGTCAACGAAGCACTTACCTGACAGCAAATGACTGATACGAGATGACAGTTGCACACGCTCTTGGGTCGTGTACTGAAGCAAACTTATCTCGCCCTCCGAGGCCGTGAGATTTTTCAAAATCTCCATATTCATAGAATAGAATGCGTTTAGCATGCTTCTTGTTCGATTAATGATATTTCGATACGCCACTTCAGGAAAGGGGCCTCTTAGTTCGAATTCTGATTTGGCTGCAACCTGTAATGATTCCAAATTCTGGATGAAGCGCTCGATTTGCAGTTTTTCGCGGGGAGTCAGATATGGAATAACGGGTTTGCCATTGATCATCATTGATAATGGATCACGTTTCCAGATCAAACTCATCTGCAGCCAGAGAAGGCTCAGACCATCCTTTAATTTTGCTCTTGCACTAATCGGCCAGATGACTCGTGTGACTATGATCCCCCAGATACAGCCAGACAAGACTGCAACCACACGGTGAAGTGCAATCTCCGTGATAATAGGATGAGCACCACCTTCATCGTCGTCGTGATCATTGTCATTAGCAGACAGTGAGTAAGCATATAGAACCGACAGATTGTATGTGAGCATAATGAATCGTCCCATGGGTCCTTGGCCTTTGACCAGAATGATATAGGCGGTCCACGTGGCCATAAGCCAGCCTAAAAAGGCAAGAGCAAAAACATTCCCACCCGACACATACCAGGAAGCTATCGAGCAACAGGCACCAAGACATGTACCGAGGAATCGGGCGTACCCAGTGGTGTTGGATGCCCCTATAGTCATAGAGCAGACCAACATGTACGAGACAAGACCCCATTCGCCTCTCCACGCCGTAAACACAGGCCTCGTCAGAGGAATAAAAGATGGCAGAGCATACATAGCAGCACCAGCACCAACTTTAACAGCGTATTTCGTCTCGTCACGCCGTAAAAAGCCCAGAGATTTCCAGACTCGGTAGGTGACCTTATTCTGAAGGCGAATGTCGTCCGTGTAGCCACCCTCCAACGACGAATGTCTTTTCCTGAGGGATGGACGGCTTGAGCTCGTGAGTGCCAGATTTGAATATTCTAAAGCGTATCAGCAGTTTGCATGGATTTTGACTGTCGGTAGACTTACCATTGCTTGAAGGTTCCGGATGTGAACTTTTAAAGACTCGCCAAAACTTCAACCAATTCCACGTCAAGCCCTGAGGTCGTTCCTCACATTCAAGCTTCAACTCGTCCAGGATCTGGAGGAGATCTTTCAACTGTTCTCCGAACTCCATCAAAGTAAAACTAAAATGACCGCAGCTAGCAGACACTTCCTCGAGGTCCGCTTCCACATCAGGAGATTGAATTTTGGCAAAGTCTCGTTCTCGGTAGACCGAGGTCAAAGCCGCTTCTCTAGCGTCGCGGTACAGTTTTAAGGCACGATCAAGACTACCATGGAACTTGGTATTGAATGATACGTTATGATCTGGACCTGGACCAAAAGGTATCTCCTGTAGAATCTCCTTGAGGGTGAATGCAAATGATTGCTAGGGTAGTACGTTAGTGATGGTTTAGTTGTCAGAGACGTCTTTAGTCTTACCATAGATGGCCCCAAATGTTCAATAAAGACTTCAAACATGCGCTGCGGTGATGGGGTGGCATGTATTGTCTGAGATTCCGCTGTGAGATCCGCCTCCTCTGGCTCTCCCAATGGTGTGAGATTTGCCGAGTCTTCAAACACGGACCAGATACCGGGATAACTTGTTGAGCTGTTCTTACGTGTAAGAATGTTATGACTCGGTGAGAAGATGCTTGGGCCCTGTTGAGTCTGCTTCAGAAGTTGAAATTGTAAAGTTGCCGCACTCTGCAAGCCGCCCATATTCTGGTTGATATCTTGAACGCATCGGACAAGTCTCTTTTCCAGGCGATACTCCCTCTCCGTACCTGCGACATAGTGCTCAAGTTTGGCTTCTTTGACCAATTTATCCAGGATAACGTAGCTTCTCTTGTTCTGTGCAGACGCACTGGTAAAAGGCGCTGTATACATTTCTTCGTCGGATCCGGTGATAAAGCTTTCGGTCACGTAGCCAAGCATAATTGCGAGGGTGCTTGTCATTGTCGTCATATTCGACCGGAGCTTCTTCCTCGCCGATATGGGAAAGATCAGGAATGATACTGCCATAGCCGCGCAGACACCCATAATCAGCATCTTGAGAGTCTGCGATATTTTAACAAATGATAGATCGCCCTTTTGCACTGCGCCTTCTTTCGTCAGAATTGTCGTCGTAGAGAGGGAAGCGAGAGAGCATGCAACGTTGACGAGAGGGTCGTTGAGCCTCTGCTTCGTCCATCCAATAAACGCAAACCCACCACCGCAAAAGATAACCAGAACTATAATATGTCCAATCACAAGCAAGTCAAGATTGTCGAAGAACATGGAGACGCACATGCTGGTGACAGATAGAAAGGTTGTATAAAGAAATGCGAGAATAGCGCAGATCAAAGCCTTGAGCATGCTTCCTCTAGAACGAGCTGGGTGGAAATAAACCGTGATCGTCGCAACAACATGTTTCCCATCTTGATGACCTAGAAACGACGAGATAAAGGGGATGAATGTCGCCAAAGAGCCCAACAAATAAGCCAGACCAAACTTGAAGACACCCTTTCCATGCTCTGAAACCGCGAATGCATACACTTTATCCCGCAAGCCTAGTATTTTGTAGGAAGCAGCGTTTGCCATCTCGTTCGGTAGTAGAGGCCGTTGCAAAGGAGTGGAAGAGGACTCGGAGGAGTCGCCGTCGAGGAGAGGACGTTGCTCCTCCTCGTCGCCATCTTCTTGGGCAGCAGCAGTGCCGCCATCGCGACTTCCCGATTTCACCAGGTTCACTAACCCTTTCAAGCGCTGGCCTGTACGAGGCAGAATGAACGTCGCCTGTCGGAGCTAGATCGAAAAGACCGCATGTTAGTTGAGAATTTCGAGGGTATAGCTATATTCCAGAAATGGCGGCTTACCTTGAACCGGCGAGCGCGGGAATCGGAGGAGGCTGTCCGATCAGGTGTGGAGGAGCTCATTGTGTTCGATTTGGCCGGACAACCCTCCTCGCGCTGTCCAACGAACGCCGAGTATTATAATCTGTCATAAAGCTGGTCAGACTACCAGTAGATATATGCTGAGGTAGTTGTCGAGCATGTTCAGCTGTCGGGGTTGTCAGGGAAGTCAAAAGTCATAGCTTCTTTTCAGCTGTGCCCCTCACGCAGCTGTCCAAAAAAGAGACACTGATTCTACCATCTGATTCTGTGATTTTTTTTTTTTTTTTTTATTAATTTTTATATTATGCATAGCCGCTACTTCTGATGCTTTGGACTGATCTTGAGTTTTTGTTCAGCAGTTCTGGAAAGAAAAAAAAAAAAAAAAAAACGCTTTCGTAGTTCATATCAAAATTTTCGAACAGCAGAGACTACCGACGGCTAAGGCAGACCTTCAGCCTTCCAAATCTTGATAGCAGCATCAGTTCCTGCTGACGCGATTTTGGTCTCATCTGCAATCCAAGCGACTCCAGTTACACCTTCTTTATGGGCATTCTTGGCCTCAATCCAGTCTCCAGGCTTCGCCAGACTCCAAATAAAGATATTTGTATCGAGTGCTCCACTGACAACATGGGTTCCCGTGCTATTCCATGCAATAGATGTTATGCGAGAAGTATGAGCGGTCCAGCGGTCAGTGACTAAGCTTCCATCTTTCGTCTTGAATACGGAAATTTTGCCGCGAGAGTCACCGACAGCCAAAAGACTGCCATCCGGGGAGAACGACAGGGTTGAAACTGGGTTACGTGACGCTTTGATTTCTACCTCTGGTGTGATTGCCGATGATGTGACTGATCCGATGTGTACTTTCAAATCTTCGCTGCCAAATGCAACGGTGTTTTCGTGAGCAGCGACTGCGGTCACATCAGCCCGCGCTTTGAATGTGCCGGATTTGTTGCTGTCTTGGTAGATATCAATGCTCTCCGAGCTTGCAACCAGGACGAGCTTTCCGGCAGTGGCAACGCCCTTTGGCTGGGCGGACAATTTGGTCGAGGTTCCTGTATATGTTTTTGCCGCAACGTCTGCAGATCTAAGAGTGTCGTCCCAGCCGACACTGTAGATCCTGCCCTTGCCTTCTTGAGTGCTGGTCAAACCGGCAATGTAGTTTGTATGATTGTCTCCATCAACCGTGTCTGCAGTCCCCGTTGCCACATCCCAGCTGCAAACTCGGCCCTCGAAGCTACCAGTCCAGAGTGTTTCTTTACCGTCATCTGCGCTGAACCGTGTAAGTGCTGTGATGTTCTTCTGATGGCTTTTCAAGACTTGTCGGGGTTGAGGAGACCCCTCTACCAGGTAGTTCAGATTGCCGCTTAGGGATAAACTGATAACAAGACCATCACTTCGTCCTGGCGGAATAACAACACCAACTTGTTGATCCAGTGGATTGACAGCACCTTCGCTGCTCAAATCCCAAGTCTGAGTAATCTTGCCAGCTTCAACGTCCCACAGCTTAACGGTCCTGTCAGCACTGGCTGTCGCAAACTTTCGAGAATCTTTGGACCATGATACGCCAAAGATACTGCCCTTGTGTTCTCCTTCCCCAATTGAGGCTTTCGGCTCGCCAGTCTTGCCGTCGTATAACCATATGCGACGGTCACCACCAACACTCACTAGCTGAGAGCCATCGGGGCTAAAGGCAACCCCATATATATAATTGGTGTGTTTATCCCTGATTCCGGTATTAAACTTAAAGGGCACACCATGGTAGAAGACTAGGGTCTTGTCGTCTCCGGCTGCGGCTGCTCTCAAAGGGCGTTGCTGTCTGATGGAAACGGAATTGATGGGCTGCGTATGGCCATATATCTCGCCAACACTATTCCCACTATCCCAGGTGAAGCAATGACCGTATCTCTGTTTTCCGTCTCCTACAGCGATGATGCGCTGAGAATCGCCGTCCCATGCAATGTCGTTGATTCGACCGTTGACAATTGAATAGTCGCCCTTTGTAATACCTTCTCCTACACAGTCCCAAACCTTTACCGTACCTGCAGCATCTCCACTGGCAACGTAGAAGCCCGATGGCGAGAATCGTGCGACAGTGGCTTGCGCTTTGTGTTCAGTATATTGCCTGGCAACTGCGGGGTTGTCAATTGAGCGAATGAATATGGATTTGTTTGACTGTAGACAAGCCGAAGTGATTAGTTTAATTATCTAAACCAGCATGTAAGATTTGTATCTACCGCATATGCCAGCTTTTCGCCTTTCGCATCAGAGGACAGCTGGGTGGGTTGACCGCGTGTGGTGGAGGGGCTGGGAGCCCAAATCTGCTCTGTAAACAAGTCAGAAACTCGATCACACAGTTTGCAGTTGATGTATAATTACCGTTCGTCAAAGACATTGTGAATCAATCAAAACCAAACTGTTCTTTTTCTATTTAGTTGTTGTCTGAGTGTGAGTGAGGTGTAGAGGAGTAAATAGCAAGTAAGAGGCCCGGACATGTGGGGGTGTCGTCACTCCAGGCAAAACCATTCCGAAGACAACATTAAAGAGAGTGCCTTATGCATCTGAATTTAGATTCCCTGTATACAAGCTAAAACCAGGATGAACTTCCCATATAGTACATATTTCAAACGTATCCCGCGCGCCGCTGTTTCAAAGTACATATAGACCACCCATCTAGAAATTGTATCCTCCTTTGGGACCCCTGCTTCTCGTCTCTATCGCAATAATCTCAGGATGTTGGTGGACACTGGGCATCAGGCCGACTCCAATGGCTCGACGGATTGCCTTTGCAATCTTTCGTTGATTGACGGGTCGTAGACCTGTAGCTGAGCGATGCTTTATCCGACCCATTGGAGTCATATATTCGGACATAATGGAGAAGTTCTAATATAGTATACGTTAGTCGATTGATCGATCCCTCGTAAGACAATGACTTGTCTTTCTTTACCTTATAATGCTCGAGAGGGTTGATGTTCAATGCATCAAAAGCATCGCTCGACGGACTCCAGCGCTTCGACCACTTCTTCATCTCACTGGGGCTCAAATCGTGCGGAGAATAAAGATCGCCTTGCGTCCATTCTCTGGTTTGGAATTTCTCCAGGGTGCGACCTTCATTCTGGTTTCTCGTCTCCTCCATGATCCTAGTTCGCTGCGTGATTCGCTGACGTCTGCCGAGTGCTAGTGCTTTCGATCCTATGATTCTTTCTTAGAAATAAATATCGACTAATTGAAGAAAAGGCAACATACTCGATGACGGCGGTGTGCTTCGCGTTGGTGTAGGAAAAGCTGTTCGCTGAATGTTATTCGGCTGAGTGTTGCTGGGGGTTGTGGAAGCCCATCGACAGGAGACCGGAGCGAGCAAATTGAGGCCCCGTTGTAGCAGGGAGTTCCCTGATTGTGTAAAGAGGCTGAGAGACATGCTGTATCTATTCTGTTTGAGTCTGGAGAGGACTGGATGTTCAATTGACCCTTATGAAGGTTAGAACAAGAAGCTCAAATTTCTCCGGCGCGGAAGTTCTCCACCAACGCCAAGCCGCCAGTTAAAGGCTGCAATCACAGCGACTTGATCATCGCAGCTTCTACATCTTGAATTGCTCGACAATAGCCACTTGCTGATCAATTGAAGCTTGGAAATCAATGATGATATAGTTTAATCGATAGTTCAAGCAGGAAAAATAAGGCGTCGCACATGCGCCACCTCCATAACGGAAGATGCAATCCTCTTACCTTACACGACGCGTTTTCCGTGCTCTCCTCAACAATGAACCTGTGTGTTTTTCGCCTCGACAATGTCGACTCTACTCGCCATCGACGCTGTATCATCCCCGGAGAGCATACAACAACAAGTATGGCCAGTCACGAACTTTTTTCTCGTTTACTTCTGCAACCAAAACCGCGGAAGTCCCAGCTTCCGAAGTTGGACTCCAGACCATGAGTGAACTGTCGAAAGCAAAGATCACCAACGGAAGAGCGCCATCATTTAACGCTCTCTGCAAAGCATATCAAAAGTTCTTTGAGGCAAGAGCTGAAGAACCTGGGATCATAACGGAGTTTCATGCCAAGCAACTTGTAACGACTTATGACTATCTTCGAAAGCACAAGGGAGACGGAGACGTGGACAGCAAGGGATTCGAAATCATCGAGTCGAAGGATTTCATGGAGCTCACTCTTTACGTTCTTTCGCAAGCGAACTGCCACGGCAATTCTCATCAATACATCCGTCGGATAGCAAACAACGCCTACCGTGTATTATCTGCCGCAGCTACAGATGAATCAAGTGAGATCAGCAGTGGTGCTTTTCTTGCTTGGATTCGGATTAATGCATTTTACGGCAACCCCTACCAAGCACGAACAGCACTTGTGAAGGAGTGGCCCAAGGTACAACAATGGCCGGACGTTGATGCCCAGGGTTCGCCTTGGCTTTGGATACTACACGGCATGGCTTTGGATCAGAATGCGACCGAACTTGTACAAGCGGTGCAGGACTGGGACATGGGTGGTTATTTCACTCTTACTCCGCAGCAACATCAAGATTTGGTGATTACTCTCCTCGAGCAGGGTCAACTTGCCGCTGCTAAAATCATGCATGACTGTCCTTTACCAGCAGGTGAACCGACTGTTACTGCTACAAGTGCCGTTGCAAGAGCTTACATTCTCAATGATGACAAGCCCGGTGCAGACGAACTTATTAATCGACTGTCTGTTCATTCCCCAAGTGCAGAGACTCGAGATATCTTTTTGTTGATAGCAGCTGCAAATGGTAAAGATGCACAAGGCTTGGATCGGGAGCTCAATAATTGGTGTTTAAAGGATCCTTCTGTTCGCGAAGGGCTGTCCATCTCTTGTGTCAACGATTTAATTCGGTACGCGTACGTAACCGGAAACAAAAGCCTTGCTGTCGATTATTCCAGTCTGATTTCCACATGGGGCTTGGAGTCGAATTCAGAAACGCAACTTCTCCTCGAATTAGAGCCGCGCATACAAGATTCAGACATCGATGGGACCGTCAAAGCATTGAACGAACTTGACGAGAGCGAGGCATCCGCCAATATCGCCCTGCGAATGAGATACCGCCTTATCAAGATGCTATGCTCATCTCCGAATAATGACGAGGCATTTGACCAAGTCTCTAAACTTCTAGATCCACTTCTCCAGGACGGGATACAGCTAGAGCCAGAAATCCTCACTGTCTTGAGTCGCGCATTGGCCTATCGTCATGACTGGGAAGCGCTTTCGCAGCTGTTGCGACCTCGTATAGGGTCCTATTCAATGCGCAACGAGCGGCCATTAATTCAAAATGCGCTGGTAGATTTCATCCGGGACACGGAACAAGAAAACGAAGAAGTCTGGGAAGCATATGACCTTCTTCGAATCGCCTTCCCCGAAATCTCCGCCGAACGCAGAGTCGAAATCATGGACCTTTTTTTCACACGTGGCATGGTCGAGGAAGCATGTCAAGTCTTTGGACACATGCGACATGCCCCAACACCAGCCCAACGTCCAACACCCGAAGCATACATAACATGTTTCCTGGGTCTTGCCCGAGCCACAGCCTGGGATAACACCAAACTAATCCGCAACATGCTCAAAGTCGACGTCGACATCGAAATCACCACTCGCGTCCGCAACTCCGTCATGCTCGCCCTCGCAGCATGCGAACGCTCAGAGGAAGCAATGGACGAATTCCGCGAGATTTTACGTTCGGACGAAGGGCCCTCCCAAAATACATTAATAATTTTTTTCCGAGCATGCGAATCAGCTCCTAATGGTGTCGCGGAAGCGAATAAAATGCTTACCAAGATTACCGCGTTGGAGATTCCGTTGGATCGCGGGTTGTATCTTGCTTATATCAAGGCTCTTGCAGCGCAGGGTGAGCATGAACTAGCAATTGAAGCGTTGGAACAGACGGAAAACAAAATCGGTCAACGGCTTGATAAAGACATGTAACCACCCCACCCTTTCGTCTCACTTCATTCTTCCCTTTTTGCTGATATTTCAACAGGATCGCAAGAATATACAACTCCTGCGCCCACGAATACGCCAAAGAGGGAATCCAACAATGGACCGTAGAAACCCATCCGACAGTCTGGCAAGAATTGGAAAACCTGCCTCGAACCGAGACGGAAACGGGATTGCGGCTTCAGGGGTTTGAGGATGATTTGGCTGCGATGTTGTAATCAACCCTGATGGGTCCTAGATAAATGTATGTGTATAGACTGGTTGTATGATTGAATGGGATATGAATCATTCAGATGAGAAGAATATTCATGCTTAGAGCCTGGATTGGAGATCCGTTACGGAGATAATGATAGGAAAGATTCCGAAATGGGCCTGCTGCATTTCAAGACATGTATAATATCTAATTCCGACAGAAAATAGAATAGTAGGATAGGTAATACAGCTGATATCAAAAACAGGCTAGACATGAAACAAAAGTAGAAACATTAGTACACACACAACACACACACTCTGGCCAATTGGTTTATTACAAGTAATTGATTGATGGTTTATGCAGACCTTTTCCCCAAAAGCAATTGTTTCTCCTCATCCCATGCGAAAAGGCCAAAATGACGCTCGTCCTAATGGTAGGACGACGATGGATCCCGATTATAAAGATAATTGATGCTAGAGATGACAATAAGTCATGAAATGAGATCATTTCGAATTCAACAGTTGGGAAGAGAACTTTTTCGACATGCTGGAAGACAGATTAGTAAAAGAAGTCTTGCCTCGGGAACGAAGACTTACAAATCAAAGAATGCAAATTGGCTTGGGTTACTGCCGTATTCGTACACGAAACGACTAGCCAAATAACTGCCAAAGATTGATCGGAGATAGTTTTCCGGTACCTTAAAAGTTATTAGTCAGATATAAATGCATCTAAGCGAGGAAGAACATACCCGAGTCAATATCGTATCAAGTCCAACCTTCTCCAAGAGTAGTCGTGGAAGAGCATCTTCCAAAACCTTGCGGCGCAATTGGACATTATTCCACAACGATGTCTTTTGCAACTCCTCGTCGAGGTTCGTAATAGCCAGACTCAATCTGTCGCTGAGCACACTACGCAACAGTCCTGTGCGTTCGTGTTCAAGCCATATCGCCTCAAATTCCAAGGTGGCATTGCGTTTGATGATTTCCTGTACTTCCTTCACGTATTCCTGGTAGAAGGCGGGTACGGTTCCATCTTCAGCAACACACATGTTCTGGACGAATTCCTTGTCGTCCAACGACAATGAGGCCAAGACTTCGAGTGACGAGGATGTCACACCACCCTTGTTAGCTGACGCATCTTTGTACAAGATGCAGCCTGCCTTTTCCAATCGAAGCTTCGCATCTTGCGTAATAAAAAGGTTAGCCCCTTCGACAATGTACGGAATCACCGATTTGCCGTTTACAATCAGTTTGTTCACAGTGCTCAAGTCAATCGACTCTGGTCGTCCTCCACAAGGAACAAAAAGATCCACTTGGGATTCCTTTCGGAGATGGAATGTGTTTCGGAAAAGCATGCCGTTGTTGACAACTTCGCCCGAAGGAAGCTTCACGTTTGAATCTTCCACAAGGACACGGTAGCCTTGAGCTGATAGCTTTGACAGATCGTACTGTGAAATCATGACTCGTTTCTTTGCGAGTTTCACCAACTCATCGCGGTCCAATCCGTTGGGATCGACAAGCACACCAGATCCATCTACAATTGCTATGTAATTTTCGTTTCCGAGCAAAATTTCGTTGGATCCCAGATCACCATCGGGACCACCAGTCTGCAACTTCTTGACGGTGGAAGGGTCGATGTTCAATTTGCGGTAGATACCGAGGACATACTGACGCACAGAAAGAGTGGTCATGCCATAAGCATCGTGGGGGATACCGCCCAGTCTAGGACTCTTTCCTGTGAAGAAAGACTTCCACCACGGCGCGCCTCGTTTCCTGGCATGCTCAGTAGCCCAGTCAACAAGATCTGCCGTGTTCTCATCGGGGCCCATGAAAAGAATCTCGTCCTTTCCGTGAAGATCGACGATGGGATCTTTGATACCAGGACTGGTTGGTGGGATAAGAAGATCGAGAATACTGTCGATATACTTCTCAAACGCCACACGAGCTTTGTCTTGATGGTCGACATCAAGAAGGATGACACCTTTGGCACCACCTTCGGGAATATCCTTATTCTTACGCTGTTGCGTATTGGCAAGGTTGTAGTTTTCATCAAACAAAGACCGAGCATTAATACCGTAAGATTCTTTGTTTCTACTCTTAACAATGCGAATTCCACCGCGAGCAATGTCGCGGAAACGGAGGTGGAAACCTCTGAACTCGGAACTGATCACAAGGAACATGCCGTATAGACGTTGTGGGTACTCATGCTCTGGCAAAAAGTCGGGATGCAGACGGAAACTCAGTGCCACCTTTGTTGGGGTGTAGAAGTTTGTCTTCAAGATGGCTCTGTTGAAGGTCCGGAAAGCGGTCATCACCATCTCGTCGTGCTCGTTGACCGCAGTTCGGCTGATAATTTCTTTGAGTTTGGCATCGTCCAAGATTTCATCGACTTGCAAACGCAAATAACTAAGTGTAGGCAGGAAATCATCCTGCGGGTCTCCAGTCTGCACGTAATGAGTGCTGGCAAAATCGAGGTAGAGCTTGTGAATGAGATCTGGGTATTTGTTAATAATCTCAAAGATATAATCCGACGTAAACGTCTCAGTACGGAGTCGTTTCTTAATCTTGGCCAAAAGCTCTGCATGTACGCTGTTGCTAGAGTCCAAAAGTGCCGTCAACGAAGTATACTCGGACCCAAGACGATTCAGGAATTGTTGGATAAAGACCCAGGCACAATGAGAATAAATAGTCTCTTGCAGACTCAGCCGGCCAGAAGCAAAGTGATTCTGGAAACGGTTTTGCGGTACACAGTACAAAAGAGAGACTTCCTTCACAATCTGGTGGATGGCAGCTTCAATGGGGGGATACTTTTGCGAAATCTCATTAGAGACGGGTCTCAGGTAGAGCGAGATGACGTTGATTCCGTTAGAAAAGCTCTCGAGGTACTTCCTCGAGCTGGTCAATCGGTAGTAATGGTAGAGATCAGACAGGGCGCTGAAAATGCCCATGGCAGATCCTTGGCGATAAGCCACAACCAAACGTTTTTCACGGCTGTTCTCAATGTCAAAGACTTCGATAACAGGACCGGTTCGGGAGACCGCATTAGAGATGACCTCTTGATAGATGGCCTTAGTGTTTGCAGTTGCCTTTTGGAGAAAGCGCTTCTCGCCGATGATCTCGATGTTGGTCTCATCGGGGTCTGGATTAGGGTTGGCGAACTGGCATTTGTAGACAAAGTAACAACGCAGTTGCTGTGCATCCTCCCCTGGTAAGGGGCTGGTGGAGCGGAAACTCTCGACTCGATAACTTCTTCCCGGTCTAGAGCCGTCGATGTATTTGGAATCGATGCGTGACTCGTAATTTGGGCCGTCAAGGGTGGTCACACCAGGTTTGCTGGTATCAATGTAGACGGCATGGTCTTCGTCTTCCTTGTCGAGACGGATCTCCAAACGCTTATCGTCACGGGCATAGGCAGCTACTTTGGCTGCATACAAGGACAGGATCTGAGTGACTATGGATTCTACAGATTCAGTCTGGAAATACATGTCGTCGATTCCGAGCATGTTGTAGAACCAAGTGGTTTCTGAGACAACGAAATCACTGGGGAAGAACCCTTTTTCCTCCAAGCGGTCCATGACTGTGAAAGTTAGTCCAGGTCTTAGGGCACAAAACGTAAGAGCTTACCCTGCTCCATTTGTTCCTGTTTGCCTTCGAATTTGGCCGAAATATAGCCAGATCCTTCTTCTGACAAGACCCTATGGTGGCCGGGCAGTCCCAGGTGCACTGGTTGCGGGGAGGGTTGACGACCGGGCGTTCTGATGACATGGTCGAGATGTTTGTTGTGAGGAAAGCGCTGGAACCCAATTGGGGTTCCAGGACCAGAGGAACCACTACCACCGACAACCAATTGTGGAGTTGACAGGCCATTGCTGTGGCCATTCACTCCAGCAGGAGAGGGTAGACCCTCCGAAGGAGGACGTGTCGAAGCAGGATCAATTGACATAGCGGTGTGTGAAACCGTCGAGAATCAGGAGGCGGCAATGCGGTACGAGAGAACTAGAAAAAAAAAATACGTCTCTAGAAACAGGCACGTATGTACGTATATATAGTTTCAGGAGGCTCTAACGACGGAGAAATTGTCAGTTAGCCGGGGACTTGCGGTCAAACAATACAATGGAACGAGAGATAAGAGAATAAGCAAGGAAAGACCCAAAAAACAAGAAAGGAGCCGGGAAGAAGAGAGCTCACCAGTCAAACAATCAAACAAACAGTCCTTATCTCTGATAACAGGGTTATAGCAGGATTGCAATCGAGGCCAATGGATAGGAAGTGTAACACGAGAGGGCAGCAAGTGAGGGCTTAGAGGAGCTTTCCGGGAGCGTTATCCGAGTACGAGCTGGATGAGTCTCACGACGACAGGGACGCCATGCAGGAGAATTGATTGTGTGTATCGGCACGTGTTATGATTAATCGGAATGAATTGATTGAGTGAATGACAAGGGGATTCATGGATATAAATAAGAAGTGAGCAGGACTCATTGCTCAACAGTGGCGGGGCTGGCGGAGACGTCACAGAGAGAAAGCGCCCGCACAGCAGGCGGTAAGGCGGTAAGGCGGCAAGATGCGGTCAGGAACGGATCTCTTCAACTTCTGGCCTTTTTTTTCCCTTGATAAGTTATTTTTCCTTCCTCTCTGTCAGGTCTGACTCTCTCGATTATTCTCTTCTCATGAATACGAATATACCATACCACCGACCTCTACAGACAGACCTGAATTGCAGAATCACGAATCTACGTCCGCCATTAACTAGCCAGTGGCCACACGGAGGGACACGAACAGACAAATCTCCCCAGACCAGCTGACCAAATGCTGCTCCAGATTCGTTCCAGCGGGTCAAATCTCCATATTTAGCAGTCTATCAAGTCAGGACCGCATACGCCTTTACGGAATAGTCCGTAGTGGATTACCCCAGGTGATCAGATCGATTGGATCTGGCTGGTCGGTTGTCAAGGGATGGTCCCGAGTTTCTACAAGGAGTTCGTTCAATTCGTACGCTAAACTCGTTGCAAGTATTCATTCACTCCATTGCTTAACTGCGTCTACGTACGTACTGTCCTGTCTTTCTATCAAGTACCGGAATCTGGATACTTCGGAATCTAGCATGCTATCGGCGTGCCGGTACCTCTGCCGGCTCTACCGGCACGGTCACATTCCACCGACTGTCCTACGTTACGTAGATAGACGGTGATACACCCCCCTTTCTCAGTTCCTAATGTGACTCATACTCCGGACGTAGTTGAACTAGTTGAGATAACAAAAACGAAAAATGGCGCAAATATGTTACTCCTTAGCTGCAGGCGGTCCTGTGGCGCCGGCGGTCTCACTGATCCAGTAAAAGAGCCTGAGGCTGTGCGTGGTCGATTTCTATTATTAACATTACCTTATAGAAAGTAATGATTATATAAAAAGGAATGTTCCAGGCTTCGTTTATTTTTCCCTCAGTGGGGCAACGATCTTGGTGATACTCGATGAGGAAGGAAAATATGCAGTTAGCAATGGAAACGACATCGTAATGAGGGATTTCACGATTTGCTTGATATGAGAGGTCAGTTGGTTCCGTAGCTTATTGGTAAAGCCAAACTTTAGAGTCGATTACCCCGGATTTTCTTCGTGATTACGTAGATAGCCGTGAAGTGCTAGTTTTTCAACAATTCAACAATACGAAGAATAAGTCTTCAACTAGACAGAAGAGCATATGAAGGGGTTTATCCCCTGAATGCCGGACCACGTGGGGTGATATCACGTGTATCTTTCGATCACGGGATATACAGAGATTTTGAATTTTTGAACTGTCAACGATCGATCTAGATTTGACTTACTCTTAGTCAGGGGAATATTATCTAGCGATACTCGTGATTCGCATCTATCAGTGTTGAAATAATTCTTATGTTCTTGAAATTTAACAGGCGGCCTGACTCCGACTTCTGTGATGGATGCCGCCATTCGCCCGGAGCACCGAATCGCCGAGGACGATGTTCTGGAAGAGCTTATCCAAGATACAGAGGATAGACGATCAGAGTCTCTATATCGACTTGATAGAAGCTACGGACGTACCAATTTTCCATTGTAGTGAGTCTGACAATTCATATTCAGGACTATCTTCCAAGTCCCAAACAAGTCATAACAAGGTAACCCCGGATTTCCCAACATCCCGTCCCAGAGCTAAGCACTATTCAGTCTAGCACAACGGGGCAAAACATCTTCTTTTGTCTTCCGTCTGGCCTAATTGGCAGCCTTCTTTATGTATCGCTAGGGTTGTTGACCTCCCGCTTGTTACCCAACATCATGGATGTACCCCGTACTTACAAGTTACCGCATATCCGATTCGCAGTAACAGGGTTCAAGGCGACTAATCAGAGCTATAAACTGTACGTACTTTGCTGTCTTTGCAAACTGTATTGGGCTGAAAAGACGGACACAATGCAAAGACATGTCATTCGTAGCCTGTGCCTAGCTACATGCAGTCCGGGGTATAAACAAAAGGTTGGGGTAAGTTAGAGTAAATAGGCTGATAAAAGCTCTCGGGATAATTTATATGTTACCAAGACTACTTACGTGTCTCGTCCTTATAGACTTGAGAAATTTTTTCTTTTTCTTTTCTTTTCTTCTGATCAATCTATTCTTTCTTTCTATCAGCCTAACTGTATGTACTCGTGCCAGATCACTGACGTATCCGATTATATCATCCTCGTGTTTATCATTCATCACACTACCTACAGATCTTAGCTATATCTGTCGGTTAGTTTGAGCTGGGTATATACTAGCGGTGATTTCCGTCAATCCTTCAACTCATCTTCTTCTTTTTCCTTTTCTCTACAGATATTCCTGTGGAAGTCCCGGATTGCGTCTCCTTCCGAACCATACTCAATTTAACCGAGGTACGTTTTGCTCACCTTACGATCCAGGGTCAGTACTGTTCTATCGGGCTATTTATTTATCCCCTGTCGCATGTTTCTTCTCTTAGTCTCGGATTTTCTGTTTTATGTCTTGAAACGAGGCTAATATTATGGCCCTACATGCAGCTGAAGAAGCAGCTCGAACTCCATACTTCATCCGCCGTTCTTCTCTCATCTCGATTTCGCATATCGACGACGGAATACTCGACAAACATCCTCAACCTCGTGCATCAGGCAATCGGACTCTAAGAACATGACATCAACAATGCCAAAACTCAGCAAACTCTCCACACAATCACCAACATTCCCAAACACAAAATCCACCACATCTGCACCCCTGAATCATCAGGACATATTCCGTGCCCTCGAAGCATCGGCTTCCATACTGCCGAAATCATTCATTAAGTCCTCTTCATCCGCGACGCATGTCGAGTTTTCAGACCATCAGTTTCAGATCCGCCGCCCCGCGCCGTCACCCGTGGGGCTTCCATCGAGTCCTCGTTGAACCCGTCTTGTTGAGACTTGATGTTTGTTGATATTGTGCATATGTAATATAGATCGATTTGACTGGCGTCGCGAACAGGAAGCTGGCATGGATATGGGATGGAATTTGCGTCGCTGCTGTGCGGATAATATATTGTCTTTCTGTTGAATCAATCTGCTCATGAAGAGCTCCTCATTGGGTTACTGGAGAAGTGCCGTAATTTGTAAATATCGTAACCGTGGGTGATCTGATAGTAGCATCAATCCGGTGTCTGCTCTATCTGAGTATACAACTCCTCCAGCTTGTTCAATGCCTCAGAATCACCTCCAAGAGCCGCCCGGTTCAATTGGTGAATCATATTGACTCGTTCTTCCGTATGAGCCCATTTGCTTATCCTATCCTCAAATTGCTGGTTACGTCTCGACCCATACGTCATCCGCACCATATCCGTCTCCCCTTTTTCACGTTTGATGTCCATAAGTTCTTGCAAGAAGCGGACTTGAGAGGATCTGTTATCGTGCGCAAAGGTCGCGGAGGAAATTTCTTTCTCATTCGGTTTGGCAGTAACAGACGAACGAGCAACATGCACCCGTCGCCCAATAATCTTTATGGGATTCGCTGCAATCAACGAATATCCATCCGCGTGCTTGAGATATGTCGGATCAGGCTCCGAATCCTCGCGACGAACGAAATGCATATCAGTCCCAATCATATCCGCCCATTCACAGCTAAATATATGATTCCGATAAGAAATATAAGGATTCTTGCTATGCAATTCCATGATTTGTATCTGATCGTCATCTTCAACCTCGACTTCATCGGTCGCGATATCGTGTAAGGATTCATTGCCGTCGACCCGTTTGCGTTTTCCGGTTACTTCTCCCCTGTCTTGTGGCGGTGATGCGGCTTCTTCGGCGTCTTCGTCGGGCCTGCTGGGCTGCTCTGTTGTCGAGGACGCGTATCCACGCGGTACACGGAGGGGTCCATTGTAGGAGGTTAAATCGATATTGACGTAGAAGGTCTGTTTGTTAGCTGTCATTTTTTAGACCAAAGAATCGAGAGCGTACCTCTGTCTCTGTGGCATCGTATTCATACTCGTATTCAGAGTCTGGTGTTGAGACCTGCATGACTTTGCGTACTGAGTTGTGCTGTCCTGGTAATCGTTAGATCGTCCCTGCTAATCTTCTGCACCACGCGGCGCTAAACCCAATTCGGCTGATCACTTAAGCTTTGTGGCCGGGCTTGGCGTTTTGGGTAATTACGAGACTCACCACAAAATTGTAGTACTACGTATAGGGAAGTATATCGTGAAAGTGTATTATGAAAGTACATCACTACAGAGGATGGTCGGTGAAGATGAAGACTTCAAGGGATTGGCCTCCTGAGAACGAATGACTTATCCCAGATCGCATAAGAATCCTCTATCCTCAACCGTGAGAAGATGAAGCCTGCTGATTCGCTATCTTCAAACGGCATGCGAAACGAAGGACTTCATAGTACTGAGTACGGAGTTAGTAAGTACACAGTCTTATTTCGGACGTCCAATTGACAATTGCATGCAATACACGCAGCCTCATCACAACCCTACTACAAAGTCTACTAGACTGAGTCTATACACTTATCGATAAGATCGCGATAATTTTTATCGATTGCTAACCGAAGTCAACCATGATGTAATGAATACAGCGTCTTGATGCCATGATCAGCCATTCTTCTCAATAGGACAATATAGTGAGATCTCTCGCATGACTGTATATTATGCTAAAATACAATAGTTAGTAATCATCGACTGAATAATAATAAAGTAGTGGTGTTACTCGGCTGCGAGCGGAACACCCTGGTGCCAGAATGCCGATTCGTGGGGCGCCACCCGCCCTGATTGGCCGCAGAGCGAGTCACGCTGGCTGTTCCCGCCCAAGCCGGTCTCACCTGCAGCGTTCCTGGCTTTCTCATTCTCTCTTCCCTCTTCTCTCTTCTCTTCCTCTCTTATATCCTCTTGCTCATTCCCCTGCTTCTGTTCTCACTCCATCTCACCTACTCTCGTCCTCTATAGCATGCGATTGCCACCCTAATAGTCCTCTCGGTGGCTTGCCGCTTACTTCCTGCTGGTCCGGTACCGCACTGAACCTTTGTCTTGCCATTATTACCGCGAAACGCATTTTTATCCCATTATATAGCTACTCTTTATGCCTGTCAAGTGAACTGCTTCATAATAGAAGAACTTCATCCCTCGACTGGTCGCTCTTACCGCTGGCCCGGTACAGCTGACAGACTTCCCAGCACTCTCGGATCCCTCCAAGACGACTGTACAAGACATCCGAGAAACCCGGCTGGACTAAAACTGCACTGCACTCACCACCGCAACCATGGGCCGCCGACGTCCAGTCTCGAAATTCATTATTATCACCCTCGCCAGCTTAATCACATACCTGTCGATCAGCAGTGTCCTTCGTGCTGTCAAACCGTCGTTGTTCGTCTGGTCCGAGGAAGACTTGGAAGAAGCAGAATGGCTGGCCACATCCAAGTCCTGGTGGGATCGCAAGTTTTGTCGGTTTTTCGGTCTCTGCGGTATCGCTCATGTACGTCTGTCCCGCAAGGATGGGCCTCCCAGTAGAACACTGGGCCAAATGCCCATTGATTATCAAGACGATAGCTGGCGGATGGATTGGACTCTTGCAGAAGATCTTTCTGCGAACTGGACCAACAGTGAAAGAGTCCTGCGTGAGGTTCCAGAGTACGTGTTTGAGTATGCGCCTTTGGTGCATTTGTTCTCAGGCGAGAGTTTCTGGCCCGGAGATATTGCGGAGCATCTCGTATACACTACTCCGACATTGAACTACACCCCTGTTCAAGCAAAATGGGACCATCCAACTCTGCAGGATTTGGATCGACTTAATAGATGGGAGTTGGGTAAACATGTTTATCTCACCAGTGGCGACGATGTTGAAACTCGGCCGGCCTGGTTGGGAGGGGAGAGGAATATCCCTGTGCCGCCCCAGCCGGGAACGCCAGATCCTGAAGAACCTGTTGATGACACACCTGGTAACAGCCCAGTTTCTAATGAAGGCGACGATCGAAAAAAATGGTACGATGCCGGGGGCTGGAATGACGATGTAGATGCTCACTCGGTTGAGATGGAAGAGTCAGAAATACTTGATTTTGAACATACGGTTGAAGAGTTGCGCAAGAGATACACTGGCAAGCCCATCAAAACCACTGGCGTGGACCGAGGACGCAGCGACGCTCCTGCCTTTTTGGTCGTTGTTGACAAAGGCAATGATATCGTGGATGCTTTCTGGTTCTTCTTCTACAGCTACAATCTCGGAAATACAGTCTTTGATGTGCGTTTTGGAAATCACGTCGGTGACTGGGAGCACACCATGGTGCGGTTCTACAAGGGCCATCCCAAGGCCTTGTTTCTTAGCGCTCATACCGCTGGCGAGGCTTACAGTTATGAAGCTGTTGAGAAGCAGGGTAAACGGGTACGTTATTTCTCGTCTTTAGTATAGTATACGAACTGAGCTAACTTGAATAGCCCGTTGTTTATTCAGCTACTGGTACACATGCCATGTATGCCACTCCTGGAATTCATGAATATGTTCTTCCGTGGGGTCTACTTCATGATCAGACTGACCGGGGTCCGCTGTGGGACCCGCTACTCAACTCGCATTATTTTACCTATGATTATTTGAGTGATGTTCTGCGAGCCTCTAATCTCAACCCCTCAGCACCAACAGAATGGTTTTTCTTCAACGGCCACTGGGGCGACAAATTCTACCCACTAGGCGACAGACGCCAATACCGCTTCGCCGGACAATACCACTACGTCAACGGTCCCCTGGGTCCACGATTCAAACATCTCGGCCGACGCAAAGTCTGTCAAGGACGATATACCAGTTCCTGCGTGATCCGCAATTTTGTCGAAGAAGAAAAACGATCCAAGCGCTGGGTTGGTGTGGGAGTGGGCGAAGAGCCGGAAGATGAGGAGTTGAGTTCCATCATGGAGCGGAGGACGAATTGGTTGATGACAAACGGTATTAATCCAGAGGTATGATTGATGGATTTGGAGTTTGGTAGTTTGTCTAGACTTGGATGTTCTCCGACTGATGATTTGATGGATGTTATTTCGTTTCTATACCCCAATATCGTTCTGAATGGTGCATGATTCTTATGATTGATTCTAGAAGATTATGATATCGTTGAAGATTTATAGAGAGCTGCAGTGAATGATTATTTGCTTAATATTATCGTCGGCATTACCCACATCGTGATGTCAACTTCGACATACTTTAGAAGATCATAACAGGTCTGCAATCTGTCTCGCTCGTCTCGCCATCTCCTCCAGAGGAATCCTCTCACTCACCTCCTCCCCCGCCCAAAGCCTCCACTGCTCCTTCAACTGATACGTAACAACATCCACTCCCTCCCCCGTCACCCACCCATACATTTTGGCTGCAACAAGATTCCTCGTCTGACGGGGTTTGTAGCACATATCTAGAAATACAGCCCTCCTTCCACCCTCGCTATTTCCCCGAGCGAGCAGGGAATGTAACGTATCTCGCGCCGTGATCTCTTCATCTGTCGTGGGTGGATAATCCGGAACTGTGCCTATGCCATAATACGGAAAATGGTTGATATTTCTCGCTTGTTCCGGCGTTTGTAGATGAATAATTTCCGGTATGGGCGTCCTCCTACTCTGATACCGGGTCTTGATATCGTTTACCAGCGTCTGCACTTCGTCAATATCACGATTGACGATGTATATCCTCGCGACGCTCAAATGTCTCGTAAGCGCATAAATGGCTGCTCGAGAGGCCCCGCCTGCACCGACAATAAAACCCGATTTTGTTTCCTCGTCGTTGATTGCATTATTTGGCCGGGATTCACGATCAAGTCGTAAAAGACATTCTCTAATCCCGATCCAATCCGTATTCGTCCCTATCAATTTGCTCTCTGTGCCTGCAATGACGGGATAGATATTATTACAAGCCCCAACCAAGGAAACAATCTCATCAACATCATCCAAATAACGAATAATAGCCAATTTGTGCGGCATAGTAATCACCGCGCCGGCAAATTTTGGTCCATGCAGTTTTCCCTTTATGAGAGTATCATCGTGGGTGACATCGGGGATGTCGATTGCTTCAAGACGCCAGTTTGTGTAGCCGATCGTAGCTGCGACGTCGTTGTGGATTGTGTTTGTGATGGCGTGGCTGATGTTTGAGCCTATGAAGTAGATTCGTTTTTGGTCCGGCATTTTGTTTTGTTCTTTCTGCTCAAGTACCCAGGTAAAATGATAGGTTTCCAGGTGTTTGAGTGAGGAAATCTACCTGCTACCTAGGTATACGAATCGGCGGGGTTATTCATAATCTTAACCGCTCTCTAAAATAAGTAACCGGACATTGAATAAGTCATCAAAATCTCCTGGTATATACATCGCGAATCGCCGTGATTTAGAATATCTAAACGTTGGGTAATAAACTAGGCTATATCGTCAATATGGTTCAGAAAGGTAAGAACGCAAGAGTTGTTGCGTTGGTTTGAGCATTGACTAGGATTACCCAAATAAGACACTTAGGGCTAATATCCAGAACGCCCGAATGTCACAACAAAAATATCACTTTTCCGAAATATAAAATGCAACAAACAAGTACATAAGAAATATGCACGCTAGTATAATCCATTGATCATGCAATCCATCATATCATATGCCATATCAAACCTGCTCCCTACCTTCAATCTCATCAACAACAACAAGCCTCTGACAAAACGGACTATTCCTCCTAATCTCACCCCCATAATACAACAACACAAACGGAATCGGCAAACAAGCCAAACTCACAAACCCAAGCACAGAAGTCGCCCACGAAACCCCCAATGAGTCGTAGAGCGGGGTTGCCGTAAACGGTAAAAACGCACCCGCAATACTGCGTACAACAACAGAGGCTGCAAGGGCACTTGCAGAGTATATTCTGTACGCGTCCGTGACGTATGTCAGTAGTGAAGTGAAAACGATTTGGTATCCGAACCCGAAAACCAGACCCGACGCGACGGGGACGATCCAGTGGATGCTTGATTTTGCGGTCCATGCAAGCCAGAAGATACTAATTGTGAGACAAGGGCCGGAGAAACATGAGAGAGGTAGACGATGTAATTCGGGACTGGAGGTCCAGGGTTTGCCGAGTTTTTTGTCTTTTTCGTAAAACATGTCGTAGCATATTGTTATGACGCCGGAGGATGAAGCGCCGATGCCGACTAGACGTATTAGTATTATGTTGTTGAGTCTGATGGGAGAGCTTACTTGGGATATAAGTGAGAGAGGCGGATTTGACGTCAAGTCCATAGATTCCCTCGAAGATAATGGGATATGCCTGAAAGTAGAAAAACACTAAGCTGTAGGCAATAGCAATGTATAGTGTAGTCGACAGAATGATCGGCTCGGTGAAGAGCATCGTAATAGGTCTGACGATGATTTGAGTCGTTGTAAAAGTCGAGTCAGGGTACAGTTCTTCGCGGGAAAAGTATCGATTTCCCCATTTCTTCCTAAGTTTGCATGCTTGTTGTTTCAATAGGGCTGGTCCGAAGGTTTCTATCATAATCAGCAGTTGGTTCTTTAGTCTTGATACAAGGGATATACCAGATGTGAATAGGAGAGCTATCCAGGTGGTACCCGTCATGATAAGACTGATCCGAAACGTCCATCTCCAACCATATTGAACAGAGCATCCAGAGATAATCGGTCCTAGAATTGGCCCAAAACTCCCAGCCTATTCATGTCAACAATGCACATGCCAATCCAGAAGACTTCTACATACCGACATATACGTAACCATCGCCCGCCCACGAGTCCGCTCATTAAAAAACATATCCGCATATAACCCCCCAACAACGGTCTGCGGCGCAGCACCCGCAAGACCACAAATAGCCCTAAAAGCGAGAAAAGCGCCCCAACTGGGCGCAAAAGCGCACGCGAGGGTTGCCAACACAAATACTGAAAACGTGCCCAACAGAACGGGTTTTCGTCCTATGGATTCACTCATAGTACTAAAAACCATCGACCCAATAATATAGCCTACTAAGAATAAAGCCGTAGGGAGGACTTTGAGTTCAGAACCGGATTGGGAGAATTGCTGCATTATGGCGGGTACGGCGTTGCTGGGTAAGGCTGTTGAGATGCCGCTGTTGACTGCGACGATGAATGCCACGATGGCATTGTACACTTTTTTATTCTATAGAGACCGTTAACTTTGGGGTGGTGAACAGAATACAGGGTATGCGTACAGCAGTCCAGTTGGGAGGGTTTGCGGCTGATTGATTTGAGAATTCGACCAATATTTCATCTTGGGAGAGTTTGGTCAATGTATATCCTTCATCTGTTTGTGGTTCTTTTTCTGATTCTGCCAGGGTTGAAGATGTTGAGTTAAATGCATGTCCCTTGTCTAGTTGCAAAAAGATCTTAGTATAATTGACAACGCCTATCAAGGTATGAGAGTGGCATCATACCTGAAAGGAAAAGACCATTTGCTTGAGCCATGGCTGAGTCTATATTTTTGCTTTCCATTGTCTATACTAAACTAAAAAACGAATGAGAAGGAAAGAGAAAAAGGAAAGAACTGTGTTGGTCCCTGGTTCCAACCAAGTACTGTATCAATTGCTTTAATTTGCGAATGAGTGGATCTATATATACACATATCAAGAAATTTTCATTCAAGCCGGACGCAAACGAAAAACAAGAAAACAAATTGACTCATCTACCATCCCTAGCGCCAGAACTTCCATCAACAATGTACAATACCTCATAATTACTATATGGGGGTACAACATTACACTCTAAGATTGTGGATCGATATATCACTTTCCGAACCGGGAAGTCGGCGCCGTACCGGGCCCGGAAATTAGGGCAAATCGACCATCGGCGCCGGTCACAATCCGAGGGTCTAGACAGGCGTTTTTGAACAATGAACAACAACCTGTGGGTTATCACACGGCTAATGCAGTTGAAGGAGAGATTCCTCTGTTGCAGTTAGATTGTGTACTGCATTGAGGCCCAAGTGGTTTTATATTCAGGGCCTGGCCAGACGAGTACTATTCATTGTATTCACTACGTGAACGAGTTTCTGTTCACAAGATATCCGAGTAGCATCAGTATATAAGATACTAACTACTGAGGTATGGAAGGCATCGTATGCAAAAAGTCAAAGATATCATTCTGGTCTTCCTCGAAAAGCCCAAATGAATCCGCAATAGAATTGGACATGGTAGCCCAATTAGGGACCTCCATCATTTCCGGTAGACGAGAAAGAGGCGGTCTGGGGGTATCATTACTCAATGTCGGTATCGTATTCGACTCCTTGTTGGTAGTAGTGCTCTGCATAGTCGGCCCACGATTATTACCTTCGTCATCATGTGGATTCGAGCCCATTTCCACTGGAGGAGCGTTTATTATGAGATTAGTACTGCCGTAGGAAGTAGGCGATAATCGATCTTCGCCTTGTTGTTCGGGCATGTCTACGTGATTTTCCTGGCGCCGTTGACTGGCGATCAAGGCACGTGCATAATTTACAAAGATTGACACGGTGCGGTGGATATCTGGATACGGTGGCTGTCTTAGGAAGTCGCATATTTTCTCCGCTCGTTCGAGGAGAAGTGATTGATCTATGAGACTGGGACACCAACGCGCGACTCGGAGAGCAAACGTCGCTAGATACGATATTAGACACGAGACAGGAATCAATGGGAGAGTTGGCAAACTTACTAACGAAAGCGATTGTTAAAGCTGGGTAAGTCGGTGCCCACGTCATTTGATACCGATATGATGACTCGTTGATGAGATACGCTAATTGGTCCATGATGGTAGTAACAAGAGATTGCCATAAATTCATAACGCTCTGGTCCATAGTATCCGGGTTTGAGTTGGCGTAAGTCGGTTGTAGTCTCTGAATGCGTGCCAGTGAAATACAAAACACAAAGATCCTGGCGTAGTGAAGCATGAGTTTGAGGCTGCTGCGTTGAAATGCTCCTGCATGGAAACCGTTTTCTGGACGACTCAGTAAATTATTCATATGTGAATTTCGAAAGACGCGCTTACGATCATGAATCTCATCCCACGTTATCCACCAGTTCTGAAGTCTTGACATGATAGCTGGCAGCTCACTGGAGATGATATCAGAGATTGTTGGTGTTTTTTCGATGATCACTCGAGAATGGCCTTCTCCCAGTTAGCTACTGCACAACAGCCTCAAATGGATGGCCGACCTCGTAATTGATGCAACTCTATGATACTCACTGTACGCATATCAGCCGGTAGAGAAAGCGGATAATCAAGAAATGCACGAAGTTTCGTGACATCCACTTCAGCAATACGTGATTTGCGTCCAGTACCAGAGGCCACGTCCAATTCCAACGTAAAACTGATTAGCCAAGTTCTCGTTTGCCATACTAATTCACGGTCTGCCATAGTAGCCGAAAGTGAGCTTCGAGGTACATTCTCCTGAGACAACAGAGTGTCTAGTGACTTTTCCAGTCCAGAGTCCAAAGCAGTGCGTAGAATGAGTGCAATTGAGAACCACGTCTTTTCAGAGTAAGCAGCTAATAAAATCATTCCCTGAACGGTTTCTAGCTTTGTAGGTCGTTCAAAAAAGCTGTCCTCAGCTAAGCGATGTGCTTCATCTTGCAGAACTCGCTGCAAGTGGGTATTACTGCGTAAATCGGCTACAGCGCGACTGGCGAGGTAGATGATTACTGTAAAACAGAACAGAGAGCGTGAGCGGATGGAGTCGAATGTATCCCTGATTGGATCGAAAAGGGGAAGGAAATTTTTGCTCCCACCAGCAAATCTATTTGAATAAGCAAGTGTTCCCGAGTATGTGTTTATGTACACGTACCGTTCGTACATAACACGTGCATTCTCCTCACTGACAATGCCACGCGCGATGATATCACCTTTCGAATCGCCTTTCGATGAGGAATCCATAAAAATCTGATTTCACTATCAGCAACCAATGAGCCTCATACAGATAGATGTGCATACATTGTCCGAGCCCAGCAAATTCACAGACATGGAATGCACCGCAGACACCGGCGCAATCATCTCATTGGGACTTAATTGCTGCGACTTGGGCCCACTCTGATCTCCAGTTTGAGGCCGTTGCAGGCTACTCAAATCCACCGAGTTCGGCAGTGAATCAATCGAAGAGTTGAAACCGGCATCCCGTGTTGTAACGAGAGAAGAGTAATCCTGTTCCGCAGATCCCGGAGTGTGAAATCCAGCTCGCTGGTCCAATGGCGAACCTCCTAACTGGCTCCTGTAGAAATAAGTAACTATAACCTCTGTATGCGTTTGTAGGCATGAGAATCATACCGTGCTGGAGTCGCACTTTTCTGCCGACGTCTAGTCCTTCGTGGTTCAGAATCAATAGGATCAAGTATACAATTACGACCAGCAGATCTACAGCGAAAACACGGGACTTGATCGCGCGCATCACAGCGCATCTTTTGTCTTCGACACCATCGACATGCTTTGAAGAATCGTATCGGAATATTTTCCGGTCGAAAGACCATGTTCGGAACTCTTTCGGTCATTTTTGTTTCTGGTGTGATTCATATTTTTGACACGTTAAGAGAATGGTTGGTTGATAGCTTCGTCGGCATCGCATATGATGAGCTACTGATTTATGGATATTTCTTTTCTTGACGTCGCGTGCGATTGCGCAGCGACGACCCGATAACTCAAACTCCGGTCACGTGCAAAAAAATTTCCGTTTTAGGAAATTCTCGCTACTGCATCTTACTGCTTGATGTAAGGATTTATTTTGTTTAAAGTGGTAGCATGTATGGAAGATATTCATAATGCACTGAATTTGATGAATGCAAAGTTAAGAAGTGTGTTGAATGCTTTGGAAAGATTGTCGCCCTCGAGTTAGGGTTAGCCGATCCTCGTGATTTTGCAAGATACCTATTGATGTCGTGCTTCGACTTGACTTCTCATTTTTGTCTTGATATTGCTACGTGACACTAAGCTCGATATGCATTTGGAGTCCACAGGCTTCACATATGATCCAGAGTAACTCTTCCGATGCCTAACCGGACATGAGGACACCCTGATAGACTGAGACCAGCTCAAAAGCCTATGCGAGATTCGTAATCATCATGCTCAAGTAGCTGCTGAAGTTGTCGTCGTCTTACCCCCACGTTTCCTCCATCAAAAAGGCTCAGACACACCGCATCATTTAATATCTTTCCAAAGCCTTTATCTTGTGCATACGAGGTACTATTCAACAACGTCAGGTCAAATCGCGTCTTTCTTGAAGAGAAAGAAACCAGAGAACATACATTCCAATAATTTTCATTGCAGCAGTTGTACAATCCACCGCATTATCCGACCCATATATCTTTGCCTGTAGACAAGCCTCCAACGCCGTCTTTGCATCAACAGATTCATTCTGCACATAATCCAAGGCCCTATATGTCAGTAAACGTGACGCATCAAGCTTGATCTTGAGGTCAATAAGTAAATCCGCAACGCTTTGTCGCTGCACAATTGGCACAGTGCCACCACGAGTATCAGTCTTGGAGAATTTGAGTGCCTTTTCGAATACAGTTTGCATAATGCCAGCACTCATAGCACCGACCAGAGCAGCAGACATGCCGAAGGAATTCTCAATAAGAGTTGCACCGACTCCCGGCGCTGCGAGGAGATTTTCTCCTGGTACTTTGAAATTTGTGAAACGTGTGTGTGGGCCGGAGACTGCTGGATGGCCGGCTAATTCAGGCTCTGCCAGGACTTGGTAGGCTGAGTCATCATTTTGGGCAATAGTCTCGCGGGTGACGAGCAAGACGACGACGGCTGATGCTGGTGTATCAGTTGGCAGTAGTTCATCGTTCGTACAGTAACGGCACACGACGCATTGGAGGTCAGCGCCTTTTCCATCCCAGCCTGCGCTATTTGTAGTCCACAACTGGGTGCCATGTTAGTACAGTTCGGAAATCTATGTTAGTTTGGAGACTACCTTCTCGCCATTGATAATCCACGTCCCATCATCTTGACAATAGGCTGCTGTCTGTAATCCCTTGCCGCCCTTCTCCAACCAATTCGCCGTCCCACCAGGCTCAGAATGCACAAGACTAGCCAATGGTTCACCCTCACCCGTCAAAAAAGGAGACAAGAACTTCTTATACAGCACCGGATTCCCTCCCAGAATCAACGGCGTAAGACCCAGTCCAGTAGCAGCAATAGTTAACGAAACACTAGGATCAACGGGGTACTGTTCTTCCAAAGCCAACGCTACATCAATCAGATTCTTACTGGTACCCCCAATGGCAGCTGGGATTTGTGCATGGATTTGACCTGCGGCAACAGCTTTGCGGTAAAAGGGACGGATGGAATGGAAGCGTTCCGCTTGGGTATCGAGTCTTGAGTAGACTGTTGCTGCTTCGCTAAGGACATTCTGTGCGAAGAGACGTGCTTCATTTTTGACCTGTTTTTGCTCGGGTGACAGTACAAATGAAGTCATTTCGACGATATTTCCTTCAATTTTCATTTGTAAGTTCGTTGGAAGAAATGATTATCCAAATTGCAAGCAGATATGGGACTAGATATACACCACCATGATTCTAAACGTAGCTACCCAAGTGGAGGATAATGTTCCTATTTCGCGGAATATCCGCCATTAGACTATATGGATATTTGCCCTAACAAGCCCATAGCCATAGTCCATCCAAGATAACCTAGCAGTGAATATGCAAACGAATGGATGCCCAGACAGCCACTGAAAGCAGAACTATTACTCATCCAAGCGCGGGCAACCAATTGAAGATTCTCATGGAACCGGAACTTCCGAGCAGGTCTGTGTTACTTTAGCAAGATTGGATGCAAACCGACTCTTGCAGACCAGCTGATTAAGCACGAAGGAGAGTGGATTAGAATTTTAATCAGCTTTTTGAAGCTGAAGATGAGGATGTCGAATACATAATTGAGGACTACGTACGCAAGCAGTCCTAAACTCAGTCACTAAAAGGATTGACAATCAAGGAAACGAAGATAAAGCATTGTGATCTAATAACTGAATGCCAAGAGATAATTAGATACAACAAAGAACTAGTACCAAACACCAAAGCCATAGACACCAAACCAGATACTCATCGGAATTACGCAGGAAGAAATAAAATGACGACGGAGGCCATAGATAAAAATAACAGTATGAGAGGGACAGAGACACAGAAAATAGATGGAACGACTGGCTGATATTAAACAAGAAGTTGGAAGGAGAAAAAAGAAACGGATAAAGACTGGTATAATGGAAGCAAATAAATCGAGAAAATGCGGTGAAGAAAGAAAAATGAAGACGAAACGAAATACAGAGGGATATTAAGTTCGTAACCTGTCATCGACAACGTGGAAGGTACATAATATGAACTTGGACTCCTGCCGTGATATTAAATCATCCGGAAACATCGAATGAAAGAAATAATCAAGAAAACGAAAATGAGACAACTTAGACACGCGCAGCTCTTCGTCGAAGACCAAAGTCCTGTTCCTGCAGTTCTCTGATCAATCTCAGACTCTCCGCATCCGCTTCTGTGGTATCATCGGCCGTGAAACTGGTTCGTTCGCGTTTAACATTCTTGCTGCTGTTAGGAGATGTTGTTGATGGACGCGCCAACTTTTTCTCAACGCTAGGTGAGGTACTTTTCTTGGCGTGGGATGAAGATGGTCGCGAGGACGATTTCTTTGTATGACTTGATGTTACCGACGAGGCTTTTGTAGGATGTCGAGAAGAGCTCGTCATCGTTGATTGTTTCGCTGTTGTACTCGATTTTGTTCCAGCTTGTTGTTCCGGGACAAATCGATCAACTTGGCGTGGTTGACGAGAGGAGTGACGAGAACTAGAGTTTGGTGTATGTAAAGCCTCATGCTCACCGTCGACAGTAACGCTGCCACCATGGAGTTCCTCGCCTGGGCGCTGCGGAGGAAGAATCTCTGCTTCTCCCAAAAGTGAGGTAGGCGGAGATGCTAATGGATTGGCCATTTGTTGGTTAGCCTGCATTTGCAGTGAAACCACGCTCGCGTCCCCGTTGATTTTTGGATTGGGCGAAACGGTATAAGTGATGTCTGCCATTTCAATCTTTTGATCTAATCTTTCTTCTGGAGGAGATTGAACTGTTGATATCCCATCGGGATCATGCATGTAGTACTGTTGTTGGTATTGGTCCTGCTGTAGAACATGTGTACTAGATGCGGGAAGGTAAGATGAAATAGCCTGATCTGTTTCAAAATAGTTGACGGAATCTGAGACTGGAGCCGTTACACCTGTCTTGACCTTCTTATTCGTCACCAGATCGATACCCTCTTCATTAGGCCTCGGCCGTTTTGCAGACGACGTAGCACGAGGCTTCGAACGCTCTTGAGCTTTGACGGGATCAATTCTGCCGTACTCGTCATGAATGCAGCGACGCTGATTTACGTTAGTACAAAGCAAAATTGGAATCAGAACCCAGGACATAGGTCTTACCTTGCTTTTTCGGCATTCATCACATGCCTTGCTTCTTCCCTTCTTTCCGCCATTGTTGCCGTTGACGCATCCCTCCACCGGACGTGGATATGCAGATTGTGAGATTCCACTCAAAAAGCCAACGTTATCTCTAGGAAAACCATCAGTGTTATATGGCAGGTGCTCGCTGCCATCTTGAAGAGTGGTCTCAGTGGCAACAGAAGCCAGCGCATTCAGCACAGAAGCTGCATCACGTGCTAAAATTGACTGCCGTTGCGGATCGACAGAATCAAACATAGTGCCTAAAGGAGCCGGGTTGGGAGACACTCCCAGTGACCAGCCATCAGCTTGCTCATCTTTATGCCGACAACGTATTCTCCTCCTGCGACAGGCGTCGCAAGCAACACGCTTTGGTCCTAAGCCGGAGCCCTTGTTGGTAGTTCGAGGCTTAACTGGTTCCTCCTTGACGATAGGATTCATGATAGCAGGAGTAGAGGTTGTTGGAGTAGTGATAGACGGGGCAGTAGCAGCAGGTGTAATAGCCACAGGAACAAGTTGAGGAAAAGGTTGAAGAACCGGCGAAACGTTATCAGGAGGATGCGGCGTTGAGCTTGGGAACGCATTCTGGGGCTCCTGGGGCTGTTCAGCTACGAGTTGAAGACTCTGCCTTTCAGCATACATCTTTTGAGCATCCGCATGTCGCTCGGATCGACGACTCGGACGCCCAGCAGGTCTTTTCTCGACCTGGTCGATTTTAAAGGTACTGGATATGGCACCAGGTCGAGTCCATGAAGCTGCAGTTTCGTTTCCTCGTTTCCACGCTATCCACACCGCAAACTTTTTGGCAACCTCAATGGGATCTCCCTGCATTTTGGGGATAGAACGTTTGACGGCGTTTCTTGCCTCTGCTGTGACCCCGTCAACCGAATATCCTCCAGCAATGAGTGCAGTCCGTAGAAGGTATCTTAAAAGTTCAGGCAACCCTTCCAATTCTGCTTGTGAATAAAAGCGAGCATTATAGTATGGAGACCCCAGAACCGAACGGTTTTCTCTTTCCCCAAACTCGTAGTAGATGGGAAATTGTCGGTAAAATCGATAGTGCTCATCACGAGAGAAGGCGTCAAGCACGGAGTCTGGAACAGGGTCATCATTCAGGTATTTCAATGCAGTGTACCATTGAATCTTTTGAAAGAAGGGATATCTGAACTTGCGGGGAACCTTTGTATCCTTTTCGATCTTCGCAACTTTGATCTGCATGCCGTAGTTCATGCGTGTAAGGAAATTGCCTCCAATGACAAGACTGTTCTCTGGTGTCCACACGGCATGAATCCAACCAGCTGGAATAAGCATGGTGTCACCTTCTTCTAAATCGACTCGGTAGCATTCCTTTGTTTGGTCCCCAAGAAAAGTTGTATCTTGCGCCGGGGAGTTGCACCACTCTTCATATTTCTTCAGATGCTTCTCCTTTGGAGGGATGAAGAAGAAAGTTTTCTTTCCCTTAAGAATCGTGTAGTAGACAGAAGACCCACCGAAGTCGATGTGGAAATCTGTATAGCAATCTGCAACTGACATCAAGCAATAGAACTGCACTTTCGGGTAATCACCAGCGGCTTTGAGCTCCTCCGGCCAAACGGAGTCTTGAAGGTCGAGATCGCGAACGATTTTCGGTCGACGTATCAATTTGCCCAGAGGACTTTGCGACACTTCCAAGCTAATTACGTTCCGCACAATCTTCTTTCCAGTGCTCTCATAGTAATCAGCCCATTTCTGCATATTCCACCTCTTGTCCTCTCCTTGCTGGGATTTGACGTCAATGACCTCAACTCTTTCTTCTGGGCCATAGAGTTCCGCAACTGCGCGCACTGTTAGACCCTGCGGGACAACCATGTCAAGAACATCCTGGCCACAATCAATGACGATCTCAGGCTCGCCTGGCTGATTCTCAAGTATCTCGTCAAACATCTCTTGAGTTGATGCTTCGCCCGCAAGACCATCGAAGACAGAATCCAGCTCAGACGTATCGATAGAAGTACGAGGGTTAAGCGCAGCAGGGATAACTATGGGTTCTGTCATACCGACACCTCGTTCGAAATATTCAGCAGTCACCAGCTCTGCTCGCATACGGGGGAAGTTCTCGGGTAAGAATTTTATCCTGCCATCTTTGATAGGTTGAATATAATGATGTTCATAAGAATCAGTGGAACTCTTGACGAGACCTTGATTTAGACCGGCATAGTCGATAGCAGTCCTTGCTCGAGATGATTTGCGTACAAACGTTGTCTGACCATGGATTGGCCGGCACTTTCGACAGATAAACTTGTCGACCGTACGGACCTCGCGGTCATTCTTGAAGCCAGCGCAGACAATATGATACCAACTTTCACAGCCGTCGCACTTGATCCACGTATCTTCTCCTTGGTCTTCGGTATTGATATCTACGCGTACCAAATGACACGCTGCACAATTTGCTGGGGCGTTTCCCTCTGGTGTGACTTCCTCCTCTTTCGCTTCTGGAACAGTCTTCACGGTATCGCTGGTAATAGTAGGGCGCCGCTTTGGGGGACTTGCCATATTGTTTATTTCATCCGGAGGACTTGAAGGATCCTGCAGATTGTGATGATTTCGGAAAGCATCGTTGTGCCAAGCAACCCCAGGCAATGTCGAAGAACTAGTATTTGGTCGGAGTCCGGGAACAGGTGGACGCGCAATAGCTGCCGATCCGTCTGAGTGAGATCGTAAGCGCGAGGGGGACTGAGTACTACCTGGTAGCGTGTCGGCTATGAAGCCAGGAAAAGTCGAAGTTGCACCATTAATCGTTGGAAGTCTTTGGTCATTTGCGAACTGATTAAAAGGTTGGCCGAAGACATTGGATGGTTGCGAAAATTGGTGAGGAGAAGCGAAATTAGTTGGTCGAGCAAAGTTTAAGAGGAGTTCGGCGTCAGTCTTCATACTGTCAGGTACCGTAGTAACATGACTAGTTGCTGGCCGTGTGTCGACATGTTGGAATGCAGGCGATGCCTTTTCTGACCGCGCGCGTTTAGCAGGTCTTTCAGAATCCGCATCGGTGTGAGGGAATAAAGGGGAAGATTCTGTACGGGTTGAGTTTCCCGGAGGATCAAACGATAAAGAGGGGAACCTTGGACTTGTGGCCAGCGCAATATTCGCAAGGGTTTCAATGCTGGAGCTAGCCCGATGATGACCGTGGCCGGCTTTTGGGTGACCAAAGGAGACACGAGTATGACTAGCCCCAATTGATCGCCGAGTAGGGTCACTTGGCGAATTGTATGAATTCGAATTGTAGTCTCGAGGGTAAAAGGCACTGCGATCGTTCCAGAACGATTGGCGCTCAGATTTGAAGGCGGGAGGAGATATTGGCTCGATAGCGCGTCGCGGGGGGGAAGGAGTACGATATTTCCTCGGGCGACCACCTGGATGGCTTAAAAAAGAAGATGTGCTCGCCATTGATGAAGAGGATAGGCAGCGATCGACTGCGCTGCGATAGAGAGGGCGGTTGGAAGCGAAGAGAACGTTGCTGGTGTTTCTTGCGGTAGGCGGGAATGAAGCGGGGAATCGTCACCTCGCGGATTAGAAAGTGGCTATCCGCGAGAGTGAAGAGTCATCCCCGGACAAAGAAATCACAATGTATTATGCGCTCTGAGGATGTTGAATATCTCAAAATCAACGATGAGGAAGGTTTTGCGCTGGTCAGGTCGGCGTGGAAGGGCGTTCAAGCAGAGGTGTTTGGAATGAGAGGCGGTTCAGTCGAGTCGTAGCTCGACCGAAACAGCAAGTCACCGCGGGAAAGCACGACGTCAAGGTGAACGCGGAGTATGCCTAAATAGCGCCATAAATGTTGTGAAGGTATCGGCTTTCGAGATGACAGTGATGAGAAGGTTGAGTGTCGTTATCTGAGTTGCGAGATGAGTTGGATGATGCTGAGGGGAGTCTGGTGAGGCGCGGTCGACGGAGCGGGAGCAGGTCGTAGGCGGCAGGCAGTCCTTTCTTGGCCGACTGCGAGCTACATGTTCCCGGCGCCAGCCAATGAGAGTCAATGGATGCGATAGCCAGAATACCCTCAGCAGGGGACAATGGGCGCAATTAAATCGTTGGAGCTGAAATGGAATAGATACCAATTAATCCTATTGTTTGTTATCATAATTAATCTACAATGGGTCACTGTATCGTCAATTGAGCAATCAATGGCCGATTGGCGCTAGTCTTATCACGGCAGCCTGCAACTCTTGGCAGACCTCCACCTTCTCTCAATCTCTCGTGTGCTTCACATCTCTGCCCATTCAACGTTGTTATCCACAACTACAATCAAAAACACCTTATTTTACAGCCTTATTCCAGAACTCATCAGCTCTTTCCGCATACAAGAATGAGCCGGAAGCTCGCTCCTGAAGCAAACCGGTCAGTCCTCCACCCGCTCTCCGCTAACTGCTCTCCGAGGCCCTCGTGCTGTACAGTCACAACATGTCCTGGGGTTGCTGAGTGCGGGGAGAATAGTATTTATCAATATTGAACGATTGAACGCTCGTACTGACCATTTTTTTTTTATTTAGTATTCTCTTCGTGAAGAACTTGAGGTAAGCCTCGTCGATCGATCATCCGCTTCGCTGTTGCCAAGTAGCACATTGCATATTATACTTCGACGCATCCATCCCGACGCTCGCTCATACCATGATATTTCACTGTTGCGGAGGATATTCATACTGATATATATGGCTATAGCTACAACGTCACAGCAGAAGAGCTCTTCGACCTCTTTGGCAAGTTTGGTCCAATCAGGTAGGCTTATTTCTTCATCACGTTGTCCGTCGTGACCGCGGGACTGGACCGTCTTGCCATGACTTCTTGATCAGAGATCGTTATACTGACTTCTATACCTTTAGACAAATCCGTCAAGGTATTGCGAATAATACCAAGGGCACCGCATTCGTGGTATATGAGGACGTGATGGATGCGAAACAGGCTTGCGATAAGCTGAACGGTTTCAACTTTCAGAACCGGTACCTTGTCGGTATGTTGATTCAAGAAAGTGAAGTCTGCAAATCAAATATCAACGCTAACAAATTTTGTGCCACAGTACTTTATCATCAGCCAGAGAAGATGGCTCGCTCAAGAGAAGACCTCGCAGAACGTCAAGAGAATTTAGAACGCCTCAAACAGCAACACGGGATAGAATAACCGCTTCTATATTCTTCTACAACTTCTTTTCATACTGGACCGAGGCTTGCTAGTAAATTTTGAACTATACAAGCAGCGCCCTCGCTCTCCAATTTTATGGCTTCACTGGGTTTTACGGCGTTTATCATTTTCATTCTATTCGAGTCGTTACGATCGCTTACTTGTCACATGCGTATTAGTCGGTTCGAAACTTCTTTTTCATGACGAACAACAGCCGGGGAATATCTCTGTTTATTATACAAGGAAATGATGGTTCACGTCGGCAGATGAGAGTTTGATCTTTTTGTATGTTAATTGCCACTGCTTTATCACGCAACGAACGAGGCATACCCGAGATTGAAATCGAACTATGATGGCATCAATGATGATTTGGCTGTAGCTTGAAGGCATTATTCCCAGCAATTTTTGTTGTAAAATTTCACAGACCTTTGATTTGATAAGATAGTTGTTGTTCTGTCAGCCTCAGGCCGATCAGCCGCCCACCTTTACTCCGCTATAACCCTTGGCATGGTTTAGTTACATCACCTCCCATGTTTCAGCCAGGTCGCAGGACGACCTTGAAAGAACACTCACCTACAAGCTCGTTGTCACTTTGTTCTGAGTATTCATATTTTCGCCGGGCACTTCATTCCACCAAGCAACATATTTATGACCAGATCGCCGACGTCTAGAGGCGCCTCCTCCTGAGGCAACGACACCGCCTCAAACCATGGAAGCTCCAGCTGCGACAACCTTCGCCTCCGCGACTACACTGGTCGGAACACAATTACCGTCTCCCACTGTTACCGGACTTGGAGCCTTCGTGTCTGCGAATACAATGAGTAGTCCCAATTCGCCTCAAAACGGCGAGTGTCAGCTTCTGGGCCCGTTCTCCCTTCTTATCCAGGCCGCCTTGGGAGGGTTGGCCCTGTTGTCTCTGGTCTACAAGCGCTATCGCGAAAGACCTCAACGGCCACTGAAGATATGGGCGTTTGACGTTTCAAAACAAGTGTTCGGGTCGGTGATGTTGCATTTGGCGAATCTTGTCTTGTCCATGTTTTCTGCAGGCCATTTTGAGATTCGACAGCAGTACCAGCCTAATCCATGCTCGTTTTATCTGCTCAACCTGGGGATAGATGTAAGCCGTCTCCAGATCACTATTTGAATTTCTGACTAAATTTCCTTGTCTAGACAACCTTGGGTATTCCAATTCTCTATCTAGCCCTCCGCATCATTAACCGTCTTGCGCACTACACACCGTTAGCACGACCCCCCGAATCGATCGAATCAGGCAACTATGGACAACCTCCAAGGATCATGTGGTGGCTCAAACAATCGATTCTTTACTTTATCGGTCTTCTATGGATGAAGCTATGCGTCTTTGTTTTGATCCAAGTATTCCCTGTCATCGTCAAAATCGGGGATTGGGCGCTGCGCTGGACGGAGGGAAATACGGCTCTTCAGATTATTTTCGTGATGCTTCTGTTCCCGTTGATTATGAACGCTATTCAATATTATATCGTGGATACTTTTATCAAGAGGAAGGTCGTGGCAGATATCGACATGGAACCGTTCGAGGACGAGCATCGGAACGAACTGTCGAATGATAACCGTGATTCGCATGGGGCTCTTTTGGAGGCTGGTAGCCAGAGCGATGATGAATCCGACTTGGAAGATGGAATTGCTGTTAGAGATATAAAGCCATTGTCTCGTGCTGGATCCGATGTTCGTGTCGCGACTACCGAATATGACCCCGCGGTGGACTGCAGTGACTTGTTGACTGAATCATCTTCCAAAACAAGCATTCCCAAGGGTCCTTCTCGGTCTTGATGATTATATTTATGTGCCTCTATGGTTATATGTATATGATATGCTACGCTTGATGTGATTATTCCCAAGTCGTTGGCGTTCTTCACTGTCTGTTTATGATTCATGAGACATACATACACGAATGAGCATGAAACTTAGCACATACAATACTTTTGCCTATATTTGCAAGTCATCATATGGAAAAAGAGTATGTATATAAACAGTATTAACCCTAAAGAAATCAGAGCGAGCTATCTTATCAGCTTCCCCACTTGCCACTAGCGCATCTTTTCCGCAGAGCCGCGGAGCAACAGAAAAAAATTCAAAATTGAAAATCAACATCAACTACAGGCATTCAATTGCACATCAATAGTTATTCGAGCTGCAAACCCCATATCATAAATACTAACTTGAACATTCGCGACTAATTTGGCTAATTACGAGCGTGATGGTCGGTGCGAAGCGGAAAGTCGCGACTGCGATTAGAACAAAGTCCACAGGTCCTTCATCCTCCGCGAAAGCTTCACATCACGAATTCGACATGACAGACAAGGATTACAACTCTAGTGACAGTGAAGGAGATGATGAGGATGACATTCCCGAGAAGGACGAGGTAGAAGAGAAACTCGAGCAGATGCTCTTCGGCGACGATGAAGGTTTCCAGGAAGCGCTGAAAAATCATGGACGACATCAAGAGTCTACCGGTCTTGTCATGCGTAGCGATCAAGAAGATGGAGAAGGAGAAGTAGAAGATGAAGACAAACACAATATGGATGATGTGGCAGATGCCGATGTAAGTTTTATATATTCTTTTACATTCGTTGGCACATTACTAACTGAATTGTGTCCAGCTCTTTTTTCTAGACTCAGGCGCCCCGGAAGTACAAGATGCTATAGATCACCACCCCGATGCTTTGGCGGTCGAATTGAAAGGCGAATCTGGTGCTGTTACTAAACCCGCTGTATGGAACGATAGCGACGACGAGCGCATGGCCATATCCCTCGCGGGTCATCGACAATTACGAAAATTGCGTGTTGTCGAGTCAGAAGACGTCGTCAACGGAACGGAGTATATAAGAAGGCTGCGAACGCAATATCTGCGCTTACACCCTACACCTGATTGGGCAAATACAGAATTGCGAAACAAGCGCAAGTCTAGACGGAATAGTCACGGTACTAATGGTTCTGAAGATGGTGTTTCGAGCAGTGAGGATGATATGGATACCGATGATGATGAGGATCTCTCGACCAAGCCATTAGCGAAACTTTTGCAAGGTGCCGGGGACCTGATTAAAGGGAGTGAGGACGGTGCTACAGGAAAACGGGCGAAACTACGTCAGGAGGTTATAGATATTCGTCGATTGAAGGATGTTGGAGGTGTTCAGCCTGTAAGTGAACCTATAACCCCATATACTTTAGCTGTTACTGACAAAGATTTCTAGTCATCGATAGATTCTCTATCCTTCCATCCTCACTACTCACTGCTTCTCTCCTCCGGTCCTGCATCAACTGTCTGGTTACATCACATCTCGCCCAGCGCGCCCACTCCCAGCAATCTACTGACATCCCTTCAAATCCGGAAAACACCCTTGTACACATCAGCATTTTCCTCTCCCACCGGAAACAAGATCTACGCATCCGGTCGACGACGCTATTTCCACGTCTGGGATTTGGAATCTGGCCGAATAGAAAAAATCAACCCTACAGCCGATCGCAAGGAAGAACAAAAATCAATGGAAAGATTCAAACTCTCCCCCTGTGGAAGATATATCGGCTTGATAGGTTCTGCCCGTAAAGGCGGCGGTATGATCAACATCCTCGACTCAACAACTGCCCGATGGATAGCCCAAGCTCGCGTCGACGGTCTCGGGGGTGTGGCTGATTTCGCCTGGTGGAGCGACGGAAACGGTATGGTAATCGCAAGCAAGAATGGCGAAATCTCTGAATTCGACATGCGTCTTCGCCGCGTTATATGTCGCTGGACCGATGCAGGTGCCGTGGGCACTACAGTGATCGCTCTAGGCGGTTCTTCAGGTCGACCACAGCTGGGTGGGGACCGATGGGTTGCCGTGGGAAGTTTCAGCGGTATCGTGAACATCTACGACCGTAAACCATGGCAGGGTGCCGCGGCACAGGCGGAACAATCCAAGAAACACAACATCGAAGATGCTATACCCAGTAACCCAACACCGGTCAGAGCATTGGAACAACTTACGACGTCTATTACCCAAATTGTTTTTGCACCTGATGGGCAGTTCATGGTTATGGCTAGTAAATGGAAACGAGATGCGTTGCGACTTGGTAAGTCTCTCCTCTTCGGTCTTGTTTACTAGTGGTGATAAGACTAATATGGAGACTTAAAGTTCATCTACCATCATGCACCGTCTATCGTAACTGGCCCACGTCAAACACACCATTTGGCCGTATCACATCTGTGACCATATCGCCGCAATCGAATCTTCTAGCCGTCGCTAATGAGCAGGGCAAAATCCGACTGTGGGAGATCAATGGTTAAAGAGATAAGCCTCTGAAAATGGCTCGAAAAGTTTATTTTCCTTTCATATTGTTGGATAGATAGGAGTTTGGGGGAATATATAGCTGCAATGCATGAGGAAGCGTGATCTTTTCGGAAGGTCTTCCCCAATTCACGTTTCGTATATACACACGTACATATGGACTTGATTCAACACCTAGAATTAATCACAATCTCGTCTTCGGCCTGAATGTAAACAAGTTTCTCTTCCTTCCCTTCTCGTTGCCATTATTTTCAACAGATACATGCCCCGTTTTACCAATGGGTTCATCCGAAACAGCCAATTCTACGAGCCGTTGGAGACTCCTCTCATCTGCCGTGACCGCAATGAATCGTGCGTTGTTCTCGTTACTAATACCAGTATTCTTCAATCTGCCGATTATGTAGCCTGTCTCGGGTCTTCCGGTGCGGTTGTACTCGATTGTGTATGTCTGAGATTGGAGTCAGATCGGTACATCAATAATGAAAGCTCATACATACCTCGATGGTGGCTTCACCCTCGGCATTTTCCAGAATTTTCGGCATTGGCAGGTCGGTAAGTGTCTCTGGAAGAGGATTGGTAGTTGGATATGTCCCTCCATCCTTTCGAGGATGTCTGGATAGACATATGACATGTTGGTATGTTAAAACGCCGCCGTTTGCGAGGACAAGTCCATGTTGTTTCTTGGATGATGGCTTGCGTAGCTGTCGAACAATTTCCGTCATGGCCTACAATCACCCATTAGTTAAGTTTCAAAGAAAGTGGTTTCACGGTAACGTTCATGCATGGAATAATTGTTTCCAGCGCCCCCGAAAGATGTTAATCCGCCTAGGACAGTTATGGGTTTTGCAGGATGGCATGGATCAAGCCCTAGATGATAGCATGCCAATTTGGGCACTATTGGAAAACATCTATATTCCCGGTATTAATTCCGCTGGCCACTGAGAGATTGACTGAGGTGTAACTCACGAATAGAAATCAAAAACATCAATGTCATCGGCCTTGAGCCCTGATACACGTAGACCCTCGTCAATAGAGCGAGAAATTGCTGCGTTTGAGTGGTAATTCGACCGTTCCCAAACTAGAAGATCGCGTGAGCGCTGCCGTTTTTCTGCAAATAGGAGAATAATCGAGCATACATTTTTTACTCTCTTCTGTCCCTGCACCACCGAGTACATAAATCCATCTCTCCTCAGCTATACCAAGTTCTCTGGCATGTTCTGTGGAAGTCAACAAGCATGCCGCTGCCATGTTCACCGTATTGAATGCATTCATGAAAAGCGGATCTAACAATCAAATTAGCCTTACCTGACACCGTCAGTAATCTAAACAATGTTATACTGACAAGGATAGCATATCATGCGATTCGTTTTGGATATTGTTCCTATTTCCTTTGCGTCCATTGGAGGCTTTCCATAATTCCACGCAAATGGATGATTGGACGCGATTTCGCTGAATCGAGCATATAGAGTCGCCGATTCATTGTTATTATCATTGAACGACTGTCCACGGCGGACTCGAAGACCGTTCTCGTAGAGAGGATATATCTGAATTGGTGCTCCCATCATATGAGTGCTTCCAGTGTCTAAACAGTCTCGGTCAGTTATGTGGGATTCTCCTCGTTTGATTGAAATACGTACCGCCACGTTGACCAAGCTCTCCTGGAGAGAATATCTCGGCATTTCCGTCGGCAGGTGTCCAGCCAGGGGGCGGATAATTGTTCAATTTTGAACATGTGGCCGCTATAACCAAGAGTTAATACATGCTATGAGTATGTAAGTCAAACTTGCCTGAAGCCAGAGCTTCACCTCCAGTCACGAGAGCGAGTTTATTCTCTCCCCGTGATATTCGACGGGCAGCTTCATCGAGAATCTTTGCAGGCTGATTTCCGCCATTGGCAGTGTATAGTTTATGTTTCAGGGGCGAAGCAATATTGAGCCTCTTTGCCAAAAGACCAGGAAGATCGCCATAAGCGAAAGTCCATGTTCTGACAACATCAATACTATCAATCTGTGACCTCAAGCTCGTTATCGAACCCAATCCAGTATCCCGAAGAGCCTGCTGAATTGCATCAAGCATCAAATCCGCCGGTTCGCGCGCATCTTCGATTTTGGTGGAGACGTTCCTGATATCGCCTACGCCAACAATAATCGGGGTATGTCTGCTCCGAATTGACATCTTTGCAAGCTTCTATGGCGCAACTGAGACTTCCAAGGCAGATACACATCCATGGTGATTAAACAGTGAGAGTTGGATAATGAAGATCAATTGACTAGCTCCCTGCTTAGACCTCGGCATTTAGTAAATAGTCAAGTGTGGGGGAGCAACATTATCCGAAAGATTATTGTCATTGTTTCTCCGCAAGCATGGTAGAACGTTTCTGGAATCTGCTACTTGACCGTGAGTCAGTATCTGGCTCGTAGTGAAGGTTTTATGGGAGGAAATTGCATCTCTTTACCTGTACCACATTCGGACGATAGCTGGTCTTGACACCTCCACGTTGCCATATGAGCATATGAGAAGATGATGATTAGATTGCTGAGTATACCAAGACAATGTAGTCTTTCTAAAGAAAGAGTAAATATCCAACAAATTGAGTGCGAGGAAAGAAAGCGGAGATCGATAAAAGCATCTTGCTCGCACCTTCCTTTTCGGGTTATTCCATCACGTGGACCAGTTGTTTCCTTCTTCCAGTCTTTTGGGACACAAAACAAATTTCTTCATTTTTCCACTTTGCCTCGTCGCATTCAACCTCAAAGCACACTTGTTCTGATATCTCTTCTTCATTTTCGACGTTTTGATTCTCACCATAGCAGTCTGTAAGTCTTCAATTCCATGTGGTGACCTTGCTTATCAGTTTAATTAAATCATACTGCGTTCTTTTCAGCCACGAACAGTCAATGCTACCACAGATCCGCCTGACTAATTGTCCAATCTCCGCTCCTTCGATAAGAGTGGATTGAACCTGCAGGGATGCTAGGGGATGCTAGAGGATGCTACCCTCCGGCCTTGCCGCGATAAAGAGCTCCATTCAATCTGTTCTACGTATCGAAATTTGCTAAGAGCATGATAGGAGCCATATCTTGTCAGATAACCAGTGCGTACGTCGTTTATCGTGTAGTATTGGGGTCATGGCCGGACGGGAATGTTTCTCTGCAGATCACCAACCCGGTGGAGACCCCGACAGACATTGCGATAGCAACTGGCAAAAACACGAACGCCATAGACCAAGCTTTGGGTCCGTCGCAGCGCTAGAACAGCCATGATGCTTAGCTTAATTAGAGCTGCAATGCACGATGACATTCCAACGGCGACATGCGTGACATAAATATTCTCTCATTCCCCGCTGCACATTCTGCTCACCTGAGCATTTATTTGTAGCACGGGTACTCTGTACAAAATGCGGTCAATATCGTGGATCACCCTCCTGGGTGCCGTCCCAGCAATTAGAGCTCAGTTTGTTACAGCTCCTACAGACCTTATTGAAAAGAAAGGTTATATGGACATCCCGGTGCGATACAAGGAGGTACCGACAGGGATCTGTGAGACGGATCCCAACACAAAAAGCTACTCCGGATATGTGGACGTTGCAGAAGATCAGCATCTTTTTTTCTGGTTCTTCGAAGCACGTAATCAGGACCCAAAGACTGCACCGCTGACTGTGTGGATTAACGGAGGTAAGCGGTTCACATTTCGTATTGAGAAAGGCATTAGTTTGCTAACTGATTGCCCCAGGTCCTGGTTCTTCGTCGATGATCGGCCTCTTCCAGGAAAATGGACCCTGCGGCATCGACTCTGATGGAAACGTGTATAGCAATCCATACTCGTGGAACAATGCTAGCAACATGATTTACATTGACCAACCGACTCAAGTGGGCTTCTCATATAGTATCCCAGTTCCAGGGTACATCGATCCAAGCACCGACGACATAATCGTGCTACCTTCCAATTCCTGCCCTGACTACGCAGCTGACTTGTCATGCGGCACATATCCCTACGGCAATGCAAGTCTGACGGCGAACAGCACAGACAATGCAGCACCATACTTTTACCGTGCTTTGCAAGGCTTCATGGGAGCCTTCCCACAGTACTCTCGGGAATCTTTCCATTTCACTACAGAGAGTTATGGTGGTCACTACGGACCAGTCTTCAATGAATATATTGAGCAGCAGAACAAAAATCTCGAGCGCGGGGCAAAGAAAATCTCTCTTGAATCTGTCTTGATCGGGAACGGATGGTACGACCCGATTGTTCAGTATGCGGCGTACTACAACTTCACAGTAAGTAAACTGCCCGGCATCTTATGGGCATGAAGTCTCACGATGACAGGTTTATCCTGGAAACACTTACGACTACCTTCCTTTCAACGACTCAGTAGCTTCATTGTTGTACAACAATCTCTGGGGCCCAGGAAATTGTATCGACCAGCTTTTAGACTGCGCAGCAAGAGGCAGCAACGAGATATGCAGCATTGCCGACAAATTCTGCGCCAACCACGTCGAAAACATTTACGACATCTATCTTAACCGAGACGAGTATGATTTCCGTGAGCTGATGCCGGATCCATTCCCATACGAGTTCTACGTCGACTACCTTAATACTCCTGAGGTGCAAGCTGCCATTGGTGCCTACGTCAACTTCACCGAGGGCAGCGAATCAGTCGGCAATGCATTTTCGGCTACTGGAGATGACGGTCGTATTATGAATACCGTTGAGGATCTCGGGAAATTGGTTGACCAGGGCGTGACTGTTGTGATGTACACCGGTGACGCTGACTATAACTGCAACTGGCTTGGTGGCCAGGAAGTCGCCTCTATGGTGGATGCTCCTGGCTACAGCAGCGCGGGATACGTGAACATTACTACCGACGATGGTGTTGTGCATGGTCAGGTACGACAAGCTGGGCACTTTGCGTTTGTGCGAATCTACGAAAGTGGTCATGAGGTGCCTTTCTATCAGCCAGTGATTTCTCTAAGCATGTTTGAACGTGCAATCAAAGGACTCGATATCGCAACCGGCGAGGTCAAGGCACACAAGGGGTATAAAACTGTCGGGCCTCCCGAGAGTACTTACAAGGAGGGCAACTCTACCATTCAGTGGAAGGTGGTTGATCCGAGTGCTACGTACAACACTACAACAAACGAGCCGAACCCTGTTGCGCGGTCAATGAAGAGGAGTGTTCAAAAGAGCGCTCGTCGATTCAAGCCTTAGCTGATGTAATATCGTCTGATTAGTAGACATGTATCCAAGCCAGACTAGCCTGGCCAACTTAGTAATATGAAGACTTTCAACACGTTCATTTCTTGTAATATTCTCGCATGAACCTTTTACCGACATCAGGAAATGACTCACCCAACATATGAGAAACCTGTCATTGGAAGCAGACATCACAATCCATCAGAGCGGGGAACGGTAGAACATTCAACCGTGAGCATATTCATCAAGCATACATACAATGTAACTAGTTAAAAAAAGATAAGAAGTAAGATTCTCCTAACATCTCCAGGAGATATCAATAATCCCTGAGACACAGAAAAATGTTTGAACAATTCACTCCCTTCGACATCTCCGTCGAACAAGACGTAACCATCCACGGCATCCACGGCGGCTCCGGTCCAGCACTTCTTCTACTCCACGGCTTCCCTCAAACACACCACATCTGGCACTGTGTCGCCGACGAACTGACCAAATCCTACTATGTCGTCGCCATAGATCTACGCGGGTACGGCCGCTCATCCAAACCGGACGGTGGAGAGGGCCATGTACAATACGGCAAGAAAGCAATGGCTCAAGACGCGGTGCGAGTTATGGACGAATTACTCAAACGTCGTGATGGTAACGACAGCTCATTCTACATCTGTGCCCACGACAGAGGCGCAAGGGTTACTCATCGTCTATGCGTGGATTACCCCCATCTCGTGAAAAAGGTAATCCTCCTCGACATCTGTCCCACACTCGCCATGTATACACAAACAACGCAGGAATTCGCACAGTCTTATTTCCACTGGTTCTTCCTCATTCAGCAATCACCATTACCCGAGATCTCAATCTTGACAAACCCGCAAGTATGGGTGGAGAGTTTTATGGGTGGACGGTACGCGGGACTAGCCCCGTTTGAAGAAGAATGTCTAAAGGAGTACAAAGCCAATTTGGCTGATTATGAGACTGTGCATGCTATGTGTGAGGATTATAGGGCTTCGGCGAGTGTTGATTTACGGGAAGCGGAGGAGGATGTTGCGGAAGGTAGGAGAGTGCAGTGTCCGTTGAGGGTGCTTTGGGGGAAGTATGGGGTCGTAGGGAAATGTTTTGATCCGTTGGAGGAGTGGAGGAAGGTTTCAAGTCAGAGTGTTGATGGGAAGGCGGTTGATTCGGGGCATTATATTCCTGAGGAGAGGCCGGAGGAGGTTATTGCCAATGTGTTGGAGTTTTTTAAATAGGCTGGTCAGGTGTATATATGTGGATATAGATAGCTAGATATACGTTGTATATATCTGTAGATCAGTTGCAAATTATAACTTTGACGGAACCCACTTAGGCCTCGTCTTGTTCGCAAAAGCATTAACCCCAATCGCAAAATTCTCCCCTCCAAACAACTTCTCCGTATACTCCTGCTGCGTCCTAATAGTAGCCTGTTCCACATTGCCCGTCTCCCAAGCCTCTCGGATCCCATGCCTGGTAACAATAATCGAATCCGGGGACAGATTCGAGATCTTAATCGCCATTTCAACAGCTTCATCAATCAGGGTTTCGGGTGACTTGCTGATTTTGTTGACAAGTAAGTATTGCTGGGCTTCGGTGGCAGTGAGTTTGCGGTTTGTCATTGCTATTTCGGATGCGATTTGCAGCCCTGAAATGCGCGTGAGGCGTGAGAGACCGCCGGCTGCAGCGTAGAGACCTACTTGGGCCTCGGGGAGGCCAAAGGTAGCCGTTGGCGAGGCGACGATTATATCGCTTCAGACAATCACCATCAGCACATACACAACCCTCGTCGGCTAGGAGGATAGACAAACCAATTCAAACAAATCTCAAACCCACCACCCAACGCATACCCATTCACAGCCGCAATAACAGGCTTCTTCCCCCTCCGTCTACTCAACCCCATAAACCCACCGGGTGGATGAGACAATAACCTCTCCGATCTTTTGGCCCCAATGCCGCCATCTTTTGACGCAACATTGTTACTCTGCTCAATCAAATCCTGTCCCGCGCAAAAGGCCTTGGATCCTTTACCTGTTACGATCGCGACGCGTAAGGAAGTCTCATTGTCGAACCAGCGGAATATAGCTTCGGCGTCCCAGTGGGCTTGGTGGTTGAGGGCGTTGCGATGATTTTCGCGGTTGATGGTTACGAGGAGAACGTGAGGGGCTGGGAAGGTGAGGACGTAGTATTGGGAGGAGGGTGGTTGGGTTTGTAGGTCGGTCATTTTGATATACTGTCTTCAATTGTATAGTAGCTCTTATCGTGCGTTTATCTGATTTATATTCGATGTCGATAAGAAATAAAGAAAGGATGAGGAGTACGGAAAGTGGAGAGCTCAAACATGGGGAACCTCGGCTGATCCGCAGTTATAGCCGACGCCATCTCTAATTTTGGGTTTTTAGACCAGATGTTTCTCCACGTCAAAGAATAAGGTAGAAACGGTGCTCTATGTATTGTGGATGTGTACTGTATAACGTGTACTGTATGTATAACTTTTCACACGTAAATCCACCCCAAGGTCAATGCAACTAAACAAAACACTTGAACGAGTCCTTGTCCTTGATACCAACGAGATTGCCTTCCTTGTATCGCTTCAAGGTCAATGCGGCAATCAACGCAGCACCCACACCGGAACCATCCTCAGCAGGCAAAATCACAACTTTATCCTTCTCATTGTCTTCCCAATCGAGAATCTCACGCAATGCTCGGGCACCACGAGCCTGGAAATGAGGGTATTTGGTGAATACCGAACCATCAGCACCGACGTGGCAGCGCTCAATCTTCTTTTTTGTGCAAATAGCGGCTACACCACAGGCGGATAGACGAGCGGCGCGAGTGCCAATCAGTTCAGCCAGACGGCGGCACAGCTCAAGCTCGGCTTTGACGGCCTTGATACCTAGCACGCGCTCAAGCAACTCTTGTGTTTCTTGCAAGTTCTCGAAGGGATCTTCTTCGATAGCCGATAAGAAAGAAGCATCAAGGGAATAGGGCTTTCGCAACTTGGAAACATCCTGACCCTCGAAAATGAGACCGGGTTTGTTGTCAATGACATCGAGCAATGCAAGACGGTAAATTTCACCCAGATACAGACCAGCGGTCATTTTCTCGAATGCCTGCTGACCCGGACGCGGCGAGTCTCGGTCGATGATGATATCATACTGTGTGAGGGGGAGAACGACGTGTTCGTTGTCAAAAGCTCCATATTCACAGTTGATAGCAATAGGGGTATCAGGTGGCAAGTTGAGGTGAGCAATCTTGGGAACGGACCCGGCATCTTCCATATATGCAGCATTGACTCCAGTGCCAAAGATACAGCCGATTTTCATTTCAGGGTCGGTGTATGCGGAAGCGATGAGTGTTCCGGTGGTATCGTTAATCAGCGCTGTGGTCTTGATTGGGAGGCCCTAGTAAGTGTTAGCTTGACCCTCCTGAGCTTAGGGCTAAGAACTGCTGCTCACCCTTTTTTGCAAAACCTCTTCGAATGGAGGAACAACATCCTTACCCTCCACTCCCTCAATATCAAATCCCTTCGTCCAACGTTGAAGAATACCGTGGTCGATATATTCTTGTGTCGCAGGATAAGAGAAAGTGAAACCGAGGGGCAACGAGGGTAACTCTTCATCTTCGTGATGATATTCAATGAATTGCTGCAAGCAATCCGCAATGTACTCCCACAATTCCTCGGCGGTGCCCGTCTTCAATTCCTCCGGGATACGGTATTTGGACTGCGTAATATCGAACTCGCCACGTTCTGCGGTCAATTGGATTTCGCAAACACGTAAGTTGGTGCCGCCCATGTCGAGGGCGAGGAAATTTCCTTGTTCATCGCCGGTTGGGAAGCCGAAGACCCAGGTGACGTTCATGGGCTGGTTGATGGTTAGATGAGGAGCCCAGGAATCGGGTCAAGTTACTCACAATGTTGCCTCCCTCAACAGACAGACCTATCGATCGCAATCAGTCTCATGTTGAAAAAGCGCAGTGATTATCACATGTTGGTTGAAACGTACCCTTCTCCAACTCCTTGACGAAGTGAGCTACCACTTCCTTGAGTTTCTGTCGGTCAACAGTGAAAATATCCTCGAACTCCTTGATTTGATCCAGAAGACTCTTTGGCACATCGGCCATAGAACCTATAGATCATTAATGTTAGAACGACCATGCCGGATTTCCAACGTCAGACAGGAGACCACAGCTACTTACCCTTACGGGAAGGTCGGCGGCGTGGTCCAAGTCCAACCATGATGTATATATGTATTCCAGCAACACGTACAAAAGATAAGAGAGGAATGAAAAAATAGTAATCTAAGAGGAAGTTTCGAAAAAAGGAATACGATATGATGGGCAGAATTCCATGGCAGTCGACACAGAGGAACGTGGGGCACAAGGTGGGCTGGCCTGGCTCGACTGAACAATTGGCCCGTCCGTACCCAGATTTTGGCCTGCGACGGTGAGGGGTATTACCATACGTACGCAAATTGCCCATTTGCAGTACTTATCGGCATTTTAATTGGTCAAAATATCCTGATTCAGAAGAAAATGACCGACTTTACGGTATTGAAACTTTTTATCAAGTAGATCCTTGATATAACGAATCTGCCGACAGAAAAGCTGTAAATTATATACTTTATTTGATAATCATTACTAATTAGGAGCATCGCCCCTTAGTAAGTTCTTACTACAAGCCATAAAATCTAGTAATGATTGGTGTATTTTATAAATGACTTCTCTGTTCGTTATAGCCAGGTTGTACTGTATCAAGCATGACTATCGTACGACCATGAGCTCACCCCTTACAAAGGCATTCGTTGCTGTGACTGATCACAAGACTTGACCAGTTTTCTATCCTGTATGCTAACTCATCAATTGACCGAGAAAAAGAAAATATCAAGCCTCACTTTTCTACTTCCCCGGCTGCTTCCCCACGTCTCACCGCCAGGCTCAAAGAGTTGTTCAGAAATACATGGTCTGGATTGATTTACATTATTGGTTGTCGTTTCGGCCCAAAGCTGGAGTATGTAGAAAAAGCAAGTCAAAACGGAGCTATCAATATTCGCTATTCGATTTTCGAGTCCCCGCAGATGGACATAATAACAGGGAAAGTAGTAACTATGTGTTATCATTTACATATTCTATTTCTCGTAGCTTCGTCCCAAACTATGCAAAATCCCCTGAACACATCACCAGGACGGCTTTTTATCTACCAGGTGCGGAAATACATGGGTCAGACCACTTATTCCGGAGATATCATCATCACTTGACCGGAGAATCTCTTCACCGGGAGCACCTGTCGTATCACTAACAACCTGTCCGTCCCGCTCTTCTCGTGCATTTTGTTTGGCTAGCTGTTTGGCCAAATGTCTGTCCAGGTATTGTCGAGTATAATTCTGGTGCGAGTTTGAGACGTGCAATGTTCGATCAACATCTGCCGTGAGACGCTCAACTTCATCATGCAACCGTTCATCGCGAGTTTTCTTCGGTGCAGTTTCCAGATCCCGGTCTTCTTTATTGGGGTTGCTTTCTTCCCATAACGCTTCTAGTTCTTCCAACCAACCAAGTGCCTTGGCTAGCTTGCGTACCCCTTCATCACAGTCACCGAGGAGAAGTACATCATCCGCTCGAGATCCCAGTCCACCAACTTGCTCCATGTTTATGAGTAAGCGGGGCGTTTCATCGCGACAGAAACTCGGCAAGCTCGCAAAGGGTTGAACAGTCAGACTCGTGCCCATGATAATACACAAATCTGCTTCGGCAGGTAATTCACGATTTGCGAAAAAGGCCCCTGGTAGCGCTTCACCAAAGAAGACAATATCTGGCTTGACAAGTCCATTGCATTCTGGTGCGATACAATGTGGTACCTCACCCTTTGCAACGACCTGTTTCATGAGCTCATCCGGATAATGGCTTTTGCAATCGATACAATGCTGAGATGCGAAACTTCCATGGGCATCAATGATCATGTCTCCGGAAAGACCAGCTTCCCGTTCTAAGCAGTCAATATTTTGTGTGAAAAGTTTCAGCAGTCGACCCTTTCTGTGTAGTAAAGTGATAAACGAATGCGCTATTGTTGGTCTATATCGACCAGGATATAGTTCCTTGGCGAGGGTATAGAAAGGGACTGGATTTTCTCGGAAAAAAGTAATATTGAACACCGCTTCCGGGTCCGGTAATTCAAGATGGGCAAGATTTGAGTATAACCCTGTCTCTGGAGATCTGAAATCTGGAATTCCGGCTGATGTGCTTATTCCCGCGCCGGTCTGGCAAGTTAGTCTCTGATTCTTCCTCTTGCATGCCTTGATACATACCAGAACAACTATTCTTCGGACATCTTTTTCGAGAATGTATTTAGCGACAGAGTCGAGGTCACGACTCCTAAGCGTTGCTGGTGGTACACTACCGTCTATCGGAGTAGACGCTTCGTTACCCATGCTGCCCCACGGCGGCGATTACGCCGCAAAATCTATGTCCAAAGATGCAAAGAGCAAGCAACTGCAGTCAGTTTAAGGCCATTAACAGTATGTTGGGACCAGTATATAAAAAAAAAGTCGACAGGATTTATGCGGCTGAACAGTTAGATATTCATCTGGAAAACAGATGCCAGAAGATAGAAAAGAACGCCAAATCGACGTCAGCCGTCGGGCTAGTCTAGGAACGGTATAGCGTGTTTTCCCAGATTGATGCTTTTCGCAGCAGTAAACCTCGACTGGCAAAATGGTTCTCACCTTCTTCAATAGACCTGGGAATAAAAGCAGAGTCATGGCTCTGAGATTTTGAGAAGAATATTTACCAAGGTTATTGAATAAGTCGTACCTGGTCAGAATCAAGAGCTTTAATTGCTGCGCTTTACAATCCTAGGGCTGACCGCCTTATACTATGTAAGTATTACACCAATGACGGTTCACTCTTCGGTGGGCCTTTAGCGTTTGGCGTACCTGGCCAGTCCACAACGAACCCGATAAACAAAATGCCATGACAGCGTAAACCTTTCAATCAATCACGCGCAGCGCAAAGAAATGTCCAAAGCCAATGGCTCTGGCAATACCAATGGCCACAAAAGATCAACCACGATGACAGTTCCCGCGTCAACACCACCCGACATTTACAACGCCAACTCCGTCTCCGAAATCAAAGCGACCCTGTTACATCTCCACGACCAAGAGGCCGCTGTCACAGCCCGACTCGATGCCCTCGTAGCTTCGCAAAAAGATTTCTCGCGAGAACTCGGACGACTGGATCTACTCCGTGCACATTTGGGCTCGCAGGTAAACACTGCTCGAAATATCAGTCATGGCATGTTATCCCCCGCCGCAGCAACGGCCGAGCGCATCTCAGGCGCCGTACGTCGACTAGACTTGGAACAGGCACGAGTGAAAGCGACACTGGAAGTAGTCGAGCAAGTTGCCGAATTAAAAGCATGTGTGTTAGGCGTCAATGGTTCAATGGAAGGACCACAGGACTGGGAGATGGCAGCTAGTTATCTGAATCGCGCATCTAAGATTCCGCCGGAGGTTGTCAAGGGGGCGTTTGCGGCACAGATTGTTCCGACTGCTGAAGTCCCGGATCCACCAAGCGTGACTTTACACAATGCCGCAGAGTCTCTGTGTGGGTTGTTCCTGAGGGAATTTGATAAAGCGGTCAAGGAGAATAATGGGGCTAAAATTACTCGGTTCTTCAAATTGTTTCCTCTCATCGGTCGGTCTGAAGTAGGCTTGGATGTCTATGGGAGATACGTCTGTCAAGGTGTGGCATCACGAGCTCGAGCAAATCTCAACGCTGGTCCTGGTGGCTCGCAAGTGAAAGATGGGTATTTCTATGCGAGTGCGCTTACAAAACTCTTTGAGCATATTGCTCAGATTATTGACGGACATGGTGCGCTGGTTGAACGGCATTACGGTTCTGGTAAGATGACTCGCGTCATTGAAAGGTTACAGGTGGAAGCCGATGTCCAGGGTGGTATTATCATCGATACGTGGAGTGACGAGAGAAACGTGGATCGAAAGCTGACCGATATAAAATCTTATGCATTTACCTTCTTGGTACAAAGCTTTTTACCGGCCCAGCGAGCAACAGGGACACCGCGAACAGGGTCTCCTGCCACCAGGGACGGACTTCAGGAAGGTGAAGATGAAGGTGTGGATATGAAAGAAATTGATGCTATACTTAATGAACTAGGAGTGATGCTTGAAAGATGGTCGCTCTACTGTCGATTTGTCGGCGACAGTTGTAGGGTAAGTCATACGGTATTGACCAGGAGTTTGAGACATGCTAACAGGACGTTACAGCCAGTCGAAGAAAACGGCAATGCGGAGGCGCCTTTAGAGCTCCCTGAATTTCTGGTAGAGTCTACTCTTTCCAAGAAGATAAGAGACCGAATGATTGGCCCTTTTAACGCCATGACTACATTCTTCCTACGACGCTCTGTCGAGAAAGCATTCCAACTGGACGAGCAGCCTACTGGCTTGACGCTAAGTTTACAACGACCACTCGCCTCGGAGCCGCCTCATATCACCTCGGCTGTTGACGACATCATGTATATTGTCAACAAGGTCCTTCGACAATCTATTGCAACATCCCAAGAACAAGTCGTGACGAATGTGGTACCTACGTTGTCGAGAGTGCTTGGAGCAGATTTTATCGGTATGATTCAACGCAAAATGCGTGACGAATGTTACCCCCGACCCCCAGTACAAGGTGCCCAGCCTGCAGAGCAGACTGTGATATCGTTTTTGGTGTTGATCAATAATCTGGATATTGCAGTTGACTATATTCGGAGGATAGTACGGGGCCAGGTTGAAAGCAAGCCGGCCGATGGAAATCCAGAGAACGGTAAAACTGTCACCGAGGATGTCGGTAATGGATTAGCAGCAATGTATCCTCTTGGAGACGACGCATTAATCGTCGCGCAGACACTGCAATCGCTGTCAACATCGTTCGAGTCCAAAGCCAATGACTTGATATCCGATGGTATCCAAGTCGTGTTCAATAACGTGATCAAGGCACGCCTCCGACCCATCTTGGCGGAATCATTCCGCGATATCGAGTATCAGCCGCGAGACCACAACGACCCGACAACCAGCACATATCAAACCTACGAAGTCGACGAGGACGAAGAAGACGAAGAACTCCGTCGGGCAGAAATGGTCCGGCCGCGATTCGCAGCAGCATGGAAAGAATTGGTGTCTCCTATTTCACGGATTCTGACCCCCACGGCATTTGATCGTTTGTTATCGATTACGGTGACATATTTGGCGCGATTACTAGAGAAGAGATTATGGTCTTATCATGGACGAGTCAATGGGCTTGGCGCGATTCGGCTGGAACGCGATGTATCGGGTATTGTGAATGCGGTGGTGGAAGTTGGCAGTAGCCATGGTGCTCCGGCGCGATATCGACATCGGGAGACATTCGCGCGTTGTGTACAGATTACAATGATTATGGCAATGGATGAGGACGAGTGGGATGATGTGGTCGCGGGTGGCGAGACGGCTGATGTGGTGGACAGATTAAGTGTAGAGGAGCGGGCAAGGGCACGATCTATGATGCGTAACTGAGTTACACAGACGTATATATACTGAGGACGTGGAAATAAGTCAAATATGGACGTCCATAGCTATTCGAATCTCGAGTCGTCTGCATGATGGACAAGTGTCGCGTGACAGTGACACTAATATCCCGAACCATCCAGATGGTCGTCCAGATGGTCCGGACCAGTGTGGATTAGCGGACACATGGCAGCATGGCTCTTACTATGTACATTGATGGAAATTGGAATGGATGGTAGTTCATCACGTGACCTAATCAGCCCTGAATTCCGATGATACAGCAAAATTTGTAATAGCAACACCTCCCAACCAATCAGAGCATCTGTATATCAAAACGAACCATTCACATTGATCTCCACGACCTTATCTACAACCAATAAGCGGCAAGTGGGGATCACGGAGCGCACTAGAACGCTTGAGTCGATCGGAAACACGCGCTACGGCCGGAAGAGGACTAAATCATGACCCACTGCCCCCACAAGCTAAGCATTAGGATTTGCGCTAGTCAAGGGCTTTATCTCTAGCCAATGGGAGGAGGGCACGGTTGATAATATGCGATACGTTTTTGTTTCGCTGATACAGACTGATAGTACTGTAACAGTGTGAAGAGGAATGTTTGTACGCAGCTACTCTGGTACACTGTACAGTAGTACAGAGACTCGGGCTATCGTGTACCTTTACACAAGATAAGAGTCGTTGTACAGTATCAGAGATAGGACTATTAGTATATTATAGATAAAGAACGACAGGTTACACGTATATATCCACTAGATAGCCCGCTGTAAGCGCGAAGAACTCCCTAACTCTCTTTCTTCCTGTTTCACACGGTAAATCAGATCGAGGAACCATGTCGCCAGAGCGCTTGGCATCGCGGGCATACACACCTGGAAGGGAAAGATGATGGATGTATCAAGGTACGGACGACCAGCAGTATGTTAAATGTTTAGTAGTAACATACTCTGATTTACTGACAGTACGTAGATCGACACGCGACTTGCCGGTTCCGCAGTCCGATAGCCCTCCGGTCTTATTGCCACTCACTCACTCTGCTATCTTCAACGATGACGATACCCCATATAACTATTCTCCGTCTTCTACTGTCATGACAGCTAGTTGCATTTCATTCTCAATTGGCAGATATAATCCAGATACAATCCAATTGATCATTTCAATTGAATATCTTCAGCTCGTCCTCACTGTCATCGACTCCAGCTCTCGACCAGCTTCAGTGACAGTGCCATCTCCGTGGAGTTCCTTATTTTTCAGAGTATGCGCCTTCGCCGCCGCCTGAAACTCACGCACTGCGCTTGACCCGAACGAACGGTCCTCTCCTCATCCGGGCCTAGTCCGCATACTACGAAACGAAAGGGGAAAAAAAAAAAAGAATATTTCCATTGCAAACCACAACTACAAATCAGTCAATCGTATCGCCATCTGAAACGAGCTGAACTTATTTTTTGTTGTCTCTTTATTTACGACTTCCTTCGATCCTCAGGTTGCAATTGCCGTTGCCCGATTTGCCCCGGTCCACCACTGCCTGACGAGTACCGGTACCTGCGATACGAGATCATACAATACAGCCTGAAATAAACATTATATACTCTTGCTCTCCACCCTTCAACTTCATTCCATTCTTCTCTTTTTTTCTCATTCTTTTGATTATCCTGCTTTGGCTCTTTCGATAATTTCCTACTTCACCACTCCAGATATCTGGAGGTGAGGTTGCCTAAGCAATTCTTCACACTACCTCTTTTTTTTTTCCTTCTCTCTTTTCGTCACATCCGGTGATCGGCCGTTATTCAATTTCTCGCGATCTTATTTCCTCGACACTTAACAATGTCGTCCTCGGTCACTGAGGCGCCGTATGCGCCTGATTATGCTTCCTACAACTGGACAGGCGCTCCAGCCGATTACGCCCTTACGACCAACACAGACCTCGGCGGTGATTCACGTATGTGTAGAAAAGTCGCGTGCGGTTTGCTCCAGCAAAGACAATAGCTAATATTATGTCTCCAAAGGTATCGAAAATTTGAATAAATGGTATCAATCCGGTGACCAGGCCTATATTATTGTCGCATCCGCCATGGTCATGATTATGGTCCCCGGTCTGGGTTTCCTTTATTCCGGTCTTGCCCGCCGCAAGTCCGCTCTCAGTATGATTTGGGCCTGTATGGGTTCGTTCTCGGTCATCACCTTCCAGTGGTATTTCTGGGGTTATTCATTGGCCTTTTCGCCCTCGGCAACGAATGGGTATATTGGTGATTTGAAAAATTTCGGCTTGATGCATTTGTTGGGTGCGCCAAGTCCTGGTTCGCCGTTGGTTCCGGGGTTGTTGTATGCTTTTTATCAGGTATATATATATATACATATTTCTTTCCGGCCTCGATATAGTGGACGCGGCTGACTTGACAGATGCAATTCTGTGGCGTTACTGCTGCTATCGTCATGGGCGCCGTAGCCGAGCGTGGCCGTCTGTTACCTGCCATGGTCTTCACCTTCATTTGGGCGACTATCGTATACTGCCCTCTCGCCTGCTGGGCTTGGAATGTCAATGGATGGGGATACACCTACGGAGTGATGGATTACGCCGGAGGAGGTCCCGTCGAAATTGGATCTGGTTTGTCAGCACTCGCATACTCGATGGTTCTCGGTCGTCGCCAAGAAAGAATGATGCTCAATTTCCGTCCGCACAACGTTTCTTTGATTCTGCTAGGAACCGCTTTCCTCTGGTTCGGCTGGTTGGGTTTTAACGGTGGTTCTGCCTTTGGTGCCAATTTGCGCGCGACAATGGCCTGCTGGAACTCCAACATTGCTGCCAGTTTCGCTGCTATTGCTTGGGTTCTTCTCGATTTCCGCTTGGCTAGAAAGTGGTCCATGGTTGGCTGGTGTTCTGGGACGATCTCCGGATTGGTTGCTGCTACTCCAGCATCTGGCTTCATCACGCCTTGGGCAAGTGTTATTTTGGGAATAGTCACGGGCATCGTTTGCAACTATGCTACCAAGGGTGAGTACTTGTGTCCAGTCAATTATTTCTAGTAACGTAACTAACGAAAACAGTGAAATACTGGATTAAGATCGACGACTCTATGGACGTGTTCGCTGAGCATGGTGTTGCTGGAATCATTGGTCTCATTTTCAACGCTCTTTTCGCATCTGACGACATCATCGGCCTCGACGGCGTCAACACCGGCTCGAAAAACCCTACTACCGGAACAAACCAAGGCGGCTGGATCATCCACAACTACCGTCAACTCTATATCCAAATTGCGTACGTTGTCGCCGCCTGCGCATATGCATTTGTTGTTTCGGCGATTATTGCATACCTGATCAACCTCACCCCCGGTCTTCATCTCCGTGCATCTGAAGAAGCCGAATTACTCGGTATGGACGATGACCAACTCGGTGAATTCGCCTACGACTATGTCGAAGTTCGCCGTGACTATCTCGCCTGGACCCCGCAAAAGGCAGCTCAACTAGAAGACGGCCATGAAATCCCCCATGCGGATCGATACGGTATTGAGGCTCACAGTACAATGCTCGAGGGCCATACACCCGAAGATAAGCGCAGCGAAGATATCATCGAAGCTCAAGACTCTGCTATCCCCCTGGCAGCAGACCACCACCATCACACCATGACAACCTCATCACAATTACCAGCTGCACCACGACAGGTAGCCGAGCAAAACCCACCTGATACAGGGCGAGCGGTGGATGAAGAAAAGAATGCATAGACTTTTACCTTGAAAGAGTTTCTTTTCTCTACATATTTTTTATTTTTCTTTTTTGGTATCATCGATCATACAAGGCGTTGAGAATCGTCGGTCGGGAGTTTGCAGTGCTACCATTTTTTTTTTTTTTTGGTGTCAATACATATACCCTTTTCTCTTTTCTTGTTTTACCTTCTTTTATGTTGTTACATATTCTATTTTTCGCTGTACAACCTCGTGTTTTGTAACTACATACTTGCATACTATTCAATTCTATGTATTTTTGATTATTGCTTTATGATCGAGGGAAAGTTATAGCACATGGGGGAGTTGTTTCGGTGTGATGCTGTTGAGTGTCGTCCCTTATTAGAATTGTTTGAGATAAAAGTAATTGAGCATGGATTGCCATGCTGGTTCTAGTATTCATTTGTAGGAGTAATTATTAGTCTTCTATTGATGGACTCGATATCACATGTACGTACGGCATCAACCTACATTCATGGACTTATACTTAGGTACTTCCTAAGATTAGAGCAGATCAACTGAACTCTCATATCTACAACACAGACTCAACCCTATACATGTAGTATAGATCAAGCATACTTCCTAATAGCATCCAAATACACCCGTCCACTCTCCGTCAACTTCTCATCCTTAACAGGAGGCCAAGTACTCCCCAACCCTCTCCCCGCCGAATAAGCATATGCATAAACCCTATCATCCCTCTGAAATAGATCGACGATATCTGCTATGAATTTGTTGATTTGTGTTTGGTTTTCGCTTGCTTTGAACCCATTCGATGCTGTTCACGGCGTTAGTTTGCTGCAAGGAATAGGGAGGAATGAGAGACGTACTATCTACGCAGGCGAATTCCGTGACCCAGATTGGTTTTTGGTTGTATTTCGTCCAGTAATGATTCTATACACGCCACAGTCAGATATTTATACTGTCTGAAAAGGGGGACAAACATACGAGTACTTTTTTAACAACACCCATATTATTCGTGTTAATATGAACAGCCGTAAAATCCCAGGGCGTGGAAATACCTTTCTGAAACGGGGTTAACCAATCCTCATCCGACTGCTCTATATTCTGTCAGCATCACTGTAGACCTCCGCGCGAGAAACAGAGGGGACATACTACACACGGACGGACTCCCCAACAAGGACCCTTTCTTCCCCCAAGGCGCCACAACCTCATTCCACACCTTCATACCTTTCTGGACGGAAATAGACGATGAATCCGGCGGCGAACAATCCGGCTCTTCATACCCCAGTATATAAGGCGGTGCAGCAGTCAATTTCTGAAATTCTGCATATCGTACCGCGTCCCCATGGCTCACTGTGCCGGCGCCCCAGAGCATGGAAATGGGGATTGCGTGTCCGGTGTTGTCGGGGTAGGATTTTAGTGGGTTGGGGGTCCAGTCGTACCACCAGCCTATGTGGTCTTTCCAGAAGGGATAGGCGTCGCCGCCAGCGCTGCCGGCTTTGATGCCGTTGGGGGTTAGGGGGTTTGTTTTTGATCCTTGTGAGGGTGAGGTTGTGCTACTGCTCTGAGTGTTGGCGATTGAGGCTACGGCCTCGGTATTAGAGTCGATGGACGCTGTCGGTAAAGAGGAAGATGTCGGTTCTGCTATCGGTGCCAACACGATAGTAGGAGCAGTGTCAGGGCTAACAGTAATCGTAGTAGTGATGGTAACAACCTTCAAAACACTTGTTGTAGTGGTCGTAGTAGTATCATACTCCTGCACAGCCGGCTTCTGTTCGTGTCTGAAGTGCAGGGCTGTTTTCATATCAGTATCCCTTTAGTATAAATGTTGAAGAGAACTGCATACCTCCATGGTGATGATCAGCTGAGACCATCTGAAGACCAGCTAGCATCAACCCCGCGGCAAGGCTTTGAGGTTTCATGATTATTCCTCTATTTTCAAGGTTGGGGGAGATTCTGTCAATGACGATGCTTAGAAGAAAGGTACCGGCTGGCTTCCAGGTCTCTTATAATGACAAGTCCTGAAGAAACAGGCCAGCCGCTTTAAAGCATCATAACCCATCTGATAACTAGCATGACGAATCAAACTCTAGCCGGTTCTGATTCTAATTCGATAATCAAACCACACAGTCACCACTCAACAAATCACCACGGACAGGACTCTGATCTGATTTACCGTCTCGGTTTAATTAATTCCCCCCTTCCCTTCCAACCAACGGTCCAAGTAGTACATACCATTGTTTGTCCAGGCTAGTCATTGTTCATTGTTCAATAAATTTGAGGACCCTTATCTTTGTTTGGCTTGAAACGAAATGATATGTACCTAGGTAGCTGCCGATGCAGCTGTCCTAGTAATCTTAATCTATATAGGGCTAGAAGGTCTAGCCCTAACTTCCCACCAAGGTTATTGGGAGAAATAATGGAATTGTTGCTGGTTAATTAATTAATAATTTCGACCTGTTAAAGAATCTCAACGAATGCAGTAGGTTGTACATGCAAATTAATTAGAGACAAAGTTGTTTAATATTTAATATTCGATCAAGGAGCAAGTTAGCGATGGACCGTGAAACACTAAAACAATCTAATAATGGCCTGCCGCTGGTCATGTAGAATCTTTGTCTCGTTGGATCGGAGTAATGGTATAAATTTACATGTCATATGGCTATTGGAATCCATTGGTTGGCCCAAGTAAAGAGAGCTGTACGATATTCCTAACGCCGTGGCGGACTGAGAGTATGGTTCATGTATCATATCAAGCCTAATCATTCATATAATAAATACAACCAATAATAGAAAAGTAACAATATATGCCGCTCCGCCAAATCACAAATCACACATTAGAACTGTACATCGCCCCTGGACTCGTCCTCTTTATCGTTTTATAATACTTCCTAAACTCATCAGCCCAAAACACCGAGCTGGCCAGAACAACCAATTTCAACAAATCCGACAATTTGAGCGCCTCGGTTTGGAAGATTGATTGTAGGAATGGTATGTAGATCACACTCAGCTGACCGATGATCGACCCCAGGACGGCGTAGTTGAACATCTTGTTGCCTGTCAACGGCATTTCGCCTCTTAGGATGGACTTGCTTTCGCTTCGACAGGTAAGAGCGTTGAACATGTCGAAAAGCACGAAGCAGGTGAATGTCATTGTCGTATCGTGGTTGGTGACTACACGAGACATGTGGCCGGGGTTTAGCTCGTCGTCGATATCGCTCATTTCGTGCATGTAGATAATCAACGTGCCGAGCATGATGAGAAATGCCTGAGTAAGGACGCGTTGGATGAGTGGCCGTGTAAGTACTCGCGCATGTTTTGGTCGTGGCGGGCTATTCATAACCGCTGGATCGACGGGCTCGACTCCCAAAGACTGAGCTGGTGGTCCATCCATGATAATATTGATCCAGAGGATTTGCATCGCGTTCAACGGATTGTGGAACCCCAGAGCTGTGCTCAAAAGTACTAGACCCAAAGCAGCCACACTGGTGCTGAGTTGGAAGGTAATAAAGTTTTGTATGTTGTAAAAAATGCCCTTGCCCTGCTCAATCGCACGAAGAATAGTCGAAAAATCATCATCCGTAAGAATCATATCCGCAGCCTCTTTGGCTACATCCGTGCCTAGCTTGCCCATTGCAATTCCGATATCTGCCCTTTTCAATGCCGGTGCGTCATTCACACCATCTCCAGTCATCGCTACTACATCCCCTCGAGCCTGTAGCGCTCGTACGATCTTATGTTTATGATCGGGACTAGTTCGTGCAAAGATGCTTGTTGTCGCAATTGCCTCTGATAGTTCTGCTGTGCTCATGCGGTCAATCTGATCTCCTCGCAAAACCGCATGGCTTCCTGCACTGTCATTGACAACTATTCCTAGCTGACGTGCAATTGCCACTGCCGTAGTCTCCGCATCCCCTGTAATCATAATCACTCGGACACGACCAGACATGAGCCTGCTTATAGACTTTCGAACATCCTTGCGCGGTGGATCGTTCATTCCCACAAGTCCCGCAAATACAAGTCCAGTGAACTGCTCGTCATGCTCATCAGCTCCATGTTGGTCAATCTTTGGCGACAGAGTGGCACTGCGGCTGCCTCCTAGCCTCCTCATATGTCTGCCTGGTTCTCTGACTGGTCCGCTCGCAAAGGCTATGACTCGTAGTCCTTCTGATGCCATCTTCTCGGCAGCATCTCGTGCAGCTTTGCGTCGCGGTTCGTCCAGTATCACTTCTCGGCCATCCTTCATCAGGTAGGTGTCACATCTGGCCAGTACCTGTTCCAAAGCACCCTTTATGTACGCCATCCTGCTATCTCCAGCCCTCGCTCCACCGATTACAACACCCATCCACTTTTTCTCCGAGCTGAAAGGAGTCTCGGCAACACGGCCACTTATTTGATCACGAATATCATCCTCGCCGTATGCATCAAGAAGATCAAGTATCGCAACATCTGTCGGTTGTCCCACCCATCTAGTTTGGCTGTGACTGGAGGAGCTGTCCATAGTAGACGACAGGACAGCAGCAGAAGCTGCGCTGGCAGGTGAATCGGCGTGTGCTCGTGACAGTCGAGCATTGTTAGCTACATTTCCAATGCGCAACATCTTTTGGACAACAGGTCCGGGTGCCGATGAAATCACCTCTCTGACCTCGAAGGGTTCTGGGCAGTCGTGGTGCCACATCTTGGTGACTGTCATGTGACTCATGGTCAAAGTGCCTGTCTTATCACTGCAAATAACGTTCACTGATCCTAGTGTCTCTACACTTGGCAGTCTCCTCATGATTGCCCCTCTATTAGCCATTCTCAAAACGCCTAGTGCAAGTGTTACAGTAACAATGATGGGAAGACCTTCCGGAATGGCTGCAACGGCTAGAGATACTCCAATAGTAAACATCTCCAAGACCTTTCGTCCCTGAATAAGTCCAATGACGACAATCAGCCCAATAACACCAAAAGACACATAGCTCAGTTCCTGTCCTAGTCGATCCATGGACAACTGAAGCGGTGTTCTGGGACTTTCGATTTCTTGCAGGGATGTCGAAATTCGGCCAAACTCTGTGTGGGCACCCGTGGCAATCACAATACCCTGGCCGTATCCGGATCGTACCAAAGTGCCCATAAATGCAATATTGTGTTGTTCGCTCAGTCGGACATGTGGTTCACCGAGCCCCGAATCAGACAGCCGACCAAATGGGGCATCTGGGTCTTCTTGTTTGATCGGAATTGACGTACTTTGTAACACATCTGAATATTTATGAACTGGTTCGTTCTCTCCCGTCAAATTAGACTCGTCAATAGATAGATCGGTAGCAGACGTGATACGGATGTCGGCAGGAATGCGATCCCCGGTTGTGAAGAGAACCAGGTCACCAGGCACTAATTTCCCCGCCAGTATCGTGCTGGAAGCTTTGAGAGCGTTCGTAATCGGGGCCGGAGCATCTGCATGAGTCTTTTGTGCGTCTGCATCAATTGCGCCATTGCGTGAGACTCCTTGCTCCAAGCCGCTGTTCGCAGCAACATCTCGGATGAGATGCGCATAATGAGGAACGAGCTGGTTCAATGCCTCCAAGGATTTCTCGGACCGATACTCCTGTACAAATCCAACACTGACCACGATGGTGACTGCGAGTGTGATACTGACCGCATCGTCGAAATTTCCCATAAAAAATGATATCCCGGCAGAGGCGAGTAGCAGCAATATCAGGGTTTCTTTGAACTGTTTCAAGAATCGAAGCCATAAGGGCTCGGGATCTTCGCGAGGCAACTCATTGGGTCCGTCTCGATGCAAGCGAATCTCAGCTTCGGCCGGAGATAAGCCGTGGGTCAGGGACGTATTTAATCTGTCGGCGACCTGTTGCGGTTGAAGGAAGGCATAGGATGAAGTGACAGACTAGATATTTGGCATTAGTGGAGTTTCTTGATTGATGGTGGGGAGATGACTCACAGAAGACACCTGTGTCTTCGTTGGAAGGTAGGGGGACTGAGACCGGGAATCTTGCACATTATATAACGGCAGTGAAGGACTCGAAGACGGCGACATTTAATCCACACGCTCTAGGAGAACCCCGGAGCTATCAATTCGACTTGGGAGCTAGATCATACCGGTGAAAGAATTGAAAAGATATATGGCGAGTTTGGAGACACCGCAAGAAATTGTAGAAAAATGCAAGCTGGCGGTAAGAGACCGACAAGGAATTTATAAAGTATAATCGTCACCAAGATACCACCTCAACGGAGAAATGAAAAGATGGCCGACAGTGCCCTTGTGGACGTCTATACTGCGACAAGGGACGGATAATAGTCGAGTCGTTCAATTCATGAAATAACAGAGAAGAAGTCAAGCAGTTTGTTGTCCAGGAAGGATGCTGCGGATTAGCGTCTCATACGCGCAAGGGTGCAGCTTGTGATTGGCTGAATTGGCTGCAGTTGCCAGCAAAGTCACATGCTTTGCTTATGCCTGAAGGAACAGGCATGAAATAAAATGACCAATCACAATAGCCCATTCACTGCTAGCGTCGTTGCTACGAGCTTGCTGGCTGCCGTGCACGTGACCCCAGCCACACATTCCTGTGCCAATCAGTTTCCCCCCAAGCGCGAAAAGTGACGGAAGGAAGGCTGGGGCCTGTTCCTTCCTTCTTTCTTTCCATCCAACGCGACCCGAGACCCCTCGCAACTTCCTTTTCTGTTTTGCTTCTTCTTTTTCCATCCCAGACTTCATTTCCCATTCTCTTCTCTTCTTTCCCCTCTACAGGAATTACTGTACCTACTTGATTGCTTTTGGAATATCCATCTACCGAGTTACTCGGTTGCAGAGCCATCGTTGGCGGCTTACGTGGTCGGTCGCGACATCGACCTGGTGTTTAGATAGGCGCGTCATTGATTCGCCTTTGGCCAAGTGGTTGCCTCTCAACCACCGAAAGCATCTGTCTTGGATTGAAGGGCAGGCGGCATTGAATATATTCTCTCTGCAGCTTAACTTATACCTACGCGATGTTCTATTCTGAGACGCTTCTTTCAAAGACCGGGCCTCTGGCTCGCGTCTGGCTATCCGCCAACTTGGAGCGCAAGCTTTCAAAGTCACACATCCTCCAGTCGAATATCGAAAGCAGTGTCAGTGCCATTGTGGACCAAGGCCAAGCTCCCATGGCTCTACGTCTAAGTGGTCAGCTTTTACTGGGTGTTGTCCGAATCTATAGCCGTAAAGCGCGTTATTTATTGGATGATTGCAACGAAGCACTAATGAAGATCAAGATGGTATGATTATTCGCCCTCATGTCTTGGTAACCCGTTCTGACGATATTTCTTTAGGCATTCCGGCTTACTAACAACAACGACTTGCCCGCCAATGTGGCTTTACCCCCCGGCGGTATCACTCTTCCTGATGTGCTTACAGAATCCGACTTGTTTATGAACCTCGACACTTCATCTCTTCTACTGCCCTCTATCAATTTGGAGTCCGACAGCAAGCGCCCTGGTACTGTCGACTTTGGCAGTCAATTGTTATCCGACACGCAACATCTAGTATCTCAAGAACCAGCCCGTCTGGAAGATCATACTCTGCTCGACCTCGATCTTGGCGAGGACGACGCTCCTCTTGATAACGACATCAGTATTGAAGTTGGTCGAGACGCTCCTCTTATGCGCCCTGTTGAAGAGGATCTGTTCAGCGAAGAAGGAAAACTTAACGATGTCGACTTGAATCTTGACCTTGGCGAGGATGGTGCTCCACTGGGAGATATGGACCTCGAAGAAGATAGCCACGACAATATTGACCGCTTCTTGATGCCTGATGACCCTATGGACTTGGGTGTGGGCGAACTCGATGTTCCCCAAGTGGAACCCGAGGCTGAAGCACGATCACCACAGCCATTAGTTGATCGGTTTACAACCCCTCAGGCAGATGTTGCGGCTGGTGAGGATGAAGCTGCTGTGGATGAACAAGAGGCTGCACGAGAAACACAGCGAGCCAAGCGACGAAAGATCATCGGCCATGATGTGGATACACAGCTCAGTTCGGCTTTGATCAAAAAACATCAGGAAGATCACGAGGATATTCTCAAGCCTGTTTCATTCTTGCCTCGTGATCCAGTGCTCTTAACACTCATGCAAATGCAAAAGAACGGCGATTTCGTATCCAGTGTTCTCGGACAGGACCGTGGCCGCGGATGGGCACCTGAGCTCCGAGACATGCTTTCGTTCGAAACCGTCCGGAAAGCTGGTGAACTCAAGCGCAAACGCGACAGTGGTGTATCAGATATGGAAATCGATGAGGCAAATGTACCTGCTCTGGATCTTGGAGGAGATGAATCCGCTATCAATCTTGACGAAGGTATCGGTCTTGATACCACTCTTCAACAGGATCAGATTGAGTTTGGTGCCGATAATGATGACCAACTCGGCAGTGATAATGAGGGTTTACAGCTTGACGAATTTGACGATACCATTCACCCGTCCGAGACTGGTCCAGTATCTCTGGGCACTCAGCATGCTGTTCACCTCCTTCGCGAGCGGTTCGGTGGTTCTCAAGCTGCCGAGCCAGCCACACCACAGAAGAAGGGTGTATTGTTCCAGAGTTTGTGCCCAGAGAAGACTACAACAAAAGCTGATGCAACTAAGATGTTCTTTGAGACGCTCGTTCTTGCGACCAAGGATGCCATCAAAGTTGAGCAAAGCCACAACAACATTGGCGGTCCTCTCCGTATCAAAGCCAAGCGTGGGCTCTGGGGTTCATGGGCAGAGACCGAAGCTGGCGGCGAGATAGCCGCTCAACAGGAGACCCAGGTTGCTGCTTAATTGTTTACAACATGACAAAAACAAAATGGAACGGATGATATCGGTGGCTTTGTTTATATGGCGTTACAAGGGGTCTTGGCTATAAAAGGTTGCTTTACTGAAGCGTGCCTGCGTTATGTACAGATCTGATTTTGCAAACTTGGACGTGTTTTGGCAATGCTTGAAAATTCTTGGGTCGGCTCTTTGGCGTATATACGTATTGGCGACGGTGTTTGCTTCTACCTGGGTTCGTTTCCTGGACACTTTATTTTTTTCTTTTGCTTTGGTATTCTGTGTTTGGGTTCTTCTGACTTCCTCGCTTGAACTGCGAAGCAGTGAGTACTGTTGTTGAGTAACCGATTGTATGTTAGCAGTAGATTCTAATGAATACATTTCGCAGCCACACACAGCCTCTGCATGATAATAGAACTACCTACATATACTGTATATGCGCCATTCCTGACACCCCTGACATGTCTCAGCCTCCCGTTCACTGCTGTGTCAACCTACTTAGCAGCTGCTGTACGGAGTACACGTATACCCAATCCTCAAACTGAATTCTGTGACAAATGTCTCATGGGGCATGCGTCTCACCATTGGCCATGCCGCCAATCAACTCACAAGAACTAATTGTGCAGTATGCAACAGTCAATTAACGCCCTGAGTAGATATTCCATTTTTATCGAACTTGGGAGCGTTACGCAACGGGTCTAGAATGCGAAACTGTTCGAGTCGAGGGCTTGTTGGACATGCACGTTGGTATAGTATACATAGCTTTCAGATCCTCTAGTTATTGTTATTTTGGCAACTTTCTTTAATTTATTTACATTTGGCTTGCTTTGCATTTTCAACGCGGACACTCCACGACTACTACGAACCTATACATATTCGGCATATACTCAACTACAGTGCTGGCAATTACAACGATCACCTTTCAAAAGCCGGAATTCCACTCATTTTACAAACTGAGCTCGAGCAACCTTTTTGATTACCAACATGAACGGCACAATATCCCGTTTCCGTTTCCAATGCATGAACATTCGTGACCGACTAGTCCATACACCATGGCTATTCATCAAAACAGTCATTCGCGGCATCACAGCCGCACTGGCGGTTATATCGTTATCATTCTTTGCAGCTGCGATACCATGTTGGAATCATAATTTGGAGCATATCCATGGTCCGGAGAAGGGGGATTGGCAGGATGGGATCCCTATTGCGCCTGTGAGTTCTCCCCTCCCCATAAGGCCTTGTTGCTGGGGTATATGTTGACATTTGAATAGCTAGCGTTAGCATTCCTCTACAACACATGCACAACAATCTACGCAGTCAAAAAAGGGAAAGGAGTGCCCTATCACATCCTCGAAGTCCTCATCGACTTTTTAATATTGTCCGCCCTCGCTGCGGCGTTGGTATTCGCTATCTGGGGCGGAGTATTCAATGTATGGTCCACAGCGAGCACGATGATGGGCCCGTCAGGCATGATGATGGTGATGTGCGATGAGTCGTCGAATGCATTTAGTAGAGAGTGTTTTCCGGAGTTGTATCCTTTAGGGTTGATTGAGATTGCTGCGATCGGGTTTGCGGTTCCTGTTTGGTAAGTCCTGTTCCTTAGGGCTCAGACAGAAAAAAAGCTAACGAGAGAAGTATATTCCATGTTTTTCTTTTCGTGCACGGGCTGGTTGAGAGGTGTACGCGGTCACGGAGAGTGAATTCGCAGGCGACAGAGATGATTAAGAATCTTGAGACTGATGCTGCGAATAATGATGAATGGGGAAGACGTATACCACGGGGGTCGTATTTCTATAGGTAAAGATAGCATAGCATAGCATAGCATAGCATGGAGTTTTCTTTCTGAGCGTCAACTGTCATCTATCGACTAAGTAGCTGAACGGATCGTACGGGGAAGTCCGCAAGCTCCGTGCGGCCCGCTCCATCACGGCTTTATCTATCGGCTTTTGTGGTTTGACGCTTTGATATACAATGGCATTGGCATACGTATGAGACTGCTCAGCTTACATGCAGAACAGTTGGTATATTCGCTCCGCACGGTTAAGACGGCTCACCGTCTCACGCTTTAAGATGGAAATATGTAGTAGAAGAGTCAAGCAGAAATAAAATCCATTATCTCCGCCAGATCCACACTCTTGTGAAGATCTTTGATTGATCAATCAAATAAGTTGGTGATATCGGCATACTTTCCGTGGATCCAGTTTCTTTGCCAAATTTTCTTTTCTTACAGATATTCCTTCCCCGCAACACCCAGAAACGCGAGAATTTCACGTTCAATTTGTCAGCATATTAGAATTGATAATCTCTGGTGTTGGTGTAATTATAAATGGGAGACTTTTAGTCAGGAGGATCAACGACGTCGAGGTTCGAGTTAGTTGTCTCGCGCGAGGTGATAAGTATCGCCACTTCGAAATGGAGGAAAAGTACGAAACAGAGCGCCGTTCACTCTCGCCAACATCGTCGCATGCAAATGAAGAGCATGATGGGGCGACCTTTTCACCAATTGCAGCTCCATCAAATAATCTGCGTGACCTGGACACAGTCGAACTGGGCAAAACGCACTCGAGAGCATCGCGAGCTTCGCGAGCTTCAATGAATCGGACCTACTCGTTGACGGACGGATATTGTCTTAGCGTTCAAGATGACGAGGAACTTGATGAAGAGGAACTCGAACAAAGGAAGGATGAAGGTGTAACACCGGAGGATGTATCCCCGACTGAATATCTTGTGAAATGGTCCGAGAATGACCCCGAGAATCCCAGGAATATGAGCTATGCCCGGAAATGGGTTATTGCGATTGTGGTTTGTCTAGGCTCGGTTTGCGTGTATGTTGATCTCCCATTAAGAAAAAAGATGCAAACTGACCGTACAGGACTTGCACATCTTCGGTATATACAATGATCTATAGCCAAGTAACCAGAGACTTCCATTGCTCCCGCGAAGTCGCAACACTCGGTTTGACGACCTTCATCTTCGGTCTTGGGGTCGGTCCAATGTTTCTGGCTCCCTTGTCAGAGTTCTATGGTCGTCGCATCATTTATATCGCCTCATTCGCATTCTACGTCATTTGGATGATCCCCTGTGCAGTTGCGCAAAACATTCAGACTTTGATTGTTGTTCGATTTTTTGGTGGACTCTCTGGCGCGGCTTTTTTAAGTGTGGCTGGAGGTACTGTGGGCGATTTGTTCAATCGCAGTGAACTTGCTGCGCCGATGATGGTGTTTTCTGCTGCGCCGTTTTTGGGGCCGCAGATTGGTCCTCTGTATGTTCTCAAGTCTCTTAACATGCAGATGGTTGCTGACTGTTGTAGGGTTGGAGGGTTTATCAATCAGTATACCAATTGGTAAGACCAGGCTCGAAGACAGAGTATTATGAGTTGACTGACGGTTTCGTATAGGCGATGGACGTTTTATACCTTTCTTATCTGGTCCGGAGTACAGTTGGTATTATTGGTCTTTCTCGTTCCAGAGACATACCATCCAGTGTAAGCATGCCATTTTCTTTTTTTAGATGCAAGCTAATAATCGCAGACTGTTGAAGCGCAAAGCTATCCGCCTTCGCAAAGACACCGGTGATCAGAGATACTATGCCGCGCTCGAGAAACTAGACAGAAGCGTCGCTCAAACCGTTATCCGCTCCTGTTACCGGCCCATGTTGCTCCTCACCCTCGAACCAATGATCCTCTGTCTATGCTTGTATTCAGCCATTCTCTTGGGTATTTTGTATCTTTTCTTCGGCGCCTTCAACCTCGTCTTTACCCGAATATACAATTTCGAATTGTGGCAAGTCGGAGCCAGCTTCTTGGGTATAACGGTCGGCATGATGGTAGCAGTTGGATCAGATCCGCTCTGGCGCGCAAACTATCAACGTTTGGAGCGTAATCATATAGCTGCCGTGGGTGAGAAGGGAGAATCAATGCCCGAATGGCGTCTTCCGCCGGCTATTGCAGGTGCTCCTCCAGTCACGATTGGGATTTTCATCTTTGCCTGGACGGCGTATGCGCATGTCCATTGGATTGCGCCTATTATTGGGACAGCAGTGTTTGGAATGGGGTGCGTACTGTTCCTAGGATGCTAGTAGATGTAAGCTGATTGTTCTAGGGTCATCCTCGTTTATTCCGGAATCTTCACATTCCTGGTTGACGCCTATCCCGAATTTGCAGCGAGTGCCTTGGCAGCCAACAGTTTTGCGCGATCGAGTTTTGCAGGTGTCTTCCCTTTGTTTGGAACATATAGTAAGTTGTCTCTTCGTTGGATTTGGGTTTGATCTGTGTTACATGCCACGTGTATATGTCTGGGGTATATGTTCGGAGAACTTGTGGCTGACTGATACAGTGTACAATCGACTCGGAATTCATTGGGCATCGAGTCTGCTCGGATTTTTGACGTTGTTGATGCTTCCATTTCCGTGAGTTTCTTTTCTCTCGCTATTATAATAAAACCAACTAACGTGAATAGATACTTATTCTTCAAGTACGGAAAGGAGTTGCGCAAGAAGAGCAAATTCGCGACTTCTCGGGTATAGCCCTCACCAGAGGTAAACTATTGTCTTGAGCTCAAACTGTATATTTAATAAACGCACATTAGAAGCTACATACTTAGAACTAAAACCATCTAATCTAATTCCGTCTATACCTTCACCCGTTGAGACAAAAATTCAGTACTCACCCCCCAAAACTCCTCAGCCACTCCCTCTCCCTCCTCACCTTCTCCTCCCCATTTTCTGACTTATCATCATAATCATCAGCTAAATACCGCACATACCCACCCCTCATCAGACTCTTCCTCGCAACCTCACAATCAATCCGTATATCCTCCACGAGGGCTTCACGAGATACATAGTCAAATTCAGGACGAATATAGCCCAGAATCAGTAAATTCAAATGCGTAGAATAGAAGTCCGGGAGTTTGAAGAATGTTGTTGTTGGGTTTTCGTTGGATGTCGGACTTGGCGATGTGAGGGGGGGCATTATATGGATTTCCTAGAGTCATCAGCTCTGTTCACCGGGATTGCCAAAAAGAAAAAGGGGAGGGGGGTATACAATAGATTTAACCTCGTTCTTATAAAATGGGTTGTATCCTATACTCAACACAGCCGGTAAAATCGTGATTTCATTTTTCTTCTTCTTGGGTTCTGCGTCTGCACTCTCGGATGAGCCTGTTTGAGCAGCGGCTTCAATCTGGTTATATTCGAATCGAGCTGGGTCCAGAGCTACGACGCCGTAGTATACTCCCGTCTGGAGGGAGGGATAAGCCTCTAGACCGCCTGGAGGGATGTTGGCCGTTGGAATGCCGAGCTTCACACCTCATCAGTCCATTGATCCCTACACATTTTGAGAGAAAGAGAGGGGACTGACTTCTTTACTTCCGCGTCCGAAACCTTTGATGACTGGTCCCGAGAGACGGATGGGATATGGTGGTTCAGGACCAGAGTCGGGGCCTGCGACGGGGTCTCGAGGGCCGTTTTGACGCATTGTTGCCAGAGGAAGTTGAGTTGGTTGTTGCAGAGATTATTCAAGTCTTCTGTTATATAGATTGACTGAGTGCTCTAGATGTATGTCTGACAAATGCGCCACGACTGCTATGGTTGCACAGACAGCACGGCACAGAATGAGTAATGTATCTCATGAACGTCAGTATGTATTCTCAATGTATACTATATATTATCTATACAGGAATATACTTACCTCGCTAGTTATTCAATACAGAAAAGAATCTATGTATGATACAAATCAGTCATCGCGGGGTGAATGCGGACGGAGAAAGAATCGGAGTGGATCTAAGCTTTTCTAAGCCCTTCTGTGGAACCACCAGCCTTAACTCTCGACTTACAATGAATGAATGAATGAACAATCATGTCTGATCCCCATAGGATTGGAAAATAATGATACTAACAGATACATAGCATATCAAAGCAACAAAATCATCCGCCTCCATTCTAGTTCTTGTATCCCATTCATTCCACCGTCACAAATTGGTTTGGGTTGGTTATATGTACAAAAGTCGCACGAAGAAACGATTTACAGTCGAAAAAAATATGTAAAAAGAACAGAAGACAAAAACATCAAGGACCGAGGAAAGAAATATGTACGTGTCCGAAGAATTTTTTTGGTTCCGACGTAACGCCTGATAGAAATGACACCGTACACCTGGCGAAATGAATATCCCTAAAGAACGAACTAAAAAAAAGAAGAGGGTATAGACAAGATAGTCTCTTGTCATGACCAGTCTGATCAAATATGCGGTAAAAACTGTACCTCGTTAGTATATCAGCAACACCCGGACAGCAAATAGAAAACTCACGTTCATAACGATCAACATGGGTATATCAAAAACATCCCTTTTCACTGTCCAGCAATAACTACATTCAACACGCCCATCTCTGAACCCCAATCGATTCATACCTGCTTCCCCGACAATCCCTCCCTTACCGACGATGTGCGAGTTCCATCGTCCATCGTCCGATTTCACGAGATCCATGTCTTCTTTGGTTTTGTATTTGAGTAGTTTGCATGTATTCATGACACTACCCCTGGAATCGCCAAAGGCGAGACGTGCAAAATCTTCGTAGAATTCAATTACGCTATCGTCGTCGAGGAGTTCGGCTAGAAAGACCGGTGCCGTGTTGGTGGTGATGGGTTCCGGATTGCGCATTCTTCCAGCACCACCGCGTATCGACGATGCGGCGGAATCGGTCTGGGATGATGGATTGGTGCCGCCGCCAGTGTTCACGTTTAGATTCGGCTCCTTGCCAAGCAGAACTTCTTTCTTCCACCCGGTCAGGATACTGAACTCCTTCCCCACGGCGGCTACTTCGCCCGTTCGACGGCACACAATAGTCGGTGTGCCGCATGCATTGATAAAATCTTCATATTCCCACAGCGTTCGTTGGAAGCATTTCTCCATGAATATCAAATCATCCTGATTTAAAGTCTTTGTCGTTGCAATAAATGATGGTCGAATAGACGCCAACGCCTTGGCGATTCGTACCGTTTTCGGTGGCGAAAACCGTCTCTTAATAAATGCAATCAATTTATGGAATCCACCAGTATATGAATACGGCTCCTTGACGCTGTCGTAGATTTGCGACGGTTCGCGATGGCGTCGTTTATTAACGTTGGCGTTATACAGACTTTGCTGACGTAAATGCGGGGTTGATATCACCGTTTTGGTCTTCATGGGCGAGTCGTCGAAATTCGACGGCGCAATGGTCGTGGCATGAGGACTCGTGGTCGACGAAGGACTCGCAAATGTATTAGATCCAATGGCGTATGCGTGAGGTGCATCTTGTTGCAACAAATGCATTCCTCCGCCTTGCCCGTACAATGTACCGCCAACGCTCATTCGGGGATTCGTGTTTTGCGCCCCGGACCAGTCGTTGAGCACAGGATCGCCAAACATGAATGACTGCTGATTGGGGCTTTCAGTGGTAAATGCTCCAGTAGGATTACCGAATTGCTGCGAGTTGCTGCGTTGCCCAATCGAGCCACCTCGCTGATTGCCACTGTCGCTGGGAGGGGTGTCTCCAGCACCAGTGGCCATATGGCCCAACATACCAAATTCCAAGGCACCGTATCGATTGCCAAAATTCATGCTGGCAAGATCAAAGTTAAACAGCGCCGGATCACTAGGGTCGAAAAAAGCACCAAATGAGTTCTGTCCGGCTCCAGTCGTCATCTCGTTGGCCGGTTGTGTAAGCGCAGGCATCGCCGAGGAGGCAGATATGCTAAAAGTTGGCGAAGCAGGTGTTGCAGTAAACGGGCCTGGATTCAAAGCGGCGCTGTCCGGCAGTGATGGGTTTGTTGCGCTACTTGCATCAAAGGTGCTGTTGCTGTTATAAGACGGCGTTGACGAGGCGTAGATTGAGCTTGTTTTCGGCTGCTGTATATTGTTGGTCCCGTTCGGCGTAAAATCAGATGGTGACATCTTGGACAGCCCGTTTGCTTGATTGTAGAAATTGCCCTGGGCACCAGGCACGAGAGCACCGTCTGGGGCATCGTGCAGGTATTTTGCTTTTTTCCGCACACCATCATGACACGCATCCTGCAAACCGCGTTTGATGCATCGTTGACAAGGTCGTTCGTCGCCTGCAAACATTAGTATCAGAAGTATAAACTTTGGCGGCAAGAACATACCGCAAGTCAGATGCGCCCGTTGACATGCAAAGCACGCCCGGCGCGCTTTCTTCCTTCGAGGTCGCGAAGGGTCTTTTGAATTTGATGCGGTTTTCGAAGTGGTTCCTCCAGTTTTTGGAATATCACAAGACTCGTGCTCACTATGATCCGTGGCAGAGGGTAGATCGTCTTTCTCAGTGTCCATCATACTGACGGAGATTGCGACCCATTCACCGGTCACCGAGCACCCAACGCACACTTTCTCGTACAGGTTGATCCAATTATGGAGTTATCGACGCGGACGTCGTGTAAAATCTGGGCTATTAGCGAACCAGCGCACCAGGTTCTTAGCCCTCGGTATCTCAGTCATCAAACAGGGATGGCAAGTGTCGCGCGACGGCAATTTATTCCTTGATGCGACGGGCGGAAACAAGCGGGCCGGTTAATAAGTTGTTATTTCCTCGAAGCGGACTTCGTGCGAGCTTCATTCATTGAATTGTGAAATTGGCTGTCTGGACGTGCAATGGACTTTGCGACGCGGACCGAGTTAGAGTCAAAGCGAGAATTTGCACCTGGAAAAGTTGGAAGAGTGGAGATTGTTCTGTTGGTATGCTGCTGAAGTTGCGATGAAGTTGGCGTCAGTAGAGAGGGTCGGCACACAGTTACTGTGCAAGGTACAGAGAAGGACGCGAGAGAAAAGACGCAGACTCTCTCGTTTCAACAGTGGCTGTTCGTGAAGAGTCAGAGTTGTTTGGAGAAGTCGTTGCGGGGAGCCCAGCCAATGATCGGCTATACGATATATTAGTCATCCGCTTACCGAGTAAGTTAACTTAAGTTAGTTAAACTTATCAAAGAAAGACTTGGTTTCACTTCTTTTTCTTTCTTCTTCATATGTATGTACTCTAACTGCTTTGCATTAGAATGTCTTTGTGGGCGCCTCGTGGCTATACGGTCTGTACTCGCTAACTACATCAAAGTCAAAGAATCAGCCTCGATCCAATCGCAGCGCCTAACCACCCAACTAACTATTAGCGTGATGAAACAAGAAGATGAAAATGCCTCATTCCTTTGAACCGGGAGAATATTCATTTCTCTGTTGAATGGCAATGCATGGGACACAGCATGTTGTACTTTTGTATGTATTGCATGTATTGCCCATACACACTTGTCATACGGCTTATTATGGGGGCTGTATTGTAATATTCGTAATCGCCGCGTATACAACCACTCATCTGCACGTCCTGATTGGCACTGGACTTGGCGACCAATGCGGCAATCCCTCACGAGGCTTTCTTTTCTTGTTTCTTTCTCAACGACTTCTTTTGTTCCAGGTTTTCTCTTCAATAATAGAGTTCGTATGTATTGATCGAATGCGGGGAGAGGCTTCCACCGGCTCGCTTTCTCCATCGGGAAGTACGTCGATTTCACGTCTCTTCATGATAGACGCTGAATATGGAGGGACGTGTACTACTGATCTACTGCAGAAAAATCAGCCGAGGATGAGATACAGCTGCAGCTGTGACGGACATGCGTACTGAGTATCTGTCCGTGTGTAGTCTCTTAGTCTCTACGCCGCACACCTGACTCGGACTCTGCAAATATAGAACCAGGTACGGAGCACTGCGCACCCAAACCTGGATATGTCCCAGAATCTGGGGTCAACTACCGGGTCTGGGGTCAAGCCACGCGGTGTGACTGCTCGGAACTCTTAGTAGGACTATTATGGTTATGTCATATATTTAACTACTACGGAATATACTTGTAGATATACGATGTCCTTCCTTGCACAGTATGCAGTAGTTATCAGAGAATTAACCACGATACACATGCCAAATCACAAGGAAATATAAAACATAAATCAACTTCCAGTCTCGTCTCTACTCGCGACGGGCTGGTTGTCGTTCCGATTTCACCCGACACGAAAATTTGACTCCCGCTTAGCCCTAACTACAGCTGAACAGGTCTGTGAGCATCACCTGCCCAGGTAGGCAAGTAAACTAATCCATGACCCCTAGTATATCAAATATGATTCTGAATAGGAAAAGAAAAGAAAAGAAAGTCGAGATATCTTTTTGTGATATACTCTGATTAGTTATAGCGACGCCTGAAGCTCCCTTATTCGAGGACTGACACCTCCCTTGCCCTGTAATGTACATAAACTAGCCCTCTGAGCGAGCGGAATAAAGTCTTTGATGTATTTTCCTGCATTGTGGCCGTTGGAAAGTCCTGCCACAACTACACCTAGCAGTGTATCGCCTGCTCCGTTGACGCTTACCACATCTTCATCAGCTAGTATCGTCTCCGGAGGGAATAGACGCATATAAACACCTCCAACCATTTCGTTTCCATTCCCTGCAGACGCATCGCTTCGAGAGATGATATATGGTGAACAATCAGGTGACGTCAAACGCGCATCTTCGCGCGGTAAAAGTTGTGTGAGGAGCACACCCTGAGGACCCAGTTTGATGAGCAGATTGGGGATAAACGGCAGTAACTGTATGCTTTGCTGTGGAATACCCGCGTCAACCAACGATGGAGAGGTAACCGACACAAGCAAATCGCGGGATCCGGCACTGGAGAGGTTGAGTTCGTTGATGATATTCCACCATTCCGGTGAATCGAATAATCCATTTTCACGGGCTGTAGAGTACATAGATCTAAGTTCAAGTTCGTTGGGTGCAGCAAGGTCAAGTTTTGATCGTGGAACGGTGTCAGACGGTCCAATTACACAAGAAGACTTATTCGTCTCTAGTCCTGCAAAGAGTCTGGTAGCCTTCGCGGTAGAGACGGGTTCAAAGGCAATGCGAGCCCCGACCGTTTGACCAAGTTCAATCCATTTGGAGATCACGGCAGGACTCCAATTCCCGTCTACCACAATCCAGTTCGGTCGTGCCTGCGCGACAATAGCGCCCCAGAACCCTTCCATGTTGAGGTCGTGGTCTGGAAGCTCCATAATAGCCATATCTGCCATGGCCACGAAAAGATCTTTCTTGGCATCGTTGACGGCAATGTACTGAGCGGTCCTCACACCCAAAGAGAGAGACAAGGTTTGGATACCTGTAGTCTCTAGACCTTCTTGCTCAACAGCGGCCAGAGCTGCTTTGCCGCTTAGGTCATCCGCAACAACGCTGCAGAAGAGAGTTGTGCTTCCAACGTAACTTGCAGCAATTGCGACATTGTAACCTACACCCCCTAAGCTTTGCTCGATCGTAGCCGGATTTGAAGTCTGCACGGAAGGACTGACTGCGGCTTTTTGAGAACCGAAAGGAGTAAAGTCACAGGATAGATCAATAGCCAACGAGCCAGCGACTAGCACGTCTACTTTCCCCAGGTTGTCGATAGGTGAAGTTGATCTGCCTATAGCCGCTACACTTCCTGTATCAGGTGTCGGCGCTGAGACTGACGAGCCAAGGGAGGACGTTAGATCGGAACTCACTGGTATTGATCTGTTGAACGTAGATGCAAGCCCATCAGCACAGTCTTCGTGATGTGGTCTCCGAATAGCTCACCGATATTCTGGGTGTTTATGAGCTCGTTCAAGTTTCATCAACTCGACTGCTACTTTCGTTGCGCGCTGCACGTTTGATTCGATAAGCGCGCGATTCGCAGGTATACTACTACCGCCAGTGAGCTCTTTAATCTTTGCAAGAATAAACGGCGTATTGTCGCTTCCGTGGAATCCCTCTGCTGCAGCTGTTCTGACCGCTTCGTCTATTACCCTATCCATCTCGGCCTTGGGAATAGAGTACTTTTCCGGGATGGGGTTTGCGAAGTGGATTCCCGATGTCAAGCCCAGTTGATTCTGGGCATCTAAATAATTAGACATGTGTGTTCCGTCTTACAATCCAAAAGAAGTGCTCACAAATCATCGCCGCAGCATCGAGCTCATTCTGAATCACCTTCGGACTCGGTATTCCACTATCGCGAGTCCAGAATGCTGGGTAATCGACATGGCCCTTTCGGCCGTCTGCAAAAGTGCCAACAAGAACACCTTCGGTTTCGAGATATTCAAGAGTTTTGGGAATATCCAGAAAGCTCTTGCAGCCTGAGCTGACTACAGCAACAGGGGTCCTCCCTAGTTCCGTCAAATCGGCTATTTCTAAATTAGTGTTGCACTGTGATCAATTTAGTTATATCCATACCTGATATATCCATTGACACCTCTGCCCCTCGATGGACGCCCCCTACTTGCATCAGCTAGTGTAATCAGCACAGTCGAGGGCACATACCTAAACCACCAGTACCAAAAACTTTGATACCAGCCAGATGGGCAAGAATCATGGTGCTGAAACGGTGGTTCCGCCATGAATGTGCTTGCCCGCGAGTCCCTTTCAGCAATCAGCATGACTTATCTTATAAAGCCGGCAAACGCACACTCACTAGTCCACAAATATAGCCAATATCACGCCGCGAAACTTTCAGCGCGCTTTTCGTCTGAGCACTAGCTGCCACCTCGATAATTTCTTCAGCGGCTAAACCCACGCGAGCTATACCATTGAACACTGCAATTGTTGCGGGAATACCTCCATTGCTCCGCACAACTGATTCTAGTAGCGAGGCAAGCGCTACATTATCCGGGTACGGGAAACCTAGGTTATAATAAGTCGGCTGTAATGAGATACAATGACTGGGGTTGGCTCCATACCGTGCGTATATATGGTCGACTCTAGTGCAACCACAGGTCGCTCGGTAGCTATAGCGTCCTTGATTTCTTCTGATACCCGGAAGAATTTACTGCTGGCGAACTCAGATGCCTTCTTAGAAATATGCCTGCATGAAAGGAGTCGTGTAGATAGCGAGCAATTCCGCCAGCTACGAAGTCGTACAGCACAAGAAATGGCCATGCTAGATGCCAAAACAAATCATATCACAATAGCCTGGTCATGGAAACAGCTGATTATCGTGAATGTTTTTGCTGGTGTCGATATAGGAAAGGAAGGAAGATAACTCCCCGCATGAGACGGGATGCGGAGTGCACTAAGCGGCCGAAGCGGTCGCCGTACAAGGGCCACCTAAGCTCTTTCCCCATCTGAATCAGCTTCATCTTCACTCATTGTTCATCAATTCAATTGTCTGTCCTGTTGGTCGAACAACATATACACCAAGGAGAATTCATTGAAATATACACGACCGACAGCTGACCCATCGGGGTCATTCCGTGGCCACAATGAGATTCCTCAGCATTGCCGCTGCGTTGCTGTCAACAAGTTGCAGTACACTATTATGCGCGGCAGAGCCAGTCAAAGATTTTACACCACCGGAGGTCTTCAAAAATGTCAATTTAGTGCGGAATACAAATTTGGAAAAGGGATATGCTCGTGAAACAATCAATGTGGTGGTGGAGAATACAGACAAGCAGCCACAGAGTGATTACTATGTGCCATTTCCATCTGATGTGTTTAGTCGCATTGGGGGATTTGAAGTGCGCAATAAGAAATCTCCGGAGAAAGGAAGCTTTCCAGTGACAGCTGTAGAAGCTGATGGTGGCAGGTTCGTGTTTGACAGTCCTGCGAATGCTAGCTGACCCTATCATGACTGATCGTATTTACTTGCAGCACTCAATTCTATAAGATCCAGTTCCCCGAGCCCCTTTCGCCTTCTTCGCAAACCACGCTTAGCATATCATATTATGTTTTGGGCTCTTTCAGTCCTCTTCCCAAGTCTATTGGACAGTCGGACTCGCAATACCTGACATATACCATCGATGCTTATGCGCCATCCGCCTACAAGGTTGAGACACAAAAGACAAAAGTCAAGTTTCCTACTTCCAATGTCCCCGGTTATACCATCACATCCAAACTGAAGACAGGAAACGACCCAGAGAAACAAGGAAGCACTTTCACATATGGTCCGTACACCAAAGTGGCACCGGGCGCCACGTATCCGCTTACTTTCCGTTTTGAATCTACAAAGCCTATCCTTGCTAGCTCTCTCTTACAGCGTGACATTGAAGTCTCTCACTGGGGTGGCAATCTGGCCATAGAGGAACGCTACTGGCTTCGAAATGACGGTGCGAACTTATCCAGGAATTTTGACCGTGTTGAATGGGCCCGTCAATCGTACGGTGTGTCCTCGAACTCCGCTTTGCAAGAGCTGAAGTACCCGCTCAAACCCGGATCGGTGGATCCTTATTTCACGGATGACGTTGGAAATGTGTCCACCAGTCGTTACCGCCCTGGAAACCCCGGTCGTGAAGCTCATCTCGAACTCAAACCTCGGTTCCCAGTCTTTGGCGGATGGAAATACAGTTTCCGTGTAGGATGGAACAACCATCTTTCCTCTTTCTTGCGCAAAGTTGGTGCGGAATCGTACGTTCTCAAGGTGCCCTTTATCGAAGGCCCCAAGGCCGCTGAAGGTATTCAGTACGATAAAGTCGTTGTCCGTGTGATCCTGCCTGAGGGAGCAACAGATATCAAGTACGAAATTTTGGATAGCGGTGTACCAAACGGTCTCCCAGACGCGTCATATATTGAGTCTAGTATTTCAAAACATCGCACGTACATGGACACGATTGGTCGCACGGCTTTGACTCTCAAGGTTGATAATCTGTCAGACGAGGCGAGAGATTCGCAATTACTGGTATGTTTCATGCTCTTTTTTCAGCCAGCAATTACTAACATCAACAAAGGTCACATATACCTACCCGTTTACAGCCGGACTTCGCAAGCCTTTAACCATTGCAGCGGGTCTTTTGAGCATCTTTGTAGGTGCATGGTTCATTGGAAGTTTAGACGTGAGCATCAAGAAGCGGTAGGGTTCTCATAGGAACAAAAGAGACATTGAATAAATAAGTTTTGTTTTATGACTGGTACCTTTCCTTTTTCTTTATTTCCCTTTCTTTCAATCCATTCGTGTATACCATAGTCATCGAGTCTGCATGCAATCGAATTTGGCTCAAATTTAGGAATGCTTTTGTCCTGATCAGAGTAACAGATGCATCACCAGCCTAAATACGTGCGCACAAGAACCTGTTGAATATTGCTGAATATCCAGTTATTCCTACTCAACCTTTGAACCCATTCATGGGATCGAGATCAGGCCGAAGTTCAACCCCTACCCGCCTTGAAGCTTTGTTTACATGTCCCCTGATCAAAGCCCCAATAATTGTGAAAAGAGCCAACTGGAACAGTATTCGGTTCGGATACAAAGGTCTGAATGCTCTTGAAGAAACAGGCTGCTTGAGAGGAGGGAGTGGCTGGCACAATGATATGGTGCACACCAGAGAGAAAACATTCCTATACCAAGTTCAAGGGACTTAAATGGACTTTCACGTGGGCTTCAATGAAAAAGAAGAGAGAAAGGCAAATACGACGCTATTCCTGGCCACGTGATCGGGCTCCTACCCTAACCCACGTCCTCTCGGGATCGGAACAACTAATCCTCGCTATCGTCGCCTCAGGCACTGTCGTTACTCAACCGTCTCACTTTTGATAGTAAGTATTAGTCAGTCAGGTATAGTGTTATAACAAAGTGTGAAATATATATGATTTCTAGAACTTCTAGAATATTGTGCGCTCTTTAACAAATTATTTTTTGAAGATTGATAGATTGTATACTACATACACGAATAAAAGCAAACCCCTGCCTTTGTTCTTGAAAGTACCAGGTATGAAATTTATAATAGATTGATTCTCTTCGATATCGATTGTATACTACATAAACAAACCAAAAAAATAGCAGTAATAAGATTCTGGGCCGTCAGCTTCGCCTGTAACCTGTAAAGCGTCCGTTTATTGAGGCTCTTGGGTGAGGGTCTGCTTTGGCGTGATAGCGGCCTGAAGTAGTATTGGGACCACAGGAACTATGGTCTGTCTGTTTTGGGGTCTGCTTGGTCCCAGCTGATTATATCTCAATGACCTGAAAAACTGCGACAGCTTAAGATAGGGAATCTCCATAGATGAGGAAGTTTCGTTGACAGTTGTAGGAGGAGAAGTTAGACTTGGGTCCTCCCATAAAAGTCTCCGAAACGCGGTGCAGACTAATTCGTCTTAATGAACTACACAATGAAGTTATAATAGGTTTCTCCGTACGGAATCATGGTACGCATAAATCCTGGTGAAGGGCGAGTACACATCAAGCTAGCTACCTCCAGTTGCCCAAAGCTGGGGGCGTCGAGACCGTGATTGTGACTTCGGAGTCCGCGACGCTATTCCACTCGGACAAGTAGTTCTGCTCGCGCAAGTCGTGGGCCAGATATGTGTGAATAAGGCACTGAAGAGGCGAAACATGGAACTATGGTCTGCTTGGGGTCTGTACTTGGTCTCCACGCCTCCAATGACGTTTGAAAACTTTACAATCCCCAATGACTTCGTCTTCACGAATTTTGCAAGAGTTCCCTTCTCAGGATCGACTTCTTTCAGAGTGGACTTGAGATCTGACCCAGCCCTGGAAACATACGGTCAATGATGAGTTGTATCTGTCTTGTAGGTGCCAGACCCCAAGGACGACGACTTATTGTCGGCGAGCTGGTGGTGTGTGGAGTCGCTGTGAGGCGACTTATTTTGCTCTTACAGACGGGGCAGCGGAATAGCAACTGATCTGATCTTAGTGAGTCCTGAAGTGAAGAGGCTGTACTGCTCTAGACATGATTCTCTATTGTCGATCAATAGGCGATAACTGCTGGGAGGGGCGATACTGTCTACCTCTCCTTGTAATGGCCTCGCTCTTCTGGGTTATCTGTTGCAGTACCTTCAATCTCCATAGCCATCGGGCATCCATCAACCCATCTCTTCGACGCTATCAACCCTAATTATGATCTTAATAACTGCAATTCAGTTTACTCTTATTTCTTTCAAAAAGTCTGCAATTGCGGTAAGACTAATCAAGAGAAGAATGATCACAGAGCAGCGCGATCCTCATTAGTAGAGGGATGCGTAGAACGATTTGCAGGAGAACGTTGCAGGAGTCAAACTCAATATCTGACTGTCGAGAGCGATTTCTATTCAACCATGGAACAATTGGACCAATAGTAGTAGATATTACAAGGCATAATAATTGAAATGCCGGTAAGTAATTCGCTACTAACGTGTTGTGTTCGGCCGACACATTTGTTGGTCTTGTTTCACTGTATCTCCCCTTCTTGTCATGGCCTTGCTCTTCTTTTACAGTGCTTTCAATCTCTTGAGTTACCCAATATTCTATTAAGTCATCGCTGTTGACCCTAATCTTAATCTTGATGACATAGGTTCAATATTCCTGTATATCTTTTAATAGCTCTGTAATTTTGGTAAGATACTGATCGAGAGAAGAAGAATCATGCCGAGAAGAATGATTGCTATAGTTTTCCAACAAGTCTATAGCCGGTGATTGACAGAAGGATTATCCAGAGACCCATGAGAATTATCCTGAGGAGAATGACTCTCACCGTCCGACTCTGGATTGCGATTTCTATGGTAGGATCAGACCAATAGTGGCAGATATCACAGCACATAACAACTGAACCACTGCCATAGAAGCAGCTCCAAGTGCTTTCAGTTCTGCCAACATACTTGTTTCTGTTGACTATCGCCGTTCGACTGTGCTTTCTGTTGGTGGTAGATAGATATGTTATCCCTGCGCACCGCTCGATACGTAGGAAGGATGAAAATAGTGTAGTGTATCTTGTAGTTAAGGGTAGTAGGCCTTGGTAGCTCCTTTTACTGTCTAACTGCAAAACGATATCTCTTCACGAGTCGTTGATCTTGCGAGAGGGAACTCTGAGATTCAAGAAAAGAGACAAGTCGGGCTCATTGGGTGCGTAGCTGCTACGCCAGTGCAATGGTTGCATTGCTATCCCTACGCACCGCCCGATATGTAGGAAGGATAGAAACAGTGCAGTGTATCTTGTAGCTAAGCCGCTCTTCAGAGTTATGTTTGGAACAAAATGGTGGAGAATGGAGAAAGTCGGAGAGTTCCTTCACCAGCGGACATCATCTTAGCTTATAACGACACGAAAGACATGTAGAGTCGGAGTCCTTCCTCCACATGAGAGAAATTGGGTATTCCTCGGGACCAAACTCGCTGCTGTGCGTACAGTGGTATATGGTTGGAAGCAATACTCTCCGCCGCTGTTCCATCAGTTGGACTTATAAGATGTCTCCTGAGATTCTCCTCCTGAGTCCAGAACGCCAGTTCCATGCGGTTACACTCGTCAACCTTCTGTTATCTTTTCACACCCCCAAATATGCATGAAGGATAGAAAACAGTATAACGTGTTTTGTAATTAGGCTTTGCAACTGAAAACGTTGAGTGATTGGGCTCCGGATCCAGGGAGTTCTCAGTTATCCGATCACTTAAAGCGAATCGTATAGCACCGCCAGCTTGCTCTTCGGGTTTAGGTTTGGAGCACACGTAGTGGGGGAAAAAGATGGAGTTGTAAGGATGATGGTCCATCCCTACTTTTTGGGGTGATGTTTTAAGGAAAAATAGGAGGAAGAAGATGGAGTTGTAAGGATGATGATTCATCCCCACTCTTCAGAGTTATGTTCAGAGGCAAAGCAGAGGATGATGAAGATGGAGGCAGATAATGAAGATCATCCTTAGGAAAGGCAGTAGTTGCTTCGTATATGGCTTCATGTTCCTCCTTGTCCTCCGTATAGGACTTGTCGGAGAAGTCGTCCGATAGAGGCCATTTTCTTCCTCTGCACCACCGGATCCTCTTTTGGTATTTTTTCCTTGTATAGACAATATCTTCGGTTAAAGAAGCCCTGTATGAAGGATTGAGAACACTGGAATGTATCTTGTAGTTAAGCTTGCTCCTCGAAGCGAGATGAAAGAGTTAAGAAGACGGGGCTGAGCGATATGCATGGGGGTGGTGATGCCTGAAAAAAGCAAATTTTCAGAGCCATAAGTAGAGGATGATAATCCACAGCGAAATATGATCAAAATGGATGTGTGAGTAGAGGGTGCCAGTGGCCTCTGCGGAGATGAAGAGCCAGGTGTAGAGGATGATGATTCTTGAAAACCATGGATGAAGAAGAACAAGCCATAAGCAGGGAATAAAAGCATCACTTTATACCTCGAGAGAATCCATGTATCGAAAAGTGAAAGACGGAATTTTTGCGTCAAATTTAATTATCAATAGCCCCATAATACTAGTAGTTGTTAGGTAGGCAAGAAAGCACCCAAGTAACAATTCCTTATTCGAAATGCGTTGATTGTCCTTCTCAAACGAGGAGCTCTTAGTATTAGCGTCCCAGAACTTGCCTTGAAGTTTCAATTAGACCTGACAACGTAGAATTTACCTTTTTTACTTACACTCGAACCTTCCAAATCGGGGAACTCAGCCCTAATCTTGGCATTCCCTAAGTCCGATTTAATTCACAAATTACGACCTATTGACAAAACTTTCGTCCCAAGATGTAAAACAAGTAGCAAAAGATTTTTTATTATCCAGATGCTTTATTGTCTCGCTTTACTTGAGATGAGTTTCGAGTATACATTCTTGAGAAGTGCGGTCTTGGTTTCATAATGAATTTTCTTCAGCGCAAACGTTCATCAGGTAATTTTTGAAACACCAAGCAAGGTACGTTCATTATTCAAGGCTTGGATAGTAACAAGCAAGCTCTTACACGTTTTGAATGAGTTTATGTCTTGATACTTGGGTTCCTATCCCCACCTAATTTATGTAGAGTGAGACCGGACAGTCATATCTAATGTTTCAATATATCGAAATCTCGCTCTTTCAGTCAATCGAATATGTGCGACGTTATATGTACAGATATAAATAATCTATATCATACATATCAATCTCTGCAATTGGTACATTTCACCATCATCTCTATAAACATTAATTGGCATGACCGAAAAAAAAACGGCAGAAATAACAATCAAAGCTCCAGTCCACGGATATTACCAACTTCTTCGACCGTCTGATTACTCATATCAACCTGAAACAGATGAGGACGACCCTGATCATCACCAGAGGCAAGTTGACCATGTTTCGCCCTGAGAATGAAATTCACCAACACAGCTGACACCAATCCCAGACAAAGGAATGTAGGACCCCATTTCTCGTAGTAGATACGTTTCACATCGCGTCTTTTACGGATCTTGTCCACACGCCAGACATATAACACCACCGAATAGACAAGACATATGACGGCAATGATGGTGAAGACCCATGCAGATGCGAATGTGACGTAGTCGCTACCAAAGTTAAGGAGTGTCGCTGCGATCGAACCGATCAAAATTGAGAACTCGAGCCAGGAGAGGAATGTGCGTTCTGCAGCAAAATAGACTTTTGGCTCGACGCGGATGGGGACATGAATACCTATATGCATTGTTAGAATCATTCCTAGCTATCCTAGTTGATTAACGGTAGGTCACTTACGTTTACCCTTGGGCGCAATAAAGCGTTTGACTGTACGTCTTCCATTTCCGAGAATGGTAATTCCATTGGTTCCTTCATCTGCCATCTGTGTAGCCCGTGGCCGCGGTGTGATGGCCTTCAAAACTTCCCAGGTGATATGTCCGGTGCGGCGTAGATAGCTGCTCAACAACATACGGTAGTAGTAGAACCCTCCAATACGTCGCGCCTCCTCGAGTGCATCCGAGAAATCAGACTCGTCATCCGAGTCGTACAACGGGTAGTCCTCATCGCCAGCGAGGAAATCAGCGGCGACACGTTCTTCGACATCCAGCTCATTGCGAGTTGCTGAAAGCGCGCCATTGCGCTCGTAGTTGGTTACAGTGTCGTGACTGACGCCTTGAGTAGCAGCATTGCCATTACTTGTCTGACCATTGCCGTCGATCTCGTCGTCTGTCTCATCATCGTCCTCATCCACCATGTCGGAAGTGGATATGCTTGTGCTCTGTGTTGGCCGTTCAATGCCGTATTTCCGTGTAACGGGCTTCCGAATATCAATATCCATTTGCGGGTACCAGAAAGGCAACAGGTGAATTTTGTCGGGAAACAAAGTTGCACAGCCATGAATGAACTTGCTGAATTTGGGAACAGCTTCTACTAGATGACTAGCAGTGAGGTCGCGGATCCACTGGGGAGGCTCTTGTCCGGCCTGGGTCTGCAGTTTGACCTCGAGAACTGCATAAGGAAATCTCTCAATATCCTCTGGCGGTAGTTGTCGGAATGGCCAGTCGATTCCAATATCCATGCGCCTCCAGTTGTCGCCGGCGCGTCTCCTGCCGTCCAGGTTATCTTCTCGGATCATGCTCAGTTCCGTATCCAGAGAGATTCGAACACGGGCATCACCAGGCAGTTGGAAGGCTGTACGATGGTAGAACGTCCTGCAAACAGGTTTGAGATTGCGCGTGACTACACGGTACTGAATCTCCTTTGCAAGCGCCTCCCAGTCGGCAATTTGCTGTTCCGATTTCTTGCCTTCTTTTCTCATTTTCTCAAAGACGGCTGGAACGGTCATGTCGCCAGACAAGTATGCATTAACATGCTTCTCCTTCATAGGGAAACGAGCCTTGACTGATTTCTCTCCGGTCCAATCCTCTCGATGCGTCTTTCGTTCAACAAAAATCTGGTCAACTTCCATCCCGCCGTACCATCGTAGTCGAATAGCCTCGGCGCCTTCTGTTTTCTGCAGTCGGCCTTTGTACAGCTCCCATGTTTCAGGGTTGTCATAATAGATTGAAGAGATGGCGGAATCCTTTTCTTCGAATTCTTTACTAGGGTTGAAAACAAGAACAGGAAGATGCTATAATCGCATTAGCTGGCAGTAGGGAAATGGCAGGAAGTACAAACCTTGAGGATAATCAATTTCAACTCGGTGATGTTGTCGGGATGTACCCAGTATTTGGTGGTCTGTCGCACAAAGTTTTGCTGACCGCCGCCAGCAGATGCGTCACCCTTGACGGGGTTACCTTTGGTCCTGACCAGGTCATAGAGCCGGGAAAGTTTCACAACGAACGCGTCGTAGTTGTCCTTGAAAAATGGCTTCGCATTCAATCGGGCAGCAAACACGGGTTTCAAATACCACCTTGTTTGTTTCTGTGCAGTTGTTAGTACAAGGGTCTTCAAGCTGTATTCAGAAGGGCACTTACATCATGTTTCTTGATAATCTTCTGAAACCCCGTGTAGTTCAATTGAGTGAATTTCGCCAAATCATGCACATCAGCAATAATATCACTCAAATCCGCCTCGAGCAACATGAAATCCTCATCGGTCGGCCTCTCCGCACCACTAAATGAAGCCGGATTCTCCAACCGCGCCACCACCTGATTAACCTCTTGCTCGCTAGCCTTGATCCGCTGAATAATCTCCTTACTCTTCAGAGCCTGAAAAGTAGCGACTTTATCGAGTTCACTCTCCAATAGGGCTACAAACCGTCGCTCATCGGCTTCCGTCCAAGATTTACGGTCTGGTTTGGGGTTTGCGGGTGTTGGCTCGGTCACGTATTCGGTCTTGAGGGCGTCTTTGAGATCATCGTAGGCAATGTAGTGCCAGTAATAGTCCTTGATCATGGACGAACGTAACTGTTCACCGAACCTATGTTTGTGTTACACACCGCTTCAGTCAGCCTATCTTGCGCCTTTTTTGTCTTGACAGCGAGCTGCAGTTGGTCGATTGGTCGGGATTGGAGTTCCCAACCATAAGGTATGCAAGCAATGTCTCCAAAATATGTCGACCTTTTTAAGACTTACTTCATGTTGACAATCAGTCTTCAGCGGCGTGTAGTTGTCAATGTGGTGGTTGGAAACTTGAACGCTTACGTCGTCGCCGGAAATAGCTTGGCCGTTCGTTCGTTATCTCGAGAACAGGGCACGATAAGAAACAGAGATTTCAATTCCCCCACAACCTCATGGCACAGTATACCGTCAATTGAATGATATGCAAGAGTGCGCGACGAGTAGAAAAGGACAGAATTAATATAAAATGGAAGACTCGAGGGCAGAAACAAGAGAAGAGGAGAAAGCGGGCAGAGAACTTCTATAGGCAGGTGGAGCACTTCGACCGGGTCTCCATCGCAAGTTTGTTCCAGATCGAGTTTAAGTTTGGTAATTTGTGAAAGTTTCGTACGATAAACAACGATGAATACGGAGTACTTGATTCCTACCTTAATATTACTTGACAAAATCAATTCTGTTTATACAATTGGTGATTCATGTCTGACTGATGTCCTTCATCTTAATTGGTATTGTTGCAGCAAGCTCGTTGGCTTATCCATCCCATCACCGAGAGATCCATCCGGAAAAAGAGCTCCAGACCAATCCATGGGCGTAACTACATGTATGGATACAAACCCATATGCAAATCCATTTAGCAACTGATCCATTCTAAAGGTTTGCATACAGAGCCATACATACCAGATACAGCGACTAAACCGTACCTCAAAAGAACCATCCAATCATCATGTATAAGTGACTCACGTTTCTGACAGTCCGGGATAGCTAATCGCCTCTTTTGGACTAGTTTTAAGCCTAGACTTTGATGTGTATGTAATTTACACGGCCATTACGTAGGATGTTTTGTCAAATTTCTGGTTCGATACTACCCAGGGCTCCTGTTATACGTCGGGATAAGTAAAAGATGTTATTGATACATTGTTCTGTTGATTCATTATTCAGCTGAGCGCTCTTATGCTCTGTAAGAGACTATGTACTGGTGAATCATCATGTAGAGAAAGCAGAATAGTGTACAGAGTACGCCACTGATTTACAATGTATACTATTTTCCATTAGGACAATGGTTATATCTAAGATAGTGGATCTATATATATGCTCTGAATCTAACCTTGTTCTCTGGACTACCTAGGTAAGTACATGTAAAGATTGGTAGCTACATCTCACCTTCTCACCTAGGTGACTATACGTACCAGATTTTCTTTGTGCCGCCGATTTTGTGAGGGCGCTCACAGTCAGGCTCACTGAGTAAATTTTCATTCCGGGCTCACGCTCACTGAACTGCTCACTTCAATCATAAGTGTCTAATAGTCGCTCACTGAGCGGACGGCTGCCGATGGCTTGTAACGGGGCAGAGTCAATAGAGTAAAATGCATAGCATAGAAGACTAACAAGACGTGAGCTGAAGAGAAGAAACTAATCTACAAGGGAGCAAGCCCATATTTATGTCTGCGCAGGGCCTGCTCCAGGGCACGCTTCCTGACGGAGCATGCCTGCTACATCTGTACAAAGATCTTAAACAAAAGAATACAACAAACCTACCAACAAAGCCTTTGGTGAAGCTATTCCCAAGACGTGAAACTCATAGAACAAAGGTCCTCAGAGGTGTCCTTGGTGTCGTAAACCCTCACCGCCTCTGCTTGCTTGGCGTTGCCGCTGCCTAAGGCAGACCTCTGAGTCAGATCCGTGACACGGCTTTTTTTCTTTTTGGAGCGACAACAGCAATCGTCTGTACCAATTAGTTAGAGATTTAATCTCCTCGCACCCCTCTATTTCCCAGCCTCTGGTAGTGCGGCCTCTGATGCGTCTCAACGCGTCCAGCAACTGCATGGTCCGGAAAGGCTCTGGCCCAGATGGTTTTTTACAGACAGCCATACTGGAATACACGTTTGCAGCCACTACAAGAGCTGCTGACAGCCAAAAGATCTTTAGCCCTATAGCTGCATTCCTTAACAAACATCACAACCAAACTACCTCGCACCTCACCTACTGAGCAATGAAAGCCCTGACTGCTCTCAGCGACGACATTGCCTCGTAACTCAACGACATTTTAACGCCTACATTAGCGGCATCCCATTAACCTCTACCCCCACTGCCCTTCTCCCTTCCCCTGCCCTTGCCCCTAACACCCCGCCCCCTCCTTCTCGCCCCCCCCCCTAAGGTCTCAATCAATCACATTATGCGCCTGTCGCCCAATCTGTTCCATCTAAATCAGCTTCCACAACCTCCTACGAATAAGTCTATGCTCCGATCAGACAACCCTTTCCCAACTACCGACTCTTTATGCGTCTCCCAGCTAACCATACAGGCAGAAAATGGAGGCCTATACCATTTACTCCAGCCTATAATCACAACTAAACTCAAGCAGTACTGCGCGGAAAGAAATCCAAGCCACAAAGACTGGTCTTACTCTCTACCCTTCATCTCTAAAAGCCCTCCCGGCCCTGGAGGCTCAAAAAAATATTATCTTTGCCTTCTTTATTAATTATTAGATAGAACACAGCTCCCGCTAGGCCTTATACCGAGTTACAAATGTGCCAAGGAGAATTGGCTAAATATTGGATGGCTAATATTCTCTAAGCTCTATTAATCCTATAATACTATCTTCAAAGATTAGCGAAACTATGAGTCTTAAGCCTATCTCTATTAGCAAGACTACTGCGAGTACTGCCAATCCTAACACTCTTTCTTCTAGCTGGTCTATCAACTTCCCAGAAGACACAAAGCCAATGTTGTCTATCTAGCTTCGCCTTTTTAGTATCATCAGCGACGCTCATTTACTCTCTAAGAAAACAAGAGTCATCCAGTAGATACGCTGCTAGAAATGGTATAATGCATAGTCTTGTGCTTTTTATCTTAATGCCAGCTCTGCGGCTCCTTAGAATACATGGAAGAAGGCTATACCAGTCGCTGTGCAGCCCTCACCAATGCCCTCCAAGATGTCTATACTGTTATGGATCACACCTAGCTGATTTCCCAGAATGCCTTCTTCGCCCTAAAGACAACACTAAGCAATCCAAAACTTAACAGAGATCCGCAAGCCCTGTACTATAACCTAGCAAAAGCCCGTATGGAGGGGGGACACAGCTCCCAGCTCTCTACAGGCACATAAGAATCACTTATGGACTTAGATGAGATACTACCTCAGCCTCTAACTCAGAGGATTATTTCTCCTTTCCATCTAATAATCCCTCCGCCTCATGCTCCTACTGAAGACCCTCTAGTCATAGCTTATAAAGTCTGCTTCACAACCCCTTAGCCATGAAATCGGTTCACTTCTCTTCTTTGAATAGCAGCTATAATCTATCACTACCCTATTCCAAAAGCACCTCTAAAAGTCTTATAGATAAGTATAGGCAGCGTGCCAGCCATACATAAAATAGCTCTTTCACTGGTATATACCAGTGATGTCGACATAATCCTAGTGCAAGAATTATATGTATTCAAGGATCTTAGTTGGTAGATCACAAAGAAACATCTATTATATGAATGCTTCTCTCTAATAAGCGGCCGGCCCTGGGTTTTCACCTATGTTCGAAAGAGGATGTATATCCGGACCTCCCAGTTATGCCCATTTATAACTAATTTCGAAGTGCTTTCAGATCTTCTCTTCCTTCGGGTTCGCTCCCCCTCGGGAACGTCTACTCTGATACTTAACATCTATAATTGTCGGTCTCACCAGCTAGGGCCACGCACGATAGACGTAATGTTTTGGACCTCAGCTTTGCCTCAAGCTTCCTGGCAATGGTAGGAGCGAAAGCCAGGATAGCAAGTCACCTAGACGCAACCTCAGATCATCGGCCACTTATCGCTACAGTACCGTCGGACCAAGATTCACGGAAACAGCCCAAAAACTGTGATTTGATACATTGGACCACGCCTGCTGCCTCTCACTCCTCGCCTCTAATCTCGCCGGTGTCAAGAGCTCGGTCACAACAGAAGACCTAGATACTCTCGCTGTAGAGCTAACATCTGCAATCCAGAGTGCATATAGGGGTTCTGCTAAGAAGACTCTATCGCAAGGAATAGGACAGCCATGGTGGAACAATGAATGTAAGAAAGCTTTACATAATTATCGCTTAGGCCTTTGCTCAAAGACACCGCCGGATCACCAGGCGGTTACAACAACAATTCTGGCCAGATAAGCTTTCTGCGCTAACACAAATCAAGGGTATCTTTGACATGAGCAAATAGTATAAGTCTGTAGGCTCCTTTCGGAGCCCTCCACTGGAGGACCCTTTGAGACCGGATAGCTTCCTAGCAATAACCTTATATGAGAAACCGGACGTATTAGTCCGTAGTCTTCTCCATAACCCGGCCGAAGCAAAAGATATACCTCTAGATTCCTTTAAGATCTGCAATTGATCTGACCACACGCCTAATACATGACATTGATCAAGCGCTAAATCAAGGCATGACTGTCTCACTTATCACTCTTGATGTCAAGGGTGCTTTTGATGCGTTCTTCCTGGCAGACCGATCCGCAGCTTACACGAGCAAGGCTGGCCTTCCAATCTTGTCCTCTGGATCGCATCCTTTGCCACTGGGCGATCAGTTCAGATCTGAGTTGATGGAGGAATCGGTCCTCAATAGACATCGCCTATGATCTCCCATAAGGCTCTCCAGTCTTTGACATTCTTCTCATGCTCTACATAGCGCCTCTATTTTGTCTATGCAACCTAAGGACCAGATTTGGCTACGCGGACGATACAGCTCATTTGGCGATCTCTCCGTCTCTTACTACTAACTGTTAAGCCTTATCAGTTTCCTCTCAAGAAACCCTTGATTAGGGCGCTGCTAAGGGCATCACATTTGCGTCAGATAAATATGAGCTTCTTCATTTTTCCCAACATAGAGCAGATCAGGGCCCGAACTGCACACTTTTAGTGACAGCCGGAGCTATTACAATCTGAGAAAACACTGAATGCCTATATCTACGTTAGCTAAGAATTCTCTCTAATGAAAAACTAACCTTTAAGTGGACTCTGAGGCTTTCCTCTGCGCTACAAAGTATAGCGCTACAATCAATTAATCGACTACTGCCGAATACTGACCACGCTGCGCCTCATAGCGGACGCGATGGAGACAAATCCGACAACAACAGCGCGCTCGGGACGCGTCGTAACGCTCTCAACGAGAGCAGGAGAAGCCAGGGACAGCAGTGATAACGTAACCAAAGTATCAAAGAAAACCTCGGCCCAAGTCAATGGAACTATCGCAGTCAAGAAAATAGCTCGTCGAATTGACGAGGCTCAATGCGGCAAGGCTACTAAGGAGGGTATACTTCGGAAGATGTGCCTGTTCTTGGAGAGCACACAACATGAGATCATGACTCTGAAAGATGTCGTCCTCAAGCAAGAGATTACTATCAAAGAGCAGCACAGGATGATCAAGGAACAGAGTAAAAATGATTGAAAGCTTGCAGGGGCAAGTGAAAGCAATTCAGACCCAGTCATCGGAAGAATACAAACAACTACGCGAACAGCTAGATGTCATCACAAACAGCTACCTAGTACAGCACCCAGACAGGTGAAGAAAGCAGATTGTCACAGGAGCCAAGCTATAGATAAAATATCAATAAGAATAAGCATGGAGAAAGGAAATATTCACAACTAGACAGTAATGGTGACATTGACTGCATTTGGACCCGCATTCCCCAGGCGAGGAAAGAATTCCACGGTAAAGTTGGCGTCAACCCCAGCTTGAACTACGGCTTGCACTGCGCTATTCAGAATGGTCATGCTGCTGGTATCGTAGTTCCACTGGCTGCCCGAGGTCGCTCGACCCTTTTGCAAAGGCCCGAGCCATTGGGTCCAGGAATCGAATAAGTACGTACCATTAACGAGCGTAGCCTGGACGGCAGCGACTTGCGACAACCCCTTATAGCTGATGGGAATATATAGGTCATTACTAGCCACCGAAGCTGCAGATATATTGGTCGTAGCAAGAACTGGTGTGTCCCAAGCGATAAGGTTGGCGTACAGAAAGGCTCCGTGGGAAAACTTCAGGGTCAGGACGGCTTTCTCGCCCGGACTGTCAGTAGTACTGTTGGAAAAATAATTTTCGAGGAAGCTGGCCTTGTAGGTCACATTCGCCCCATCTATGATATAGTCTCTACCGGGGACGAGGACCCCATGTGGCCCACTGATAGATTCTAACAGATTACCATTCAAAAGGTACGTATTAGTATTATCGGTCACTTGAGTACCGATGCGATGCCAGATGTAGGCGGATGACCACTGCGTAACGGCATCTCCGTCCTCAGTGCTATCAGCAAGGCTGTTGTTTGTTCCAGCCGCTCCGTTGATGATGATCGCGTGGGCAACTGGATCAGTCCACGTATGGGCAGTGCGGTTGAGCAGGTCTGAACCCGCATCCCACATGAACGTAGTGATGTTGTATTGACGGGCACTACGCATCAGATGATCGATATACTTCCAACGGGCTGCCCGCTCGCATGATGGATTAGCGTCCCACTCGCCCAGAACGAGTGGAACATCGGTATAATTGTTGCGAATCTCGGCGAGATCGGAGTCGACGGCTGCTTTATCAGAATCCGAGCCCCAGATCGTCTTTCCCCATGCTTGGAAGATGAAGTCGTACGGCGAGTAGTAGTGGAACTGGAAAGCATATGGGTTGGTGATATTGACGGGTACCACGAGGTTGCCGGGTATATCCAGTCCTTCACCGGGCCCGAGCAGAGTTACTACACGATCCGCATTGTAGCCTCCGCTATCAGCAAGTGCTTGAATGAAAATGGCCTCGATTTTATTAAGCTCTGCAATCTGCTCGGCGGTATTGGCTGACGGCTCATTAATGGGTTCAAAGGCAAGCAGTGACGATTTGCAGCCCAGCTGAGTTCCGATCTGATACCATAGACTATAAAACTGCTGTTCAATCTCCGTGTAATTGTACCCAGCATCGACGAGGTCGAACCAAGACTCGTGGTGGGCGTTGACAATCGTATAGAGGCCTCGCTCAAGAGCAGCATCCACGACATCCTCTACACGCTGCAACCAGGTGGCATTCACTTCGTATGTGGGAGCTCCCGTCACGAAGTGATCAGCCCAGCTAACTATAGTTGCGTCGTCAGTGTCAGATTGGCGAGAGTCTCTTTAGGAGGGGAAAAAAAGGGGTGGCCGGGCGCATACTAGGCAAGCGAAGTCCTCTAAACCCTCCGTGGATCAAGTCATCAAATGTAGAGAAGTTGGCAACATTCCCCCAACTTCCTTCCGTAGGCAGAGCATCCAGTGTGTTCCCCAGATTCCATCCAGGGTTGGCACGATTCACCCATTCCCCAGCCGAAATCTTTTCAAAGCTTCCAGAACATTGAAGTTTGGCTTGAGCTAGGCCTAGGACTACCCCGAGGGCAAGGAATGAAACTACCTTATCAACCATTTTCTGCTGTATGAAACTGGATAACAGTGGATTTGTCTGATGCAGAGAATTTGGACTCATAATATTAAGAACACGAAGCTATTCTATGTTGTTGTGCTGCGCCTTCTAATTTATAGCATTTCCATCTGTTGTATTCCATGACCTAATGCAGTAACTCTCCCGTGCAGTTCAATATTACAAGACCAAGCGATGTTCAAATGAAAATTGCTCTGCTGTAGGTAGAGAGATGAGCAGGGAGTCACGCCTAGCACTATAAGAAATGCAACCCTGACACTGTTTCTTCGTCCGCACGCTATTGCACTAATAGCACGCCTTAACACGTTTCTCATCTTTGAACAAGTGGCTAAATCATGTTCTCACTCATTACTCACCAAGAGCTTGGGATGGCTACTCTAGGGAAAGACGATTGTATGTTTTCGTGACAGTTTCAAAGCGGGTTGTCGGCAACATCTGCGAGAATCTTCGCGGAGTGACGGGAGTATCATAGGTATGGGCTGCGTCATATAAACGATAATCTGCACAATTTAACTTGACAACTTCCCCATAAAAAATCTTGTGCTGGAAGCAGGAAAACTGACTCTGTTGCGTGTGTATGCTAGGGAACGTAGGACCCGAAGACGAAGATATCTAGTAATGGTCGACGGCTATCAGGCTGATCACACAGTTTCCATCCGTGCGACCCTAGCGGGTACCCAACATACACTATCCTAGTAAGCTAATGAGTAAAATACAAGAACTAAGATTCTCACACCAGGCTTATGACTATGATAGTGTTTCTGCGGGGGCAGAATTTAAATAAAGAGAGTGTAAAACAATGAAGGAGGTTTCGAATCTCTCTGTATACGCATCGGACAAATAAATACTTTTATCGGAGAGCGAAATTCGTTCCGTGCACTTCTAACCGAATAACTTTTATTACGACTCCCCATTGGCAGCCGGGATGGGATGGGTGAATAGCAGCCTTAGCAGGCCGTCTACTCCCTAGTAGGCTAGTACAATATAAACTGTCCTCCGACTACTAAGGGCCCATGTCTCTACAACAAACCTCTCCGCGCTTGAATACCTCGTCGCTGGAGTTCTCAAGCAGAGACACTCTTATTTAGGGCTCCGAAAGGAATATGAATATTGGCGCTATTCATATTCGCAAAATTCATGAATTATATAACTTACTCTGTAACTGCGATGGAATGTCATCAAGGACGGACGATACATCAACGTAAGACAAAGCATGTATGATGTTGTTAGTGTAGGGTTTAGTTTCGGGTAAAGTATGTCCCTGAAAGGAAAGTTCATTGGCGTCGGTTGATCCAGTTGAAAGGTATCAAACTTTTTAGAAGCGAGGTTCAGCTCACTGAGTATGTTTCCTAGTATATGCGAAGCTCACTGATCTGGTCAGCGCGGCCAGGGCGTGCTCAGTTCTATTTGTCGGATTAGTCGGTTTATTCCAGGCCAATCCTGAAGGGTGTTTTACTAGGATCAAAGAAAAGAAGTGACTAGCAAGATTGTATGTATTGAGTTCTGTCTCTCTCCCCTTGTCCGATACATCAGGTTCAATGCCGGGTCCTTTATAGACACTTTTGGCGGGGTCTTTTGTGAGCTATCATGAGGGGTAAACTATCAGGGCTATATTGAGCCCTGATAAGAAGATGACTCCTTATTTGCTGAAGTGTAGGTAGCTTGAGGTGACTGGATGACCTGATCAAAAGGCCTATCTTCTACATCGCCGGATATCCCGGTTATCTGACACTATTCAGTGGGTAAAAAGCGGCAAAGGGGTGAGCACTAAAACGGAAGGGGAAAGTCGAGAAGCGTCAAAGGAAATCCGGTATGTAGGTAATTTTGCCAATCAGGGTATCCTGAGGCGTTGATATGTATATACCTTTTGGCATACTTGACAACAGGATGGCAGTGGTAAAACTATATACTTTCCATCTGTTTGCTGTTATTGTTAATTGTAATCATGCCAATACATGTCATCTGGTTCGTCAAGCACAGGGCGTATGTCAGAAAGTATCGTACCAATAAGTAACAATTATAACATTCATGGATAGCAAACATTCTGCAACACCCTTTTTAATATATAATACCTACATATATGAGTAGGCATATCAAAAAGGTCGTCAGTGATTTCCCTTGTTGATAAAAGCCGAACATGATGCGCTTCTATCCCAAGGCCGTCTAGCAGCGAAAGGGGGCTTGTGCTCCAGCCATTTTCAAATCTCGCCTCTCCGTGCTCAAAGCGATCTCTGTAACAGCTCTAATTCTCAACCTGCTCTTCCTGGGTCTTTTATCCTACATTTCCGGCACTTTCTATCTAGTATCAGGCAAACAGCTACGTTCACAACTCCAACGTCGTCTTCGTTGATTACGATGCCAGTCTTATTGGCATGTCGTTCCGCCAGGCATACCTCCAGCATTTACAAGGAGATGGCTTCCCGACTATCATTGAGAACCAGTCTCGCAATATCCAGACCCGGCTTCGTTGGAAACTACAGTCTGCCAAAGCGAGTATCAGGCAGCGCTGCACGTCTCCTTCAATGCGACTGACCATCTAGCCTGTGCTCTCGGAGGGAGTACTGCTGCCTTATCGTATAATCATAATAATGTTGTTATAATGATCTGGAATGAAGCTCGGTATCCAGCTACTGTGGACGTTATCGCGAGTAGTCTCCAAATCCTCTCGGAATCCGCTCGCGTCATGTACTCTGACACAACAGGGGTTGTTCAGAAGATAAATTCAACCAATCCGGCGGCCGTTGCAGCCTTCTCAAATTGGGCACTAATATCTATCAATATCCAGCCTACAGAACAGGGATCTCGCCTGATTTTTAATACCATTGTTATGATCCTAATGCTCCTCCAGCAGTTCTTCTTCCTGGCTACAATGAACGGCGTCGCTTCTCATTCCCAGCTGGTTTCTCGCGTACTACCCAAACAAAATTATTGTTACGCTGCTCGCCATCTCTCTTCGTTTATAACCTCGGCGGCTCTATATGCGTCACCGGCGCGATCTGGACTTTTCCGGGAGGCTGGGTTGTAAATGGGAATCACTCTGACCTGGTTATCCCTATGGATTTTCCAACATTTGAACTTCTTCACATTGGATGTCTTCACCATCTGGCTGCCGGCTGCCTATGTGCCCATGGCTTTGGTGACCTGGGTTATTGCCAATGTGGGCTCGACCCTACTGCCGCTAGAACTCGCCCCGGGTTTCTACAAATGGAACTACATGATGCCCGCCCATGCACTGTATCAGTTACTAATAGCTATTTGGTCCGACAGCTGCAATCCACAGCTGACCTATGCTTTGCCCGTCTTGTTCGGTTTTTAACCTCTAGCAAGCTTCCACACGTGTTATTTGTACGTGAGATTGCTTACCCATTATCCACTCTTATAAAGGTCGACTGTTTTCAGGCCAATAGCGTACTTTATTTTACCTTTTGATAACTTGAATATAATAATTTCTATATAAGAATGGTGAAAGTTATATACAGATTTATTACAGAGCCTGTTAACACATATCAAATCTAGTGGACTAGAAATTCGTCAAATGGAAATCAGTTATAAACTTATTTTATTGTACAACAAAGCTATCTGATAACCCTACCGTAACCCCCATCAAGTGCGTATTATCTTAAAACTGAAAAAGAAACATACATATTGATTTCAATCATAAACCGAAAAGAACAGGCTGTATCAAATAGCACCGCCCACTCGTCGAATGGTTCGTCGTGTATGGTCTACATTAACCAAGCCCTCAGTCTCAAGTGCCTGCACTGCATTATTGAATTCATTGCTCTCAACCTGAATGCTGCTGTTCTCGTTGAGTCTGCGCAGCACATCTACCGAACGAGGAGCTGTGCCACTAGCACCCATATCATCTACTAGGTTAAGGACTGCTTTCTTCAAGTCATCACGACGGCGGCGCTCGCTTGCACTGGTACCGTCCGTCAGCAAGCTCATATCAATCAATCCGGTGCGGGCGTCTGTGGCTGCTTGTTTGAGCGCGGACCGGATTAGTCGTACGGCTTCCTCGACGTCTTCAGCTGTCACTTCAGAGGAGAGCCTCATACGGGCATGAGCTTCGGAAAGACGGATCATAGACTCTAATTGACGCGTGGTAGCTGTGATACGACGCTCAGCTGCTCGGATATCGTCTCCTAGCTTGCGCATCGTGACGTACGCTTCGGTGAGAGCATCAGCGGCGGGTTGAGTAAGAACAGGGTGGATTTGCGTCTTGGCATAGGTGATATAAGAAGTCAAGAATTCAATAGGCTGGTTGAGTGTTAGCAATTATGTGTCATGTCATAGTGTGGAATTCTGCTTACCAATATCTCTTCCTGACTTGCATTTTCGGGAGCGTCTTCCAAGTACATGCCAACCAGATGTTTCGCCAAGCGACGATCTTCTTGCTCGTCAACCCGGTCAAGAACTAGATATACCAAGTCGAACCTGGAAAGCAGAGTTGGAGGAAGATCGATATTCTGCGGAACAGGCAGGTTGGGATTGTACTTGCTGCCAATAGGATTGGCAGAAGCCAGAATACTGGTACGTGCATTCAACGTAGTGATAATGCCGGCCTTAGCAATGGACACAGTCTGCTGCTCCATCACTTCGTGCAAGACGGACCGTGTAGATTCGTTCATTTTATCAAACTCGTCAATGCAGCAGACGCCTCCGTCCGACAAGACAAGTGCACCCGATTCGAGAACAAGTTGTCGAGTTTCGGGGTCGCGGGTGACATACGCCGTGAGACCGACGGCTGAAGAACCTTTTCCACTGGTGTAAACTCCGCGAGGTGCGATTTTGTGGACATATCGAAGGAGTTGTGACTTCGCGGTAGAAGGGTCGCCGCAGAGCAAGACATTGATATCACCACGATAGCGTGGATTGCCTCCCTTCTGAAAGGTCTTGTTCGTACCCCCAAACAGCTGAAGCAAAATTCCCTTCTTCACATCGTCCATCTCGTAGAGACTTGGTGCCAATGATCTGGCCAGAAGCTCGTAGACGTCAGGCCGTCGCGATGTTTCCTTGATCTTCTCAAGCTCTTCTGCAGTGACTTTTCGAGTCTGCTCGGTGTCTCCCGCTGCTTGTTCCGAAAGCTCCTGCTCCACAGTTGACACGTCGATACCGAGTTTCTTCTTGTCGACTTTCTGTATATGCAAAACGTCCACGTACGTCTTGAACAGTGCTTTTGTAGTTCGCTGGCGGGGGTTCACACGGACAGGATTGCATCGGAAAATGCCAGTCACCTCTATCCGGTCACCTGCCTTGCAAACATCGACCAGTTCATCGTACGCGCACAGAGAGACAGAGTGAGGAGTCTGACCATCTGGGACACTGTCGGGGGTCTCTTGAAGCTTAATGACTTGCTTGTCAGCAAAAATACAGCGGTTGTGAACTAGTTGCATTGAATTAGGACTCTTGCATTGAGCCCGTGGACAAGAAGTAGGTTCCATAATCTTTCCGCGGTCAATGTCAACCATGACACTGTGGTTACAGATTTGGCATGTGAAGAATGCTATATCTAGTTAGCAAGAAGAAGCAAGGTTGTAGAGATATCTTACTGACCTTCTTTCATATCGGGGATGACTGGAGTTGTGCGAATGACTAAACCTTTAATACTAATGAGTTTGTCCATATCTGTAGATAAATCAACCATTAGTCCACAATTACGACTTTCGTCTCGGACGAAATACGCACCTGCAGGATCTAGTTCCCGCATATTTACAGACTTATCCAAGCCGAAAGGTAAAACCTTGTATGTCCTGACCTCCACCTGTTCGACCAAATTAGGGATGTCGGCAGGAGCAGCACGACCCGTCTCACTCGTGGCATCTGAGCTTGGTACAGGCGCCGCTGAGCTGTCTCGCGTGCGTGGTTGGTTTCGCTGAGCTTGAATTCTGAGGGTTTCCATCTCACTGATTGCCAGCTCGAGCAAAACATCTTTGATTGTCTGATCCATAAGCGGGATGATTTCTTGTGGGTATGCATGCAACTGATGCCACAGCTTTTTTGTAGAGGGGTATGCTTTGAGATTCTTAGCGTCCAGGTTCAAACCGGTGACTCCTAGCTTTCTCATATTGTTCAGCATAGTAACATATTCTTTTTCCTCCGCAGCATCGCCCATCGCTCTTGTTTCCTCCTCGGTAGCGCCGTCGGCCCACATGCGGTACTTCGTTGCGTAGTTATAAAGAAAGTTTTTGAACGCAGACATAGAATCCTGGATGGAGATATTAGTTCCCCAAATAACACGCGTCGAGTTACCACCAAGCGCATCTGCCTCTGAAGTATCGGGGTTGACGTTGGAGAAGGTTGCATCCGAGTGAGCATGACCTTCAGTGACTGGCCTGCCAGTTGCATCCACAAACAGCCTTCGACGACCTGACGGGGTCGACGAGAAAGCATCCGAATGAATATCACCTCGGCGCGAGACATTGCGAGTATAGCTAGAGAGTTCTGGGCGAGATGAGCCAACAAATAGACCGCTGCTACTACTAGGGATATCAGAACGAATATCCTGACGGTTATTGTTTCGTGGTGGGCTTGAACTGGACATATAACGGATTGGCGAAGAGTCTGAAAAGGTTAGTTTCGAAATGAATCAAGCATTCTAAGTATGGGATGTGATTACCTTGTCTGCCGGTTCTGGTGGCTCGTGGCGTGGTATCGCCGTCTGCGACAGAAGATTCTCTAATAGGCGAGCTGATATCCATTCCTGTCTGCTCACCACGCACAGGTGATGAGGATTGATACATCAAGGGAGATGAAGATGGTACATTGTTCTCGTTTTGGAGTCGTCTGGATGCGTGAGGAGTGGCTTGTGATCCATTTGCATTGGACTGAGGGGTATTTGAGACTTGTTGCGATCTTGTCGAGCGAGGAGTCGATGCAGCTGAACTTCTGGGCGGACGCCCACGACGAGAAGCTGGTGAAGACATTGCAACTTAAAATATAATTGTCAGTATCAGAAATAGTCGTATTATGAGAAAGCGTTGAGCGTGATATCGACGATGGGGTATTGTTGAAGAGATAGAGAAAACGTGTTTGACTCGTCCCTTAGTTTAATTTTCTCGGGACGCGTCTTCACGCGTTAAGTGCTTCCTGTTTGGGATAGCGCGTCACAGGGAAGTCACGTGGACGCATTGCCATGATCTGCATTAATTCATCCTGATTGGGTAAGATGCATATAACTGTGGCGCCACACCAGCCACACCATGTAAGTCACGTGCCGAAATCTCGTGTGCCTGAGTTACTCTACCGGAGATCAAAACAAAAATAGACGACATCTAATTGCGATGACTTCCAATCACCTCTTGATAGCGTCAGCAATCTTGGTGACAGTAAAACATGATAGCGCTTCGAAGAATCAGTTGGCAACCAATGAGCGCCGCGATCTCAGTCCAAGCTAGTCAAAGCGCCGCCAAGAGTTTCATCCTCGCTATTGTTGACCTTCCCTGCTGGCTGATGTCATATTGTTCACTCATCGTCGTCCAGTTTATTTATACCATGTGGAACAGCACCACCAACATCAGGCGGTCTTGCAAGATCAAGGGCTTCGCTTGATGGACTTTCTCTTCTCGACTTATAGCACCTTAAGAGGTGCAATGTTTTAGTCTGGCTATCATTAGCTTCGATTCATCTGAAACTCCTTAAATGTCAGATCCCTATCTCCAGATTGCTTTTCTTCATTCTGTACGCCGATTTCGAGGTCGATTTCTACCGTTGATTCCTAAACGCATGCTCTAGTGACGCCGGGGAAGACCTTCAATTTCATCATTCATTGCATTGTTGCATTGTTGCAGCGTTCTGCTCTTTTGTTATTTTCTTTCAATTCTCCAACTCATAGGTCCATTACCGCTCAGCTGTCTCGTTCTGCACTGCATATGGTACAAGTGTCGTTGTCAGGAGTTGCAGGCTCAACTCATACCCACTATCCACAAAATCCACATTGTTTCGCTTAAACCGATTGATCCTCTTCCACCAAAATGTCGACCAACGACATTTTGGACGGCGGTGGTGCGACGGGAGATGAGAAACAGGGAATTTCTGTGTCGACATTCGTCGCTTCTCTGGCGACTGGTGCCATCGTCTTCGCCATTGAAGCTCTCTTATTCTTGATGCTGAAGGGGAACCTTCGTAGAATATAGTACGTATACCTATTTACTATCCTTTCGATCGGCTTTCATACTCACAGAATCGCATAGCCAACCCCGGACTTATCTCGTACCAGACCGCGAACGAACTAAACCACCAGCTCCTGGACTATTTGGTTGGGTGTATGCTGTGTTCCAAACCACTAACGCTGAATTTATCCAGAAATGTGGGCTCGATGCTTACTTTTTCCTACGATACCTTCGGATGCTTCTGAAAATCTTTGTGCCGCTTGGTCTGGTCATCCTTCCAATCTTGATCCCTATAAACAAAGTCGGGGGAAAAGACAACAACGTTGTCAGCAATACAAACTCTACCACATGGAACGTGACTGGCATGGATCAGCTTGCTTGGGGTAATATCACGCCTGAACATACAGATCGGTACTGGGCACATCTCGTACTTGCGGTGCTTTCGATTCTCTATGTCTGTGCGGTGTTCTTCGATGAGTTGCGCGGGTATATCAGGCTCCGACAGGCATACCTGACCTCGCCTCAGCATAGGCTGAGAGCATCTGCCACGACCGTGCTTGTTACCGCAATTCCCAAGAAGTGGTTGTCAGTAGAAGCGTTGACAAATCTATACGATGTATTTCCTGGAGGGATTCGAAATATCTGGATCAATCGTCAACTGGATGAGTTGAATGAAAAGGTCAAGCTCAGAGACAAGCTTGCTTTGGCTCTGGAGGAGGCGGAGACCAACTTGATTGTCAAGTGCAAGAAAGCTCAGATGAAGAAAGCTAGGGCCGAGGCGAGAAAGGCTGGGAAAAAAGCCACTAAGGAAGATGAGAAACAAAAAGAGGAAACAGACAAGAAAGCCGCTCAGCTAGCAATGCAATCTGGTATCAGCTCAGGTAACCCTCACCAGGTTGCTCACAATGTGCAGGATGCCCTTAAAAAGAACCGCGAGAGTCAAAATCTGGAATCGCAACGTCATCGAAAGAAGAAATTCATTCCTCTGGTAGGTGGAGGACTTAACGCTGTTGGCAACGGGGCGAATGTGTTGGAGAAGAAGTTAGTCGGGGGTATTAGAAAAGCGAATCAAGGTGTCGAGCAACGGCTAGATAATACTCCTGGATTTGCCATTCTACCAGAAGAGTCCATCTCAAGCAGGGCAAACAGCAAAGAAATCGATGACCCCAGAAACCAATATCTTCGGCCCAGCTTGGATAGCCATGGAGGTTCGGTTAATTCTGCTCCCGAAGAAGTTGACCAACAGCCATCAGTTCCAAACCAGGAGCAAAGCTCGCGCCGTCCAGACTGGAGCCGAAAATCATCCTCCAACTCAAAAAGAGGAAGCCGGACTCCAGAAGCTGACGAAATTCCTTTGACAGAAGGAAAGACTAGACAGCCAGGCACGGACAGCATCAGTGATGATAGCACAACGCAGAAGAAAGACGGACAAGAATATCGTCTAGCGTATAATGAGGACTGGCAAGAGGACTGTGGGGAACCACTGTGGAAAAAGTACATACGGCAGAAAGATCGCGAAACGATGCGCCTGCCTATATTCGGGCTTACCTGGATGCCATCTATACCTTTGATAGGCAAAAGGGTCGACACTATTGATTATTGTCGGAAAGAGGTGGCACGACTCAATTTGGAGATTGAAATCGACCAACAGCATCCGGAGAAATTTCCTCTCATGAACTCGGCTTTCATCCAATTCAATCATCAGGTAGCCGCTCACATGGCTTGTCAAGCGGTCAGCCACCACGTACCAAAACAGATGGCCCCACGAGTGGTAGAAATCTCCCCGGATGATGTTATCTGGGATAACATGTCGATGAAATGGTGGGAACGGTACCTACGCAGTGGTGGTATTTTCATCGTTGTTTGTGGCATGGTTGCTGGATGGGCTATTCCAGTTGCCTTCACTGGTCTTTTGTCTCAGCTTTCGTACCTTGAAGGACGATTTTCGTGGCTTGAATGGCTATCCAAACTACCCCATTGGCTCTTTTCAGCTATTCAAGGTGTCCTCCCTCCCTTGTTCCTCTCCTTATTGATGGTCCTCCTGCCGGTGATTCTTCGATTTTTATCCCAAACCCAGGGCCTACAAACAGGCATGTCGGTGGAGTTGATGGTTTCGAATTACTACTTTGCATTCCTTTTCGTCCAGCTGTTCCTTGTCGTGGCTATCTCATCTAGTTTCTCAACACTGATCGACTCAGTTACCAACATCACGGGATGGCCGGAACTTCTCGCCGAAAACATTCCCAAGTCTAGTAATTATTTCTTCTCGTACATGATCCTTCGAGCCATGTCTGTCAGTGCTGGTGCCCTCGCGCAGATTCTCAATCTGATCAAGTGGTTTATCCTTGGTCCTCTATTTGACAATACAGCAAGGAACAAGTGGGCGCGGACTACTGACCTGCATACGATGAGATGGGGAAGTTTTTTCCCGGTGTATACTACTCTAGCATGCATTGGTAAGTTTCTCTATTCTCGCGTATAATGAAGCAATACCTTACAGACCAACAACTAACTCGTTCAGGTCTCATTTACATCATTGTCGCTCCACTGATCGTTATATTCATCATTGCCACATTTGCTCTTTTCTGGTTCGTGTACCGATATAACACGCTCTATGTCACGAAATTTCGGTTCGATACAGGCGGACTTTTGTTTCCTAAGGCCATCAACCAGATGTTCACTGGATTGTATGTCATGGAACTGTGTCTGATCGGTCTTTTCTTCCTTGTGCGCGATGAGCACGACCGAGTGGCTTGCCAAGGCCAGGCGATTGTAATGATTATCGTCTTGATACTCACATTGGGCTATCAGTACTTCTTGAACGAAGCTTTCTCCCCACTCATTCGTTATCTTCCAATCACATTAGAGGATGACGCTGTTCGCCGAGACGAGGAATTCGCCAGAGCGCAGCGCATTCGACACGGTCTGCCAGTTGATGATGAAGATGAAGAGGATACTAGAGGCGGGCTATCTTCTACTCCGCGACAGGCAGGATACGACGAGCGTGATTTTGGAACAGATAGGAAGGAAATCGAGCTTCAAGACATAAACCGAGACAGCATGGATGAACAGCGAAGGGATTATGATGACTTCTTGACCAGAAACATCCACCCACTAACGCACACGGGTAAACGAGCCTCGGGAATGACAGCTGTCTCATGGGCAGATAGATCTCGAAACCGTCGTTCGAAATACTTCGGCACAAACTCAGGATACGATGTGCCCAGTATCGAAAAACTGCGTCAACAACTCGCCTACGAAGCCGAAGACGAAGAGAAGAGAGGCACAGGCACAAACCCTGTCGGTCGCGCGCTTTTCGCGGGCATTCATGACGAATTAGAAGATCTCACACCCGACGAACGCGATCAACTCGTGCAACGAGCTTTCCAGCACGAAGCGTTACGCGCAAAGAGACCTGTGATATGGATCCCCCGTGATGACCTGGGGGTAAGCGATGATGAGATTTATTCTACCCAACGGTTCAGTAAACATTTATGGATTAGTAATGAGTATCAGGCGTTGGATGGGAAGTGTCGGACTATTTTTAGTCGAAGTCCGCCTGATTTTTCGGAGGTTGATTTGATTCAACTATGATATGACTGTTTTTTCCATCTGGTTTTCTCTCTTTTATGCATATTCAATTAGCGAGCTTGAACATTAGCGTATTAGCGTTCGTTTACCTGTCAGTTAGGATTAGCGTTAGACATTGTACAAATCTGAATACCCTTAACTACTCATTTGACCAAATCATGGCTTCCTTTACCCAGACTTGACCGAACCATCTCATTCATCATAATTGCAACAATCAGGGTATTTGACTCGTGTTCATGATTATTAGCACATAAGTCAATATAGATACAGCAAAAACTCCATCTCCAAACGAAGCTGACTACAGCTTATTGATTTAGCGCCATTCGCCATTTTCCCAGTCCTGAGACCACCCATGAAAATGCTGATAAATCAAACCGTCTTGCAGAAAATTTTTACACTTTTTTGGGCGACGAAATCACCGCATACCGCTCTGCATCAACTGTTGTCTCAACATCATAATCTGACTTCTCTCCAAAGGCGGCAAAGCATCAATCTGTGCCTGCGGCATACTCAATACCTGTTGCAACAACTCTTCTTGACCAGGTATTTGTTGTTGCGGCAGTGCTCCTGCTGCCGCCGGAGGAGGGGGAGGAGGAGCAAACGGTGAATTGTGAACGGGTGGTGTTGATACTTGTGTCGGAGCAGTGGTATATGGTTGATATGGCACAGCAGCAGCAGCAGGTGGTGGAGGACCAGTAGCTGCTTGCGACGCTTGTTCTACTACTGAACCTAATGTACTATAATCGACTAGGTTCATGAGTAGTAAAGCTTGGAACACGGCGTATGCGAGTTGAGGTGCTGTGCGGAGCAACTCTGTTGCTCGTGCGGGGTCTGCAACTGCTAGAGCTTTCATCTGGGATAAGACGTCGAGGAGTTGATTTGGCGGGAGTTGAGATAGAGTTTGAGAAATCGCATTGGGACAGTCGAGGTGTGGAGGAATCTCTACACCTGGTGGTAGCGGAGGAAGAGAGCTCGGATTTTGTTGCTGTTGCTGCGCTTGCGCTTGTGGTTGTGATGGCTGTGGTTGATAAGGATCCGAGTAATCCTCCGGTATCGAATCCTTCTCGTTATTATGTGGCCAATCTACCCTGATTTTTCGTCCCATGATCTCGTAATCGTTCAGATTTCGAACTGCCGAAGCTGCTGCGTCGGCATCGGCAAAGTCGGCGAAGCCGTACCCCTTGGGTTTGCCAGTTTCCGGGTTCATCATTAGACGAAATTTGGTGACCGTACCTGCTGTACTGAGGATATCTTTTACTTGTTCTTCGGTAAGGTCTATGTTTAGTTAGCTTGACATGTTCTATAGAGAGAGATGGTGGACTTACTGTATGGGATATTTCCCAGAAAGACGCTCTTCCCCATTCCTGGCGCCATGATTGCTATTATTCGGTACCACCTAATAAGAACAATAAGTTATCAGAGTTGCAGTTTGCCAGATCGTCGGGAGATATTGAAGAACAGGAGAAAAGTTGATGATGTGAGCTATAGTCGCGTGGATCAACATCAAAGACAAGCTTTCTGCCGGGCGGTGGGAGAGCTAACCATACATCTATACATCAGCCAATCAGCATCGCCAATTATGAATCATTCTTTGCAAGCAGCCAGCGAGCATCGCATTGGTAAAGACTGGAAAATCCAGGGTATCTCGAAGTACCTAACTACAGGAATTATGTGATGGTTAATTATGAATCATACCGCATTGTCATCGTGTTGGTTTGTGGTTAAGTTTAAGTAGCGATGCAGAGAATCATGGGTCTAGATCTCGAGTCGATTGAGTGGTATAAAACAGGAAAACAATCCGTATCACCGATCGATTTGAAGAGACATCATTAACAACACTTGAAGTAGCTCGCACTACTCCAGATCATCTGCTAGCGCCACTATCTTTATATGCCACTCACAACTACGACAACCACAACATCAGCCATAACACCGCTAATGAGTCTATCCTCCAGTCCGACAGCCTCCCTTAACGACTCCCCTGACGCAACCAAGCCACCTTTCACGCCTAAACGATGCCTATTATGTCCAAATTCCTTGCCAAGCTTCGATGACAGTGTCCTACACATACAAAAATTATACGGCCTATTTATTCCCCATCGACAACATCTAGCAGTCGACCTCGAGACTCTTTTCAGATATCTGCATCTCATCATCTTTGGATGGCGAGAATGTATACAATGCGGAACAACCAAGACCACAGTCCAAGCTATACAACAGCATATGACGGGCAAGGGCCACTGCAGATTTGATATATCAGACCCAGACTCGGAGTTTGCCGAATTCTACGACGTCTCCGAGCCGGAAGGCAACCAAGAGAGCGATATCGACGAGGGAAATCACGATGAGTCGGTGTTGAGCTCAAGTCAAAAGCAACTGTTGGCTGGTAAAGAGTCAATTCATTTACCATCGGGGAGGATCATATCCAGAAAGTCATCAGCACAAGCGGAGCCAGCATTTTTCACTCGACTACACCGCCGAAATCAAAGCATCGCTTCACGAATAGAATATTCCGTACCAGAGCCCGGCGAGGAGGACGAAATTCGCAAAGGAGGGCTCAACCCGGATGTAGATGGCACACGAGCTTTATCGAGGAGAGAGAAACGAGAGAAGGCAATGGTAAAAACAAAAACACAGTTGGCAAATATGACCATGAACGATCGAACCAGCTTGATGCACTTATCCGCGTCTGAGCAACGCTCGGTACTGGCGACGCAGCATAAGCAAGGGAAAAAGGTGCAGAAAGAAGAGAGTCGGAGAAGGAGTCACATTGACTGAAAGGGGAATAAGAATTTGTATGCTTACTGGGCTACTGGAACACCCGTATACCTATGTGGTTAGATATTCTGGTAGTTTAATTAGCGAATATGGGACACAAAATTCATTCGTCTCTTCAGCACTGGTAGCTGGTAAACTTAAGAGCGAATACTGCCAGGCTTCTCCGCCTAGACCAGTCCAAAACGGCTAGACTCATTTCCGATCTTCAATTGTTACTCCGTCAGCGGAAGCTCTACGATTCCTCTCAAACCTACCTTTCCATCCAAATCAATTCCAACCCATCAAATCAACATGGCAGGAAGCCCGCGGGAACAGTGGGAGAGACTGCAGATTATGCTCCAGAACCGAGCTAGGGCTGGAGGCGGCGGCGGCGGTGGTGGTTTCCGATTTGGAGGAGGTGCGCCCATGGGAGGTCCAGCTATTGCAATCGCTGTGTTGGTAGCGGGAGGATATGCGCTTTCGGCTTCTTTGTTTAACGGTTGGTAAAGAACGTTGTACGGTTCTTTGGTAGAGTGCTGACGGTTATTGCAATAGTTGATGGTGGTCACCGAGCTATCAAATATTCAAGGATATCCGGTGTAAAGAAGGAGATTTACAGTGAAGGTTTGTTGCTAGCTTGATATTTGCTTGGATCAATGACTAATTATCAATGTAGGAACACATATCAAAATTCCCTGGATCGAAACACCTGTCGTGTACGACGTGCGAGCTAAGCCGAGAAACGTTGCATCCTTGACCGGAACGAAGGATTTACAAATGGTCAACATCACATGTCGAGTCTTGTCACGACCACGAATCGAAGCTCTACCCCAGATCTACCGAACGCTAGGCAAAGACTTTGACGAGCGAGTATTGCCCTCGATTGTCAATGAAGTCTTGAAGAGCGTTGTTGCCCAGTTCAATGCCAGTCAGTTAATCACACAGCGAGAGAATGTTGCCCGACTTGTCCGAGACAATCTTGCTCGACGAGCGGCTCGTTTTAATATCACATTAGATGATGTTTCATTAACCGTATGTCTCCCCTGTCTTAGTTATCATCGAAGCTAACATCAAAAATTGTAGCACCTTGCATTCTCCCCCGAGTTTACCGCGGCCGTCGAGGCAAAACAAGTAGCCCAACAAGAAGCCCAGAGAGCAGCTTTCCTTGTCGACAAAGCCCGGCAAGAAAAACAAGCTACCATCGTCCGAGCACAGGGTGAAGCCCGCTCCGCCGAACTTATTGGTGACGCTATTAAGAAGAGCAAGAGTTACGTGGAACTCCGACGCATCGAAAACGCCCGAAATATTGCGCAGATCTTGCAAGAGGCTGGTGGCAGGAACAAGTTGTACCTCGATACTCAGGGATTGGGTTTGAACGTGAACGCTGGGCCTGAAGCTGAGAAATAAATGTTTTACATGATTTGTACCACCCTCCTCCAAAATTTTTTTGCATGTTGTGTGTGCATCGTCACATTGTGTATAAATAGTCAACACCTAGTGCTTTAATGCAGTACTATCGCTACTCGTATTTGGTGTCATATCTAATCACAGTTCTTGGAGAGATTATCATCCTCACCTCAGTCATAGTCAATACTGCATTTTTCTGGCAGGGAGACGATATTACCATTTAAGTCCCACGCCCTGCACGAGTCTACTTCAAGGAGGAATAGCTGTTTATCTGCCGACAAAATGATACTACATGCTCGCATACAGGGTTTGCGTAGAAAACCAAAATGTATCTTGTAGCCAATAATATGCGAACGTGGATTTATCGAATCACGTCGTGAACATAAAGCTTATCTTATCGATAAGACGAGAGATACAAAAAAGTTTCGAATATTTCCCCCGCAGTCTACCTATTCAACTTTGGAGAAAGAGGCTTAAACTTCCAACGCACTGTCCATTGCACCAAGCAATCAATTTTCCAGTATAGATACTACATATCCCCCAAAATGACAGACATCATCGAAACTATAGACGTCGACCTCGACATCCAGGAAATCCTCCTCGCAGCCTCGCAACACAACATCCCCAAACTCCGCCAATTACTTCGGTCAAATCATGCCGGCGCAGAGAATCCGGCGAATATCAAGGATACTGAAACCGGGTATTCGCCCTTACACGCTGCTATTGCAGCCTGTGAACCTGATGATGCCGAGGAAAAGAAAGATGGAGAAGTGAATGGGGAAGAGAAAGAAGAAGGTGAATTGGCATTGGCGCGGGAGACGGTCAAGTTTTTATTACAGGAAGGTGCGATCTGGAATGATCTAGATAAGAATGATGAGACACCTGGTTGTTTGGCGAGGAAGCTTGGGCTGATGGAGTTGTATGAGTTGATGGTTGACGCGGGTGTGCGGGCGGAGTTGTTGTTTAACCGGCTGGAGGGGTATGAGATGTTGGTTGATGATGACGATGATGACGAAGAAGAGGGACAGAAAGAAGAGAACGAAGAAAAAGAACATGAAGAGGCCGAACATAAAAATGTAACCAACGTCCGCTACCTCCACTCAAACCTCACATTCCAAAACGACCGACTCCTCGACAACGACCAGAACGGCGTCATGATGTCTTGGGAATCCGACATAATGCGCAAAACAGCCCTCAAAATCCTCCCCGCTCCGGGTCTACGGGTCCTCAATATAGGGCACGGAATGGGTATCGTTGACGGATTCTTTCAGGACCAATCACCAGCCACACACCACATTGTCGAAGCACATGCCGAAGTCATTGAAGAAATGAGACGAAAAGGATGGCACGAAAAGCCCGGTGTCGTAATTCATCATGGACGGTGGCAGGATATCCTGCCGCAATTAGTCGAACAAGGGGAGTTGTTTGACGCTATATACTACGATACATTTGCTGAGTCGTATGCGGATTTTAGAGAGTTTTTGTCAGAGCAGGTTATCGGGTTGTTGGATTCAGATGGGCTTTGGAGTTTCTTTAATGGGATGGGTGCTGATAGGCAGATTAGTTATGATGTTTACCAGAAAGTGGTGGAGATGGATGTCTTTGAGGCCGGGTTTGATGTTGCTTGGGAGGATGTCCCTGTGCCTCCTTTGGATGGGGAATGGAATGGTGTTAGGAGGAAATATTGGGTTGTAGATAATTATCGCTTGCCTTTATGTAAGTATATGGATTAGACATATTTACAATAATATGTTTGTCTGCATTTCTTTGATTAGAACCTGAAAAGCTTGGGGTGTCTACAAAGTGAAGCCTGCCACCAATCCTCCCTCCAGAGTTTCACGATAATTTGAGTTGTCCTGGTAAACAGGTTTCATAAACAGAATAAGCGGGTCTTGTATGATACGATGTGACTAGAGATATCCACGTTAATATTTCTCAGTGCATCCCAGATTATTTCTTTCTTTTCTCTCATTTGATTCTTTCCTCCCTTCCTGCATGTAACTATTCTTTTCCTCTTCACAATTTGCACTTTTTATTGAACTCCGAGTTGAATTTATCAATATCAATCTTGTTGAATACTCTTCTTTCTGTGATCCCAAGTGCACAGGCCGAAAACTCACATCAAGTGAGTCTATCTTATCACTCCTGCTCTCGGATTGGCCATCTTGGACAGAGACATCATGCCACGACAAACGACTCGAGGTCGAGCAGTCAAGAGAGACTCGAGTCAGGCAGAAGTCGACAGGATTGATCAAGAAGAACAGCAAGTTCGAGCCTCTACAAATGAGATCGACCTAGCCGTTCAGCAAGATGGAACCCAACAGAGAGAAACGCGTTTCGAGGAACCTTCACCATCAACACCACAAGAAATAGCGAAGGCTACCGGTCGTCGGGGAACAAGGAAACGACAAAAAATTGAGCCAACTTCTCAGTTGGTGAGTGAGTTTGTGGAGATGGACTATGCCAACCAAATTAGGCAAAAATTCTCACCACAGAATGGTTTGGCTGGTGACTTGCCTCCTATCCATGACCTGAACCAAATCTTTGAAGAAATCACTCGCCATGCCGTTCAAGAAGATGGATTCAAAGAGTTACTCGACTCGCTTAACGGACGCCCACTGCGTGTGGCCACCATGTGCTCGGGAACTGAAAGTCCGATTCTTGCTCTTGAACTGGTTGTTTCAGGTGAGTATTCGCCACAAGAAGATTATTTTTTAGGATTCACTGACCTCTGTTCATAGAACTGAAAAAGATGAGCATTGGCCCCTTTTCCTTCAAACAACTTTTCAGCGCGGAAATTGTCGAGCATAAGCAGGCATACATCGAGAGAAACTTTCACCCGCCTATACTCTTCAGGGATGTATTAGAGCTGAGTAAAGAATTTGCGTATGTATGTCCAATGCGTACGTTGGTTTGAAAACTCTGACTTTATACAGAACCACAGCGTATGGAGCAAAAAAAAAAGTGCCCACGCAGCCAGATCTACTGATCGTTGGCTTTCCATGTGTTGATTACTCCATGCTGAACAATTTTCGGAAGAAGTTTGGCGAGCGTGGTGAATCTAACGACACCTTCAAAGGTCTCGTAGCATATTGCAAAATGCACAAACCCAAACTGATAATTATCGAGAACGTTAGTAGTGCGCCTTGGGTGCCTATTCAGCGTTCATTTCAGAACATTGGGTACTATTGTCATCATGTCAAGGTTGATACTAAAGATTTTTATATCCCGCAGACACGTGAAAGATCATATGCTCTGTGCATTGATAACTCCCTTGTCAAAAATGGGAAGGAATTGCTTGAGGAGTGGGGAAAGATCCTTTCTGGCTTTCAGCGCAGAGCTAGTTCACCATTTACAGAGTTTATCGATGCGGATGACAATGTGATAGAGCAGCGGAAGCTTGAGCGTGCGCCTGTATTCGAACCAAAGTCTTCACCTACTTGGTCTCTGTACAAGATCAGACACGCAGATGTTCGACGAGAAAGTAGTTTCGGCAACGGAAGGCCGATCACGGGTTGGGAGGAAGGTGGTAAGTGTTGTCCTCCGACATGGATGGACCGGCCGTGGTTCTTTTCTCAAGTTGAGCGAGTCTGGGATACTATTGATGCAAACCACCTGCGCGTTATGGAAGTCGATGGATCTGATAGTACTTACAAAGTGTGAGTCATTCGAACCATTGACCCAACTCGAACCTTTTGACTGGGAGTGCTGACTGTTTGTTATAGCCGCTGCATAGACCTCTCACAAGGCGTGGATCGAGATGTAGATTCCAGGCCTTCGGGTATTATGGGTTGCGTAACCCCAAGCGGCCTACTATACTGTACATCTCGTGGAGGTCAGATCCAAGGACGTGAGTTGTTAGCAATGCAGGGATTGCCACTGAGTCGGTTGTCCTTGACGAGAGAGTCACAATCCCAGATGCAGGATTTGGCTGGCAATGCAATGAGTACCACTGTGGTTGGCTCAGCAATGCTAGCAGCTCTCATAGTTTGCCACATGGTTCTTAAAGTTAACAACGACGAACAACGAATCATCGATAGCGGCGACACAGTCGAGGAGTGTATGCCTGCAGTTTCGTTGATAAGCTCCTTCTTAGAAAAGATGAGAACTGTTGAATCGCTCACAATCACAACGTGCTGCTGGCTCACGGCACTTGCCGGATTGACTTCGAGCCTCTGCAGTTGTGAAGGTCAATACGGCCTTGGACTATATGGTCTCTACCGATGCTTAGATTGCAATTTCACAGCATGTGCCGCTTGCAAAGAAAATCCTATCCACAACTACACACCAATTCCGGTATCGCAACTCAGCGTTCGTCGAGATCCAAAACTGTTTCGAGAATTGCTTTTGCACATACTTCCATCCATGATTAGGCCACCCAGACTGCCTATACATCTCTACCAAGAAATGTCGGGCCACTATCCTACAACTGAAGAGATCGAGAAAGTGTGGAAGAAGTATTTGGAAGCTATCGAGTTAGTATGCCAGGACGCTCTGATGTTCGTCTCGATTAAGCGAAGGCACATCTGGAATGTCGTATACGAAGGTATTTACTCGACCCTTCACCTGGCTATCGGCCCACATGGGATGCACTGGACATTGTTTGCGAAAGCACCGAACGATGAACCCGCCGGAAGCTATTTCAGGGAGGTGCTTCGTCATCCAATAGCAAAAATGGAAGTATTTCAAGACGGCACGTCCGTTCTGGAGGGAAAATGGAAGGTCTATGGACCCTTGTCTAGGAAAAATAAGACCGTCACTTTGAAAGGAGTCGGTGATTTGGTACCGTCATATGAGAGTGTCTGCGGTCTTCCAAACTCAGCTCAGAAACAGGTCTGGAGTAACATTATTGTCGGCGGAGAAGAAGCAGCGATGGAAGGATTGTCCATGGATATTCGTGGACATTATCAGAGAATATCCAACTGCGGAGGAGCGCTACAATCACTGCACCGCCGTAGCAGCTGCGCGCCCAATGAGCCCGATTTGTTTCTTTTCTTGGATCCCAGAGTTCTGGGACCCAGTGAGCTAGATTCTTGGGTATTTTCGACAGACCCCAGCCGCAAGGTCAATGATACCTGGAGAGATATCGTTTTGCAGTTGGACAGCAAATGGAGCTACCAAGACCTGCTGCCTTCAGGAGCTTCTTCCGTTCTGGCTTCTCATCGACAATGGATTGATGCTGGTTCCATGGCCATAATAAACTGTGATTCACAAAATGGACTTGTTAGTCGCATACTGGATCCCCGGGTCAACGTGCAGTTGGATGGCTATAGTTGCTATAACTGCTATGTCCCGCTTTTATCATCCTCCACTAATGTCGAAGGTACGATACAACAACAACAACAACAACAACAATCATGGGAAGTCAAGGATTTTCGGGAGATAAATGAACTTGCATGGGCTTGGGCCAAGTTTTCGACATGGTCTCCATGTCCGAATTGGAAGCTTATAGAAGCAATTTTCGAGATTTGTGAGCGCTGTTCTCCCGAACAGCCAAAAATGGCATGGATAGTCCGGAAAGGAAAGGAACGTCCGATTGAAGACCCAGTGGATGCGGCAAGATGTGAACGTGACTACAAAACGAGACCATCCCCATTTTGTCTGTTTGAGAAAACGGATGGCCTCGGAAACAAAAAAGACGCACAAAGGCATCACTTTTGTCTTGCTCTCAATCTAAAAACATTGCTCCATCGTGCCTTCAGAGCGATAGCACATCGTCGAGAAGAAAGCGCGACAGTCGAGTTCTACTGGCGAATAACCAACAATGACGACACAGATATCGCCCATCCCAGCAGTTATCGCATAGTGAATAACAATGGAGAATCTGGAGCAGTACAGCCTCCTCACTTCATGGTCCCACTAAGATTAGATCAATTGCGGTCTCTTCGATGGGCGCTGTCACGCGAATCGACTGACCAGGAAGCTTTTCTGGAAGAAGAAGTCGAAGAAGCTATTCTGGATCCAATGAACTGGAGAGCAGAGGCAAAGGTGCTTGTACATCGTACGATCAGGGGCGGGGTTCTAGCAGACCACGTTGGTTTTGGCAAAACTGCAGTGGTTTTGGGTCTGATAGACAGCCAGCATGAGAAGGATGTGATTGAAGCGGAAGAGCCATGTAATAACGCAATTCCTCTCAAAGCCACCTGTATCGTTGTCCCCGATATTCTGTTTGACCAATGGCGAAGCGAGATAGTGAGATTTCTTGGAGATAAGTACACTGTCCTTGAAATCAGGGATATCTCCCAATTGCATCGGACATCTATCAAAAATTTCCAAACAGCAGACATTGTTCTTGTTGCTTGGACGATTTTCACAACTGCCTCGTATTTCAAGAGCCTGGAAGAAGTCGCTGGAGGACCATGCCCGCCTAAGATGACTAGCAGAAGCGTGCGAATGTTTGAAGCATGGTCTGAAGATGTGCTTGGTTCAATCGAGGAACGGGTCACGACACTGCAAATGGATGGACCGGAGGCATTTCTAGATTCTATTCATCTTAAGCGAAACTCCGCATGGGGGACAGGTGCTTATACCCGCTACTTACCATCCAGAAAGATAGCAGGGAAAGGAGTCAAGTACAACCCCTATTCTGAGGATGTACCAACCAACCAAGCGGATGGCGATGTCTCGGAACCAGCAGCTGCTCGTTCGCCCATGGAAATAGATAATCAAGGTTTCAAAAGTATTTTGCCAAAAGATGATCTTGAAACCTACTTAGTGACGGACCAGAATAAAGCGCAATACAGGTCAAGATTCGGTATCTTAAAAGGCGAACAGGCGTTGATGAAGAATGTCAAGGGAACGGTTTTCCACATGTATCGATTCCAACGGCTGGTCATTGATGAATTCACATACTTGAATCAGGATCGCCATGCGTTACTGGTCTCCCTCAAGGCACGTTCACGATGGATAATGTCCGGCACGCCCCCTATCAAGGGTTTTGCAGCTGCGGAGCGAATGGCTCGACTTGTCGGCGTGTATCTCGGGAGAACCTGTGACGAAGATTACGAGAAGAGCAAATTTAAGCGCTCCGAATCTGAGAACTTCCACTTCTTTCGAGAGGTTCCGAGTCGGGGGTGGCATTTCCGCCGTAACGGCCTTGCACAGCATTTTTGCGACGTATTCATGCGCCAGGTAAGTGAAAAGAAGTTACTTCACTTGACTGTCCAACTAATAAAGTGCAGAATACCCCGGAAATACCTCAGATCGAATGGACAGTTCACTATGAACCCACGATTCTGTCTGCTGTTGAGAGGATATTGTATCTTGAGCTGAAGGTGTTCTACGAATCATACAATCCGCAAACAACTGGGGAAAAGAAAAAAAAGTACGCTCATGATCAGCGGGGACGAATAAGCGAGATTGTCGACACGTGTGATACACCAGAACAGAGTATCGTCAAGCGTTCGTCATACTATGACGCTTTGCCCAAATGGAGTTCTGCAAGTGAAAAAATCGACACAGCAGAAAAGCTTGTGCAGCATAGACGCAAAGAGATTGAGAAGATTATCGGGGAGATCAAGCAACAGGCAAAGGCCATAACTTGGTTATATCATCAGCTATATCGAAATGATCCAAAATTTTCCGCGCTGCAAAAGAGCCTCCGAGAAAACGATTATGGCGACACTGATGTTTCAAATTTCGCTTGCCGTATAATCGATGAAGCTTTGACATCGTATCGACAAGGCGATTGGGAAGCATTTTGGTATCCATCTAACGAAGGTCTATCCAACGCTGCCGACACTCCTCTAGTTGATGTTGGAGACGATGAGATAGAGTCTGATCAAGAGAGCTCTGATGAGAAAGAAACAGTTCAGGGAAGAGAAATTTATGCTACCAGTGAATATGTGCCAATATCTCAGCGCAAGGACCGGGCAAATAAGTCGAAGATTGATCTGAGAGCCTTGCCCACCGGAAAAGAGGACAAACACAAAGAGCTTCGAGAATGGACCAATAGAGTCAGGGTGAATATTCATGCCTTGGTGGATTGCACGAGAGGGCTGAGGTTCGCGCAATCAGGGTGTACTTTTGTGGGCACTGGCAGCCTGCCAATCTGCCAGAGCTGCGGACAGAAAGACCAACGAGCAAAGAAAAAACATAGCGTCTTGGGTAAATGTGGGCATATTGTCTGCGCATCTTGCCTTGCCGAAGTGCTCAGCAACGAGAAATGCACTGTTCTCGACTGTCGTGGAGCTGTGGATGAGCAATATGTGATTCCCGGCTCATATTTCGCCATGTGTCAGCCCATCAACATGCCCACTCCTCTGGGTGGATCAAAGGTCGAGGCACTGATCAAGCTGTTGAAAGATGAGAGCTCAATTCCCAAAGACGACCAAGTAATTCTATTTCTGCAATTCCAGGATCTCCAGCAAGTAGTGACGGCGGCGCTGGAATTGAATGACATCTCCTATGTGTCTGTGGGGAAAACTGGTAAACACGGCAGGGGCAAAATGAAGAAATTTTCTGCGAACCACGACAAAAAGGTCGCTATCCTTCAATTGGGCACTGAGAATGCTGCGGGACTGTAAGTATTGTTCCTTTTTTCCTTGATGGCTGATTTCACTGACCATTCATTCGCGATAGCAACCTGCAAAATGCCAATCATGTGATATTCTTTGCTCCATTCGCAGCCAAGAATCATTACGAGTATCAAAGCACGATAGCTCAATCGAGTGGACGCGTCATTCGTTTCGGACAGAAGAAAAAAGTCCACATCTGGAATTTGGCGACGCTCAACACGCTCGAGGTTGGTATTCTTCAGGGACAGGATGGACGGGTTCTTGTACGACGTCCTAATGGAAAATATGAACTTGTTCTGGAGGGGGAAGTTGGAAAGGAGGATGTCAAGGGGTTTGACGTTCCCGCGTTCGATTGGAAATAGAAGCAGACAGGCTCTTTCCTTCTTGGTGTCTCTTCGGTCAGTCGCACCTCCCGTAGGTGTTGCTTTCCTGCTTTCCTGTTGGAGTAGATTAGTCATTGCTGAATTAGTCAGTGAGTGAAATTATTAGTCATCCTGTTGAATGCGTCGAGCAAAGAGAGAATGAACACGTGATGTGTATGGTTTGATTTTCTTTCTTGCATAAAAAACCACAAACTATGGTGACGGTATACTGTACAGTTATAAAAGAACATAATCTTAACCACCGTCTCCACGAAATCTCACCAATACCGAAGTCGCAATCCCAGTTCTATAGCATAAGACGACTTCTGCAATAAGAAAAGAAAAACAAACAAGAGTCCATAAGGCGCTTCCGCTTACAACTCTCCGTCCTTCCTCATCATCTGTTCTGGGTTCCATACAACCTCCTTGAGGTTCGTTAAACCGGCACTATTCTCGCATGTTTCCCGTCCACTGAGAGGTCCAGGAGCAGGGACCTTGGCAGCAGGATTTGTGGCTGATTCCTTGAGGGCAGTCAAGAGTTGAACAATGGACTCGGGAGTCAAATCTTCGTAGTAGTCGTCGTTGATCTGGACCATGGGAGCATTGACGCAGGCACCGAGACATTCAACCTCGATGTAAGTGAAGAGGCCGTCATCTGTAGTGTGGCCGGGGGTGATGCCGAGATGGTTGTTGATTGCCTGTACGATCTTGTCGCTTCCGCATCCACCAAGTTGGCAGGGTGTCTAACATTGTGAGTCCAAATCTGCAGAAGCCACGAGCATAATTATGTACTTACCGTCGTGCAGACCTGGACAAAGTATTTGCCTACAGGTTCTCTGTTGTACATGGTATAAAAAGTCGCGACTTCATAAACTCGCATTGGGGGCATCTCCAACAAACGAGCCACCTCGTTCATAACGCTGATACTAGTAAATCCATGCTGGCGTTGTCCGAGGTCGAGAAGGGGCATAACAGCGGCCTTCTTGTACTGGGGAGGATAGCGTTTGAGGATCTCATCGATGATTTTTTCATTCTCTTTGCTGAACTTGAAAGGGATGGATGGGTTGTTGTCGGGTTTGTTGCGGTGCTAGAGCGGCGGTTCAAGCATTGTGTTAGTCTGTCAATTCGCCAAATTGTTTGTAGCAGCGGTATCGTCGGGAGTCGTAGAAGAGTGGCCGCAACAACAAAGCCATGAGGAGTGAGTGTTGCTTACCACATGGAGAGTATCGCTGAGCTTCGGCGCAACTGCAGAGAATGATCGCCATTGGGGTTTGGAAACTTGTGGAATAATCTGGCGGGACGAGCGCACAACGGCGGGGAATAGTTTGGAGGCCATTATTCCTGGCGTGGATGTTGGTGAATTGGCAGGCGTGAGGTTGAAGAGTTGTGGTTGATGAAGTTCGGAGCGCGGAAATCAGAAGGTTGAATGGGCTTGCTGGGAAGCTGGCGAGCCAATCACAGCCGACTTAATTGTCTTTTAGTCACGATGGCGGCCAATCACAGTGGTTGATTAGTTATTTCTGAATATCTATATCTACAATGATTCCCTCTATATTGCTTCGAATTCATCATTATTAGATTGCTATTGAACTTCAGAACAAGCTGATCATGGGTTGTTACGCTTGTTAATATTGGCAATGACTGATGGAGCGCTCCTGTTGCCGAAAACTTGAAAACCACCCACTCAGTGTTCACTATGTCCGGAATCAAACATCCTCCAGCTTATAAACCTCATACGCAACCTCCTCATAGGGGTGTGCCTTGACCAGAGCCTTCACAGCATTAAGCATCGTCTCTCTCCCCAAACACAGAACCTCAACTTTCATCTCCTCAACATGCTCCAAGACCCCCACCGCGCCAATGTTTGGCATCGCGCCGTCCCCAGGTAAGAATTGTCCAGTTCCTGGAGTCTGGAAGCAGACTTTGGTGTATTTTCCGCCTGGAAAAGAGCCTGCACCAGTGGAAAAGATTGCTTCTTTGCAGGGTTCGACGTGGTCATGGGGCACGAAGAAGATTAGCTTGTAGCGATCTGGAATGGCACTTGTTGTTGATGCTGACATTTTTGCAAGTAAAGTCTTGTGGACAGGGAGCTGGTGAGGGTGCCGGATTGAGTTCAGTGCTATACGTGTGGTTGCGCTGAACATCAGTCGTTTCGTGATTGCTAAGTCTGTTGATCGATCTGGATGAGGGGCGGTGCGATAGTCAATTAGGATCTGTCCTGCTTAGTCATCTGTCCTCAAGTCACGCAACAGTAAGTACCTTTTAATGTGGGCTATTGTTGGGAAATAGAAACGATATTTGAAAGTCGGTGCTGATAAGACATGACTCGTTTGGTGTGGTGGGTATGTTTGACTTTGTTCGGTCCACAAAGGTCCGTGGGTATAGTTACAAATAGATACAAGTAGTAGTCGATATGGACAGTCCGCTCACTGATGTGCCCGTATATGATCATCCACCTTTTGTAGCAACTCCAACTTCCTCTCATGATCAACCCAGCTGCCATGGATACTATTCTCTGCAATCGTCCTCCACTCCTCAATACTCAAATCAAACGCTTCCTGAACGCTACAGTAATTATGCAAGATGAAGCCCCCAAAATACGCCGGATCATCACTGTTAATCGAGAACTTGACGCCGGCATCTAAGAAAGCCCGAATCGGAACTTTGCTTATATGGTCGACACCTCGTAATTTGACGTTTGACACGGGACAAACTGTGAGCAAGATCTCGTCTCGGGCAACTTGCTCCATTAATCGGGGACTATCGATCAGCCTGACACCGTGGTCGATGCGTTGCGATTTGTAGGCCTCAAGAGCAGCTTCGATGTAAGTCGGGTCTCCTTCTTCGCCGGCATGGGCAGTTCTTCGGATCCCCTTTGAGTGGGCCGTCTGATAGATCTCCTTGAACATATCCTTGGGAGGGCCAACTTCAGACGATGAAGCACCGATACCGTGGATTGCGCCGGACTCGAAATGACCCCCTTCAACCGCTAGATCAAATACCTTTTGTGCATCACTCGCGGGTAAATGCTTCACGAAACACATGATAAGTTTCGCCGTCATTCCGTACTCCTGTTCCGCTCGTTGACAACCCGCAACAAACCCAGACACAACGGTCTCAAAGGGCACACCTCGATTAATATGTTCTTGCGGATCAAAAAATACTTCCGCATGATGAACGCCATCCGCATGCGCCATTTGGAAATATTCCCACGCCAGAGCCTCAAAGTCACTCTGCTGCTGAAGCACGGACATGCCGATAAAGTAGTAACTGAGGAAGTCGTCGAGGGAAGTGAAGTGTTCATATCTTTCATATAAAGTCTCTGGGGATGTGAATTCTGGTCTCTGCTCTGTGTTTGGCAGACAGACTCCGTTGCGAGCTGCCAGAGTGAACATTAGTTCTGGCGTGAGACATCCCTCGAGATGGACGTGGTGTTCGCATTTTGGTAGATGCTGGAGAAACTGGTGTAACTTGGTGTTACACATTTTGCTTTTTTCTTTGCAATCTATAATAGCCAAGTCAGACAATATCACTTTTTTTTTTTCTTTTTTTTTGGTTGGATATCGTACCTAGCTTATAGTAGATCTATGTGCAAAGTATGGTATGTATGTTCAGGGTATCTAACTCAACAACCCGGATTGAGGCATCCTCAGGGATTATATATGACACATCCTATCGTCGAATCCATCGAGAAATTATATTTCTCTGGTTCAAAGATACTTCGGTCTCCGTAAGAATGAAAAAAGCGCAAATACTTGCACATCCATATCCCGCTTTGGTAAGAAAAAGAAGAAATCTTTTTTTCTGGCTGGCTTCCGCGCTGATAAACAACCGGATCTCGGCCATCTCCGACGCCCCTTTTTACTCACTAAATACTCCGTATAACGAAGCGGTTTCACTCAGCTCAAGATGATTTATATGGGTACTCTACTTCTTTTAAAATTGTTTCAAGATGTAAGAAAAACATTGCTCCAATTCTATTCAATCCGTTCCCGCCTGGAAATACGCTGAAATGCAAAACTTCATTTCATCACGGCATACCTGACCAGGGGGATAGTACAATTTCGCCTTCATGTTTCGCCCATCAACCTCCAACACGATCTCATATTCCACTGAATAGTACTCCTTGTCGGCTATGGATATCTTGGGTTGAATCGTTCCGCTGTCCCTGTAGGAATTCAAGTTCGCGACAACAACACCAGCAACTTCGGCATCTGAACGAAGAGTGAAATGTGTCAGTATGGGAAGAAATATTTTTGAATTAGGCAGATTCAATTTCTCTTTCTCCCACTTACGAGCATTAAATGGGTGTTCGAAGTGGTAATGATCTCTAACAAACTCTAAGGATGCATAGAGCTTCTGCCGAACCTCCCAATCCTCGCCAATATCAAAGTGCTGTGATAAAGTTGTTTTGAATGAAACTTGCTTTCCCAACTTTTTGTTCTGTGTGCGTTCTTGTCAGCAAAGAGGCTGGACAAAGTTAAGGAAGAAAATGAACTACCCTCTTAATCAGCCATTGGATAACATTAGTGGCATACGGCTCGGAATCCAGCGTGCCAGTCGTGATATACTCGGAGAGGTCGTGGGCTTTGTATCGACCGGGAATGTAACTCTCGTCCTGAAGCACGCCCCAGCTAGCCATGATTTTGCGTTGTGGTCCAGCCTCCTTGTTCAGAGCACGAAATACGGCGCCATGGGAGACGATGGTAGCCGTATCTCTTTGGAAAGATTGTCAGCAGTCTGTGTGATACGAAGTATGCTTGCTGGTGAGTTTAGGTAATAGCTTGTCACCTTTTCTTAGGCGTTATGATATCCACGCCTGTAAACTCTTCTTGAATTCGCTTCTGCAAGGCATCGGACGAGGAAAAACCTCCAGCAAGAATTATTTTCTATTCGTGGTAGTCGTTAGCTATGAACCTCCTGAATGGAGAATAAAGAGATATACCGCAACGTCGTCCACAACTTCTGCATTCTCTTTTTGTTGCTTCAGCAATTCAACCGTTCCCTCAATACTTTTCTTAAAGTGTAGGGCCATTCGTTCACTAACGATCTCGTTATTAGCTTGCGACACATGGTTGCAAAAAGAAAGCTCGAAAGGAGGAACCTAGACACCTTGTAATATAAAAAGAGTTCTCTCCAATATCCTTTTCATCATCTCGGCGAAGACCCACGATTGGGATGTGAATCTTGTCCTGTTGTTTCCCAATGTACTGCTCGTAAGTGAACCCTTTTTTGATGTCGGATTCGAATGTCCTTGATATGTATTGCTGGATGAGATATTCCTTCGAAACATTCGTCGCCTCGAGAAATGGGTTACCTCTCAATCGCTCTGCTGCTTCTTGGAACATTTTGTCGTTTATTAGGGTTGAACCACAGGCGCGGCCTGTTTGTTCGTAGGATGGTTAGATGATGTTTCTGGAACGTCCCTTCAGGGCAGAGCCATTTTGAACTTAGTCCTTACCTGCAGGCTTAACTACTTCTTCGAATCTGTATGGGTTGACTTGTGTCACCCGGTACGTAATAGCATCCTTTTTTTAAGGCAAGAGTACTCGGTGAGTAAGGAATTGTATTCTGTTTGGCAGGCGTACTTACCACAGTACCTCCGCCAGCATCACAAATGATGAATACTTCCCCTTCCTATGTAGACGATCAGTTAGCAGTGGCCGTAGATACAAGTGTAAAAATGTATGGCCCTTACCCGAGGCGCGATGTTCTTTCCCATGAGGGCATCGGACGGGTCCATATTTTCCAGCAAGTGTGCAGCAGCAGCCTCAGGTTCGTGAATGATGAAGGGCTCGAAATCTTTCTTTCCAAAATCCACTCTTTCAGCGACGTCCCACATAATCATTTGCATATCTCTTTGAGCAGCGAATGACCAGCCAGCGGGGATACAGATCACAAGTTCGACGGCGCAGGCGTCGCTGAAATTCTCCTGCTCTATCAATTCTTTCTTGGTATGAGCAAAGACCTGGATAAGATAGTCCCTGATAACGTCATGTACAGATTTGTTTAACCTGCGTAACTGCTTCCTCAACTTATTCAGGGAATGTCCTTGGTCATTGAGAAGCAGTTTCGAAAACTTGATCACGTCTTGACAGGACTTGAACTCTGAACTGCTTAGCTTCCTCATTCGTCGCTGCACAGAATAGCCCCAGATGTATTCCCCTTCTCGGTACCAGCTCTCGCTTGGTACATTGGCATTATAATCATTCGTGTCATTCTGATCTGACGCGGAATCCGGCCATGAGCGTATGGACCTGATATTAGCGCCGTGTACGGTATCCGGAGGATTTTCTGGGTTGAACTTGATATAAGATACGGAAGTGTTTGTAGTTCCAAAGTCAAGCGCGACTATGAACTTGAGTGGGCGTTCGCTCACAGGCTCAGATCTTGAGGGTTCTCTGACTGTAATACCGTCATCTGTGGTACTACTGGCCGTGATTGTAGATTCCACATCAGCTCCAGAATAATAATCATGGTGAAGCTTGCGCCTCACCCTTCGCGGTGGATTTATTCTTCGTGACATGGTGATTTGAGCTTCTGAAGCCAACAACCAACCGAGGAGATATGTGAACAAGATAAGTATTTGTGTCTCATCTTTCTCACCGCTACAATTTTTATCTTCCGCCCTTTTCTTTTCCAATCTACATTTAGTGCAAGGCTGAATGAAGGCAACAAGGCGTTTTCGACAGGGGCATGCGTTAGTCTAGAGACATCCTGGCTAGTACATGTATAGCCTTGCCTGCGCCGCATTTTCCTCCTGTCCATTTTTTTCGATTCACAATATGAAACTCGGCTAATGCCGGGGCAAATGACCTTCCTTATTGCAAAGTTTTTTTCAAGTGTGAATGCCTTGAAGACCTCATCCATCTATCAACTCCTGTGTTATCGCATCACGACGTAAAAATGGATTCTTCTCATTCCAAAGTGCAGTCTTCAGGAAGACACCGACAACGAAAAGCTCGATTTCATAGTAAAGGATGGGTATACCTTCCTCCAGAGTCAAATGAAGCAATCCTGCCGAAGCATGCGCGCTCCAGTGCAATACAAGCTAGCCATATAATCGACAAAAGACTTCGGTCTAACGTCATTCCAAAGCAAAGTTCGTCAAAGGTGAAGAAGACATTCGCCGAAAGAACCATCGAAAAACGCAAGAGAGCTTTTGGAAAAGGTCTAAAAAAGTTGAATCAGTCTGCAAATCTGCCAGCGAGATATCACAATCCAGGTGGCACGGTGGAAGAACGTGAAGAGGTAGTCAGAACATTATTAGATTTTATCTTAAACTTTACAAACTTTTAACACTAACGATACATTTAGACCATAGCCCAGGAAAGTGTACAATTTGTTACGTCGGTGGATGATGGTATTTCGTCTTGCAGCAGCCTTACGGATTTGGGTGATCTATCGGAAGAGGAGGTAGACGTGATTGATACACAATGCCGACAGGAGAACGGTGATGAGACGTTGTCCAATACAAACCCAAGGACACAAGATGAGAAAGAGCCTGGTCCAAAGATTAGTCATGAAGGTCATCTTTCAGAAACCCATTTAAGAAAAAGAATGCAGTTGCTAGAGCAACAAGTGACCAGACTCATGGTTCGAAAGACAGAAGAAGAAGCACAGTATCAACATACAATAAACAAATTACTCGAGCAAAACTATAACCAAAATCTCAGACTCAACATGCTGAGGACTGGTAAGAAGGGCGAAAAACCACAGTCAACGACCAATGACCTCCTTACAGCCGAACTCTATGCGCAAGATCAAGAGATTCGACGTCTGAAATCAAATCTGAATGAAGCTCTTCGTCTGAATGAATTGTTATCACCGCATTCGACTAAGACATATGCTGTTGAGATGGCCAAGTCCACTCGACAGCTCATGCATCAGATCGAATCGTCCGTCATATTTGCTGCTGACATGCTGTGTCAGGCTCTTAATCAACCTCTTAAGCAGTCACCTCATGAACGACTTGGTAATTTCATCTTGGAGAGCATTGGCAGTGTAGATCTTCTACAAAGCCATTCATCGGCTGCATTCCGAGCCATGATCTTCAAGTTCATTCGTGAATGCATTTTCTACTCAGAGGGCATGTGGACAACCTTGCATTTCGAAAGTTTGATGTTGAGAGTGTATCAAACTGCTTTACAACAAGCAGGTAGGTTCTTCCTTTTTGATTTTGTTCTTATAAATTGCTTTCTAACAGAGACCGATAGTTACTCCTGAGTTTCTCGAAAGATTCCATCGAGCAGCACTGCACCTATTGCTACAAGACAGCAATCATTTCAAAGAGGCCTTTGTCATACCACATGCTGAAATCCTGACGATCGACATTATGCACCTACTAGGCCCATATCTAGATAATACTTTGCTGCAACAATCCCACCATGAGGATCGTCTCAAAAAATGCATAAGAGATCTGTTTTGTGACGCCATCGAACTACGAGCATCTTACTTTCCGCCGCCTGGGACACGGTATGAGTTGATTCAATTTAAGCCTGGCACTGTTTATAACCCAGAGCTCATGCAGGTGCAACCAATCCCTATAGAGAGCATGAATGTACCACCAGATGACAGTAAATTACTCCGCATCAAAGTCTGTGTTCACGGCGCGATCATTGCGCATCCGACCCAGGAAATTTCATCTGTAGGGCTGGATAGACTCAAAGATTGGAGCCAGTCTTTTATTGAAGATATGGGAGACAAGGATAGTGATGTTACTATGTGGAAGGGGAAGCTAACAAGTGAAAAAGCCAGTGTCATTCTGGACCTCCAGGAATAGATAATTCCAAGCGGGATATGACAGAAGACAGCGCTCAATATTCTGATATAGATTTTACTCAACATACCTAAATGACAGTCACGACAATATTTCGAAGGTACGCTGCAATGGCTTCATCTTTCCCGCAAAAAGTGGTCCAAGGTGTTGAAAATGTTCTATATTGTATTGAAAAGAAAAATCATGCCATATCCACATCTTGTTCATGAACTTCGGTGGTGGGTTCGTCGTCTAAAACAATCACTATCGGCTGCTGCTTTGACTTGCTTGTATCTTGTCTGCTCAAGAATTCCAGCCAAACTGCAATAGACTCCGGATCTCTATTCTGGTTCCAAAATCCAATTGCCTGACTTTGCTGATTCAGAAAGCCAAAGTATTCTCCAAGCCGAGTCCCCGGGTCTAACGGCACTGTACTGTAGTAACGTCCTTGTTGTGACAAGCGATCAAGCAGTTCAGGTACTACTTCCATTTCGCATGAACCATCGACAGTATATAGACACCTTTTGGGTATGTTGCCGTTTTGATGAAGTCCATCGACCAAGATACACCCCGTATAATGAACGAATAGGGGCTCAAGGTGAGTCCACATCCGGATACTCCCGAACTGTCTGGTTTGCTTGGTCCGGATACATGAATAACGTAAATATGAGTCTGTGGGCTGTTTACGGCCGATTTTATGTGACTCATAGACCGTGGTCACCATATCGAGCACGCCGGGTGCATTGTCCTGGACAAACCCGAAGAACGGCGCACGTCGGTTTAGGGAAAATTCGTTCTTGATCCTTCCGCCACGTCGGTGTATCGTACTAGACAGACACATGGTGTATACAGCTGCAGTCAAATTGTCGACAATTGAATGTTCCTTGAACATGTCAATGCGTCTGAGGAGCGATTGCTTGGAAATATGGGACTTAACAGCAACCTTGAAATTGGAATCAAAGAAATTAGACATTGGATTTGTCGCCAGTTTACTAGCCATCATCTTCAAAGCCGCCTCTGAGACAGCGAGATATGTGATCAATCGGACGGGTTGCCATTCGGGTCCAATGTGCATGAGGACTACAACTCGTGCATAGAATATTTCTTGATCATCAGAATATCCGCGGTCATTGCCGGTCCAGTGAGTTTCCAGTTCTTGAAGAGTACTGGCATCCATCCGCCACGCATCCTGCATATACTGTAGAATAACCTGGATGGCCTTGTATGAACTTTCAACTGTGGGGAACGAAAGTAAAAAGCTCTCAACATTATCCACGGCGATATGTAGCGCAAGAAACTTTGACTCAATGATAGACGCGTCACGAACTACTCCCTGAGGATGAATCAGATTCAAAAATTCAGGAACCGTGTCATCAGTGGTAGCTTGCTCGTAGAAAGCATTTGAATCCTGAGATGGCCGTTCCCTTTCTGCTTCATCCACCCATGCAGATACTGACCTTTCGATCGTAGAGTAGATATCCGGTATGGGGACCGTACCAGCGATATCATCAGAGGCTAGTATATTCAGTTCATTAAAGATGGATCGCCGGTAAACGTCGCGAGCCCAGTCAAAAATGTAATCAACAATCAAAAGAAGCTGAATCGCTCCGTCAAGATCGCAAATATTTCCACTCCACAAGTCAACGGTAGACTATTATCTTGGTCGTTAGGGAACAGGTGAGTTTGGGTAGCTCAATATGAAATACTTACCCAATGTGCGCTCCCATTGACGTTTTCCACGAAACAGCCAGCAACTATCCAACGCTCGCCATACCAGTGAAAGAACCATAAAAGCGGCCCCGTTTTCCATTGAGTTTCTTCACCCGCTGCTTCTTTGAGATTTTGCTGCAGCCTCAGGAGCCGTCTTATGCAGAAGGCACTCTGTAACTCGACAGCGGCCGTATCACCCTGTTTAGTGGATTTGGCCTCCATGATTAGGAAAGGAAATAGAAGAGGCTCCCGCTCGTTAAAGAACGGACTGATCTCTATGGTGTCTCGTAGGCGCTTGGAAGGGTCTGTTTTGGCGGCAGAGTTTAGAATGAAGTTGAAGTCCCCGGCTTGTTTCAGTCCATACACCCTGTCTGGCTCTTCTTTAGACTGCTTATTCCTATTTGACTTCTTGATAGGCAACGGGGGAACATGCTTGATTGCTGCTTCGGATCTGTCTGAGAAGATCATGTTGATGCCAGGCTCGTAGCTGGTTCAGTCCTGATGTCAGTCTTAAAGGTGGCTTAGGTATAGCTCGCTCAATATATCTTACCTATTACTTCCCAGCTGTTCAGGGCATTCACAAGCTCTCCTCTTCAAACGACGCTCTTCCAATGATTCTGCGAATGGCTCCAAGTTGTCTACGGCAGCATTGAATTCAGATTCCCACAATCTTGACCTACATTCGGGGCTATATGCATGTTAATGAAAAACGGAAAAGAAGAAAAAAAAGACAAAGAAAGAATAAGTGTTGCAGACTTACCAGGTAACTTCAACACTAAATCGCTGAAATACCTCAGGTTCAATATTATTCCTCCAACCCCGCTCCCTATGGCCTTCCCCGCGATACTTCTTCGCGAGCGCCGCAAGTCTTTTCGCTCGCCATTGTGTTCGTGCTCTCCATGGCTTGTCAATCGAGTCGACGGTGATACTCTCGACATAAGAGTCGAATTTCTGGTCACCAAGTTTCTGTACGTCTGCAAACAGTCTGCGGTGAGTTTCTGGCCAGCGACAAGGCTGCACTGGTCCGAGGAAGTGAATATTGTATTGCTCTGTGAGCTCACGACGAGTGAGGTATTCCGAGGGCTGCATGGTACTTCCACTATACTTGTGTATTGTATACCTTTACGTAGTACGAAAGACCTCGGAAGAAAGAAAAGGAGAGCACGCACGTGCATACATGGTTGATTCGTAATTTTCAATCTGAATAGTGTGAGAAGCTTGTACTTAATGTCTTGTGACCTACAGTGGCAAGGCTACTGCACGCTGTACAGGGATAACGGCAAGGCGCACTACGCTAAATTAATAGCATCGAGAGTTATTGTAGCAACCTTCATCGTCAGTTAAAATGAGACCCTGGAATATAAATTATTAGAGAGGGGATTGCAGCAATAACCATCGCATAAATAAACGTCGGACGCGCATTCTAGTAACCATTTCTCCAAGTACTCTAGTTCCATATTTCCCAGTCCACTACTGTTGCCAAACCTGCTCGACGAATTCTACAATATCGTCTGCAAGCTCTTGCGGGCATTCAAGTGCTGCAAAATGACCTCCCTGGATTAAGATTTATGAGTATGAAGACTTGGTTTGTGTGATATGAGAGTCTCACCTTCGTATGTTCTTTCCAGAAAACCAAGTTGCCTGTACGTTCTACCCATGACCGAGGGGCAGGTATAACTTCCTGCGGGAAATAAGAGAAGCCAAAGGGTTTGTGAATGTACTGATCAGGCTGCTGTGCAGGTGGCACAGGTGGAGGAGGGTAAGTCTGTTACCAATGTCAGTAAACATTTCATGCTCATGAGGACAAATTGCTCATACTTCGCGATAGGTGTAGATGGATCTTGGAAACGTATCTGTCAACCAATATAGAGTGACTTCCTGCAGTATCGTCCGAAGTGGGACGGGATTTCGCTTGTCAGGCCAGTCACGAAATCTCTCCCCGATCCTGGTATTATTAGTACAACCCTATATTGACCGTTGTCTGCACAGGTTCTTACCATATGAGGAGAGCGACCGGATTTGTGGACAAGATATGACTGATTGTACTCGGTCGAGTCGCATGATCAAAGTAATAAGCAGTACCATAGGTACCGAACCACTGTGCTCTCTTGAGGCCTTCTTGTTCGACAGCTGATAGATCCTCTGTTGCATCTTTCGGCGGGTTAAGTTTTCCCGCAAAATTCACTGCGATAAGTTTTAGCTGGGGACAAATCTCCCACTCCCGACAGGTACATACAGTGAACAGCTGTTTGATTGATTGTCAGTCATTTTGGATTTGTTCGGGGATCGTCCTGGTATACTCACCTTTGCAAGAGTCGTATTTTGCACCTAGGATACGACCAATTTTAGACCCTACGTCGCCGCCTTGAACGACATATCCGTTCCCAAATCCGAGATTGACCATCAGCTGATTCAAGATCCTGGCGGCATCAGGCGAGGTAAAGTCTCGGTCGGCAGGTAGATCTGATGAGAATGTATAGCCTGGGAGAGAAGGCACAATCAGGTGATACGGCAACGTAGTGGGTTCATACTTCTCGCGGAAGAGCGAGAGTAGTGGTAAGAATTCCAAGAAGCTTCCTACATGAAACCATTAATATCGGTACTTTGCTATGCTTTCGGCCCAGTCAACACCCACCGGGCCATCCATGCAGAAAAGCAATTGGCTTTGCATCTTCCTTCTCAGAGAACAATGCCACAAAATGCATTCTGAGCCCTTCAATCTCATAGGTGAATTGCGGAAACTCATTGAACTCGTTCTCGGATTCTCTCCTGTCGTGCAAGTCATCCAATCAACTGCAGTCCAAGAGTAACCCTTGATAACTAACGTGCAAAACTTACCAGTCGAATTTCTTCCATTCCTCCTTGGCATTTGCTAGCCAACTACTCGGAACCCCAAGTCTACCATCCTCCTGGGAGCCCTCGTATGTTGGTGGAGCAGTCTTGGCCAATCTGATGAGAGTCTGTAACTCTTCGAGCTGCTCGTCAGGGATAGATACTTTGAAGGGCTTTGGTTGGACCTTGGCCCCTGCTGGGACTGTAGCGAATTTGAGAGACATTGTTATGGGATTGAATTGAGGATGGATGGATTAGCAGATTTTCAGGAATTGCACTGAATATGGTGGTCTATTGGTGCCTAAGAAGAGAACAAAGGAGCAGCGGTGACGGATGCTCATTGTTTTTCAAGTACGAATCGAGAATAGCGGTATTGTTGGTATGTTGTTTTACGGTATTGATACGATATGTATTATATTCTCCTGGTTATCAGAGTCGAAATAGTAATAGATGGAGTACTATCTGTTATTAGAGATGCGTTGAGCACTATAAGCTTTTACTTAAAATAGAGCGAAGCGCACCTGGTCATACGACTAACTCCTAGTGCTTATGAAATATGTACATACTTCCTGAATAGGGATGCCGGTGATAAGTATGAATAGGTGATTCAAGGTTGGAGGTTAGCCATGATTGACCGTGAGTCCGAACCTAGTAATTTCTGCGACTGTTTTACATTAATGCTAGTCTTTTAACGCCAGACAACCGCCTCAGGATGGGTCACTCTAACAGCGGCGAGTCATTAGTTCGATACCGTTGCGAATACACGATTAATCACAGCATACTCAACATAAAAGGGGGGAATGAACTTCTCCACCATATGATCCCATGACGTTCTCCAGGGTAAACTATGAAGCTCACGGTAGAACTCCCAGTACTCCGGGTAAAATCCAGCTAGACCCCAGTCCAGTAAGACGATGGTGCCGTCAGTCCGAACAAGTATGTTTCCTGGATGTAGGTCCCCGTGTATAAACACGATCTTGTGGCTTCTCAGACCTCGGATTGTTTGGTACAGCATGTACTCGCTGTTGAGAAAAATTCGATTCAATGTCATTTTCACCTTCGAGCACTTTCGGGGTTAGTTGATCTCGCAAAGCTGTGAAGGAGCCCCTCGTTGAAGCTTTCCTCGGATGTGTACGGACGTAGCTGTACTTGGTGTAGTCGCCGTAGCCGGCCTCGAAGATGCCGTCTCGACAAGGTGATTTGTCCAATGCGACGAATAGAATCGCCTGGAATCTCCCCCATCTGATTCACATAGTCCTGTAACTTCTCGAGAACGCGATTCTGCTCACTTTTCGAAGAACGGTCCCAGTACTGATTGAGTGGCTCTCCCACCTCATATGAGATCACAATTTATCCAACACCATCAAGGATATATGCGCTGAGAAGCTTCGGTACAGGTATGGTCGTGCGAGTAGATGCCAGATGCATCGCTTCAGCTTCGCCTAAACCAACCCCATGGCCTAATTTCACAATCATATCTAAATCTGCTAAAACAATATGTGCAACCATCTTGTCAGGACAAAGAGTATCTGCACTCTGCAGGTCGTTGGGGTCGAGTATGATAGATGGAGGTTCAATGGTTTCCGAATAAATCAAGCGAAGTTTTGGTTTCTCAGCTTCCAAGCATTCGGAGTCGACGATATCCATAGTGGAAATCATTTTCTCCGTGTTAGCATTCGTTGCTGCACGGATTTTTGGCGTATCGAGATTAGTACTTTCCTCTGTATGCTTCGTAACAAGATATACTATGTATTCATCTCGAGGATTGATGCTAGAGGCCGTTCCAAGAATATTGGGATAGTGGCACCGAATGAGTGTCACTAGTTTATTAAGGGCTGTGCAAAGAGTTTTCTAAGAGCGATACCGTTCTCTTTGATTATTTTGAACAGTATGTGCATTGAATTTAACCACACAGGAAGTCGTCTGATCGGATCCGGCCGCCGCCTCTAGTAGGAGTGTAGATAGATTTGCCATTACAGCAAGACCTAGCCTCACCAGCCCGTTAGATGTCGTCAGATCTCCTGGTATCGCCGAGTATCCCTTAATAGCCATTTCGTAATGCTAAACCACAGCGAATATTGAGCATCATGCAGATATATATGGCAGAGGTTCAAGTCTGAATGGATGGACACTGCTTTAGCGACGAGAGTGCTCGTGTCAGAGTAGCGTCGCCAATCCAGAGTTCTCGCAAGGAGGCACTTGCCCTGGACAGCTGAAGTGGAGGGTTTGGAGAATCGCCTTTGAGAAACTATATTGACAATTTAGAGACAACCTCGGTGAGTGCCGGTGGTATGGGTACTTCCAGTAAGATGGATGAGAGGGATTATAATAAATGAATGCCTTGTTGAAACATCGCCTCTCTTGAAGGAAATAACTGTAACGCTCTTGTACTGTACTGTACGCACGGTATTGTACGGTAACTAAACAAAAAACGTCATCGCGCCAATCACACTGGACACTGATAAGATAAGCTAAGGGAAAAAAATCTCCAAGGCATCAAATTTTGATAACCAACTGATTCATTATGATTCCACATCGCCAAGTCACCAACTGATATTCCACTGAATACCATCCTGAACAGTGCTTGATTTGATATTGTCGTGCCTACAACTCCGCATTCTAACCTGCATTCACACTCGGTACACACGATTGGCTTGATAGAGGGGTACGAACAACACAACCTCAAGTCCCTCGAAAACCTCCCCTCTATTATTCGTTCAAAACCAAACCGAAGAAAGACAGCCACACTGTTGCCCACATTCCGTCTTTTCTTCCGCCGTGCCCGGCGCACTGTATCCACAATGACTGAACAACGACAAACCCGAATCCTCCCCGTCCAACGCCTCAACAAGCCCCTCGAACCTAATAGATCAATTGCAGAATGGTGGGAAGAAGAAAAGAGCAAGAATACGCCCGAAGCGGCTGCCGTTCTCGAAGCAGCAGAAACTCTACGCACAAGCGATATCCCCGTCGGATTCCCCACGGAGACTGTATATGGTCTCGGCGCAGATGCGACGAGGAGTGGCTCAGTGCAAGGGATATACAAAGCCAAACAAAGACCGTCCGATAACCCATTAATTGTTCATGTAGATTCGATTGAGATGGTGAATCGATTACTAAATCCTAATGGAGGATCGCCAACTACGAAAATACCCGCAATATATGAACCTCTTATATCCCGATTTTGGCCAGGGGCACTTACGATCCTCCTCCCGAATCCGAAGGGTTCTCTGCTGGCGAAAGAAGTTACGGCAAATTTACCTACTTTTGGCGTGCGAATGCCTTCGTCTGCATTTGCGCGTCTCTTGATTCACGTCACCGATAGGCCACTCGCAGCCCCCTCTGCCAATGCATCCACAAAACCGTCCCCAACAACAGCAGAACATGTCTACCACGATTTACAAAGTAGAATTGACCTGATCTTAGACGGCGGACCCTGCGGTGTCGGTGTTGAGAGTACCGTAGTCGACGGCCTCACCAACCCACCCGCCGTCCTGCGGCCAGGCGGTATCGGAATCGAGGAGATAAGGACCTGTCCCGGTTGGGAGAATGTGCAGGTCGGATATAATGATAGTGCCTTGCAGGGCAAGGAAGCTCCCAGATCGCCGGGGATGAAGTATAGACATTATTCGCCCAAAGCGCGTGTTGTTTTGTTTGAGGCTGGATCGGATTTGGCTTCTGTCGCGGATCGTGTGAAGAAGGATTTGATTGGAGGCGGTGGCAGCAGCAATGGGAATGCGAATGGGTTTTCTGGACGGAAGATTGGGATTGTCAGGACGAAGACATGGCCTATTGCTCTTAGCCTCTCAGACGCTGAGACTAAACAAACGACCCAAGCTTCAAACGACGGCGACACCCTCTCCATCCACCAAATTTCAGTACCTTTAGGAGATAGTTCTACTACAGTCTACGACGTACACCTAGGTGCCAGCGCGGAGTCCATTGCTCGTGGTCTATTTGCTACATTGCGAAGTCTGGATGCTGAGAATGTGGATGCAATATATATCGAGGGTATTCGTGACGACGAGGGCGACCTTGCGGCGGCGGTGATGAACAGGCTGCGAAAGGCGGCGGAAGTGTTTGTTGTTGTATAGAGTTTAAAGGGAGGACACATAGACTTCGTGGCATATACAGGAGTTCTGAAGCGTATATACATAATCTATCTAATAACTAAACGATCCGCTCAATCCCCTATCCAGAGATCTATCAGCTTATTAAAATACCTAGAGCATGTCAGTACAGCACTACCTCAAGCAACAAGGAAGAGAACTTACTGCACCACCAATAATGAATAGCCTCTCTTCTTCTTGGTGTACCCATTGACGGATCTTATTTGCGCTTTGCGAGAGAGCGGTGCGAGTCGCATCCGGCCCAGCTATGCAATAGAACTCGAAGGTGGGAGTTACCCACGCAAATGCGCTTGCGGATCTGCTGGTGCCATAGTGTATTTTGACGTGTGTGTTCCGCGCATGCACGCTTTCGTGGAGCGAGTTGTAGGTTGATATCAGTCTAGGATTAGGTCATGTAAATAGCTGATAAGTTAATGTTATCAGGAAAAGGTTCGTACCTTCGATGCCGAGTCAGAGACGTAAAATCTGGTGCGTACGAAGACATGACGAATTGTACGTGCGCCTTTGATTTGTATAAGAAATGTCGGAGGACTGTATCTGGGACGAGGTCGGTTGGCAAAGGTCTACCCTTCTTGATTGATTCTTTTATTATCCTTATACTTCCACTTTTGCGCATTTGCTATGATGACAAGAATGTTAGCATAGTGACTTAAAGCATATAACGAAGCGATTAATCTATACCTCAACTAGTTTATTGCGCATCTCTTGAAGCTGGAAAAAACTCTCCTTGTCCGCGCTTATGAGAACAATGGCCGCAGATTCATCCTTTGGTGTGTCATCGTCCGTGACCACGCCTCCCGAGTCGTCATTCAGATCTAAGAAACTGACATACATGTACAGATAACCCGAACTATTAAACCCGGGTAGACAGACAGGTATCCAGCTCTCGCCGCCACCGGCTTTTACACCGTCTGCTTCAAAGATCATATTGAAAAGAAGCTGCAAGTCACCTGGATGAAGAGAATGTTTCTTTGGTCGGACTACACTGACCAGTCTGCCGCCAGCGGCCACCAGTCCGTAAAGGAGTTTCTCCGCTCTGTTTTTGAGTAAGAGATTATTGATAACTTGCCGGTGCGACTTGCGTAATTTCAAGCATTCCAATGCCGATAAAAGAGCCGTAGGAGAACCCTTTGTGAAAGAATCAGCAAGCGAAGAAAGTAATGTTTCGGTACCTTGTAAAGGTCTCTTCAGATCTGTAGATGGTCGAATTGAAAATAGATGATTTAAGGCTGGGAGTGTTAAGGTCGATAGTATCTGCATATACAGCGCATCCAGTTGAAGTCTCAGATGACTCTCGCTTTCCAATAAACGACTGATAGCAACCAAATACAGCGGAGTCTTTGATAGGATGACAATCTTCGTATCTCCTGCCATGAAACTCCGCAAGGTGTCGTCTGCGTCTTGGTAGAATGAGATAATCGTTTGTATGATACCGATATAGCCAGACACTAAACCACTGTCACCGTGTCGAGTATATATCGGCTTTCCAGCAGCTGATAGGATCAAATAATGCTTTCGCTTCGCTTTCCATTTTTGGAGAAGTGATTCTGTGCCAATTCCTTAGCAATGTTCCAGAAATCTTGGCTCGGCACTCAACTGCCTACCTTCATTTTCGCCATCCTCGTCTAGTTGCCCAATTGGCTCAAATTCTTCTACAAATTCAAGTTCAGTACCGTCCTGGGGATATTCGTCAAGGCTTAGAATTTCCACGTCCTCATGATCCTGCGCATTATTTTCATTCGCGAACTCCCCAAATAGACTTTCCTCCTGACCTTCCTCGGAGTTCGGTACATAGCTCACTACACTGGCAGTGTCGCCAGCCTCACTGGCGCGAGCACTATTTAGTTGACTTAGACTAGCCTTTGCTCGTAGCCCTCTCCCTAATAAAGTACGTCCAAAACCGGTAACAAAATTCTCTTTTCCATCTGGATTTGTTTGACCGGTAATATCTGTTAAAGACAGGGCTGTTGTCGCATGGGACTGCAAGTTCGATCTGGTGGGCGTCGTACGGAATGCGTTCCCTTCACTTAAGAGATCAATGGTCCCGGGACGCGGTGGTAACGGCGGCCGTACTTCTTCTGCGTCATTCGTATGACTGTTGGAGTTTTCCGGGGTTTGTTGAACGTGTTTGATCTGGTTTAGAGAGTCCGTTTCATGTTGTCCCTCCGGTGTAGTTGAGGGTCCGCCGTTCGCTTCCATTTTCTTTCATGTTGCAGGAGCTGAAGACAGCTGTCCTAAGGCATCTTCATTCAATAATTTGAGAAATTTCCATCCGCGATGTTGAAATAAAGAAGCGACGACAATTTAAAAGAGAGAAGAGGGGTGACGTAGCGGGCTGATAGCACGGAAAGGAGCTCGGGTCGCGACTGCGGAGTACGTTCCTTCCTTAGCCCGGTGCATTCGTGGCTTGATCCAAAACATTTCTCACGGACACAACTCACTGTCAACCACGACATCGTCCTCTATTGCGACTCCGCGATCTTGATGCCTCAATTATGAACCGTTCAAGAATTAACACAAACAGTCCGTGACTCCTGCCATTGGCATCATGAGCCTCGATCCAGGCGGATTCCCTAGAACCGATTCCCCCGCAAGCTCCGATAGCTCCCTCACCCGCTTTAGGCTCCGTACAAGTGACGACGGTTTGTGCTTTTTCAGCTGCAAAAAGTGATTTGAGAAACTAATAAACCCGAAGAGCATCTGAAAAAGGATAAAAACTACCGCCGATATGCATCGACTGTCGAGCGAGCGTTGTCTTTGTTCGATACCACCTTACAAGAATGGGCCGATTACATCTCATTTCTAAGCCGCCTCCTGAAGGTCCGCATACAGTTGAATATTACTTGGGCATCCTCTAACAGCATCAACTAGGCGCTTCAATCACATCCTCCAGATTTACCGGTCGTGCCGCATAAGACTACTGTGGCTAAGCGGTTGGCGCAATGCTTGAATCCGTCGCTGCCTTCTGGTGTGCACCAGAAGGCTTTGGAGGTTTATACATATATTTTCGGCTTGCTAAAGGTAATGATGAGTGATAATATTATCCGCGAGAATTATACATAGTATTGACAGCATACCTGCAGCCTGAAGGTCTTTCGGTAGATCTACCCCTATACTTCCCCGGTGTCGCACCGACTCTTACATTCGCCTCTCTCTCTGTCCGGCCACTATTCATATCCCTGCTAGAAACGTACCTTCCAGAACTGGAGCCAATGACAATACGACCCGCACTAAAGGCTATAATTCTAGCGTTGCTACCAGGCTTAGAGGAGGAGACAAGCGATGATTTTGAACCGACTATTCGTACGCTCAATAAAATACGCAATGTAGCCAGTCAGATGGACACGCGGAGATCCAGCTTAAGTTCGAATGCTGGAGGGCAGTATTTCTGGCAATGTATGTTTCTCGCTTCAATTACGAACCCTAGCAGGCGGCTCGGCGTCTTAGCCTACCTTAATCGTCATCTTCCCAAGCTAGGACTCGAGAAATCTTCTACTTCGGAGAAAGGAGATGATCAATTGGAAGGAGGAGACGCGGCAGCTATTATTGAGTCTGTTATTTCTCCAGAGCCCGGGCTGCTTATCAGATGCTTCGCCAGCGGCCTGACTGACGATCAGTTGCTCGTCCAGCGAAACTTCCTCGACTTGCTAGTGACGCATTTGCCGCTACATTCTGCGGTCCTCCAATCGAAAATCAGGCGCGACGACTTGGAAAAGTTGATCCTTGCCGCAGCGGGAGTCGTGCTCAGGCGAGATATGAGTCTAAACAGAAGACTCTGGGCCTGGTTTCTTGGCCCAGACCCAAGCCAATCTCTCATTGCATCTCCCAACTCCACTTCCGAAAAGGAGCAGGATAACTCCACAGAGAGGGAACAGTCACAGTCTCGGTATTTCAGCAGAAACGGATTGGACTCTTTAGTTCGTGGACTTCTCAAGATGATCAATCAAGATACTTTACAACCTTCTCAGAGAAGCAGGCCTTTGCGCATCGCCCTATCCCTCATGGATCGCTGGGAAGTGGGTGGCTTTGTTGTTCCTGCTGTCTTCCTTCCTATTATGCGAAGCGTGCAGTCCTTTGAAGGAACAGCCGACAAATCGCACTTTGGGGAGCTATTTCGGAGTGCAAGCGCATTCTTCGACGGGGTCGAAAGTAGTCTTATCTTCTCAGAATTGCTATACCTCGTTCACGGAGACACGAGGGGGCAGTATGGAAACTTTGAGAAGAGAGAGAATGACCTTTTGCTAGCTCATTTTATCCTTGCCAATTTCAATATTCGGGAAGAAGAGATGTTACTTCTTCACATTCCTCTGTTGACATTGGCAATATTGATCGAAGTAAATGATATTATCTTGATGAATCGACCGGGTTTCCCATCAGAACAGACCAACATATACACTCAACATCTTTTCAAACTACTCAACTTGGTGCTGAACCTCTTGCCTGAGCGAGCATTCCTTGTGAAGGTAGTCTCCGAAAACCTAACAAGCGATCCACGTGAACTCGATAACAAGGATCTTATGAAGAGCATCCAGCAATTCTATGACCGCAGTAAGGAAAGTCTCGAGTTACCACCTTTACCATTTACTCCACAAGTCCTATCGGAGTTGATATTACGTATGGCATACCGATTGTCCATGTCGGCTTTAGAGGACCACGATTGCAGTCTTTCGGTAAAAGAAACATCGGGCCTTCTGACGGGTCTCCTAAAGAAGGCACCTAAATCGCGAATATTAGGGGACGGCCATCTAATACAGGCTTTTCACAAAGCTTTGGAGTTTGATGCAGCGCAACTCACAACACAGAGATTCGCTGTCATTTCTTCAATTACTTCAATAGCTACTTCCTTGTACTGTATTCATGGCGCTGGTTTTTATATAACCTATCAACAACTCTGTGGATTATTGCCGGCCTTAATGGACCATCTCTGGGCTTTCTTGTCTCCTGAAAGCCCTAAGTTCCATGTTGAAGCTGTTCGTTGCATTGGTTTGCTACATTCCATCACATGGCAAGATCATGCTGTGGAGGCTTCCATTACCTCTCTGATGGTCGGAGTCGATTCTCCGAAGAGTAGTGAAATGTCTAATATTCAGCATGTTGAAAGATTTTGCGTTCTATGGAGCCATAGCCTGCAGTGGGGTCAGGAGTCACAAGGTCGCTCTCCGGAAGGTAATGGAGCGAATGGAAAGCCTTTGGCAGATCGTTCTGCGTCTCATGTTTCCTTACTTAAAAGGCCTCTATTCATAGTTTTGGATTTACTATCTCAAAATTCTGAGGAGGTCTATCAAGTTGTTCGTGACTGGGTTCACGATATGCCATCAATCCAGCGGTAAGTGCCGTGGAATTTTCTGTTTTGATTTCGTCTTCCATATTGATTTTTCATTAGAGTCCTACATATCATTGTGATAAGACTCGAAGAACTTGTGAACATTGATGATCATGAAGACAAGCGCCAAGGCTTGATTGATTCCGACGACCGTCGAGAATGTCAATATCTGCTCCAGACGCTCTCTAATCTCATGTCATGCCTCTCCCAAAACGGTTGGATCACCCTAGTTTCTCATCCTGTCTCCCAGGTGGAGCAGCCTCATGAGTCAGAGACACCGGAAAGTAAGTAAGCCAGGAGACTCCATTGAATATTTGCTAAATCATGTAGATCCAAATGAACACAAAACTTTCCAGATAGCAATTGCCGAAACCTCACTTGCTTTGGTCGGATCGCCGTTGGAATCCGACTCCAAACTTTCTGCTGAGGAGCAGACTCTGCAACGCACAGCACTCTCGGTCCTTCGGCAATTATTGGTCGGCCTTGGTGCTGAACAGCTTATTGATACAAACATACATTTAATCCTTATCGAGAAACTGTCCATTGCACTGGATCAAAATAGTCATCTTCTCCAAACGACGACCATTGAAACGCTTCTCGTCGCGCTCAAAGCCAAATTTGCTCATGTTCTGCAACCCCCTCCACAAAAGCACAGAAGGACAGGGTCAAAGGGCTCCATAAGGAGTGCTTCACTTCTCTCCTTAAGTGCATCACTAAGTACAGATCGAGTCGATAAGTTACATCAGCCGCCTCCTGTACCACAACCACCTGAGCAGTTGCTGAATTGTCTGTTGAAGGGTATCAGCTCCCAAAACTCGCACAGTTGTCTCGAAAAGTGGATATTGCTCTTGAGTGAAAGTCTACCTTTATATGGCGAGTCCATTTTTCAAATTCTGTTGATGCTTGTGGAGTGCTTTTGTCGAGAGATACGAAAGTCGTTCTCCAATCTTCAAGTGACATTTGAAAAGACAGAAGACTGGGCAAAAGACCGATCGGAACATGTGACAATCGTCTTGTTAACTGGTCTAGAAACATGCATAGCAGCAGCCCATGAGCGTCTACATGCAGAAGAAGTGACTGTAACGAGCGCTCGAAGTCCTGACCATTCACAGACTTTCTTTGGAAACATGGTGTCTAATTTTGTGTCGGACGGAGGCCCGGCGAGAAATGTGGCTAATGACAGGCTGACAGTATTGCTATGCTTTCAAGACGCCGTCCGACTTTGTTTTTCTATTTGGTCTTGGAGAGCGAACAGCAAAGGCAAGATGTCTCTTGACACGGAATCAGTTGCTTCGTTCCAATATACGTCTTTGCGAATGAGAAATCGGTCACGGGCCTTGTTGGAACATTTGTTTACTGCGGAAGCACTTGAATCTCTCGAAACGCTGGTCGAGTTATGGAGTAATTTGGACCCATCAGAGACTAGTAAAGCGTCTCACATATTTAGCCTTCTGCACACACTTGATCGAGCTCGTCCAAAGGTCATCATTCCGGCAATTTTCAACTCCATATATAGCCGAACGAACCCAGCTGCATTGGATCCTAGCCGCAAATCAGCGTTGGCCTCCACTATCTCCGATTCTGAACTTGCAGCATTTTTAGTCACCTATGCTCGGTCACTTGACGATGATGTTTTGGATGAGATTTGGGGAGATTGCACGACATTCTTGCGTGACGTTTTGGCCAATCCATTTCCGCACCGACAAATACTATCTCGACTTGTCGAATTTGCTGGCATACTTGGCGCGAAGATGGAAAATACCAGCTTTGGGGACGACCGCCGTATGAGGAAAGAACTAGGGGTATGTATAGACGCGCTACATTTGTTGGTGAAAGTGGTGAATTAACTATTTATAGGACCTGTTACTGCGCCTTTTAGCTGCCATCTTTACTAGTAAACCCATGGGATTGTCCCAAGACTCTGGAATCTCCGCACGACCGTCTGCGGATGCTGATGGGTCACCGACGCCACATGCAAGCCCGGACAATCTGGTCAGTATTTTGATCTCATCATTACCGGCCTTCTTGACTGCTCTTGGAGAAACAGACCGGATCACGAATGCAATATCCAGCATCTCTGCCAATGTCATTTCACCAACGCTGCGCTCACGCCTGTTCCCAAACAATGTGAATCAAGGTGTACTCGATTTGCTACAGCAACTTTCTCGGATATCTGCAAGCTCCAAAGTATGGAAGAAGGATATTGTCGATGCATTCAATGATCCTAGATTTTTTGGGTCCCGTGTCGATCTCGTCAAGACTGGCTGGATGGGTTTATTACGTCAATGGATCCTTGTAGACAAGGAGCGCTTCCCTGAGCTACTGTCACGATTGACACCTCCCACCACAGCCGGAATTATGTTCGGGGTTGGAGCTACGGCTGCAAGATTAGAAGCTGATCGCAAGACTCAGCTGAATTTGCGTAGAATTACACTTCTGATTCTTGCCAATGGCGAGGATTACTTCATTATCGACTATCCCACTTTGTTGCAAAAACTGGAAGACCTTCTTCAAGCTACGCATATCTCGTCACCATCCTCAGTCACAAGGGCAGAGTTATTCATGGTTCTTCGAGCTCTTGTACTCCGAACCTCAACCACCCACATGGCTTCATTTTGGCCTTTGATCAACACTGAGCTACAGGAAGCCATTTCTGCTGTACCCCGGCACCAACAATCCGAACTCTACGGACCTTATTCTCTTCTTCAAGCCTCCAAACTTTTGGACACACTACTCTTGCTGGTTCCCGATGATTTCCAGTTACAAGAATGGCTCTTTGTAACCGACACAATCGATGCGATTTATCCTCCTGGTCGATGGGAGCCTATAGCCCTCGCAGACGAGATAGCTCGAACCTTGGGTCCAGGAGATGAAGTGTCGCCTGTACCTGGCGAGCTCAGTGAGAAGCAGAGACTCAACAAGCCATGTTTGAATTCTGATCGTATTCGTGAGACACCAAAGGATGAAATTGTGGATCGGATATTGAAGCCATTCTTTGAGAGGATCAGTATTCAGGCGTTTGAGAGTACCTATAGTATGGGCAGTCCTGATCGTGATGCATGTGTGGATGATCTTTTGGCAGATATTTTCAATGAGAGCACCATGGCAAATTAGATATCTGACATGACATCCGACATGTTCTCTAGTCAAGTCATTTTCCTTTCATGTCATATATGTTGATTCACAGATCTTATTGCGATACCCTACGGGTTTGTTTATCCTTTAAGGTTACTTCAAGCATAGGCAAGTTATGCAAACCACTAACCACTACTGTACCTAAACCCTAGTAGATCTGGATCCTGATAGATATTGACAACAGCAAGTGGCTCAATATTCTCTTGAGCGTCTAAGCTGAAATATCAAGTATAAAATATCATTTACTATACGAATTGTGTCATTAGCCCTATGTTCTCATCCGGGCATGCAGGAGGTGGTCCAACTTCCGCTCACATCGGTGGGTGACATGTACTTCTAAGCACTAACCTAACTTAAATAGTAGCTACACATGAATAAAAAGTGAGAGTATATATGCCATGTCCATACAGACAGTCATTCAGATTGCAGATTTGCCCTTCTTCCGCAAGACCTTCGACCACGGTATGCATATATTACGGTTTGATAGTTGACGTCCCGAGAGTCCCTCGTACTGGACCGGGCATTGCATTGCATCTTATATTTCAACACATATTGACACGGTGCTGCTCAGCGAATACTAGACTCGCGGGAAATTTCATCATCTATGGATCCTTCCTTCAGCCTAGAGAGATATTTATTAAATTGCCCAGCAATATTGAGCACATGCTTCAGATCTGCATGTGACATCTTTTTGTTCTTGAACTTAGCCAGCTGTCGACTGGTCGTTATGGCATTACGGATCTTGCACCCGTTCATCTGCTGCTCGGTGAGCTCACTAATATAGCATTTGATATCATCGGAATCGATGTTTGGGGTGCTCGATTTTCTTCGATCGGTTGATAAAATTCCGCCAAATCTTAAATCGCTGTAATCAGAGACACTTGGATGCGGGATTTGAAAGCTTTGTCGAATGTGCCTACGCGGTTGGAGGTCAAAATCAGGATGTCGTCGTAGTATTCAAGCACGCGCAGGAAGACAGTCACTAATGCGTTTCATTGCAGGTCAGACAGAGTACGTTCTTGAAGGAACACATCCGCCTCGTCCAGGAGTACAACACAATCCCAGATTTTCCCTAGGTGAAGAGCAGACTCCAGATATTGCTCAACATCCTCAGGTTTTGCCCTAATGTCGCTACAGGCTACCCGGTAAAGAGGTTTCTCAGCCAGCTCCGCCACGCTTTCAGCAGTAAAGGTCTTTCCAGTACCAAGAGCCCCGTGTAAGAGAATCGTTAGCCCGTTGCCCTTATCATCAACCATATCTGTTCCCCGTTCGGCTACGAGTCGATTAGTTATCAAGGCCTGAACGAGCTTTTTAGTCTCTTCAGCAATCACCAAGTTATCAAAGGAGTCTTTGTTCCATTCAACTTCCTTGATGAGGTCGACCTCGAGATCCACTATCACTAAGAGTTAGGACGAGTATATCATTGGTTGACTCGACTTTCTTACCCCATTTCTTGCGACGAAGATTGAAACTCACAATACGGAGTGGGAAGAAGAATATCTCTGGCGCTATCGGGGGCTCATCAACATTCATCTGCTCCGGTGAGATCTCTTTGCGATTTATTACGGAGATTTGCTTCTCAAGGGGGTGGAGTTGTCTATACGTAGGAAAGTCGATCATGAATCTCTCGCTATTCTGTATTATCGGTTAAATGGCATTCATGAAACAATTTAAAAGGAGAAGCACTCACACTATTGAGGGAATCAATGTTATCTCGGCCACTGTACGAGATAAATTTCTTTTTGCGACATGCCCAGTACGTCTGGCCCCGAAGCTCAAGTATTCTTCGAATCTCAGGGTGACAAAATTGAGTGGAACGACTTGCAAAGTATTTAATTCAACCTCCTGCTTGGGATCTTTGACATCGAGTTTAAGCTCCAAGGAGATAGGTTTCTTGTAGAAAGACCCATCAAATTCGTAGGCCCAGGCCGAATCCTCCCAAATCTTGTCAAAAGTCGCCGTCTTTCTTGACGTTACGATTATTTTGTGAGGGCTTCACGTTAGCAAGAGACGTAGCCTGATAGGCTTGAAGTAGGCCCGGTCCTTGAGAGACACTAGGATTACCTGGTCTTACGAGGTACTTCATGGACTCAGAAGATATGACTCCCCTAGAAATCTGGTCTTCTGCGTCTGCATATTCCCTTTCAGAGTTAGTATGCACCCAATATGCAAATAATTTGACAAAGGCTGTATGGTGAGACGGCAACTCTTGCACCACAGACTCATATGATGGCCGAGTGCAGTACCAGAAAAGGTAAGGGGAGTGGATTTCCTTCTTAAGATCAAAGGAGGGAAACAGCTCTGAAAATTTGAGTGCCTGTCCAGGTAATTCTGAAGATTATGAGAAGTAAACAATACGGTTTCAGACTCGGATTCTGGAACGGGTGGAAGTTTTGTTATCTCACCCTTCAGTTCCGCAGAGTAATATACCGCTTCGTAGGCATATGTCTTATAGGCAACAAAAGCTAGATTACTGCTTTCTTGTAAGTAGTAATCGCTCTTCACTGAGAGAAAACTTCCTCTCAGAATGTACCGGTTTCCGTCGCTGGAAGAGACCCGTGTCCACATGGGCTCTTAAAGAAGACTTTGTCATCAGACTTGAATCGGTAAACGACCTGGCAGAACGGCCGCCTTGATGGATCTAGTCTGGATCGATCCAACTTTTTAGCAGTACGTTCTCCTGTTTTATGGTCTGGATACAGTATATGAGCTGTCGGTATTCCACGGACGAGCTAGATTGCTCAAAGACGTCCTTATTGATTGTAGGACCGCGGGCCGCTCTCAGCAGCTCTTTGAGCCTAGTCTTAGGATGAGCATCACAAAGAGCGACGTGTTCCTTCTCGAATCGGGGGTGTGCGGTCAGGCTTTGGTTTGGAGCTGTATTGGGGTCTGTCACTTCACTCATCTCCATTTCTGAACGAAGTGGGGATAATTGTGGCTCATCTTCGTGGTTCATGACGTCGAGATCCGGATGTAGACAATCGCTGTCAAAATTGAAACTCTGCGGTACCGTATTCAGCTTGAAGTTTGCTAGTAGTAATTGATTGTCGTCGTTGAGTGGCCCGAAGTTGAGTTACCCTGCGGCTAGAATTGGATCCTTTTGCTGTCCAAGAGAAGGTCGAGAGAGTTGATGAAGAACGACCGCTAGTCTTTTCTTGTCCCAATTGCTTTCAATGGTTCGATCCTCAGATATGGCCTCGTGCTTCCACCGCAAGAGTGCATCGTCGTTTATGTCGTCTAATTCGAGTCCTCGCCAGTCGCTGGACTCTGGGACTAAGTCACCAACTTCCGAAGAGTCGAGACTTTGGGCGTGATGAGCAGCTCCTTCTTTGTGCTTCAGTAATGTTGGATCGGCTTCACTTCCCTCCTCATAGGGTGGTTCCTCCTCTTCTCCCTCCTTCTCCTCGTAGTCGGGATCCAAGAACACTTCTTTCCTCTTCCCCAGACAACGATTGTATTTCTGCTTTAGTTTCCCCTTGCTCTAAATGCTTCCAATTATTCCCTATCCTCCCCAGAGCCCTCTCACAGAAGGTTGAATATGGCGGATATCCTCCATTGCTAGGCATTACCAGATCATTGGCAGCTGTTTCACCTCTGATAATTGACCCTGCAGTTGGTAATTCCTCCACCATGGGTAAATAATTGAACAATAGTTACTTAAATGACGACCTCGGGAGAGTAGGTGGTAATGGTTGATCTCGCGAATGGTCCACGGGCGGAGTGCGAGGGCGAGGCCCGACAAGACTGAGGGTAAGATTTTGCAGAGCCCTTGAATGACCGTAGGAAGACTGAGATATTCAGCAGTTGGAGTCTACAATACAAGCTCAAAGTTGCCAACGGAACACTCGATGATGCCCGTGAGAGTGCATAAATCCCGCAAACCTGAATACTTCAGCCTACTGAGCAAACTAACCGGGCCCGTGGAAATAAAAACCCGTGATGTTACAAACATGGTTAACGGAGACATAGGGGGAAATCAGATTGGAGTGACCAAGTTGTAGGAAAATACGGTAAGTGTTGGTTTAGCTACGTCCTGATAACACGAAGCACAGGATTACGCAGTAAGGCTATTCCAAAGAGCCCATGAGCCTGATAATATTGATGTTATTCGAATATTATGACTGCTCCCCAAAAAGGGAGGAGAAGGATAATTACATGCAGGTAAAGAGGAAATCCCCAGGGAACCGGAATAGCTAATATTCCGGTGTTGATACTCAACACCTGGGGATTCCCGTACACACAGTAAGTAAGTGTATTGCCAGATAGAGAGATTGGTCGTCTGATATTTGAGCGCCTGAGAGATCACGGTTGAGTTGCGCAATATCATATTCGATCCCCCGCGATCATAGATGCGTTCGGACTAAATGATTCAACAACAGGGTCTCCAATGATCTCCAAAGAGTATTCCATCTGATCACGAGCATGATACTCGCTGAACTAGAGGGAAACGAATCGAGAAAATCAAATACCGTCGTCGGGGTACCAGAGACCAGTCGCGCCCTCGAAGGTGGGTGAAACGTGGACTCAGTATGCGTTAGAACTTTCAACTCACTTAGTCTGCATGTAGAATTATGCACCTTGCGCTACACTCGCGTGTTCGATACAAGCAAAGATGGACCTGAGATCAGTCAGCGGACATGTCACGTACTCCCCCTTGTAGCAACTTCGAATCTGGCCGATCCACAAGCGACCCTGCGCTACTATGGCATGATTCGCAACGTTCCACGAAATAAAGGAAAGTCAATGTGTCTTCTACGGCAATTCCAGCTTCTTGGCAGAGGTTCCTTTCGTACCCGTCACACGCTCAGAGATTTCGCCGTGGATATGATTGATCTGCTAAAGAAGGAGTCAGCATCTGTTGCCTGGATGCTACAGTCTAAGGGCGGGGAGGGAATGCGTCAGATGCCCTAAGAATCCTGAAGCAGCTCGTGTCCCAAGTCATCCAGCGGAATCCGAGTAACCTAAATGAACGTCGTGCCTCGCTGAATGCTAGGAGAATTCGGGATTCATCGAACGGGGATGATTGGTTGCCTATTAGGATCTACACTGGAGAGATTAAACAGAGCGTATATGGTAATAGATACAGAACCAACACGACCGAGGAGTTCCAATGGGTCTCTAAGTTCGATAATCTCATTGATGATTTTCAGTCATGCCGGATTCCCATTACCCTAAAGGTGGTTTTTATCAGCTATCGCCAACCGATAAGCAGAAAGTTCCAGGCGAACCTCAAAGCAGTGATTGATATTGGCTCGCCTCAGGCGGTGCAAAAGCCACAGGCTCGTCCATTGCGATTTCCCAAGCAGGCCCTGAACTTATAGATATGTACAAAACTAACAACATGTATAATACTTCATCTCTAGAAACATGTCATGTAATACTACGGACAGCGAGGTCTAAAATTGACTTTAGTTTGTCATCTATCCTTGTATATTATACCTAGGTACTCCTTGATTGTACCTATCACCGGCCTCCTCGCCGGATTTTGCCTCCAACAAACCTTGGAACTTGTCTCCACCGACGACATCTCCGGAAACATATTCATTCAGAAAGTTATGCACAGCTCCTAAATGTAGCGTAGTCTGGATACACTGTGGGATGTCCAGTGTTGTAACTAAGGATAACAACTCCTTCGCATATGCAGCTGCCGTCGCAGCGGCATAAGGCTGCCATCTGTTGTTCTTATGTGAATCCGCATAGTCGCAGATACCACGAATAATCAGGCAAGGTAAAGAGGCCATCAAACCAGCAGCCTCCGTTTCCACACACTGGATCTTCAAATCATCTCTCAACTTGTCCCTCACTTGGCCATCCTTGATAACAGCATCGGATGATCCAATAGTCCCGTAATGAATTACCGTGTTGAGGTCCAACCGAGGTTCACGCTCGATAGCCTCATCTGGATTGCAGCTCTTGCAATCATTCCCAGCAACATGCTGAAACTCCGCACGGAAGAGCTTGTCATTCTCCACTCCCTGGTGGACATAACCGCCCTGTCTCATCTTAGGATACTTCTGGATCATTTCCTCCAAATATCTCGGAATCTCACTATCCAACCGCCGATGGAGTGTCTCAAGCCTTGCCACAGAAGCCAATAGCACATCTGGAGGACGCTGCAGCGCCCCCGTCCTTTCGAACCGATCTTCTGGAAGTAACTTGCCCCTGAGAAACTGCACAACCCCACCAAACGTCCCTGACGGTTTACTGACGACCACATCACCAAGTCGAATATCAGCATCATGGTCTAGGTCTGGAACACCGCCCCCGATGCCGATGAGAAGGCTGAACCGGATGGAGCGGAAGTCGTTCAGCAGCTGGGTAGCCACTGAGGCTACAGTGCTGTTTCCAGGATCGGACAAGACGGCGATGACGGTGTTGTGTCTATGTATTCTTCCCAGTGTGTAGTTGTTCTTGTCGCGGCTGGTGGGTAGGTCGGGGTGGATCTCGTCAAGAAGAGCCTCAACGGGTGCTTGTTCCACGCTCATGGGGCAGATGCAGGCAACTGTGTAGTCATCGTGGCTGAGGGGAGGGCGTGGAGACATCTTCTAATATAGTCTTGTAGTTAAAATGCTGGGTATCATAGTATGTTTGAAGATCTGAGTTTATATATTGTCGTACGCTACATTTTGAATACCGCGTTGCAATAAGGCTGCGTTATGGGTGAGGACATGCACAGCCCCTCATTGGCGCCTGCTAATTAATATTATCATCACTGGCCAAAATAAATACCAATCCCTGCATTCTAGTATGTAAGAACAGTGTACATTTAGTCAAACCTGAAATTCTCCAGTACAAAGAGGTTCATAATGCGGAGCTATCTACAGCGTCAAGTCATGGCCATGTAAGCTAGGGCTAGAGCAAGAGCGAACCATAACAAACTAGGCCATCCCCATGAAAAAGAGAAGATCGAGTTACATTCAAGGAAATATCAGACAGCAGTCAATAATGGATTACCAATGACCAGCTGGGATTTGTCCTTTGTTTGTTTCCCCTTTTTTGTACCTGGGATGCGTAAAGGCTGAATTGTATGATTGCATTCGTCCCATCTTCTAGAACTACCATTTTCCTTTCATGTCATATAAAGTCTGTTGATTCTTGAATGTTTTAGGGATGGCCTACAGATCTGATTAGCATGCTTCTCGCCTCTAGGTTACTTTAAACATAAGAAAGTAATGTAAGCCACTGGTTACTGTCGGATTGGTGGGCTAACTCCAGGCCAATCCTGAATAATTGTTACAAGGATGGTAAAAATAAAGAAGTGAGTAGCAAGATTGTATGTCTTCTCTTCTCTTCTCTCCTTTCTGAGTACATCAGGTTCCAAAGCCGGGTTTATATAGATAATTTGCCGAGATGTGTAACAACTAGCAGACTTGGGGTTCTCACTGTTCCAAGCAATACGGTCATGACGTCTCAAGTCGAGTTTCAGGTGCACCAGGTGAAGGTTTATATGTTTGAGGATGCCTTTTTGATTCTATACCTCGTTGCAAATCCGGATTATCTGACAGTTACAACCAAGCTTACCCCCCTTTCCCCGCAAATTAGCGGCATGAATACGAATAGATAAGCACTAAAAGCTACATGAAGGCATTGTTTTCGGTTTGTTGGTTCATATTACAAATCCAAGAGTGATGACTGTCGCCAATGTGGTGTCCATGTATTATAAAGGCTGATTTAAGCGCATCTCCAGTTGACAACAACGTCGGCTTCACAAACTCGTATCAGATACCTACCGGAAATGACATCTCCGTTCCTTCAAATTCTGGATTCCGCTGAGTCAGACAGAGAATTTGGTCATCCTCCTCCAACGATCCGTGTAAAACAGCAGGCATGCAAAATTGACATTCCGCCTACAGAAATTACAGACCTCCAAAATCTAGTTTCAAAAGCTAGACTTGGTCCAGTAACATTTGAGAACTCACAACCTGAAGTCACCAAAGAATTTGGACTCACGAGGTCATGGATGAGCAAAGCTATTCAGGCCTGGTCGTCGGAGTCTACTTTCAACTGGTCAGTCCTCCCAATCCAGCATGAGAATCTCCTTGCTCATCAGCTCATCTATTAACTAGGAATAAGATACAAGACAACATAAACAGCATTCCCCAATTCATCAGCACAGTGAATCACAACAACCATTCATACTCCATCCACTACATGGCACTCTGGTCCCTCCGAGCAGATGCAACACCATTAGTATGCATCCACGGCTGGCCCGGCTGTTTCATTGAGTATCTCGCAGTCGCAAAACTGCTACAATCAAAATATACGCCAGATACGCTACCGTATCATTTTATTGTACCTTCTTTACCGGGGTATACGTTCTCATCCGGGCCGCCGGCAGACAGCAATGGAGACTTTTCTACCTACGACGTCAGCTGCATATTCCGGTCCCTGTTCATTGACCAACTGGGATTCGATCAGAAAGGCTACATAGTCGCCGGTGGCGATATAGGGAGTCGAGTCTGTCGGGCTCTCGCAGTCGACGATGAGCATTGTAAGGGAATCCATCTAACATTCTGCTTTGATTTCGATATGCGCAATTTTCCGCGCCAGGGCCTTAAGGATAATGAACTTCGCGATATAGAGGCAATCGAGACATTCGTCACAGCCGGTGCTGCATACGCACAAATGCACGCTACACGATCCGCAACCATAGGCTTCGTACTCAGCTCCAATCCCGTTGCACTCCTGGCATGGATTGCAGAAAAATTTCTAGAATGGACTGACCTCACTCCCGACATGGAAACAATCCTGACATTCATGACTCTCTACTGGGTCACTGACACATTTTCCCGTAGTATATATCCCTACAGACATGATTTTGTGCCGAGTGAGGATGTGCCGTGTCATGGTGACGGCGCTCGATGGCTTATTCCGCGAAGCAAGGTGTTTGGGTTTAGTCATTTTCCGAAAGAGATTTTGCCTGTTCCTAAGGCTTGGGTTGAGAGGACTGCAGTTGCTGAGGAGGTGACGTTTTGGAGGGAACATGAGCAGGGAGGACATTTTGCGGGTGTTGAGGTTCCGGGGGATTTGTTGGAGGATTTGCAGGAGTTTGTTGAGCATGTTAGGACTCGCAAGTAGATAGTCTAGAAAATCCTTTTAGCAATTCAGTCTATCGGTCTATTCAGGTCTGAAAATCAAGACGTTCAGTAGTAGCTTTATCCGTTGATTTCTACAAGAGTGCAGTTTCAGACCTCAGCCCGTCCAGAAAACTTCTGCACAGCTCTCGCCAACCGTTTCGACGCAGATGTCCTCTTAAACGCCTCCTCAATCTCCTCCAACGACCGTCCCCTCGTCTCCGGCATAAAAACCGCACAAACCACCGCGGTCAAAACTGAGCATCCACCAAACAAGAAATAAGCCCCAAAAGTACTACTTGCCAACAACATCGGCGTAGTCAATGCAACCAAAAAATTCGCGATCCAGTTACTTCCGTGCGCCAAACTGGTGGCCGCGGCACGTGTGCGTTGGGGTTGGATTTCGGCGGCGTAGATTTTTATGCCTACGCCCCAGGAGAGGGAGTAGAGCATTGCGAAGAGGTAGATTGAGACGATTACTAACCATCTTCCGGCGCCGTAAGTGCCGTGTACGGTGTTGCTGGCGTATAGACTGCCAATCAGAAACATGATGATACCGAGACCGATGCCGCCGTAGATCGTGCTGTGGCGGCGTCCCCAGCCATCGGCCCAGATCAGAGCGGGGATGGTGACGCTGAAGATGGCCACGGCGGAGACTCCGGAGGCTAGTAGGGAGGCTTCGGAGGATGTGAGGCCGGCTTGTTGGAAGAGGAGGGGTGCGTACTATATCATAGTTAGTACGTATTCGGAAATGGATCGGGTTGTGGATAGGAGTCGACTCACGTAAAGAACACCATCAATACCACTGAGTTGCTGCATTCCCATCATAAAGGCTGCAAGCAATGTGCGAGCACGTACATCGTGAGAGAACAATTCCCAGATACTATTCTTCCTTCTTTCTTCCAGATTGGTACCCTGCGAAGTCTGAGGGTGTGACGCTTCTTCCGGATTCGCAATTTCAAGAATTCCTTCTGCGATCTCAATCTTTTCACGTTCTGCGTGACTGACCCCCAAAATGTCCCAGGTGGCGATAGCTTCTGCCGTACGACCTCGAAGCGAAAGCCAACGTGGAGAGGGTGGAAGCCATAACGAAGCTAAAGAAAATGATAATGCCAAAGCAGATAGAATGGCAAATGGTAGTCTCCATGACAGGGATGAGTTGACAGTAGCAGAACCATAGCACACGAAGAAGCCCACGCAAAGACCGAGGGTGATTAGTAGTTGGGGAGTGGATGTAAGTGGTCCTCTTTTGCTAGGTGGTGATATTTCACATATATACCTGTTTTGATTAGAAAACTAAATACAAAGTTCAAGAATATTTACTTACACAACCAATGTACCCAGATACAATCCCTCGCCAATGCCCTCAATACACCTTCCAACAATAAACATGGAAAGATGAGCAGCACCAGCCTCAAGAGCAGCTCCAAGTCCGAATATAAAGGCTCCTAAACTGATGCCCTTGGGTCGACCAAGGATATCTGCAACTTTTCCCGCAAAGAATGACGAGATGGCGGCCGGGATGAGGATAGAAGAGACAATTAGACCATGAACGGTAGATGATACGAAACCGAAACTTGCAATGTAGCTGTGCATGATTGTTACGGGGCCAATGACACCGGTGTCCATTCTGATCAGTTAGTTTTCCGTCTATATACACCCGAATGAATGGTGGAAACATACCCAAAGAGAACCCCGCCAAAGGAGCACAGTATGCTCGCAAGGACATACTTTGGCGGAAGGCGACGCGAGATCATCTCGTCGGATCAAGTCTTCAATCAGATTCTACTGGATGCGTATGCACACAAAATATATCCCGAGAAGGAAATGTCTCTGAAATGCCTGGGGAACAATGGAATAGATATACTCGCAACGCAATTAGTCATCTCATCTCTGCCTAACCACAGAAACAGTAGCATCGCTCACGATAGACGTGTGATTGGCCCGCTGTACACCGCATCGTCCACAGGTGATGTATAGCATGTATCGTACGTAGTAGCAAGAAATATTCCTGTGGTATCAGCCCTGCGAAAGCCGGCTGCTACTCCCGCTGTTCGGAGTGCAACATTTTGTTACCCGCACCAGAACTACCTAGCGGGGTAAGGTACATCCACTGGTGGGAGTGTTTATGTGGACTCTTATCGCTGTCCTGACCTTCACAATATCGCCATGGCCATGGCAAGTTGTGCTTTTAGTTGGTCTTCTATGAACTAGTTCCAGATTACACATGAAGGAAAAGTCGGCCTGACTGGCAACCGCTAAATTCGCAAGGATCCACTGATATTCAGGTTATAAGCGTCATATGTTAGCATAAGCAACAATCTAGATCTTCACATAGTACTTAGTAACTCATGAAGAACAGAATGAAGATGTTCGAATGGACGTTGAGACGACCGAACAACCCTAACCGTATCCAGACTAGCGTGATATATGCTCGGATGTTAGCGGAGTGCGGAGAAGCCCAAGTAATTCTACTTTGATACACCAGAGTAAACAACAACCAAAAGCAATAAATTCAGTATTCAACTAAATATCGCCAAGTCATCACATAAATTGAGTTTATACGCCATGTTCCGTCCTTCCATGACCTCGTTGCGTGCTGGCCGTGTCATCGCCCCATCTCCAGCTCCCGCAATGCCGCGCATGTTCGCAACATCATCCCTTCTCCGGACGGACATTAGCAGCAGCGCATTGCCTAAACAGAAGCCTGTTGGCGCTTTTCGAGGGGGGTGAGTCTTTGATCCAGGCATCAATCCTATATCTCCTACTAGGCGGTGTGTCTAATGCTACATATCAGTATCTTTGGCTTCTTGCTGGGCTCCGTCGCGGCCGGCGTGTCTGTGTATTACTACGTCTTGAAGGAGTACAGAGTGTCTAATGAACTTTTGACGGATGATATCTATGTACGCGGTTGCAGAATCCCTATCTTTTTCTACGCCTGGGTATTGCTTAATACTAACAGTTGTCTAGGCCCTTCAAAGCGCTTCACAAAAACTACACAAATACGTGACTGAGCTGGAGACTAAGGTAGACCAGCTACAGAAAAAGAAATAATTTGTTATATATCTATCTACTTGGACAAAGCTCTTCTCCCTTTTCTCTGTGTTGGTTTTGCATTCAGGGCGCTGGCGAATATAGCGATTTTATATCTTTCTTCTTTCTCCTTTCTCCTTTCTCCTTTGATGAGTTTGCAAGTCACTTGATTGAGTCGGTTTATGGTAATCTGAGGCTTTATGGTTATTTATGTACGGAGACTGAAAGTGTCCATCTTGATCATTGTATTTCTTGCAGTATATTAACTTGGAATTGCCAAGATTACCTTGGACGATATGGAGTAGTCTCGTATGAATATGAATGTGGATTATTTACTCATCAATAAAATCGGAGGGAAGACGTTGAAAGATGCTTGATATCAAACAAACAATGCAAACATAGCTCCTCGGTCTTAATTAACTACTTAATAATCCGCCAACCAACCAACCCTTTCTCCCATCGACAAAATATCACCACCACCTCTCAGATTCAAAACCCATCACAAAATGCCCCTAGTCGAAGTCCTAGGCACATCCCGCTCCCACGCCACCCCCGGCTGGGCCTACGTCCCCGAAACCTCCCTTCAAAAATCATCATCATCCACAGCAGCAACAGCGCTCACAAGCCGCAAACGCGGAATCCGTGAACCCGGCGGCAGCACCACAGATCTAACCTCGCGGCAAAACCACGCAATCCTACGCCATTTAGCCGAACTCGATCGCGAAAACCATCGCGATAATGTTCACATCCCCGTGCCCGTGAGGAAAGATGCGATTCAGCGTGATAATGGGAGAGGTGCAAGGGCCAAGACGACGAGTAATGTGAGACGGATTGTGCAGAGTCAGAAGACGTTTAGGAATTATTTGGATGATGAGGAGGCTGCGTTGGGGTATGCTTCTACCTCTGTTATGGGGAGTGGTGCGGCGGTACCTGCTGCTGGAGCTTCGAAAGTTGCGAAGATTGCTGGGAGAAGGAGTTTGACGCCTGCAGCTGCTGCGTCGAATACCGATATGTTGACTGAACGGCAAAAGCGTGCGTTATCACGGAAATCGATATCAGATACAACAACAACAACAGCAACGAAGAAACAAAACACTGAACGAACCACAACAACCCAGGACAATAACGAAAACCCCGAAGTTCAAGAAACGCCTATCCAAGGCGGCCTCATCAAATCCCCCCACGACAACGACCATCTCCTCAAATCATACATTCCGCACGCACCCTCTGATCGATTAATGGCCGCTTTACTAGCTGAACCACCCCTACGATACCACGTTGCTCGCGCGGCGCCGTCAGCATCCGGGAAACCGGCGCGACGGTTTTGTACGATTTGCGGTTATTGGGGTAAGATCCGGTGTAAGAATTGTGGAGTGAGGACTTGTGGGTTGGAGTGTTATAAGGTTCATGAGGATTCTAGATGTGGTGCTTTTTTCTAGTTTGCCACTCCTAGGATATATTATTGTATAGCGTAGTGCTGGTTGGATTTGATAGATACCCCTTGTTTTGTTTATGTTTTTGTAACTATATAGATATGAAACGATATCAATAACTCAACTTGATCCCCCTTCTCTTCTCCCCCTCTCTAATCTCAAACATAACCTGAACACCAACAAACAATGCGCCACAAGCACCAAGCATAAATGCCAACCCCGTCCACGATCCAAATATCCCCGCCAACAAACCCTTCAATCCATCCAGTCCAATCGCAAATCCGATAAGATGCGCCGCCATCATTGGGATAATATTACCTACTGCACCAATGCCGCAGATGATTCGGTACAGGTCTGGATGAGACCGCCAGCGAGAAGCTGGGAAGAGTAAAGTAGCGATGACTTCGGGTAGGACGAAGAATGTGATTAGCCATCCCCACATGAGAAGACGAAGATTTATATCGTGCCAGACGGCGACGAAAGTGAAGACTATTAGTTGATTGAAGATGCCGCGTGCTCTGGATAAGAAGGTTGATGGAGTTTTAGTGGTCGATTTGGATGCAGATGAAGATGGTGACGGTTGACGACGATCGCGGCGGCCGCCTAATGGGACGTATAAATATCGCACAACCCAGAGATGATATGATCGATGCCATGAGCGCCAAAATGCCAACGCAGAATAATTATTTGACATGCATCGAACCATGTTCTCGGGTGGATCGACGCCGTCGAGAAGAGCCCACAGACGAAAGAATCGCCAGGGTATCAGAAGTTTCAGCCAGATGATATTCAGATTGAAGTAGCTCAGCATGCTGAGTTGACCGGGTGTATAGATTGACCAGTCGCTGGTTGACTTGGAAATGGCTACTGCGTAGATGAAGTGGAGAATGAGCTCCATACACAGTAAAGTCAGGCAGAAGCGGATTCCGTATAAGAGGTTACGAGTTGGTGTCAGAGCTGGTGAGGGATATCGCTGCTGGGAAATGTAGTCGTTGAAAGTAACGATGGGTCCGGCGAGATAAAGAGGAGAGTACAACACATAGGCAGCGTAATACAATCCATTATATGACGAGAGGTCAGCCGGTATTGTAAGACGATCCCGTTCGGACAGCGATGCGGGATCGATTTGTTTCTTCTTAGGAGTGTCAGCTATACTGCTAGAAGATCGCTGGAAAGAACGTACCTCGATAGGACTGTCGGAAGGATAACCCAGGCTCCAGTAGTAGTCCATATTAAAACTTATCAATCGCAAGATGGTGAATTTGAATGAAATCTGCCATCGAGGCATCAATCCTCCAAATCCATCTAGAAACTCCGCCCACGCTACCAGCGTGGGAACACCCTTGGCCGCAGCGACTTCCGATGAAACGAAAAATCTCGCAATGCTCGCTAATGGATATCCATCGCACAGCTCATTAGCAAATAACACTATCAGATTGAATATCCATGTCGCCGCTGGAATGTACGCCCGCGGAAGCCCCTTGACGATTTTATAGTTGACGAACAAGATGAGCAAGATCTTGACTATGGATATTCCGTGAAGACCCATGAGGAACAAAATCGCAAAATTGAAATCAAAGATAGTTCGTTGTTTGACTCGGGCATCTCCGGCAGATTTGCGTCCTTCGTTTGTTGACGCACTGATGGAATTGAAGTAATTGTATACTCGACGGAGGAGAGGGTGTACGATCAAGAGTAAGAAAAGGTATAGAATATTGTCGCGAAAGCTGGCGTATTGAGCGTCGGAATTGTCCTAACACAAGCTTCTATTAGCTAATATCAATCATCAAGGGGGAAAGAGAACGTACGACTTTCCGTCCCGGAATCCATCCCGGGGATAATAAATCAGCATAAATCGCATACGCAGGATGATCTGGCTGCGAAATATCGATAACCGTCTTGAACATCATCGGCACCACAGTGATAAACACAAAATAATAAAAATAAAATTCCGGCGTATTCCATTTTGACGGTTGAGCATTGGAAGCTATCTCTTGTGCTCGAGCATCTTTGCCTGCGGTGGGATCTCGCGCGGTAGAAGGTTGTTGTTGTGTGTCTTGAGCAGTGTATTTGATTGGGGTGGTGAATGAGGTGGTTAAACGAGTGTCGAGCGTGTCGAGAGAGTAGAGCCTTTGCAGGCCCTGGAGGAGAGAACCCATTATCCCACGCGTAGCATTGAGATGTGGTAGACTCGACTGTACTCTACTCCGTGCAGAAGAAGTGGTGAAGTTGCTCGCCGAGGCTAGTGGAGACGTTCACAGCCTCAGGGGTCGCCCGCTGTCATTGGTCCCCGCATCTAGATCTTTTACTTTTCTTCAGATCAAAGATTGACACCTAATAAAGCTTCTGATGGATGAGTCAAGCTTATTTGCGTCATTATGGTTGTACTATTATTTTTCAGGCCCATTAGAATTTCCAGCAGACCAAAAGCATCCGCACGAGCTATCTCGTCTCACAAGGTGTCGAGATAAAGATCCATGTCAATCTATTACAAAAGGAGAGCCTTCTAATGCAGCTTTCTGGTAGTCGTATCTTGAGCTGTTCGGAGCTCTTAGAGCTGATACCTCATTTCCAACAAGATATTCCTTCGGATATAACCATCCATATTCTATTTCCTGTTCCTCGCCGCGGCGCTGGCGAAACTGGAGTCGCAGCTTTGAGGCAACTGAGGGTTGCCGGCTTTAGCAAATTTGGATGTTGCGGCTGGCTCATCAGAAAGAACAGTAGTAACCGGAGGTAGAAGGCCGTGATTTTTTCTGAAACATGCTAGGATATGGTGATCCGCGTTCGCGCCTCAAGATCGAAGGATCCTCCTCTAGCTCGATGAAGACTCGTTTCTCCCGCATTCAACAGTCTCAATTCGACTTGGATATAGTAATGCGTCCTACCAGGCCTCTTTCTAGTGGCAGAATATCGCAACTATGCACACCACTTGATTCAAACTCAATACCCGCATATCCATCCATTTAGATGGGTATCAAAGACCACTACTGTAATTCCCGATAGTTGTAGAGCAGTCTACCCATTGCCACACAACGCAAATACCGGTAGTGGCAGAAGCGTGGCATGACGGATGAAAGTCCAGCAAGTAATATTGACCAAGGCATTGGAGGCAACTCGGAGACGTGGACACGAAAGAAAGGACCGAACACTCCACTGCCAAGGTGCGAAGGGACCTCGTTCATGTACATTGTCGTGAAATTCGTCAATGATCTGGCCGTCTCACCCTGGCAGAGTAGATGTTACAGACCGGCCAACGGTGTCTTTGGAATTTGGAGAGGAGTTCGTTGGTCGAAAACATTGCAGAGCTTAGTGTGCATCGTGATCGAGTAAGGGGCGATGGCGGCGGGGTATCAGCGCCCTGTCCGGTGCCATGATGGTACCTCGGTTTCTAATTTTCGTTCATGGGATGGCATCCACCGTAGTCAGAGTCTTGCTAAGCCTTCGGGGAACCCTTGGCGAAGTCGTTCGGAGCTGAGGACATCCATTCATACAATTGAATAAGTGCCGAGAGACTATTACCATGAATACAGGGGTAAAAAAGAAAGATGAAAGAAAGATTCATGGCTTTATGATGCAGTGAGAAACATGGTGAAGATAAAAAGGAAAGAAGTGTTGAGAGAGACGAAGATGGGAATATGGCAGGAAGGAGTGAAATTTGTACTCGCCCGTCAGGCCAATACGGTATGATACATCGAATTGAAATTCATCAAAAAGTCCTAATACGCCGACAATTGTTAAGGATTTGGAGAAGCTCTTTTGAAATCAGATCAATTGACGTTGCAGTTCTTTTGCTCCTTAATCACCCAGAACAATGTGAATTTTGGCTACATTGAATCTTTCCAGCGTCTCTTGCTGTAGAGGGTCAATAGGGTCAATAGGGTTAATAAATCAGCGACCATCATCCTCTCATTGATCACTCATTTGATCGGTAATGTATGTGAAATTACCCCACAAGTTAGCGTACGGCGATAAGATACGGTATTGATGTCGGCCCCGCAATGCTGTTATCCATCTACAAATCCAACTTGGTTGATACTCGAGATCTGAACAACAGCCTTCAAACAATGGCATTGACCAGGGTATGTATTCATCAATATAGTACACGAATAGAATGCTTACCATAGCCTGCTGCAGGTCAGATTCAAAGTCCACGGGACTGTCCAGGGTATGTTCTTGAGCATACCTAAGGATCGGGCATATGTAATTGATTAGAGGAACTGACATCTTACTGTCTACACAGGCGTCAGTTTCCGGTATACCACCATTCTCCATATCTCATTAGGGATGATTAGCACTAATCCAAACAGAGCATTCACCCAGAAAAGAGCGATAGAATACGGCGTAACTGGCTGGGTGCAGAACAGCCGCGATGGCAGGGTCCGTCGTTCCCATAACCCCTAACAAAGAACTAGGGCATAACCAACACAAAACAGGTCGAAGGCGAAATTCAAGGCGAACCCGAGCTCGTCCAGAAACTACTCAAAGACGTCGACAAGGGACCCCGGCACGCGCAGGTCGTAAAACTCGAAAAGACGGATATTGAGACACAAGAAGATGAAATATCTTTCGAGATTCGACGATAGTTCTATGCCCCCTGTTTGTTTTTTTAAGAAGTCATGACATCATCCATATCAAACTCAATCATATGAAAGAAATATTTTTTGGTTTATCGTATTTTCAGCTGGCATGAGTAGTCCAACTCACCGAGAATGAATCACAGCCTTATGGCGAGAATATTTCGGGGGGCTCCACGGCCGAGAAAGCTGAGGTAATATGGACGCCGACCCGGGACATTCCGAGTTTCAGTAGTCTGGTAATATCGTATCTCTAATACGAGCATCTGAAATCTGCCTGTAGAGTGAGCAGTTACTACAGACGCAGAATCATAATGGGAAGGGTATTTCAGTTGATTTTACTTTGTATCTATTCCTGTTATATTGTCAGACATAACGGATTGATTTATATAAAGTTTGATGGCGTGGAAATATCCGCTGGTAAATGTATGTGAATCTTTCATGGATGTATTGGCATCGTAATACTTCCCCAGAAAACTGCCATTTGTTACTGGTCCCGGCATGCCGAAGTTGAGTCACATGAATCATTACGAAGATTGCACGGCGATTCATGTATGTGTATTTTTCAGTGTGACATATATACACGCATTTGTATTGTAGAAGCTGGAAAGACATTCGACATTATTGGTTGACGAGAGTCTAACATTGCAGCTACGTATATAGAGGAGATACCGGAGTCTCCGTACGGAGGAGTATCAATCCTGCTTCAGCGCGATGATCCATCCGCCCACCCTCTCCATCAAGGCTATTCAATAGAGCATACGGAGTATTTGAGTATCGAGCAACTACCCAGCCGAGCCTTCTCGCCCGAAAGAAGATAAAGAACAAAACAACGTACGATATTTCCATTTAAATGGAGTCGTAACCAATCATCAAATGACAAATCAAATGAATAAGCCCAATAGAATAATCATCAAAATCTATTTCAACTACGGAACGCCGGAAAAGATACACATAATAATACAGGATGGCCAATCAGATATTGGTCGTGCGTATAAAGATTTATATTGCGTGTACATTAATAATTACTAGCGTGATACGAGTAAATATGTCTACGCCACGATACGGATCTAGAATGCCTGATCCCAAAACAGAAAAATGTGAAATTTGAATCTCGGTCAAAGATTCCTATCAATCCTCGTCTTGCCATCATCGATATTGAATTTTTCTGGCCATGTGACGTCCAGGGTTCGGGGAAGAAGTTTCAATGCTGTTGCTGTGGCAGATTAGGCTATTGCGGCTATGACTCGTAATGATATAAAAGGCCGCGGCCTGGGTAGGCCGGTTCTTGCCTCAGGTTTTCTTACTCAGACAACATTGCAACCTTTGATATTATACTTCTATTGATCATAAATTATACACGATCAATGTATTCTGTCACAGCAACGACGACGCCGTTACGGCTCTCGGCCACGGGTATATCAAAGACTGTCTGCGTAGGCAGTCTTTATGTACTTGCCGGAGGCCATCACTATTCGACTTTGCAATCAATCAGAGTCCGCTACAGCCCTGTTTCATTGTCGAGCACAACGTCAAAACGATCACTCTCATCGGCATCACCCAAATCCGCTATCAAGGAATTCTTTCCCAGGGTCGAAACGAAACAGATCATTGAGGCGGAGAGTGCATGGAAACATCCAGTGTAAGCTGGACCATCCTGTCCGAGAGTTTTCTCAGCTAACGTCTGACTATCAGATACACCGAAGAACAAATGCGCAGTATACGTACTGAACACCGCAAAGCCCGCACCTGGTCGGATCGATTTGCTTTAGCTATGGTGCAAGGTCTGCGGTGGGGAATGGACTTTGTCACTGGCTACCGTCATCCGCCGAAGGGTGACGTCAAAGATCCAAAAGCAGTGACAAAGTTCACAATGACTGAGCGGCAATGGTTGAATCGGGTATTGTTCTTGGAGAGTGTTGCCGGTGTCCCCGGTATGGTTGCGGGGATGTTACGACATCTCCGTAGTCTGCGGACGATGAGAAGGGATAATGGATGGTGAGTAATCCCCTCCCCTCCCCTCCCCTGGCAGTATAAGGTGACTAACAGGGATAGGATCGAAACTCTTCTCGAAGAGGCATACAACGAACGCATGCATCTCCTCACGTTCATGAAAATCGCCGAACCAGGCTTGTTCATGAGACTGATGGTCCTCGGCGCTCAGGGCGTTTACTTCAACGGCCTTTTCATTTCCTACCTCATCTCCCCACGCACCTGTCACCGTTTCGTCGGTTACCTCGAAGAAGAAGCCGTCCTAACCTATACACGCGTCATCCAAGAAATCGAAGCAGGCAACCTACCCGAGTGGGAGAAGATGGAAGCGCCCGAAATCGCAGTTAAATATTGGCAGATGCCCGAGGGACATCGATCAATGCTCGATTTGATGTTGTATGTGCGTGCCGATGAGGCTAAGCATCGGGAAGTCAATCATACATTGGGTAATTTGAATCAGAAAGAAGATCCGAATCCGTATACCGCGGTATTCAGAGATTCGAAGAAGCCTCGGCCTAGCAAAGGGGGCGATTTGATGAAGCCAACGGGTTGGGAGAGGGAGGAAGTTATTTAACGTTCACTTCATTTTCTTTTGTTTTGGTGCAGCATCATCTCTACTCAGAGGAAGGAGTTTTATCAACTGTATACCACGGGGTGTTTGTCGGGCCAGGGGCTAAAAATTGCATAAATTAGAGAGCAGGAATGTTAATGTCTTTAGCGATCGAGAAGGTTCAATTCGTAGTGTAGTGTGGTTGCTCCGGTAGAGGAATTGGTCGTTGTGTTGTTGTTGTGGTGGTGGTGGCTCAAATGGAATGGGACCAAAGATCTGGAGATATGCGCGACACGAGACGCGACATCACGTGACCATGCCACAGATAAATAACAAAATAATCCCTGCAGACTCGCAACAGGGACAAGTCATGATATGTAGAAATTGGTTTTATTGCCTGAGAAGTCTCCGAATTGCAAATACTTTGATCAATCTGCACAATCATGGCTGGATTGCATGAACCCCCCACGAGCGGGTTCACCTCCTTAGTGTGACTGTTTGTGTACTAGGGAAATTCTTATTGTTCATCTAATTAAACTAGTTCCAGAGCAATTTCCCTTTCTCCCTCGACTTCATTATATATTTTCTTTCTCGTCACTCTTATTTATCTGTTTATAACCATATCGACTATCGTTCGGTCTACATAATCTATTATTTACGCTATTGATCATCGCCGAACCCTCCCCAGCAGAGTGACCCATGTGCGAGCCGCTTTGAAATCAAAAGGCGATACCAACAACTGGATATATACTCAGATTCCCACCGAGACCGTCTTTCTTTGTTCACAACCCCTACACTGTGGATCGTCGAAAGGAAAGAAACCATGGACGACCACAACGACAAAGACGGCAGCATGCTCCTACGCTCCGGCTCACCATCTCCATCCATTCCTCCAACACCCGCCATCTCCTCATGTCCCTCCCCCGGCCGCAGTTTCTCAACCATCTCCTCAATCTCCAACTTCTCTGCTACGTCTGTTACTACATCCAACAGCGATAATAGACTATCTGTGATTTCCGTCGGGTCAAAACGACGGGGTTATATCCGCCCTCAGGGCGTCGAATTCGCCGAATCGGCTAAGAATCGGGAAAGTGTTATGTGTTTGGGCAGTATTGCGCATTTACAATACTACTTTGCGAGAACGGGATTACTTGATGGCAAAGGAGCGCAGATGGCTCGTCCAAGGAATAAGAATCATGTTGATAGCGCAAAGGAGGTTCCAAAGTTGATGCTCACTCAGGATCCGCAGTTTGCTACGGAGATGGTTGATAGTCCTGTAGATGATATCGCTCCGGATCAGGTTGATTTTGATGTTGAGGACGACGACGAATTGATGCTGCCTCCTACGGTTAGTACGTACAGTGTCAAGACGCACCATATTGCGCCTCCGCCGAAGTTGAAGGTTTTGCGAAAAGAGTTGGTGGAGGCGTTGGATAAGGCATCGTTGGCAGTGAAGAAGTCAGAGCCAGACAACACAGTAACTTCGCCCACGGCGTCGTCGAATAGTCTCTTGCCTCAGTATGATCCACAGTCGCCTTCGTCACCCAAGTCCACCGGGTGGCATGAAGTTCAGGGCATGCACATTCTTGATCTTGTCACGTTAGCGATCCGCGCCGCTCGAGTGTACTACATTAGCCACGAACGACCGGAACGTCTGGCTAGTATCAAGTCAGAACGGAAATTCCGAGAAGAGTTATTGGCAGTTACAGATGTTTTGAAAGGATGGGCGTCTCGAAACTTTGCCGGTGGTTTACGAAATACCGAACGGGCAGCAATTCTAAACTGGATGGCTGGTGTTATCATTGTTCTCGACGAAGAACGCAGGCTAGAGGAGGCCGAGAACAAGGAACGAGCCAGTTGGAACTGGGCTTCTGGCGATTGGACGGGGCGTGAGAGAGAGCGTGAAGAAGCATTTCTTCAGACCTTGATGAATGGAATTGGCCCCGCGTTGCCGCCGTGGACGTCTCCTGAGAATGCAGTCTTACCAACTCCACTTCTGAGTCGCTTGCGTGACGGACGCGATCTCATTCGAATGCATAACCAAGCCGTGCGCAAATCAAGGCGACTTTTTGGCGAAATCAAAACTCCCCACGAGGATATAGCCAAGCCCTACCGCCGAGCGGAGAATCTACGATACTGGCGCAAAGCCGCCGAATTGCGGTGGGAAATCAAATTTGATTTGGACGTCATGGGCGTGGTGTACGGGAGTAGCGACGAGGCGTGGAAGCAATTCGACGCTGCACTTCTTGAATGGTGCAGGGGTGTTCGTGAGGAAATGTTGGATGACTGGAGGAATCCGCGTAAGGGGTCTGTTGCATCTATTATAGAGCTTCCGGTCATTTTTGATAACGAGACCTTGACTGCTGAGGTTGCCTAACTCTACACACAATTTCTTTTTATTTACTTTCATTTCATCTGGTTGGTACCTGAATCCTTTTCTGGTACTGATCCCTATTTGATACCCTATCTTCTGTCGTTCCTGTGGTTCCGGGGCTGAGTATCCTGAGCCAGACTTATTTATTTTCATGGCCATTTACATAATCATATGATTTTACCCCTGACGAGTGCACATACGGTGTTGTGGCGTCTACATTACAAGTTGAATTGTTTGCGTTGACAGCAGTTTGCTGTCTATTGTCCATGTGTTGTTGTCGTGGGGCCTGCTGATTGGAAAGTCTACAAATCCTGTATGCTGTTTGAAAGCGCACTTCTGCCTGACAGTGTGAATTGTGCTGTTAGTCCTTAATTGCCTTGATAAATATCAAATATAGCCATATATCTATTAAAGATAAACTATATCCAGGTTCATCCCACAGTAACTAAAAAATTGTCCGTGCAAAAGCCATCTTAATCTGGAGTCGAGCTAACGAAAAAAAGCCGATGGATAACCAAAACAGCGGGATCTTCTCCCCCTTCTCAGTCATTACCCATCATCTCCTGAACTCCCGCCGCACGTTTTCTCTCTCCTCACACTCTCCGCGCCATGTAGATCCCGATCGCTACTCTCTCAATCTCCCCAGCAGCAGCAGAAGGCGAGTGTACGAGACCGTTGTTGACAGATTGCCGAGTGGGTCAGCCAAACGCGGAGGAGGAATAGTTGGTCGTTCTCCTCGCGTCGCCGCCAAGTCAGCGTCAGCATTGCTCCCTTTTTTATGGAAGGCGACGACCACGACGGAATTAAGCTCTATTCATTTTCAACAAGATTTTTCGACAGCTACAACAGCTACAACAGATACAGTTAATTTGAGCATAGAGGTGAATGGTTCGCAGGCTAGTATTGTATCCATGCCCGCAGTACCCTTCGTGCCTGGTTCATCGGCGACGTCGACGACAGCAACGAGCACGAACGAGAGCAGTTTACAAGCTAGCTATTCTCTGCGATCATTAACTAAGAAATTTTCTGCTCCTCAATTATCGCAATCTCCCTCGACAGAAGCTCAGGAGCCGTTATCGACGACCTCAAGCCCTTCGACGATATCCCGCCGATTCAGACAGTCACCACAGAGAGAGGAATCGGAACAGAACCTGTCTTCGGACGATACGCAACGAACTTCGATATTCCGAAGACTCTCACCTGGTCTAGCGGCTCGAGTGAAACTCCTCAGTGGATCAACGGATTCCAATAACCCGCAGACGAAAAATAATAAAGGTGCCGTGGGCAAGATCCCAGAACACCACTTACGAGAATTGGAAAGTCTTCATCAGGATTTATCAATCAAAGTTGAGAAACGCGGTAGAGCTTGGCCAGGTTTGACAATCAAAAGAGAAAGAAGTGCACCTGATTTATTGCAGTCACCTACCAAGAAAGAACCCAGTCAAGCAAATATACAACAAAGTAGTTCACAGCAACAACAAAAGAAACTTCTCACCCCCGACAACGAACTCTTCCCAGACCGACGTTCTTCTCCTGTTGACACGATTGAACAACTCGCCGACGTCCGCGACTCCGTAGACGGGGTTGCTGCGTCGACGATGACGACAGTTGGATTCGCTACAATGGCTGAAGGGCCCAGCTCCATACCTCAAAATGTCGACCCTATACAGGAAGTATCGAGTGATCTGGAAGAATATCTCAGGCGCAGCACACTTGAAGATCAGGCTCCTCCCCCTCCACCAAAAGATACTCCGCCCGTACCCTCGACGCCGTCTTCGAACAACATGCAATCATACTTCACAAGTCCTTATAAACTGAACCGAGCAGAGTCGATCTTTTCTTTTTCTCGGGCGTCTTTTAGTAATCAATTGTCACAGCTTACATCGATCAATTTGCCGCAACCCGCCGCTCTGGAAGCGAGCATTACGTCCATTATCAATGCACCTACAGCCGTTAGAGCTTTGAGTGGTGCAGCCGAACAAATTGAGAAATGGATGAATAAGGCGTCGGAAGTTCTCAATGGCCTCGATGCCGAGGACGACGTTGAGTGGGCTGCGGCCGGTGGACGAGAAGGGCTGGAAGAAGTGGACAAGGCAGTTATCAAATTTGAGAGCTTGGTTGATGTCTATGTCAAGGCCATTGAGAATGTTCAATTACGTGACGATATTGATGATGTTCGTGCCGATGATTTGAAACTGATTGTTGTTCAAATGGATACAACTTTGAAAAATTGGGCGAGCATACGGAAATTCTTGAAAGGTGTCAAGGAACAAGTCGAACTTGCCATGGAATGGGAAGAGTTATGGAACAATGTCCTTGGTGATGTTGGTCTTGAAATTGATAATCTCAGCAGATTGATCTTTGAAATGGAGGAAAAGCGACATAAATCACTCGCCCCGGATACAGAGGCTGAGCCTGGTAACGGTCTCGATATCAATGAGCTCGAAACTATTGTTGAGGAATCCCCTCTTCACGGTACACCATCAACAGCAAACAAGCGGCTGAGTTTGGCTTTGTTTCCTGCAGCTGATACTTCTAATCCTGCGGTAGCGAATAGCAATCCACAAGATGATGCGAATCTTATGCAACTATTTGCTCGTATGCAGCCGCTAAGAGCGTCATTGGACTTTCTTCCTATGCGATTATCCATGTTTCAATCACGAGCAGAAAAATTGTTCCCGACAGCTTGTGAGGAGCTGGAAGACAGGCGAAAGCGACTTGAGACGGATTACAAGAAACTAGAAGCTGATGCAGAGGCTTTGCGGCGCGAGCTTGGAGAAGATCGCTGGATTCTAGTGTTTCGAAATGCTGGCAAGCAAGCGCAGAAGATGTGTGATTCGGTTGAACGCAGTATCGGCAAGTTGCAAGAGTCGTTGGAGTCGGGTGATCCTGTGAACAATCCATCGGCAGTCACTAAGAAGATTGAGAGCTACGAAGCTAAAAAGATACATTACGTGCCGGCCATTGCGAGAGTCATGTCAATTATTCAAAAGGGAGTCAACGATAGACTTACGGTGAACGGTGAGGTTCTTACTTTGCTTTCAGACATGAACCAGCGGGTTGACGCCCTCAAGGCGAGCATGAAAGTCATGGATACGGTGCTTGAGGAGACTACGATTTCTAAGAGCCAGCAACTGCGTGATTCGGTATCTAGTATTATTACAACCGACAGTCCTGCAAACACTAGCCTTTTTGGTACACCTGGCAGCTCGCCGGCATCGTCTGTAATTGTGACTGGATATAATGGCGGACTACGGACACCCAACGCTGGAAATGGCGGATCTAGCAGACGGGGAAGTTCAGTTGGCAGTACGTCACGAACTGCTGCTGCAGGATCGCGAAGATTGTCTGGTATTCCGACAGCAGCTAGCAGTCGCAAATCGTCAGCTGCACTATCTGTCAACACGCCACCGTATTCCTCTACGACACCAACACCCGCAACACGTACCAGCCGTATACCATCGACACCGGCGATGAACCGACCACGATGGAACGCCAGCACCAATACCGCCGATCTTGACACTGGCCACAACTTCAAACTGACCCCACCATCTACCCTCCGACAGAACGTCCCCTTACCAGGACGCACCTCGCGATCTGTTTCTTCATCCCTACCCGTCCCTAGTCCACTAAGCCGAGCAACATCCTCCTCACCCGTCCCCACAGGGCGAACAGGTAGTCGTACCGGCTACCGAACAAACAGTCGTCTCGGCACAATGTCACCAACCCCAACCTCACCCACTGTTGGCCGCTCATTCTCCGCCTCTACAACATCAACAACCACCCGCCCATCTATTCAAGATTCATCATACGGCAAACTCCGCAAATCAACCCCCAATCTGCCCACGGGCCTCCGCAATCGACAAAGTTACGGTGGACCGATGACTACGACAGTGAGACAGAACGAGGAAGAAAATGGAGCTACGAAACAAGCTCGACCCGGTACGTCACTTGGTCATGGAAGTCGTCGGATAAGTCTTTTACCTCAGATAAAGAGTAAATCTGGACGAGAGAGTTCGACGGGAAATAATAAGAAACCTGATGAACGACCTCCTTGGAGATAATACTTTTTCTTTTCTCTTTCTCCAATTTCTATTTCCGGTACCTTTTTCTAATACGTCGGATCTATTCGGTTCAGCGTTTTATTTCGTCTCTGTGCATGACACACATTTTATTTGTATGTCATGTCAGTTGTTTGACTACCTGTTTCTGCACAATACCTCTAGCGATATTCTTGTTATTCGTCAGGCTTGAAACAGATACCTTCTGTACCATTCATGTCTATGGGATGGTGTATCTATCCTTTTTGTATGTACATATTCAATTCACTTCATATAAATACTCCTGCTGAGGTCTCTCAATCATCTCCATCCAAACTATAGGGAAAGATCATACCAAACTCCTCCCATAAATCAACGCATCAACCAATTCCTCACTATTAGCCAATCTACCCGCCCCGGGAACACGACCCAATACCTCAAATCCGAGACGGTCCCATATCTTGCTTGAGGCGGGATTGTTGGCAAATACGAGATTGAAGACGGAGTATTTGTATCCCTATCGTCGTCAGCAAGAAGGTAACGAAGGAAATGAGGGGAGACGGGAACGCACAAGTTTAGGCGCATATTCGAGATATGTTCGTCCCATTATGGAGCCGATACCTTGACCTCGAGCGTGAGAGCAGGTTAGGAAACCTGCGTTGCAGATGTGGGAGCATCGTCCTTCAAATCACTCAGCAACAAACTCTACAATAAAAACCATGAATAGAGACAAGACGTACCGGGATAATTAGGTTTAATATAAAACGTCCCCAGGCACACCTCCTTCCAATCCACCCCTTTCCCATCACCCTGTAACAGCTTTCTACTCTCATCGACAGTGCCTTTGAGAACAACAACAGCAAAAGTCCCGAACCAATACTCCCTAAACCTATCAAAACTCATGGGCTCTTCCATGGGATATGTACATCCCTTCAAAATCTCGACAGAGAATTCCTCATGGAGAAAGGTTATAAGTTCTTGAGGGAGGGATGTTGGTCCGTTAGAAGTTGGGTAGAGGGTTATATTTGTAAGTGTGTTAGGGAGCGTGGCTTGGATTGGGGTTAGGAGAGGGGCGGATTGAAGGTGGTGTTTTGGTGGTGGGAGGGGAGGGTCGGTTGTGTTCTCGAGGACTGAGCCTGGCATTTTTTTCTTTCTCTTTCCTCTCTGACCGTCTAAGCCTTGACTATAAAGAGTTTAGAATGCTGGGGGAAGGGGTTGAGGTTGACTTGAGTAGTCGGTGAAAGGGAATTTTGATATTGATACGAGTGGGTCGGCGGAATATGTCCCGGTAGAATGGGTCGGACGGTTGATAGAGATAGATGAGTATAATGAAGATTAGATCGCTTAGTTTAATTTATAGATAATGTCAAGGGGAATGTAATAAGGCGTATGAAATGTCGTAGGGCGCAAAATGCAAGTGTTGGCCAATCATCATCCACAATTGCAATTGGCTATACAGATACTTCATCGGCATAAAGTCCGATCCCTGTTCTCGATAGAATTCTACGATTAGATATAGATACATTAGATAGGAGATTGCCATATAATACATATCTGCAGACAACAATAATTAGTTCCCCTTCAATCCCTTCAGATAATTGACGCCAGAATCAAGTAACCACCACGAAGCCAACTCATGCATTACTTTGGGAATCTTTCGCTCCAACGGCATAATTATGTTTGGCTTCGTATTGTCTCTCCACATAATCGTTTCGCTGTATATCTCCACTGAATCACTGTCGATGTCACTAGCAGGTCGTATACCAATGACTAATCTCCCGTCAAACTGCTGTTCTGTCTTCTTCTCTTGACTCTCCGCCTTGGGAGAGAGCTGCTCAATCCCAAATTCCAGGAGTGCATCCTCCCTCCTCAGGACTTTATAAATCCCACAGACAACATCCCCAACGCCAAAATCCAGCTTTTCGATCACCACCGGATTGAGTGTCGGCAATGCTTGAGGGTTCGCTTTGCGGAGAATCATTTTTATGATTCGTGCCTGTGGCAAATAGCGCGCAAAAGCGGACATGTTGCGTCGTAGATAGGTTGTGAGCAATTTTTGGTCGTAGGACCATGATCCATTATCGGGTCCGAGGATGGTTGTCAGATCTTGGTCTGATGGCAAGTCGCTTTTGTGGATGGTGCGCCATGCACGGTCGTAGACGATAAAGTATTGGTTTGAGGTCAAGATGTTATCTGGGGTGGTTGTGCATATTGGTCGAATTTGAGATTCAGCACTTTGCTCCGTGGTAGTGGTGAGTTCCTTTCCACTGCAGGATTTGTGTATACGTAGAGTTGATTGACGCAGTCTTCGGTGCAGTAAGTATACATACAAACTCGAAGAACCCGCTGCCACAGCCGCGGCTGTGACAACGGCTGTAATGATCATTCTCACGTTGGAGGTAGACATAGCCATATTGCGTTCAAGAAGATTGAAAGGATAGAAAGAGGATGTGATGATATCGAGAGAAACAGATCGAAAAATTGCACGTGAATCCAAGCCTCCTTGACTTGCCGCTTTGTGAGTGTTCGTATTTTGGGCTTTGTGATTGGTTGACCTAGGATGCTTATTTTAGAGCTGTTTTTTTGGGGGGGGATATTCTCCTGTTTGGATATCGATATAGAGATATTGAGCGAATTAAAGATATTATACTTGCATAGACATCTCGTCAGGAGGAGTAACCAGCCCATTCGATACAACCGATCGGACCATATCCTCTTTCATCGAATAGCTTATCTTCATAGGCACATCCACACCTTGGCCACTATTATCGTCACCACCAGCCAGAAACTGCACAACAATCTCCGCCGCTAATCTCGAATCATCATCTTCAAATCCATTAATCTTGCGTAGAGACTCTGTGACCATCTGCGCGTCCCAACCGGCCCGTCGTCCGAATTCAATAACTGTTTCACAGTTCACGAAGACGTCGAATTCGAAGTGTCCTTGGTATGTCAGGACTCTTCCAGGGTAATAGAGACCCTGAATTGGGGAGAGAGGTGTACTTCCGAGATTGAGCCAGGGTTTGGGGAGAGCCGATAATGTCACTGCGGATGTCTCTGCGGTAGTATGTGAAGGATAGAATCCAACGACGCGATCTCCATGGATAAGTTGGATATGTAACTTTCCATTATTCGATCCTAATCTGCTCGTAAACGCCTTTCCGAGCGTTGTGGGGGTAAACTCTGGACTCAGAGTGACAGGGTGTATACCAATCTCATATCCCATCGGACACGCCTCGACTCGAACCTGGGGTGACACTAATGACTGCGCATCTTTCGTATTTACGAGCAACGCCTGCGCAATAACTTGATGCCCAAAACAAGACCCAAAAAACTTGACGAGCGGAAAACGACTCCAAACCCGCCTAATGAATTCTTGCAGTTTTGAGATCCATGCATATTGCTCTCCTTGATAATATGCCGATGCCGCTGAGCCAGTGATTAGTATGGCATCGATAGGTCTGAATGTTTCTTCTTCTTCCACTTCTTCTTGCTCTTCCTCCAGGCAGGGAGTTGTCTTTCGCAACATACCCATCCCAGGATACGAGCCGCCGACTACATCGTAGGCAGAGGTATGAATCTGTACTTGTTGTGCAATAGCGGAGTTATCTCTTATATTTTGGTTTAGTCTCCTCGCTGCAGATTGTAGTAACTCCCGGAACTGAGAACTGTACAAACCCCGTGCCGTATATACTGCGGGGACGGGTACATCTGTATCAAGGATGGCGATGTGGATATGTCGAGTTGGCATGTTGGTTATTATTAGCAACTTTGGGAATTATATCTTCTCTCTTTCCTTGTCGATTAGACAAGAACGAAATGCAAACGACGAGTATAAGATGAGAATCGAGACGGATCTGCCAGATTGAATGGATCGGATAGGATTTCCTAATTAGGAGAAGATGAGAATTTCCTTATCGGGTGGGGTCTTGCAGCTATTCCTTCAGGCTTTTGGCTTGAGCAGAGAGTTCTACTGGTGAGATATAGGTCTCTATGTACGAGAATATTAAGGCATAAGGAAAACAAACAGTAGGCTACGCGCTCGCTCGCTCAATATCAACACTGTTGGAATAAAATCACGTGACTAGCAGGATACAGAAGTCGAACTACGGAACGGTTCGCAAATACCTCAAAAATACCAAATTCCCTTTAAGGGCGTCCTTTTTGGTGAAATGGTAATACGTTTTAGTTCCGACCCGTGGTTACGGTCATGTGACTCCTCAATCGGGAAACCAGGGCAACGTCCATAGCCCTACATTCACCTTTCAGCTACGCCGTCACTCGTCGGACTATGAAGTCCAAAGGTCGGAATTCATGTCCGATGTTTTGCACCTAGGCACTACGTAGTACGTAGATGTAGATACTAGGTGCCGGATTTCCTTTGACGCCCCGGGCCTTTCCCTTACCGTTTTTACTCACTGAGTACTCCGTAGAACTGAGCACGTTCCTGAGCGCGCTGATCAGATCAGTGAGCTTTACATAAGCTCACGGACATGCTCAGTGAGCCAAAGCTGAGCAGTCTGATCCACTCACCAAGCACCATCCACATCCTCATGGTAGGGTGTTGGAAAATTACAAATTTTTAGTGTCATGTCACCTTTGACAATACCGCCAAGATTGCATAACTGTAATTTTATCAGCCAATAATGTAGAACCATAACGGTTATGGCCAATAGGGTGAGCTGTATGGTGATTATAAATTACTAGTTTGTAAATTGCCCCATTGCAGTTAACAAGAAAATGTTCATTTCTCACAAAAATTTAGTGTCGCGTCGACAGACCCACTTGACATGACAAATCCCTACTTCATGGTCGCTGTCGGTTCTACTAGATCAACACCAATGATTTCCGCTCTCCAAAATTTATTTTCCCCAATGGTAAATCCCAAAACCACATGCTTTGTCTCGCGATGCTTTATCTGTCTGCTTGACCTCGATGATATGTATTCGACCGCAGTCACAAATAACTTACTTTGTTGACAAGGAGTACTCATATGGAAAAATGCACGAAAAAACTATGAGAAATTGCACCTTAAAACTGGGCATAGAGAGAAACAGAGGACAGGAAATTGGAAAGATGCCATACTTATCCCTTAATTCTTCCTAATCACGGCATGAGTATAGTATATACGTAGTTTGACTTATTGGACTTGGATAATAAGCCAGTAAATAAATCTATTAGGTTAAATGGTCGACGATGACGAATTTCGCAGGATCTCGTATTAATTACTGTTTTTTTAGTATCGCTGTTACCGTATATTTGCGGTATTGTGATGTATTTGTCTTGCATAACCACAAGACTACAGTGTACAATATGGCTGTGCTATGCATTGTAATATATACATGACATTCGAAACCAAAAGTACGAGCTTATGTAACCTACTCGCTGCTGCCTGCGGATTGAGTTATGGCCCTATATGGGTGTAAAATGCTTGAATTTTTCGCAGACTGTAGGTAATGTCCTGGACAGTCTATTGCTCGTACATATCCTAATTCAAAGATGAAGCCTCTTCATGCCGAATGGAGTTCATTCATTACACAACATCCCAAAATACGCCATGATGATCATCAACGGAACAGAGACTTCTATGACTCTCCAGCCGGCCATAAATTTGTTACGGAAGTATTGACGATAGATACAACCATTCCAGCAAGTGATGATCACAACATTCCTATTCGAATATACACCGCGAAGCGATCAGAACTCTCACATGGAGTCGTGATCTTCTTCCATTCTGGTGGGTTTACGAGTGGCTCCCTAGAAACTGAAGATGGTACGTTTGAAATTGTTGATGGATAGATCTCAGATGGTGTGGTAGACTAAGGATAGATAGTCTCATGTCGGTATATGGCTCTATCCGGACCGCTCACCGTCCTTAGTGTCGAGTATCGACTCAGTCCGGCATATACATTCCCCGTCCCAGTCAATGATGGTTGGGATGCGTTTCGGTATATAGTCACCAATCTCTCTAGCTTGGTGGCAAACCTCGCTCCCGGAATGGTCAACATGGTTGTGAGCGGGACATCTTCAGGTGGGCAGCTTGCGGCTATAGTCTCGCAACGTGCGCAAACCTGGATGAAGGGAAATATTTCTTGCGCAAAGATTACCATGAGCGGGGTTCTGCTCAGAGCACCAGTGACTGTAAATGGTACAGATTCACATTTTATTCCTCCTCGGCTTAGAGATATACATAAATCGTGGTGTGCTGAGTTAGAGACAACCCTCCTCAAGAGACATGAGATGGAAGAGAACCATGGTATGTATTTCCATTTGATTATCTGGCCGTCGCAACTACTGATCCCCTCAACCACTTTTAGATGCACTTGGAGTTCCACTTAATGAGAGAAACAGTCCCGAAGCGTATCCATTATGGGGCCAATTTCATGGGTTACCAAAAGTATACATCCAAATCTGTGATGTGGACATCCTACGGGATGATGCTGTATGCTACGCACAATCCTTACGAGATGCAGGGGTGGAAGTGCAAGAGTCCTTGTACCTGGTATGTATTCAATAACGAAAGTGCTTAGCTAGAATTGATTTGGGTTGCTGACAAGTTTAAATACATAGGACCTTCCGCATATTTTCTGGATTTATGCTCACCATTTAGATGTATCAAAGAAGGCTCAAGAAGACTGTGTGCAAGGGTTGAACTGGCTATTAGCGTCCACTGGATAAGCATTTTGATGCAACATGCAAGACCTAATGACAGGTTTACATCATTTGCGTATCTACCTCAATATTATGTATAATGATGTGACAAATACGATACGGCTTAACTATAGTTCAATTAGCGTGAGCTAGTGACGCCTTCGTAGTCGGGTAGAATGAATCGAGGAGTGTATACAAAGGTGAAGGAGCTCTCCAATCTGTCTGCATTTTATTTTGCAGCACTGCGGACCCAAGCTTGTAGGCGGCTAACTTAGTGGAGTGCGCTTTCCTGATCTCGTTTTGAAAATAGGATCTCGATCTAGTCATCTTCTGTTAGCAAAGACAGCCATGTACTGCCGTAGATTCGTAATCTCTATGACCCAGCTAAGGGCTGGGTGTAAAGGTAATTGGCACAGAGAGGCGTCTGGATCCTGTTTAACTTCTGATCACCATGAATGTTGTTTTTCAATCGCGAAACAGAAGGAAATCTCGATATATCACTAGTCCAATTTGTAGGGTTGACTTGTCCGCAGACACACTCTCGCTGAGTGCTCAGTGAGCGTGAGTCCAGACTGAAATTTACTCAGTGTGAGGCTGATTGAAGCGCCCTCACAAAAGCGGCGACAGCTGAGAGTGGAAACCTGGCAAAGGAAATATGATACATATAGTGATCTAGGTATCTAATAATTTTTAAGATTTCTGTCTAAATACATGGGATACCTGACTACGGTAAATTACTCAGCATCTAACAACGCAACAGGCGGCTGATCATCAACCTGAATCCCACCACGCTTCTTCTCATCGCTATCCCAAAACGGTAACTTCCAGCCCCCTTCACTCTCCGGCGTCGCGAGCCACAACCTCATTAGATGCCGGCGTGGTGCTGGTGGCGCATAATCTTTATACGCAGTACGAGCATGTAAGATGTGCGTGTTGGCCAAAAACTGGATATCACCGACTTCGAGGATCATATGTAGCGAAAGACGTTGGGCGGTTTCTTCAAGAACGCGGAGGGCTTCTTGTTGTCTGTCGGAGAGAGGGGGGATTATGCCTTTGTCGGAGAAGCGGGTGAGGGAGCGGACGAAGTAGGGGTCCCATCTATTTTGTCAGTATATCGTTCTCTAATTCTTGAAAGAGGAGGACGAACTTGATGTATACACGAGGATTCTCCTCTGTTCTTTCGAGATAGAATACAGTTGTTTTGATATATTCTTCTTGACCTTTGGATGTCTCTCCCTTTCGGTCAAAGTACCAGTTTGGTTCCGTCAGGGTTTTCAAGACGTCTGGCCGCTCTTTCGAAAGCACATTATAAACATGATGGGCAGAGACCAGATCGGACTCTCCACCTTCCAACGCACGAGCGATACATAGCAAACCGACGATATCCGAGTCATCGACGTGGAAGAATTGACTATTTCGTTTAGTCCATAACTGACCACCCAGAGACGAGGAGCGACTTACCGGGCATTTGTTCTATAAATGCGAACCTTGTCAATCTGAGTGGGATCCTCGCCGAGATCCTTGACATGTCCCAGAACATGACCACGACTATTCTGACTCACAAAGTAGCCGAGGTATGTACCCAGGCCCATGTAAGCAACGGCTGACTTGCGGTTTCCCCATGCCGTGACGGGCAGTCCTTTGAATAGAATGAAGCCTTTGCCATTGATCAAATCATCTCGCAGTTCGTAGTAAAGGTATGGTCCAAGAGTGGGGAGGACGAATTTTTTCTACATCGTTAGCTTGACGTCTTGTACTGAACATCAGGCTGAGAGTGTATTACCTGCGTAATGCCAGTCAATGGTGTACCGGCAGCAATAAACCGATCCGCCGCAGAACTCAACTCCTCAACCTCGGCGGGAGTAAACCGATGAACCCATTTTTCGGGATGATCTTTATAATCCTCCGCTTTCCAGACAGTACGTCCTATGATTTCCTTGGGGAAATCTTCGAATGGATGAATGTGTTCCGGGAGTGGTTCATGTTGACCTGTTGTTTTGAGTCCGTCGGGGAAGAGAGTCAGGTCAATCTTTCGGGTTGAAGAAGATTGCGAGAGTGAGTTTTGGAGCTCATGAGGAGCTTGAGCGTGATGCGAGCTGAGCGTAGTGGCCATTTTGCGTAGTTTCGAGTTTGTAGACTATCTAAAGTATGATGTAGGCTTGACCCCTCATCAATTGATGGATCTAAACCCAGTCAATATCTCACCACACTAAGTCAACGATTGGAATTGATTTTTGTTAGCTTACCTGTTGTATTTATTGCACAACAAAATTTCTTTCTTTTTTCTGTTAACAGATTTCAGTGTAGTCCAAAACCCGGACAGATGGCCGGCATTTATATAAGATAGACGTTCCTGGATCCATAATGAATCACGCAATTTGGCCCAAGCTGATGCCACTTGCTGCGATTGCGAAATCGTGGAATCTCACAATCTTTTTATTTGTCCATTGCATGAGGTTATCGAGTGTTTAGGGCGATTAACCGAGCATATTTTCTTCACGTATATAAAGATGGGCACCCGGAATCGCACATGGGCATGTATATTGCCAGATTCGGATCCGTGTTTCCGGGATGTTTGAACTGTGTATAGTAATCAGATTTACAGTAAACTGAAAGCTTCAAACGTATTGTCCGTGTCATGCACGATAAAAGATCTAAGCATTAGATATGAAGAAAAAGCAAATACTGGGAATTAAGAGTAGTGCAATCGCATCCTGCAAGTCATATCGATTAGCTTGACGACTTAGGGTTAGAGAACATATTTCCGGATTAGTACTATCAACTACCGAGATTTATGATCTTTGTATCGTAAAGTAATTAATTCGTTCTTCAGAAATGATTTAATTATCTGTCCAATTACATATATTCATCAAACCCACTTTATATATGGAACACCCTCTTCTCATCAACTGCGACCTCAATAGACATTCCATCTGCTACCAGTGCAACCTGCCCCTCATACCTCCTGTTACCTATGTATCAATACCGTGGGGATATAGTATATTTTAAGGGCATAGTATCGTATGAACTGATGCTAAGTAGATTGAAGTTGAAAAAGACTAATGTGCCCATGCTAGAAGGACTGAGCATGGTACTCGGCATCACGGGATGGGCTCCTAGAATATTCTCTATTTTTGCAACGGAATTTTATACTCTGCTGTTTACGGCTTTTCGCGCTGATATGCTCTAGTCTGTGAAAATGTGAAATAGGTTTTGGTTGAGCGCCTAGGCAAGTCAAGGTAGGGTTAATTTCGTGGACTGGACGGCAATACAGCGACTGCAAGGAGATGGCCACATCAACTGAATAGGTAGTAGCTGATCAGATAGGGCACTTTGAAAAGAAAAGCCTAGGGCTGTTGGCCTTGGCGGATATTATCCGATCGGATATTGGCGGCGGATACGATATTCGCTGTTCTTTCCACTGGCGGATGCGAATATCGAATATTATTCGACTGCTAGTCATGCCGGCGGATACGATACCTGCCATACCGCGCCGATATTCGAGTTATCCGCCGTAGGCTCTGAGGTCAAGAAGATCGGACCTATCCAAGCAATTGGTTACCAACCCATTTAGATCTTTCTAGCAGAACGTGACTAATAGACGCGCCAGCCCTATAAAAGCCCGCTGTTAGAATTGATATATTATTTTATCAGCTTCCTTCCTTCATTACTGGTACCTTTTGCATGAGATGAAATAAAGACTCAGAAATAGAATAGCGGCGCCGACAAGTGGAGTCGTGGAATCGTGCATCTATCCCTAGGATTGTATTTTATTCGCCAATTCCCCAATAAATCCATCTTTCCCAACGGCCTTAAATATATTTTAACATCATGGGGTCTATAAAATCAAAGACTACCACGGATGAATGCGTCAGGTGAGTGTTGGTCTTCATAAGCGATTTTCAAGCTGGATTGTGGTATAAAAACAGGTCTGTCATCACCGAGGAGTAGGAGGGTTTTCATTACTATCACTCCTGAAGTTCATAGTCAGGCGAGCTTTGATATAACCACGAATTACTTATAAAATGTATGTGCATGATGCATCTCATCCTTCGTGAACCTTATTGGGTTCATTAATAATAACCCTATAGAATTACTTTTCAACATGCCCGGCCCCCGACAGATCCTCGTCATAAGCCTGAGCCGCTACCTACGAGGCCAGCCCCTGCGCGAAATCCTCGACAAAAATTGGGAGGCCTACCCAAATGAACTTCCACGATTCAAGAACGTTCCCTTCGACTTTGACGGTAACGATATCCCCACTGCTCTCCAGGACCTCAAGTCCACCATCAAGGCATGTACCTGGGACGGCATATTAATCGGATGGTGTATACGTGGGTATCCGGAGAGGACAAATTTGCTTGAGGAAGTGATATCTGTATACACGAAGGCAATCCGAAAGAATGACGCGGGGACAAAGTTGATGTTTTGTACGGGACCGGATAATCTGGCAGATGCTACGTTGAGAAATTTCCCAAAGGAGGCGCAGGAGGTTCTTCAGAGCTGAGTAGTGAGATCAAGTCATGGCCATAAAAAATTATTTATACCGAATGAGTGACAGAATAGTTCGCTTCGGCCAGTATGATCCCGAGATCCAGGCTGTACTTTGATTTCGATACCTGTTGTATACGAATAAGCATACTGAAACCAAAGACCTCACAAAACTACTCTAAGCCGTGACAGTGACATATCAAAAGCACTGGGAAATCATTTCCGCATTGCTTTATGTGATCGTATCCAAAACTGCCCAAAGCGGAGTGTGGAGTGCTAAACTCTTGACGTCTTTGCCCCTACAACCAATCATCAAACCATCCCCTTGAACTTTTCATCCACAATGTGATCGTGGCGTTCGCTGAATACCAGATGGTAGAGTGGAAAGACCCTCCATAATAAAAACAAACTATAGATCACGACCTAACTTAGTGTATTCATAGCGCCGGATTCATCTTCTCGGGACTTTACCAGTTTGATGGGTAGATCTTCAACGAGGGCTTGATCCGAGATCTACCAAGCTTGAACAGATAGAAATTTGACGTCCATGCAAACTCTGTCTTTGCTAGCTAGATGCCGATCTTTGCCTGGTAACTAAGCTGTGGATGAAATTTAACATTTGAGCGAGGAAGAAAGACGGTCAGTTTGGGCGGAGTGACGAACAAGACTTGAGGATATGATATGTATGGGTTTGCGTGGTTACGTAGCTGGCTTGAGTGGTGTTGTATATGCATTTCTTTTTCTGTGATTTTCTGTCCTGAGCTTATTGTGGGCACTGGATTATGAATCTCCTTGGTAAATCTTGAGTATAAATAGTAAAGAGTCTCCCCGGCAGAGGAGAGGGGAACGAGGAGTTCACCTTGAATATGAGCACTTGGTCCATCGAGGCCTTACAACGTATACCATTGCGCCGGAGCATAAGACTGCCCAGTATTTAATCAGAGTGATGAAAGGAGAGACTGGGATATGAATGGATAGCAAAAGCATATCACGTACATGTATAATATCTAGCTAGGGAATAATAATAATCTTCGTCCTGGTGCAAGCGGGGCCGTTTTCCGCGTCGCGTTTAGCGTCGTCCCTTCTGGGTTAGTGTTGGATTAGCTAAGCCAATCCAGCCAATCAGACAATGAGATTTGCCAGCCAATCAGAGCGAGCCACACACTTTAGAGAAGAATCTACCAAATAGGGGCTAAAAGAAAGTCTCCCACCTTTACTGTACTTAGAGAAGGAGAAGGATGACAACAAGGATCAAGGATTCCATACCTTTTGCATACATAATTTGATACGTTGAAATATACCAAGATTTCATCCTTAGATAGACACACAGAATACAATACAATACGACGTCCCACTTGGATTTTCAACTTACTTACCAAGCCACAAAACAGGTTCGATACAACTGGTTTTCTTACCAAAATACATACTATCCATATCCGGTTAAGCATAGCGGGCCTAATCAGGTCTTGAAAATCAATACGTCACGAAACAAGCCTGTATAACGCTAAAAGCCACAATACTAGGAAAGGGAAGGCACAAGATACAAGGCAAACTGTTACTAGTCACTGACAGTAACGCGTACTGTCGTATAAGAATGCAGAGGTCACGTGATAATAGGAATGATACTTCGTACTTTTTGTCAGAAGAATCAAGAAACCACAGCCAATGAAACAACTAGATAGCGTTACACTACTGCATGACGGAACAAGGGATTATCCGAATAACCCTCAGGGTTAGGGTAAAATAGTCGGACAGGACAGGAATATGTCGAACATAGTCAGGACCGAACGGCTATGTCAAGGGAAAGGTATTTAAGGACGCTCATTTACCATGTAATTAGTTTTACTCTACTCTCTTGAATTAACTGTGATAACTTGAGTATACGTTGTGCCGGTTAGCGGGGCGCGCTTTTCGATCAACCAGAGCGCGGAACGGAAAAGAAATTCCCCGAAACCGTTTAGCGCGAGGCCGTGGAAGTACTTGTGTATACCATATGGGGGATAGCGGTTCTCTCGCCGCTTTAACGGGGGCTGCCCCACCGGGTGAGGCCTATATAAACTGCAAGTGCGTCCCCGAACGACGACCGTCAATTCCACCTCTCTTTTTTTCTTTTCTACCGCTCCAGCTGCTCACCTTTTCTCAGCCGTATTTGCTAGCGGGAGACTACACGAATCGCTGATCCCAGCATCTTCCCTCCTCCCTGCGCGGATCCGCCTTATTCCTGCGCCGTCTCCCCTTCTGCACCGTGACTACTTTTGAGTAGTTGACAGAAATTACAGTCTTTGGGTTCTACTACAGCAGTGAGCCATCATCTACAATTCAGATGATGGGAAGATGGATTGTATCGGATTGTATCGAAGTTTTACCTTCATTGTTCTCTCGCTATACCGGCTGTGATGAGATCGGATTCCTTTCAGTCCTGGCTTCACTAACACGAGTGTGGCAGCTAGGAACTTCAGCAGTGTAATCTATTGGACGGGGCTCATAGTCAAGTGACTCAATCATGTGGTATTCGGACAGGAGGCATCCTGATCTTGGCCACGCCGGAAATAAGCCCATCTGTGCACGGATGCTGATTCCACCAGTAGAAATTCTATGCAATGCCTGTTTGACAGCGTCATATCCACTGTTCGAGCCGACGTATTTATTGAGGAAGTGCTGTTAGGGTCTAAAGGCAAGTGTAGCCAATAATAAAAATCCTGCATCATCTGAGCTGGCATCTATGGCTGCAGAGCTGAAAGGGGCTGACACAACCATTAAGGTAGATTTGCGAGGATGCTGATCCAATGTTGGTCTACAAGTGTCAAACCCGCTTATAAAACGCCTTGATTCATGCACGACAGCAACGATGTGGTAACCCAGATGACTTTGGTCACAGATGTGGCTAGCAATGCCTCAATTGTGGGACAGAAGCAAAGTTGCGCATGAAGCTGAGTAGCATCGGGCGTGCTACTAGATCATGTCTCACTTTTGAGCTTGGATTTGGGTCATCTGATTGAAAATCAGCCAGCCCGTTGATTACGACGACTGCATCGTCAACGTCGCCGTTCTTTGTTGCAGGTGGAGACGACGATGACAGAGAATATGTCAGTGGCAGCGATAGCGATATTCGACGAGAACTGATAATCATCTTTTTGCACCTTTTGTGTCCTGAGACAGATATAAAGACCTCTCATCGCGCATTAGGATGGAGTGCATCCATCGGACATCAGTTTATTTTCCCTACCTCTCTCTACCCATTCCACGATCATGGCTGTTACCTTAGAAAAAATCAAATTTTACCGCCCCCATTCACTTCCTGCACGTCCTATAAATAGCATATCTCCCAGTAACTGTTCAACTCATTTCTTCCACCCCTCAAAAAGAGTCAATCCAAACCCTTCCACTCACCCAAGTTCCCTCACATCCTTCCCACAACCAGCTTTACGTCAAACACTTCCCCCATCGTCCACCAGCTGTTGTCTGCTCCATTCACAGTCCAGAGAGTACAATTTCACTGACTACCTCAAGCACATCTGCAGTCCATACCAATCCCTCGTGTTCGAATAATTTTGACCGAGCGTTCGGTGACTTTTCAGTCGTGGAGGGTGAAAAATGGGAGGAAAAAGAGTCTTTGGTTTGCTTGTCTGCGAAAGGTACAATCCCTATTCATGCATGTTTTTAGCTTACATATAAAAGCAGGAGACAAAGATGATGATAACAACAGTGCACATGCAAATTCGTCAGATCAAAGTATCGCAGATGAACGTGTATTGTCCGCCTTCACCGCAAAAGCGCCCTTGAAGTCGGTAGAAAATGCAGATCTCTCACAGCCACTCAATCAAAGCCAGGCAGAGCTATAGGAGCAAGCTAGTAATGTCACGCCTACACTAGATTAAGGTCTATCACCACAGTGTATACCTGAAACAGCAATATCAGCATTAATCCTCAAGGATTACACTCTGAGCGATGTAGTGACGCTATCTACTATATCGGGATTAACTACAGTTAGTCCAAGTCAGACCCAGAAAACTTTACCTACTAGTATCCCTTAGCAGTTGGAGCCTCACAGAAGCAGTTCACCAATTGAAAGCATCGAGTCACAGGATTTTCTAGAAGACTTCATGCTTGCTACCTCATAACTATCGGAAGACTTTTCAAATTTATTACAGAATGAAGCAGCATGCCTTTCCAGCCCCCCGCCTCAACTAGTTGTGATCCCTGCTCTGTCTTGTTGCTTAGACCTGTTGTAGGGATTACCTAACCAGTCAGCGTCTCATGATCAGCCTCACTGCGCGAATCAGGTTGCCAAAGACCCTGATATTTCTATGTCTGATAACGAGACTGATACAGAATATGTTGACAATATTGATAGAGACAAATTAAGTGAACACTTATGTCTAGCGAAACAGTTGAAGAGGAGTCATTTACTGGATATGGTCTCATCAACTTCTTCAGAAATAGTTCCATGGTTATCCTTAGAGTCTCTATTCACTAGATAACCTGAGTCGCCACAGAAAGAGACGAATCTGGAAAGCGAGTCAATCCCCATTCAAGGCTTTCTCAAACTATAATATATTGGATCTGAGGTTATCTATTATTTAGAGTTATCCCAATCCTATGTTTCGTTATTATTTGTGGGTGGATAAATGAAAGGTATTTGGCCATCTCAATAGAAAGGTCATTCTATGTTTAGCTCACAAAAATTCTCACCAGAAGAAGATGCGTTTATCGTTGAATTGAAGAGCAAGAATTTTAGTTGGGGCGTGATTGAGGATCAATTTGTACAACAATTTCCATACTGAAAGAATGTTTTCCTTTAGTGCCCACTGGTCTCTGAGAATTGCATTCTTCATGACTTGGTCTGCAGACCCGATAGTCCCACAGTGAATCTTAGGGGCTTTATTAGTTCGCTCCCTCCTCTTTATGAGATTCGTATTATCTAGCCCACAACAAGCCCTGCATGACTTTCTACCTTCTACATGGATGATGTCCGCTTTGAACAAGCGGTCCTTCTCAGAACCCGGGTGCTGAAAATTCGCCATGGACGGATTATCTGCAAGCATTTTTGATAATAACTCGGGGATTTTGTAATGTCCTCGAGTATGATTGGCCTGAAGCCTAGCAACTGCATTCAGCTTTCCACCGGTATGAACAAACTCCTTCTCCTGCAGTGACTTGCCAAAATCATACTGCACTACCGCTTCCGTAGACTTGGTGTGTAGACTGACTACGACATCGCCCAGTCTAATATCTGGTATTTCCTCCATCTCATCTTCCGACTCATCATCGTCTTCCCCTATTTCTACACCTGCACCTTGTTCCGGATAAGTGTGATGTGGTACGCCACCGCCAATGCCTACCATCAGTCCAAATCGGATCGATGGAAAGCTATGGATCATGTCTGTCACCGTGGCAGCCGAAACTTTGCCTGTTGTCTCTGCGGGCAGGCAAGCTATCACCACGTTGTGATCACTGACCCTGCCAAGGAGATACGGATTCGCGTCTCGTGGATCGGCTGCTGGCAGCACCGGATGTTCTTCGTCCAGCATTGCTGCGGCGGCCACAATTTCGATCTTCGGCAGCTGCAAATATGATACCCAGGCTGTATGCCGGTGTCCTTGTCTCGAAATTATCTTATCAAGGGAAATTTTATCGAAGTAAAATTCAGTGTCCTGAACTGTTACGGCTTCGCCTGGTATTTGATTTTACTAGCCAAGTAATGCTTGACGTAACGTTTTCTCGGAATTCTTGCCTGAAAATTCCCACAATGGCTGCGCAATCCGCTTGATTAGCGAGGCGTTAAAGAAGAAAAGCTTCAATGATAAGATCCTTCCTTTCATTGCTAGGAAGTAATCCCTGACCCTGATTCGCTCAGACTCGTTGAGTAGTCAAGGAAATAAAGTACAATCATCCATCAATGATTGAATTTGACTCCTGTCATGGATGGAATATAAAGGCATTATACCCTCAATCAAAGTAATGGAGTTCTGATCGACAACAGGTGCTTCAAAAATTGACCATTGTTTATAAACATTTTGCAAGTAGTGTGCCATCTCCTAATGTACGTTAGCTAATGCAAGAAATGTATTTTCAGATCTTACCCCAAGACTATATGATCCTATCACATAGTTTAGTTTGCAGAGTGTAAATGAATCCCATAGACCTGTGTATGGAAGCAATGCGCCAATCGCATATCGCAATTCCTGGTTCTCGTAAACGTGTCTGACCTATGTATAACTAGTGCCAGTTTTTGCTTTCCAATCTATAACACTTAGGTTATTTTGAGACCATAACGACTGAAGAATTTCAGAATCTGCGGATTGGTATGCAAGCGGATAGCTCTCATTTAAATACCGCTTGAGGTGCTCTATAATATCTGAGCGCGGATGTCAGCATGTTTTTGGTTGTCAGCAAGGCGAACCTACCAGCTAAAAAGAGACGAATGACCCACCACTTCTCTCTAAAGCCTAGGGAACGCTTAGCAGCTTCTAGGAGGTCCTGCCCCTGGACACATGGCAACTAAATATCTTGCTCTAGAGTGAGAAGGGGTGGCGTTCGTGGATCGTAAAGCGCGTTCACATTAATACCATGTTGTGAAACCGCTCTAACTAGAATTTCCGACATATAGTTACCGCAATCGCATGCAATGGGTCTTCTCATGAATATTAACTAGCTTTGAAAAGCCAAAGATATCAACGCACATTCTTTTTATTGTATATATCATTAACAATGTGACCTAAATGTACTTTGATGAATCCACGAAAATATGCAGACAATTCTGATGAGCTAGTATCCATAATGATAATGTGTAGAACTTTCTTTGCAAAGCAGAAATAGAGGCTATTATTCTTTATTATTGCTAAACTCAAGAATTGAGTTCCATGTTACTTCATTCTATGTTCAATTTTGACCAATCTCTGCTCTCCTTGTGCATAAAGTACCAGCGTTCACAAAATGGAAAAGCAGTCAGATTATGAGGCTTCAAATACTATGCTGCCGGTTCGGGAGGGGCTTTCAGGAGAAAATGGCACTCGCGATTTGTTAGTAAAGGTTTGCCTTTTCTAGAATTAACTTACTTGAAATAGTTCCCGATAGGTGGCGCTCTTGGTCATCTTGATGAACTCGCAAGCTTCATGCAACACATCTCTTGGATTATTTACATGTATTCTCCCATCTTCCAAGATTGTGTGAGGATTTTTCAAATGAATCAAAACTAGCGCCAGTCCTTATAGATCTCCTCTTTTGTGCTCTAAAGACTTGCCTTGGAGCATGCTTTCTCTGATATTGGCTAGACACGGTCAGCTTCTCATTATCTGTGGTCAATTGGGTACCATACCGATTTTGACCTGTCCTGACTGACTTAGCACCAAGTCTAAAAGTTTTATAGATCCATGGCTGATCTTGAGTTTTTCATGGATATACTGAAGACCCGTGAGGACTAGGCGACAGACTATGGCGATATCAGCTTCGGTGAATTGGACATTTGGACTAGCGTGGATCATAGACAGCGGTAGGTCGCAGCGATCAAAGTCATAAATCAGATAAGTGACATTCTTTGAATGAAACACTTCTTGTAAGTTGACCAGGTTGATTTGATCGGTTTTATGGAATTGAAGTTTTTGGCGACCCGTAGTCTTAACAATTTTGACAAAAACCGTGCGGAGGCCTTGACAGTTTTCGAAACCAATCCAACCTGCGCCCGCTTGATTAAACTTATGAGACAAAATGTATTTCGTAGAAGGATCCTCTTCTTTCCATAACAGGTCATCCGGACTCTATATCCTTAAGTAACACAATTGCTTTAGCCCATACGGTTTTCTGATCATATAAATCCCCATCATCATTTCCATAAGCCGTGACCAACGGATACACCACGAGTACAACCCCTTTACTATCCATACTGTGATCCTCGTCATCGAGACGGTATAAAGGATGAGCCACCATTTCCGGTGATTCGATGGAGAATTCATCCAGCTGGCGCAATCCGTCATTTCTCATGTACGTCCTCTGTGTCCACAAGGACGCGGACAGATCGGCAGCCCAGATGTAGACTTCTTGCAGTTCTTCTTTACATTTGGTTTTCTCACTGTCTGTCAAATCCGTACAGAGTGATTGTACAGGACCCTGAAAGAAAGCCTCTGCTCGTTTTATGCTTATTCGTTGTCTGGCATCTTGCGTCTTGACGTTCAGAAGTCGAAGGGTATCAGAGCGCCAAACATGCGCTTGTGCTTCATTCACTGGTAAACAAAAGTAAGTAAGCAAATGTGGGTTGATATACCCTAAGAAATCTGGGGGGCGGACCTTTTTCCATTTCGTTATAAAGTGCAACAAGTTGAGTGCCGAATGGTGAACGAAATTTCTCCTTGTTCTCGGTCTCCTCATTAAAAAAGAAAAACGGATTATCAAAGATATTATCGAAAATATCCTTGGCCAGCAAAGCTTGAACAAGAATCCTCGGCAGCCGCTTTTGTACCAGAGCCTTTGTGCAGGAGACGAGTCTGTCCCAGTCTCCATCATAGTACCCATCTAATTTTGAAAGAACGGAATTCTTTTCCGTCTCTGTGATCTTTGCTTGAAGGGTGGAAATATCAGAGAGAGCATAAGCTTTTGCCCAGTTCCTTATATTCTCCTCTAGCTTGGCGAATTCGTCTCTCACGCGGTAATCCTCCTTTGGCATCCAAGTTCCTTTCTTCAAAGCACGGAATGCTCCTTCCTGGGCGTCTCGAAGCTGTTGCTGTAAGGATCGATATCCCTCGTCATAGGACTTGAGTTGGCCCTGCAGACAGCGTATCTCTTCCTCCAGCTCAGCTATTCTAGTAGCGGAGTCTTCGTTTGATGCGGCATTATTGTCCATCTCAGATTTTGATATCGGTTGTCCATCATCTTCCACTTCATGGGATGACTCAGGTTCCTTTAGAACCTGTAGTGCATTTTCAGCATCATCACTCTTTCCCTGATTCTTTTCCGAGGAAACTTGAACCCGTTTTGTTGCCCTAGAAGTGCGCTCTTTAGGCGATGAATCCTGCTGTCTGTTCGAACTTTCGGTGGTTTTCTTCTTCTCTGGCTTCTTCAATCCAATTATCTGTGGAAATCTGTTAGTAGACATTCCGCAGTCTTTTTTGGAAAAAGTTTGTGCATTCTCACGTCACTCATTGCTTTGCCCATCTTTGCCGATATCTCTGATATTGAATGACGGGAGTGTGTTGACGATGATCTCCGCCTTTCTGCTTTAGGAGGCTGCAGTAGGTCTGGCTTGGATTTATCTGGAGACCTCTGGTGATCTTGTAAGCAAAGAGATTACTGAATGATCGGGGCAAAAACACCATCTAGCATGGGAAATATTCCACGATAGAAGCCAGTGAGAAAGGAAAACAAATTGTCTTTAGGCAATACTCACCTCATGTTGCCCTTGCCGATCTGATTCCTCTATACTTGACTTTTTCTGAGTTGCGCTTTCCAATGAATCCATCTCTTTCCTCGCTAGTTTTCTTGGTGGCCGAGACCGGTTGGACTCCATATCGAGTTGCAACCCAGATTTCTGAGTACAAGATGTCTACAAATTTTCGAAACCCAGCCGTGATCTAGTCTTCAGGAAGTCGCAAACTTCCCATATGATTCAATGTTCCAGCAGCTATATGAACGAGCTTCTACATTTCGGGAAACATTCTACGGTCGTCTGAACGCCGCCAGAACCCATGAGGGTGGTGTCAAATTGTCAACAAAGGTTCACTAGGCCTCGCTAAAAGCTCATCTAATGTCTCTCTAATGCATGGTCAGACGGGATGGGTTACATTGATACGATCAATTATTGGGTGGAATTTGCGGCGCAGCTGGCTACCCCTGTACTCTAACTATATCTCAATTCAGGATTGGCCAGGTCATATCTATCCCCACTCGTCACATTTGCTCCTCGTGAGGAGATGAAACGACGGCCGCAGCTTGATTAAATCGATTACGGGGGCAGTTCAAGTCTTTGCCCTTATGACTTGGACCTCTGCAAGTCGGGCATTGTATCGAGATCGACTCATACTTTTCTCCATAATCAATCATCTTTTTAAGTGAAAAAATAGTGATATAGTTCAGCTCGACTGAGGTATCGTTCGATATTATGGCAGGTGCTGAAGATCTTTCCAAGGGACTGACACAATTGTCCCTTGGTGTCGATTCCCACAAGATCATCGTTGGAGTAGATTACGGAACAACTTATACTGGTACACTCTGCAAGGAAAACACGCAACTAAACAAGCTAACGTAGGATATTCATTGCTATCTAGGTCTCAGCTACGTGAGTACCGAGAAAAAGGATATCAATGACATTGTTGTCGTCAATACATGGCCTGGACCTGCTCGAGATGCCGACCACGTTGAGAAGGCCCCTTCTCGTATCGCATATCCTAACGAAAATACCGACATGGAATCTCCACGGTGGGGGTATCAAGTCGAGCCTGGCATGACAGCGTACTCCTGGACCAAATTGCTGTTGGAACAACGCATGCCGCTGGGTGGATATGAAGACCAGAATCTGGAAGTTGCCTCGAAGGCAGGAATCATGAAACTTCCCGAGGGAAAAACCGCCGTTCAGGTCGTTGCCGACTTTTTGACGGAGATTCGTGATCACGCGCGGAGAATTCTGGAGAAGCGGATTACAGAAAAGATACTTGCCGCAACGCCACTTGAGTTTTGGCTGACGATCCCAGCGATTTGGTCTGAAAGTGCGAAGAATGCCACGAGAGAGGCTGCCCTACTTGCTGGCTTTGAGGGATCGTCAGATCGTCCAAAGGACCGTATCTTCATGATCACTGAACCAGAAGCAGCGGCTGTCGCCGCAATAAGGAAGTCAATACATGACGGAATGGGGGACTGTGTCAAGGTTCGAGCAATGCCTGTCCTGTCTTCGCTGCATATATCTTCACTAAAACGCAGACTACTACTCAGCCAGAAGACGGAGTGTTGATTTGCGATTGCGGAGGAGGTACAGTTGTAAGTGATTCCTTATTCTCGAGCTAATAATACCCCTATTCATTCAATGTTCCCCCAGGACATTACGACATACCTAATTTCCGAAACGAGCCCCCAATTAGTATTCGAAGAGTTATGTACAGGAATAGGTATGAATGATCTTTTCCGCGTGTCCAAGAATCCTTGTGAACTGAAACGTATGTGGTAGGTGGGAAATGTGGATCGACAGCCATTGATCGAAACCTTTATGCACTAATGTCAGAGCGATTCGGAAATGCATTTGATGAGATTCCTCTAAAGAGAAAGGGCCCCGGGAGTGAATTCATGAATAAATTCGAGCGAGTCAAGAGAGACTTTGGTTTCTCCAAGGAGGATAAGATCAATGAACTCAGGCTGAAAATGAATTTAAAGGATCCCGATCCCACGTTCTACGACGAGGAGGAGACCTTTGTTCTGCTTTCCAAGTTAGTGCAATATTGATTCGTATTTTATATGAAAAAAGGCTGATCGTATATCTACAGCAACGACCTACGAAAGATGTTTGACCCAATCATTAAACAGATCATAGAGCTCCTGCAGCAGCAGATAGAAGACGCGAACAGGGAGGCAGAAAGAGAGGCTATCAACGTTTGATTCCACATTTCCTCAGATGTGTACAGATACCTAACGAATTGTACAGCGCATAATATTAGTTGGAGGTTTTGGAGACTCCTATTATCTCCGACAAGAGTTGGTAAAGCATTTCGAGTCAGCTGGCAGGATAACAATCACTGTTCCAGACAATCCGTGAGTTTTCTAATCACTCTTGGAGACAGCTTCTCATATTAATGTCATCTCTTTATAAATGGTAAAGCCAGTCAGTCATCGTCCGTGGCGCCGCACTCCGTGGACTGGAAGGCATCCGTCCAAAGACGAGAAGAAGTCGACGACATTATGGATTCCAACGGTGGATTCCGTTCCGCGAAGGAACTGATTCAGAACTTGACGCGCGAACTGATCCGTTCACTGGGCTCAAGATGGTGTCTGGGATTATGAAATGGATGATTGCCAAGGTTTGTATAGTATACATATCCCTTCTCTGTCAAATATCTCGTTGACATCTTTCATCTTCCAGGGCGAGAAATATGTCGATAACTATAATTCAGATCCTCATAATCTGAAGATACTACATTTTGAGGGTGATAGCTTACGCAAGCACCTTCTACTTTTTTCTTGTGATTTGCGTGACGCCCCTGAGAGATATGATAGCGACAGTATGTGCTCGATCCTAGCATTCCTTCTTTTCAACTTGTAAAGAGACTAATAGGCAAGCTTCCAGAAATCGAACACGTTGGAATGATTGTAGTTGACTTCAGAAACGTTGATCTTGCTCAATTTGAGAAGAAAAAAGTCAACGGCATAGAAACAACCGTGCTCCAATACGCTGTCAAAGTCGTCTTTGGCGCTGAAGAGGGGGTGTTGAAGTTTCTAGTCATTGCAAACGACGCGGTCATTGGGACCGCCAACATTGATTTCTCGCAAAAGACGACTATTTCGCAGGTACATGTACCTCGCTCGTCGTCGCAGCCACGGATGGCCCAGAAGTCTCTAGAATACAGGTCGCCGAAGAAAGATACCTCACCATGATGGGTATGTCAAAGCAGGATGCAGTTGATTGAATTGCTTTATGGCTACGTCAACATCCATCTGCATTCGGAGGCCCCTAGAATAGACGATTGATATCTCTCGCGTACTCGGTTTTACGGAAAGGGGGCAATATTTGTATTGGAAGGCAGGGCTTCTTCTATGACGGGACCGTAGCTGCGTTGTAGTGATTGTTGTAATGAGCAAAATAGGTAGCTAGGAGTAGTACAAGGCTGGACGCGAAAACTGGGACCAGGAATTCAGAGGGTGTTGCTGAGATGTTAGATATTCCCAACTGTCTTTCTGCTATATCATTATAGATTTTGTACTAGTCAATATAGTGACGGATTACTCAACGAGATAGGATGTCCGAGGTTTCAGTCAAGCAAGCAGTGCTTTCACACATCCTTTTAGAATATAGACATAAACTGAAAGATGTATAATGGCAACACTCGATCAATAGAACCGAATACGCCGAGTAGAAACATGTTTACAAGTCACTCCTTAACCGAAACACTCAAGAAAAATTTGTCATTCATTCATTTTTCGTCTACTTAAGAGTCGTAGAAAATCTCCTTGTATCGATGCGTAACATCCACAACTTGCTCGTAGATCTTATAGTCTATCGTCACCAAGTCAGCAGGGCTTCAACCAAAGATATACTTTTTTTCTAAAGGGACAACCACTTGCCAAAATTCAAAGGACTATCCCAATCTATAGTGGCGAGAACATTAATCCCCAATCCCTATATTAACTGGAATCAAAGTCGTCAGCCATGCAATCACCACAATTTTGTATCTCTCGAGATTCGATGTATCAATATACCTGCCCACCACTCAACTCAGCAACTTTCCCAACAACCTCAACCAATTTCCCCATTTGAATGTGCGAATCCGGTTTCAGGAGTAATGTCACATCTCCGTGATTCCCGCATGTGATCACTACAGTTTCGCCACGGAGCGATACGGACTGTGTTGATGCGCTGATTACCGCCGGATGAAGGGCGGAAGGCTTGGAGGTGAGAGGGGAGAATTCGTGGGGTTTGTAGGGACATGGTTTGAGGATTTTGGTCTTTCACGTAATTCGTAATGCTAGGTCGCAGGACGGGTTTTTGGCTTATAACGGGGAAGCTTTTTGCTGGTTGGTCGTTTCGATGCTGATTATGATTTGTGCAGGTGTCAGAGTTAACAACCTCTAATCCCCCTTTGGTCTTGGGTATAGTCATGGTTTTCTAAATTTTTTACTATGTAGTATCGGCTTGTAGGCATGCTTTATTTTCCTACCTCGCTACGATATCCTATGCTTCATACTATAGAATATAGCACCTATATATCCAAACAACCCTTTTCTATGTAAACATTCACAATCTTGATTATCTCTTTGATAATCGGGTGCTTCCCCCGAGCAGAGCTCTGTTTGTGTATGGAAAAGTTGGGACAGCTCACGTCCAGCGGCAGGCAAATGGAGGAAATGATGTCCACGTAAGACTATGGGATGGTCTCGTTCATTGTGGCGACTGGGCAATTCAAGGTTCCTCTCACCCAGGTCTGCAGTTCAGCCGAAATGGGCTGGCCGTTATGGTCGTGATAGATAAAAACTTTTCGCCTTGGACGTGACGAATTTGTTGCATCTCGCTTGCGCTTTTTTTGTTAGCGATAATTCAGCTTTGTGAAAATCAATGAGCTGTACGCGACCCAACTCTGTGTTCCAGAGTATATTGGATTCGTGTAGATCTCCATGTATCACGCTCAAGGGTTGGATATCCTCTTTTGTTCGCTGGTACTCGTTCCACCGTTCTTCTTCGCAGCAAAGTGGATTAAACGGAACTCCGCCCCATGAAAGGATTAAACAATGGGTGATCCTAAAACCTCCGTAAAAATATATCCAGTCGATATCGATAGTGCCGAGGAAAATGGGCACCGCAGAGCCTTGCACTGAATGCAGGACCCGATACACATTTTCCTCTTGCCGTACGACAGGAAGGGTAGGAAGGCTCTGATAAGAATAGAAATGTTAAATAGTAGCTCATCAATCATCCAGTATATTTGATGCTACAACTACCTCAGCAGTTCAATCATCTTGCTGGGGTTTTGCCTTACCCGTCTTCGATCAGCCAAAGGATTGATTGGGCAACAGGCTCCCGTTGAAATTCAGCGTCCGTTGACGGGGATGACGCAGGGAAGAGGAAACTTAGGCAGCTTGATTGGCTAGTGTCGCAAGCGCCCAAAAATCGACGGACTGGCCATTCTGTAGCTTAGTACCGTCCACGCAGGCCCAGAGAAACGACCGCCGATTCCTCTTCATTGACCACCTACACACCGCTGCGCTACCAACCGAGGTGGTCTCGACACGGTACGTGCGGCGGAGTGTTTATTTCACTTTTTTTTTGGCAAGTCGTTCTCCCCACCACCCAATACTCCCGTCCCGTCGAGAGAACAGCGAGGCTGGCCGACTCCGCTATTCCCCTCTCGCCGTTATTTGTCCCTGACGATGAACACACGACGGGGCTCGACCCTGGGATCGACGACCCTTTGACAGATACTGAGATGGAAGAGGCTAGACATGGGGAAGGGGAGCTCCGTCGCGGTGCACAACCAGGAGTAACTGATCAGAGGCGTCTATCGGGAGAAGCAGAAGAAAGAGCCGCGGCTGAGACTGCCGAGCAAGAACGCATTCGGCGAGAACAAGATGAGAGAGTAGTAGCCGAACAGGAACGTCTCCGTAGGGAGGCGCAAGAGAAAGCAGCCGCCGAAGCAGCTCAAAGACAAGAGGCGATCGTTGCTGAGCAGCCCCGTTTACAACGAGAAGCAGAAGAACAAGCCGCAGAGCAGGAGCGCGACCGGAGAGAAACAGAGGAGAGAGCCCAGAAGGAAGCAGAAGAGAAAGCTGCTGCCAAAGAAGCTGAGGCAGCACGTCTACGCAGAGAAGCAGAACAGGCCGCAGAGCCGTTTCGATTAGAGAGAGAAGCGGAAGAACGTGCAGCCGAGGAAGAGCGTCTCGAGCAAGGAAAGGAAAGACTAGCAGTCGCAGCCGAACAAGAACGTCTTCGCAGAGAAGCCGAAGAAAGCGCCGATGTCGAAATGGTTGAACAAGAGCGGCTGCGTCAAGAAACGAGTTCTGCTGAGGAGGAGCGTATTGCGCAGGAGAGAGCCAACGCTCTGGCGCATTTAGAACAGGGTGACGAGGATGTCTCAGCACCGCCCGATGCAGGTCCATTTGAAAGATCTAGCTCAACCACGCAAGTTGACTTACCCATCGACTTGCCCAATTTGATCACCCAATTACGGGAAGGATCCGACTCGCCGGGTCAGGACCACTCTCCCATTGTCGAGCCACATGGCCTCGCAACGCAAAGTTTCCCCGAAACTGCCATTGAATCGCACACCGTAGAAGCCCCAACCGGCGACGTATCACCACCACGGATGGTCACAGCCGCATTAGAACCGATTACCGAAGAAGCAGAGGTTTCGAGTCTCATTCCATCCGTCATCATCGAAGGCGATCGCCAGAGACAGTTAAGAGAGCGCATCGCCGAACGCAGGCGGGCAGATAAAGAGAAGGTTGCCAATTCGGAACGAGCGTCACTGGAGATTGATGACAACTTCGCTCAGACCCGCGGTGCGGAGAGTGAGGATCTCTATACCAATGAACCGGACGAAGAGGTGATCATACCACCCGAACTGCTTACAGAATCTACTCTTCCCCCCGAAGGAGCTTCAGAGATACTACGACAAGATCGTATCCAGGAAGCCGATACTGCTGCCAGCGCACCAACGACTGAACCGTTACCGCAAGTTACCGTGACACGAACCAAGTCCAAGTCCAAGCCCAAGCCCAAGGGCATTCAGAAAGTCAGGAAATCCGCACAAGCTACCAGAAAGCCAGCTGCATCACGTGCATCGTTTGACCCGTCATCACGGCCGTTGACTCAAATGGAATTCTATAAAATCATGGCCGACTTACCTGCGTGGCCGGGCAACGATCAGAGCGCGCATGACGACGTTAGCGCCAATTTGGCATCGATGCCAGAGCCAACCTCTGCATCTCACTTGCCCGTCTCTGGGGAGGGCGAAGACGGAGACCCCAGGATCAAGCCACGAAGGCATCATCACAGCGTCATTAGAAGGCTCCGGACCCCCGACAGGTACCGCCACCTCCTGGCGACCTCGAGGCTGATACCATCATCTTCCGAGTGTGGAGGGGTGGTAAGTGGATCGAAATCCAGCGTGTGGCCATCGACCCAGACGACCCGTTTCACATCGAGCGCGTGGCCAACCGGTACGAACAGGTTGAGTGTGTGTACGGGAATCCCCAGGTGTTGAGTATCAACACCGGAATATTAGCTATTCCGGTTCCCTGGGGATTTCTCCTCTACCTGCATGTAATTATCCTTCTCCTCCCTTTTTGGGGATCAGTCATAATATTCGAATAATATCAATATTATCAGGCTCATGGGCTCTTTGGAATAGCCTTACTGCGTAATCCTGTGCTTCGTGTTATCAGGACGTAGCTAAACCAACATTGAGCAAGCGGAATTCTACGACAAGAACATGTTCAAGATCGCGGCCTCCCAATGTTTCCGGGCGACCCAGGATGAGGGGATGAACTCCGTTTTTATGCTCTTCAAAGATGGGCTCTTGGAGCGGACAATCACCCGGGCTATGGTGACGGCTGCCGACAATGTGAGCAAAGAAAGCAAGCTGGGGCGAGGCCGGAAGCGGGCTCGATAATTTGATAAACAAATACAGTGCTTCACCGCCTCGTGCACGGTTTTCGCGACATGCCATGTAAAATATTTCGAAGCTTTACAACACCACATAACAATAAGATATAATTAATTTTGCAGTGTATTAGTAAATAAGATATAGCGAATCTAACAGCGTAAATTTATCTAGCGATAGCGTGCAGGAAGCCGAATCTACTGCTCCCTACGATTCGTAGCAAGAACCTCATCAATAACTTCCTCTTCGACCTCACTACTCTGTTTGCGCTTCAATTTCCTTGAATTTGGGTTCGTTCGACTCTTACGGGGATTTGTCGTAGCTATAATATCTTTTTGAAGCTGCAAATTTGCTTGCTTGGCTAGCTTTTCCTCGAGTTTTTGGCGTTGTTTTTTCGGCAGCTTCTTGCACGCGTCCTTCTCGCTTTTGTTGACGGGTTTGAGCCTTTTCTTGCTTTTCTTTCTCTGTAATTTCCTTTGCAAGCCGTTGTCAAAGCTTTTTATCGTATTTCCTGGCTCTTTCCTGCGTGCTTGATCCTCTCTTTGTTGTTGTAGTTCTCGGGCTTGCTGAATCTTTGAAAAGCTAAAAAATATCGCACCACCTTCATTTTCATTAGGTAAACCCAATAACAATGGCCTTTTCCTAATTCGGCGCCTCTTCTCATTCAATAGAGCCTTTTCTGCCCTTTCAAGTTGTAATCTAAGTAGTATAACCTCTGTAGTAAGCTCCATAACTGTATTGCTTAGCATTTTGAAGTCTTTGCTAGGATTTTTGCCTCCAATCTTTCTAAGAAGTTTGCGAATATCCCTCCACTCTTCAGGCAAGAGAATTGAAGCTGTAGAACTAGCTGAGGATGGCCGGCTTTCAGATTTCTCATTAAAACGCTGTAAAACCACCTCCGGACTGAAAGGAACCAAACCTGTACTTTGAAGCCAGAGTTGATATTTTTTCTTAGTAAAAGAGATCTCCCAACTCGCTCAAAAAAGCCGAAAAAAGTCGCGTTTAGTCAGACGGCTTACCCCTTGAGTTTCTTCAAGAAACATGATAAAGCCTTGGTGACCGGATTTGGCCATATAGATCAAAACTGGAGAGATAACAGTTCCATCTGCGCGAATACAAGCAATTGTAGTAATCCACTCCCTATTCCCATCTTGAAGAAATTGCTTGAACTTCTTCTCATATAAGCGCCGAGAAAAGACTCTTTTTTGACTTGTCATAATCCCAATCGCAAAGCCCTTCTCATCCATATTGTAAATTTGATTTGGCTGAAGATTATACTGCTCAATATTGCGATTTATAAGCTCGAGATAGAGAGCATAACTCCAAGCGCAATCTGCTCTTTTTCGATTGCGGTCAATGTCTGGAGAATAGCGAGAAATCAACGCATTTGGATGCTTGTTTAACCAGCGAGAAGCGCAGTTCTTTCCAGGCTTTCTACCAGTTATCTCATGCGCAAAATTTGCAATCATATAGAGCGTAGGTGGCAGCCTTTCTCGCAGAGCATTTCTATCCATTGTATGAGCTTTTTGGATTGGTGGTCGTTGAGTAATCGTTGATTATCCTAATGCGCCTCTTTCAAGCCCGTAACGCCTCGGTATCTTCTTGAGAGTGTAGTTCGATCAACACCATACATTTTTGCAACTAAGGAAAATAACTTGTTCATCTTCTCCCAATGAATTCAAATTATCAACTGCACCCTCGATTGCACCCATTTTGACTGATTTATCGCGTTTTGAAATCCATGTTGTTTGTCGCATTTTGACGCGGTACCGTGCATGAGGTGGGTCTGTTAAAACGGTGTGAAATAACTGACGTGGTTGAAAGGAAAGGTGCGTGGCAGATACGGGATTCACACGTGATTTGGGCCTTGGCAGGACTTGGCGGTTAGCAAGACTCGTAAAGCGGCTTTGTACTAAGTCGATTTCGGCAGTACGCTAACCGTCTGAACATATACTGTTGGGCTTTTGACCAACTAGACCAAAAAGCTGCGCGCATACTAGATGATCTAGTATGGATGTAAATAGCTGGGAAAGGTGATATGTGATGTGCGGTGATATTCCCAACATATACATAGTAAAGAAGTATACTGTGGGTTCGCTTCTGCACATGTGCATACAAGTAGCTTAGTAACCAATTGGTAAAGTCATATTCTTCTGATTGTCTGTTCTCTTCTCTTAATGAGACCCCGACGCGGTCTATATAGTCCTTGCTTGACGAGGTCACGTGCACCTTCACGTGACCTCTCCTTGGTTCGCGTCGGTGCCAGGAATCTCGATTGCACCTATAAACCAACATATACGAAACATAGAGGACTAGATATATAAGGACGCTTATTAATAAATTATCTTATCAATTTATTTAAATTGTTAAGACTGTTTAGCCTATCCTGCTTTAGATATTCATCTAGCCTATTATCACTCCCGAGTGTGCTGTGCTGCATCTAATGATTGGCTGTTATTCCTTGAACTTCTGACACAGTGTTCGGTAGTTACAAAGAAGTGGCATGTCACCTGCTGCCTTCTGCACAAATGTGATGCAACATCAGAAGCAAAGAAGCACCGGGTTCTCTCCCTTGCATCCATCTTCTCTCCTTGTGATTCACCTCACCTCACCTCACCAAAACCGAGAATCAAAAAAACAAAACATTCCATGTCTCCAGCAGCAAAACCTTCGAGAATCTGATCTCGCCGCACCAGTTTATACACATCTCCTGCCATCGATATTCTTGCGACCTGAGCTGATACAGACTGTGCTCGGCCTTTGATGTGCAAGCGACGATTCTGAATCCACGCATCCGCCCTGTAACCATCACCACCGAAGTTATAATGGCTTCGCAGAAATTCTACTCTTACGTAGTAGCCGGCTCGGTCCTAATGATCTCTCTCCTCATACTACGCCGTAAGAAGGCAGTGAGGGAGCAGCAGCCTCCTGCACCACCAAAGCCGCACCCGTTGGCAAACACACCACCTGAGCAGCTCCCTCAATACATTCAGGAACTCCTCGCGGCAGTTTCCGGCTGCGTCATTCTCCAGAACGATGTCGAGGCTTTCCAAAAGGCTGTAGATTATAGCTGGGCCCAGCAGAACCGCGAGATCATCCCCGCGTGCGTCCTGCGCCCGCGTGACACGCACGAGCTCAGCAAGATTGTTGCAATTTTGAAGAAGGAGCATGAGAGACGCACTCGGGCTGGGTCACAGGTTGAGAGCTTTTTTTCGGTCAGGAGTGGTGGCGTCAATCCGGGTCTTGGGGCGTCAACCGTGAAGGATGGCGCTGTGGTTGACCTCAGTTTGTTTTCTGAAATTATGCCCGCTCCTGATGGATCTACTGTGACTGTTGGAACAGGGTCCAAGTGGATCGACGTTTACAAAACTCTAGATGAGAAAGGATTGATTGTGATGGGAGGAAGAAACGCACCTGTTGGTGTAGGTGGGCTGACCTTGCAAGGTAAGATTTCTTCGGGTTCGATATCAATTCTACAGGCGATTTTTCATATAAGTCAACAAATGCTAATCATCCAGAATAAAGGAGGCATATCGTTCTACTCTCCCAAATATGGCTTTGTCTGCTCCAACTGCGTGAGCTATGAGGCTGTGCTCGCCGACGGCAAAGTTGTTACAGCTTCTGCCTCAGAAAACCCTGACTTATGGAGGGTGTTAAAGGGAGGCGGGAACAACTTTGGCATTGTGACTCGTTTCACACTCCGCAGCTTCCCTTATGCGCCTTTGTGGACTTCAGGAATAGTGACACTGGCAGCTTTCCAGTATGCAAAGTCACTGAAAGCCTATCATGACTACCTTGCTCACACGAGCTCTGGCAAGCCCGGCGCATTTGATGAGGACGCTGCTGGTCCGATCCTCAGTTTTATCTATGTTCAGAAACTTGGCTTTCAGATCCTCGCACTTTCAATCTTGTATACCAAAGTCCCAGAGGACAAGAAGTGGCCGGCTCACTGGGATGCAACGGGCTTCAAATCACTGCGGGGCATCCGTAAAAACCGAGTGGAGACCAACACCAGCATTGTCGAAAGATTTGGTGGTACTGCACCAGCTGGAACCCGTCACGTACAGGGCACGACGACTATCTGCAATGATCTTGAAACTATAAAGAATGCTTACGCTATTTTCTGTGAGACTACAGCTGAACTACGCCACGTGAATGGACTTGTATTTCCGTTTACCTTCCAGGCAATCTTGCCAGGATGGATGAACAAGGGAGACCCAAATATCTTTGGCCTTGAAAACTGTACTGAGCCATTGATCATCATCAGTTATTCTGTCACATGGGCTAAAGCCGAAGACGACGAGTTTGTTCGATCGACTATCCGCCGCAGCATAGAAAGGATAGAGGCGGCCGCAGAAGCGAGGAAGGCGGGTCACCAGTACCGCTTCATTAATTACTGCATGGAGTGGCAGCGGCCATATGAAGGGTGTGGCGAAGAAAACCTGAAGCTCATGCGCGAGGCGAGCCACAAGTATGACCCGGCTGGCCTGTTCCAAAGCGGACGTGCTGGTGGGTTCAAGCTAGACATCTAGTAGTAGCGTAGCTGGCAAGTGTGCCTGTGCCTAGAAGCAACTAAAATTATCTTTTTGCACATTAATTCAGCTTGGAGCACTGTGGTAGACGGCGATATTCGCCCAGTCATCATCAATGCGACTGACTTTGCAACCTCGCATCGCTTTCTTCGTGGCACTTATACAGTGGTAGCAATCAATTTTCGTGGTTAGGCCGTCCAATTTTTCAGTTTTTTGAAATACCTAGGCTGTGCAGGGCAATTAAAAAAGTTTCCCAGCGGCACTGTGCAATTGGATGCAGGGGGAATTTTCGAAGAAGGGGTCTGAAGACCCAGATATTTTGCTGGCGCCTTCCAAAACAGGAATTGATCTATTAGCATTGACTTACTAGTGGTTTATCATATGTTCTTATACTGCACCGTTATGTGTTACTATTGGAGAGACGCTAGGGCACTTTGCATCTACAATATATAGGTTCAATAGATTCAAATATTATAGATATGAACTTCATAATGAGTCGAACTACTCTTTCTGTTATTGCATCCTTAGCACCTCTTTGGAAAACTCGCCGCGCATGACTTCCAATCTGTAGGCGTAAGTTTGTTCTACTCTGCCTGCAAGATATCCTCCATTTCCTCAATTGAGTGGATTCGGTGACAGTATTTGCTAATCCGAAGCTTTATAATGCTCCAAAGGTTCTCGATTGGGTTTAAATCTGGGCTTTGCGCAGGCTATTCCAGGATCATCATTTTGAGGCCAGCTTGGTACTCTCGGGTCAGCTTGGACGTGTGATATTAGCCCCATCTTCTTGCCTTGTTCTTCGAAGACTTTCTGATAAAAAAATCAAAGGCTGCCTCCTGTAAAACAAGAGAAATATATCTCCGTGAGTCCACGCGCTGACCTCGAGGCACAATAACAATCTCAGACTTGCCGTATAGCGCTCCAAACTCCAACTGATGAACGCCCTGATTTGAAGGTTGGCTTCAGATATCTTGATTCGTACGCATAGCCTTTCTTTCGACGGACCCATAGTGGCGTAGTATTAATTTCAATCTCAAAAGTCGATTTGTCTGAAAAACAAATACACGCTATATCCTCTTCCTTAAGGAATCGCCGCAATGCGCAGCTTTTGTACTGAATTGTCTTGTGGCTTTCAGTGAGATATGGCTTTTGCTGTGGACAAAACGCGTAGACTTTATTATCTTTGAGCTTTGGAAGTCTTCCTGTTCGAACCGCTTGGCGCCATCTGTGGTCTTGAGTTTTTCGTAGCCTTCGGAGTATTGAGGTAATAGTCGATTTCGGTACATCAACCTCGAGGCGTATCTTTGAGGCCGAATATCCTAGCGAATAGAGTGTTTATATAGCTACGCATGTTTCTGATGAATGTTCTCGGCGATTGGTTTTTTGCCACATAGGGCATATTAAGTAGTACCCGTAGTGTGTTACAGCGCGTTTGCGCTTTACTAAAATCAGCTAATGACTTTTTGTAGGTAACTATACAAATCAAGATGTAGCAAGACCCCTCTTTTTTATTTTCACAAAAGAAAGAGAGAAAAAAGTTGGAGAGAGGATAAGTTGTTCATGTACACAAAGGCAAGGAATGGGTTAACGAGTATAATTAACATAATGACCAACATAACCAATATAGCAAGCGTGTCGGCATTTTGCGTAAGTCTAATGTCAAATTCCTAGTCTCTTTCTCTTTCTATTTTCTTTTCTCAGATTGTTTCATCTTCCCTACACATTTATCATAACTTGAGAGTGCTAACAGCTACATTTTTTGTTCTCTTTCTCATAGTGCTCCATCTTATCTCTCCTGCTCCAAGACAAGATTGCTTTCCCGGGTAATGAAACCTACACGGCCTCTCTCGCTTCCTATTTCTCCGCGCAGGAAAGCAGCGTCAGCCCAGCGTGCATTGCGTCTCCGCAAAACGCCGAAGATGTCTCGACGATTGTGCACGCGCTCACTACCGCTGTGAATACCAATGCTAGTGATAGCTGCC